TCCATCCCCCTTATCCATCCCCCTTATCCATCCCCCTTTTCTCTGGGAACGTGTTTGCATGGATGACTTGCTAACCATTGTTTTCTCCTCTCTGAAAAAAGACTGCCATGCTCTTCGCTCAGTGCATGAGCGAGAAGCTGCCTCGCCCCGAGGGCATTCCCTCCGAGGTGCGCAGGTGGTCCGAGTTCATTGGCGGCAAGCCCTTGTAAATATGAAATGATACCTCTTCTGTTACCTACCTTATATCAAACGATCTGGCTGTGAAGGTGTTTCTTTCTTCGAGCACAAAAAGACTAGTTGGTGGCGTTGTTCAGGGGCATGTTTCTTCATTGGATCTTGAGCGGGGGGGATAGGGCGATATTTGTGTGGGATTTTCATGATAGTTTGTCAGTTTCAGCAAGCCAGCAATACTTTGGAGCTACCATGTTTCGTTAGAGCGCGGCTGTCTTACCTGCGGCGTTCGATCTGTACTCAGCGTGTAGTGGCTCGAGGCAGAGATCTGATGGTGTTCCCTTGTCCTGCCCCCGACTTGAATGAAAAGCGAGTACCCATTTGATGAATTGACATTTCGTTGCTTCTTGTTTTCTCAGTGGTACTGTCATGATGCAGATCAGCAACTTGAGAGGAGATTACGATCAATATATTGACTCAAAAGCATTGTTACGATTTTAGGGGGAAAAGACCGTTGCCACTTATGATCGGATTGCAGATTGCATCTATTACCACCGATTTCCCCCAAGCCAAACAGTCACCCGCCGTTCTGTTTCTCATCGTCTATGGCCACGACGCAACCCCGAACTCCTATTCCGCAGTATCCATGGTCAACACAACCAATCCACCGTCTCCTAATCATGCCCAGCTATCTGGGTCCAGGAAATACGCTCATTTCCCCTGGCATCCAGACGCCTAGTCCAGTATGGCATCGGCAGGTCAAGCTATACCCTTACGCGGGTATCGGCTTGTGCGATATTGATTTTTTTACGAGCGGCGGTCTCCGTTCAGCCTGACAGCAGCAAAACGCTTAGCAAGGGGTTCTCGGGCGTCGTTGGAAGGTGAATCATCATCAAGCCTGCGGCCGCCATCGGGTTGTCGGGGGCGCTTGGGAAGTCTCTCACCAGTGGATTGCAGGATCATGTGTAGCGTCTGCCACCCCGTAGTTGACCGCAGCTGGAACGACTCGGCCAGGTCGTGCTGGGTGGCCACGCGGCAGAGGAGGGCTTCTTCTTCCTGGAGGGGAGGCAGTTAGCGTTAGCAGTGGTCAGAGGCCCTCAAACAGGCGGGAAGGATTCGTACCTTGGATAGGACACCCATCTGGTGGATGTAGCAGAGGAGGTGGAAGTCGGAGACGTCCAGGCTGTCGCTCTTTCGGTTTACCTTCAGAGCCTTGGCCACCGCCGAGACTTCCTGAGACTCCCCGACATACTCCCTATTCTCGATGGGAAACCCGCTGTCGGTGAAGACGGGCTTGGGCGTCTCGGGGAAACCGTGGGTAAGGGTGACGAAGAGGTACTCAACGGGGAACGCCGGCTTTGCATTCTCCTGAACGTTGGCGCCGTATTCGTTGATCCTGCGGTAGAAGACCTCGGGGATGTAGCGTGTCCTGCTCAACGAGCCGTCGTCCTCTTCCTCTTCGCGGACGAGCATCTGGGTGGGATCAGCCGAGGGCTCGATGATGTCCGCCCTGACCATTTCGACGGCGTCATTCGACATCTGATAGGCTGAGATGGAGATCTCCCCTTTCTCGTTGCCCGAGATGACGCATGTGACGAAGTTGGAGCCAAACCTCCCTGTGTCACTCCACTTGCTTGGCTTGGGATGCTGGGCCTGCATCCGCGCTGCAAACACGACCTCCTGAGCGGCGAGGAAGTACGAGTCTGCGTGGCGTTTGCAAATGGCGCTCCCATCACCCTTGCCGGAGTCGAGAAGATCTGTCCAAATGACGCCAACCTGTTCCAAGCCGCAATACCTTGCGACTGAGTTGATCTCCTGCTCGTTTTCCCACGCGTTGAGTGAGATGCCGTCCATCTCATCCACTTGGGGCGGCTCGTAAATGGCTTCAACCACGGCTTTGATACCGAGGGGCACTACGTCGTATTCCAGGTGTTTTCCATAAAGAATGCCCAGGCGCTGCGTTCCTGTGCGGCGCCAGGCGTCGAGGAACTTGTCAATGATTTGCGGTGACGCGAACTCGACGTGATCGACCATGCGGAACTGCTGCGGCTGGAGGGTGATAGCGCTCGGCTGGCACTTTGTGCAAATTCCCTCTGGCCATTCGGGGTGGCCTGACGGGCAGTCACGCTTCACGCGGTAGTAGGGCTCGACGAGTGGGGGGATGAAGGAACTGCCGAGCTCAGGTTTGTTCGTGGCCGAGTTGATCTTGCGCATGTAGGCGTGTACCGACATGTACTTGATCTTCCTTTCCTCGAGATACTCGGGGTTGAAGGGATCTAGAGGCATGCAGTAGTCGCACATGCCCTTCGGCCCGTGGCGACACATCTTGTTATCCCTCTTTCGCGGAATCTTGCCATCTTGTCTGTCCAGTCGGTCGTCCAGCGGAGACTGCCTCACTACTTCCCATGGGTTTCTGATTCGCTCGGCCGATGTGTTGGGAGGCGGGTCGATGGGGTGATCTTCGGCTGGAAGGATCGGCTTTCCGTTGAGTCGGTTTGTGGACGATGACAGAGCGGCCGATTGGCCATTATCCGTGGCGCCGTTTGTCATGTCCTCTTGGTGCTGGTAACTGACGAAAACGAGGTCGCCATGGCTGTCACGAGTATCAGTCCCGGCAATTCACGACGCAACGACGAGCGCAGCGAGATGTAGGATCGATCAATCTTGCCTTAACCCCACCTGGCCGACTTTGAACCTCGCAATTTCTCCAATCTTTTTCGCACCGCCGCCTCTTGGGTCGTTTGAGAGGGTGATCGTTTGGGGATTGACTGTCGACGGGAGCTGAGGGAGAAGCTGCGGCTACCGTTAGCCCCCTAACCTTGATGGCGATCGGTGACAAAAGCTCTCCCCGATTACCTGTGTAATGAGCTCGCCGAAGGTGCTATCCTTTTCCAAGATCAGGCGGAACATGCCATCAGGGGCACGGAATCGCAGTAGCATGGCGGCGGCGGCACCAACTGTCGACTTGGCTTGGGCGGTTCCTGACGGTTTACTGGTTGGTCCTTGGATTGTTGATGTGGTACTGAACCTGGTGTCTATTTAATCTCTCCAAATAGCGGGCGGGTGTGAATTGAATAGATAACCTAGATGGCAGCGACAGTGCAGTAGTTTTGTGCGTCTCACATCATGGACTGCACATGACAACTGGGAACGCTCGAGACGGGAAGCTTGCAGCCACACCCTTTGAACCTTCGTCATCCAAGCTGTGCCTGATGGAGCTGCCCCTCAGCCCCACCCATTGTTCACTGGTAACGCTAGATGCATATCGTGGGGAAGAAGCCCCGGTAGAAACATATTATCCCTAAGTGGCCCCAGCGCCTGCACCCATTGGCCCCTGCTGGCTTGGTCGATGCCAAGACCCATAAGTTGTGTCAAGCTGTTCTTTCGGGATGTGTGTGTTGGGGGTTTAGCAGGGCATCTGCAGGGCCACCTTCACCACAAGTCGAACCGCTACACCACTTGTTGTTATTTCAAGACACACCGCCAAACCCGACACTCCTAGGGCGCTTTCACAACTTTGGGAAACTACACACAGAAAGCGCCATGTTTGACATAGACTGGCGGGGCTTGCTGCTCCCCCTGGCGTATCTGGTGGTGCTGGTCGGCACCTTCATGACATTCTCTACAGTGTACCGCAAGAGGAAAGCCCGTAGGTTTCCTGATCTAGTCCTTCTGCATTCTGCATGCCAACATGCTCAAGATACTAACGCACCCTCTCCTACGTCTAGTCGAGAGCGCGAATTTGGCGCCATGGTTCGGCCCGCACCTGCAACGCAACATCTACCTGTCGCTGCTACACATGGAGCCCGAGGAAGGATCCGAAAAGTCGCCCAGGGTCCCCGATAGCGTCATCCGGGCCGCGCTGCTGAGGCGCGCCGTCGAAGACATCCACCGCATCATCCAGATCCGTTCCGCCAAGCAGGCCTGCAGTTCGTTGCTGCAGCGAGGGAGCGTCGGCGACGACCTGTGGCAGCGGTTCCAACGCGCCGAGAAGGAGATGGAGGAAGAGCTGCGAGATGTCGTGATGGAGGTACGAGACATTACCCAAGAATCGCAGTTCAATTCTAGGCTAACACGTTCACCAGGCCAATGCGCTCGTCCCGGGATGGGGCCAAATAATCTTCCAGTCCGCCAACGAGATCGCCGCTAACAAGGCGCTGCGCGATCGGCTTGAGGAGATCGAGGCGCAGACGGAGCATGACAAGGAGTGGTGGGAGAAGCGCCGTGCCAGCATCAAGACGGAGTTCATGAAGGAGCTGGACGAGGAGTCGGTGAAGGGACAGGCCAAGGTCGGTAGCGACGACGAGGCCGTCCTAGTGGATACAAACACTCCGTCAGCAACCCCGTCAGGGGTATCCAAGAAGAAAAAGGCCAAGAAATAAGGTGCTTCATGGGCATGGGCGAGCTCAGTTCGGTCTTGTGTTGTACAATAAAAGGGGTCGTGGTGCCTGGGCAGTGGGCAGCATTGTGCATGGCGTTCGGGCTGATACGGATACAACGGTTATTCTGGATTTGTCGTCCATCAGAGCGGTTCGCGAAGTGAGGGAGGCCCCAATAGCTGGATCGGTGGGACGTCACAGTCCTCTGTGGTTTGCCCAAGGTGACGGTCGGGCTGCTCGTTTATACACTGATTTCATTGTGTCACTTGTAATCACATACCGTGGGTCATGTTTTAGACGCGACGATGGCTCAGAAAGTAAGTTGATCTCAATTCAGTTTCATTGACAAGACAGAAACCCAATCAACCCGGCCAACTCCAACAGCCATTCCCAACAACTCCAAGACGCTCGCTTGCTATATCAACACCTCTCAACATCTCCGATCCACGCCCAACTCACTCCCGTTACCGATCAGTCAATACCAGCCCATCTTCCGCCCAACCTCCTCAACCTCATCCCCACCCCCAACCCTCTCCCTCCTCGCCCGTGCAACAATCTCCTCCTCACTCCTGCCCATCATGTCCACCAACCCATCATCCGTCTCCATCATCTCAGGCGCAGACACCGGCACAGGCGTCTCACAACCCCTCAGCCCGATAAACCGCCCCAACTTCCTCCTCTTGTCCTCGATGCTCAACCCGGGGCCCCACAAGACGGGGCAAGGGTACTGCGCCGTCCAGGCGCAGGGGGTGCGTTGATGATAAAAATGGGCGAGCGAGTCCAGCTCGGGCTCGGTCAACAGCCAGAAGGCCAGCAGCGTGCGCGGAAAGGACGGGTGCACTTGCCCCGTCGTCAGCTGCACGAGGGGCGCCAGCTGCAGGGACATTTGCTGCAGCTTTTGGAGGAAGGCTGGGTTCTTTGCTGCGAGGCGGGCGCTGAGGCTGGTCGAGTTTTGGTTCTGGAATGAGGAAGTCGGTAATGGTGGTGGCGATGATGGCGATGTTGGTGAGAAGGTGTGATTGTCAGCTGGGGTGTTTGGGGGCTGTTGCCAGGATGGGTGCTCCATTGTGGCGTTCTCGGAACTGTAGTCTTGAGAATGTGTTCGGCGATGGTTGAGTAGTGTGTGGTAAAAGAGTACTGGGTGCTCGTGGCCAGATGACAGCAGTGATGAGACAAGAGAAGGGTAGCTATTATATATGCTTCTTGAAAGGGAAGAGGCGAACGCTCGTATGGCACACCAGAGACGGGAAGCGAAGAGCAGAAAGTCAGAGAAAGCGGTACTTGTGCTGACGCGTGCCGACCAGATAAAGTTGCTGCCAGCAACAGAATACAGTAGTCTCTTCCGAAGTTGGTCTCCTGTCGTCTCTCGACAACAGGACAATGTCGCGCGTTCGTTGGTGAGATGCTGAATGATCCTAGAGGGCAACGGAAACCGGTCACATTCCCGGGGAGGGGGCTGCTCGTGCTCTTGTAAGTGTCCACGACAACAGAGCGAGTTTCTTTGGACGGTAGTCTTCTCCCAAGTCGAAAGCAGATAATCGTCCCAATCTTTGTTCGCCGGTTGCTATCTTTGGATTCGCTGATACATGCTTTAATCCGTCGCCCTTCTTTGACCGTCCCCGGTAACAACCAAGACATTATCCGGCATCAGACATGAAAAGGCATTCCGAAGAGGGACCTCCCCGCTCCCAAATGCCAACAATGCATTCTCTTCCCACAGACGGAACTATCGGGAACAATCTGTTCCGAATCCGGTTGGCTTTTGACCCCCCGCCTTAGAAGAGCCACTTCAACTTGGCAACGTGATCGGCCTTCTTTCTGCTCTGCTTCACGAAGCCCATCATCCTGAGCTCCGCCAGGCCGCGGTAAAAGCACACCAGCGCGGACCGCTCGTCGAGCCCCGGCTCGGACTCCTCGCCGACGAGGGCGTAGTAGGCCGACCACAGGTCTGCCACGTTGATGAGAGCGCCCGCCTCGAGATAGAGGTGGTACAGGATGGCCGTCGTCGGCAGCGTCGACGCCAATCCGCCGTTGGCCTTGGCACAACACGCACAGGCGAGGTAGTCATGCGGGCGGGAGAGGGCGCGGCCGAAGGTGGCGTCCGGGCAGGGGACAAAGACGTCTCGGTAGGGCGACTTGGAGTCGAAGACCCAGGCCTCGTGAAGAAAGAGATTGTCAATGGGGCCGCAGTTGAGGTTCTCGGATAAGAGGTCCAACAAAGCGTCGACGGCTTTGGTGAATGCTTTGTCCTCGTCGGTCATAATCGCCGTGTCTTGGCTGAGCTGCACCTTCTGCGCCACGACTGTTGTGCGCAACACGCGGCTTTGAGCGCTGTATTTGCTCTTGAGAACCGTACCGTTGCTCTTGGAGCGCTCCCTCAGACCGTCGACTTCGTCTCTCAGGTCTGTCAGGGAGCCTACCAACTCCTCGGCATCCGGTTCCCACCCGTCCAAGCCCAGGTCTGAGCTGCCGGTTTGTACGGCCATCAGCAGACGGTTTATCAAAGACAGAAACTCTTCAGCTCTAAGTCGTTTGACGGCGTCTTCCAGAGGGACCGTCCCGGATGATTGATCGATATCGATGCCGCTGCTCAGTGCCAGTATGTAGAGGTCAGTGAAGGAAGTAGAGCTGAGCCCCGTGGCGGCCACCAGGTGCAGGGAACGGAGAAGACGCAGCAGGTATTCGTTCCGTTTCTGGCCCTGCTCCAAGATCTGAGCTACAAGATAGTCATCGTCTTCGAGAAGAGACTGCGCATGGTTCAGCTGTCTCGCCTCGACGGCGGCTTCAACCTGGGCCTTGAACGAGTCAAGCGTCCGGACGGCCTCGATGTGTTCGGGCTGCATCAGCTTGCGGTCCAGACGGCCGTCACCGGCGAGCAGCACGCTCAGCGGGTCCGCATAAAAGTGGCACATATAGACGTACTTGAGCGAGCTGATAAACACCTGGATGCCGGCCACCTGGTCCCTGTGGCGATCGACCCAGCTCTGCAGCAGTGACGGGCCGATCCTCAGGGCAGCCTGGGACCCGGCAACGGCCGTCTTGATGACGCTTTCGAGAACCGAGTCGGCCTGCACGACGTCGAACTGGGCGCCGTAGAGCTGGCGGGCGGTGGATTTGAGCAGGCGCGCCTGGAACAACTCAACCGAGGTGGCGATGCCAAACAGGAGGTCGAACGGAATGCGGTCGCGCCATGAACTGGATGGAGCTCGTCAGCGTGGTCAGAGCTGTCACTATGGAAGTGGGTTTCATACTGGAAGAGAGCAATCAGGTCGGTCAACAAACCACCTTCGAATGCCTCGCTGTCCTGGAACGCAACCACCACCCTCGGCGACTGCTGTTGTTGCTGCTGAAGAAAGACGTGCAGCGCTTCGAGGTCGTAATCGAGATATTTCCTCCCCTGACACAAAACCATCAATATCAGCATCAGTACAAATCCGCTTGCCCTCAATTCGACAGGAGGAGGAAACTCACGCCGTGGCTGATCTCAACGTCCCCAACCTCCTCCCCATCAGTGCCACTGGCCGTGGCATCCTGAATGATCTTCTTCAAGGCGGCCTTGAGATTCGGCGCCTCGGACGCTCGCAGCCGGACAAACCTTGCCCGGGTCGCGGTACGGAGGCGCTCGCCCAGCTGCTCAAAGAGGAGATGCTGCGACGCAATGCTCGGTCCCGTGATGATGAAGCCCGCCGTGATCTTTCCTCTGTATACAGACAGGTTAGTAGGCACTCAGTTCCAATCCTGGCGGCCGAAAAATGTAAACCTACGTCTCAGCCTCGGCAGCGTGCTGCAAGAACGACGTGACTTCGTCCAGGGTGTTGCTGTTGGCTTCTCGGAGGACGTGCTGTTTGCATATGTATTTGTCCTCGTCAGCAAATAATATATACTTTTTCCATGATCAAGACATGTGAAGACAAACCTGTATGCGGTCCTCTAGAACAGGCCACGCCGTCTCATACAGTTGCTTCCGCAGCCGCACAGCGTCGGAGCCCTCGGCGCCGTTGAAGAGGGGAGGGAATGCCAGCTCGACTGACGAGTCTTGGTGTGGCCTGGGAGCATCCGCCTTGGCTACTTTTCGCCTCTTTGCGGGACGAGGAGTCTGTTTTTGTGTGCTGAGCGGCTGGTCGGCGTTGAAGATGTATGCGGCCTGGACTGGGTGAGCATTTCCTGAGATCAACATGGCTGGGTGAGAAATGCAATACCCTATGGTCATCCTCCTCAAAAAAAATGCCAGAATCCTCATTTCCGTCCATATTGGTCTGTCGACTTGGTATATCGTCGCCGCGACGCGTTGAATAATAGCAGGTTCACCCGATGCTTGGTTGAATACACTCTAGCCACTATTTCCCCTGCTGCGCCACAAGCATAATATGTTGTGGCTTTGCTGGGCTTCTGAAATGCTGAAGACTGAAGGAAAAATCACCGGGGAACACACAAAGGCTCATTATCGTCTTTCATGTTCATGGCACTAGGCAACCGTCTTCATTAGCTCGCTGACAATCTACGACTGTAATCCATCATCCATGCTGCTCCTATTTTGAAGGGATCTGCTTCCTCTTCTCATTCCCCTCATCATGCCTGAACACCGTCAAGAATCAAGATTCTTCTGCTAACCACCCTCCCAAAAAAGAATGAGGTAGATAGATAGATAAATAGCATCTGCTGCCCAAGACGCCTCTGACAGCAAAGTCCCCACCCCCCAACGCTCACCCCTTTCGCTGCTCGGCTGCAATGCGCCTTTATACAGCTGCACCTCTCGCGAAGACAAAGCCCGTGAAGGGAGCGTCCAGAGCGGGAAAGGGGAAAGCCAACGAAAAGAGAGACTAAGAGAGAGTAGAAAGCACGCCCTGTATTTGAGAACCAGAACACCCACCCCCCGCCCATTCCGAAGCAAGAACTGCCCGTGTGCAAAAAAAAGAAAGTCGACGGATCCCCCTCCTAGTTGTACAAATATCGGCACCAAGGCCTCGGATTTCTCCATCCTTCAGCTGCTGTTTCGAAAACGCTCGTCACAACTGCCGCAGAGACCAGTCGTACTCGGCCGGGAAGAAAGGGTCGCTTCCGAGGTCACTGCGACACGTGGCCTGTTGTAGATCCGGGTTTCCCGGGTCCGAGATGAGGCAGAGGACGTCTACGCGGACGCCTCAACAGCCTCAGCGGCCTTGTTCTTCGGGGTTGGGTCAGTCGATGTGTCGTGTAGAATCGACGCACATCACCTCAGGGCCTCACCTCTTCGGCAGCTGGCGTCTCCGCAGCCCTGGACGTCTCCCCTGACTTGTCAGCCTCTTTGGGCTCGTCCTTAGATTCCTCCTTGGACCCCTCCTTTGGCGCCTCCTTTGACTCTTCCTTAGCTCCCTCCTTGGCCTTCGCCGACTCTTCTGGCTCGCTCCTCTCCTTGACGCCATTAGCCTTCGCCTCGCCCTTAGACGTTCCATTGGACTCAGCAGCCGTCGTGTCGGAGGCCAGCAGCTTGGTCCATTTGTCCAGGAGAGCCTGCGAGCGCGGCTTGAACTTGAACTCTTCCTCCTTCGGGATGTGCTCCAGCTTCAAGAGCGCCTTCAGGACCTTGTTTATCTTGGTTGCCCGGATGATGCTCACTTCAAGGTCGGGAAACCCCTCGAGCTTCGTGATGTAGTCCGACATGAGCTTCATCTCCTCGTCCTTGGGCTCCACGTTCCTCGTTAGGAGGCCCTTCTGCAGCTTGTGCCGGAGGAACAACACTTCTTTCTGTGGAAACGGAGAATCGTCAGCGACGGCCCAGATTTTCAAGGCCCACAACACAACCCTGTCGACGTACCTCTTTCCTTAGGTGCCTCTCCTCCGCAGAGAGCTCTGGCTCCTTGGAAGCGGGCGCCTCTTTCTTCTCATCAGCCTCCTTCTTCTTGGGTTTGGCCTTTGCGCTCTTGGCTTCGGCGGCCTTGGTAGACTTCGGAGTCGAGGTGGCGCCGTTGGTCGCCTTGGGCGTAGCGCTCGTCGTGAGCTTGATCTTAGGCTTCTTCACCGACTCTGAGCGTTGCGGTGTCTGCAGTAGTTAGCATATTTGCCATGGCTGATCTGTCGTGCCATCAACATACCTCGGCACTCTCCTCGGCCTTCCTCTTGTTGGCTTTCTTGTCCTTGGCCGGCGTCTCGCTGGCCTCGGCCGCATCCTCCATGTCGACGTCTTCGTCCTCTTCGCTGACAGCCTTGGACTTCTTGCCTTTGGGCGTCGCTGCTTTTGCCGCCTTGGCCTTCTCCTGCTCAATGAGCTCCTCCTGGTAATTCTGCAGTACCTCCTTGTAGTACGACAGAGGGTGGTTCTCAGCTGCGAGACGATGGGCAGCTTGCAATGTCTTCCTCATCTTGTCCATCTTGACGTCCAGGACTGTCGCGGGATCAAGCTCGATGAGCTCGGTGTTTGGCACCCATCCACTAGACGCAGACATTAGCTCCCATACCTTAAAAGACGCGATGTAGCGAAGTGATCTCCTTGACTGCCATATTTATGCAAGATCGTATCGCATGGCAGAAGGAACTCACAATTCGTTGGTGTGCAAGTACATGACCGGGAATGTCCGGTCAGCAACGTTCTTGCCACCGTCGGCGTAGTCCTCGCGGTACGTGCCATCGGCGCGCTTCGCCGTGACCGGCCGAGACTTGAGCAGGGATGCTGGGAGCATGTCCTCGTCGCAGATGATGACGGGCCATTGCGGGTGGCCCTTGAGCTTGACAAAGTAGTGGTCGCCTGGCTTGGCGTCCAGATGCAGCATGCGCGGCTTGGATGCCTTCTTGTTGAGCTTCTTGCCCTTGGGGGTGGCGGCGCCAATTGACTTGCGTTTTTCCTTGGACTTGTCGGCATCAGCACCGGCAGCGGGCTGCTCGGCTTGCTCGGCTCGTTCCGCTTCCGCATCCTCAGCATTGTCCCTCGCAATTGCGGCGGCCTCTTGCGCAGGCTCAGCTGGAGCGGCAGCGTCCGTCATCTCGACGTCGGGTTTGTCCTCGGCTTGTTCGGCGGGTTTCTCGGTAGACGCTTGAATGCGATGGAAAATCGAGCGTCAGCAAAAGGGCTTCGTATCTGGTACACGTGACGGTGGTGCAGCTCGCGAAAACGCGACTTTCTTACCTTCGGCAGCCTTGTCGGGAGATTCTTCAGTCGCGGGTGCAGGCGCAGGTTCAACCTCAGACTCGGCGGCGACCTTTGTTTCGGTGGCAGGCGCTTCGTTCTTAGCCTCGGCGGCAGCGTCCTTGCTCGCGTCCTCCCTGTTCTCAACAGCAGCAGCCGGCGCGCTTTCAGCCGGGGGCGTAGCTCGACTGTTCTCGCCAGCCATTGTGTCGCGAGGTGACGATGTGATGTCAGCACGCGACTGGGGGTGAGTGAGTGCGGGATGGTTTGCTCTGCAAAAAGCAGTAGGCGACGCGTTCTTCGCGTGGAAGTGGCCCAGAGGCTACGTGCTTCTCACGGGGATGCGCGTTGTGATGGGAACTCAATTGCGTTGCGCGAATGAGGATGGGGTCACCAATGCGCAGGCGCGAGTCAATGGATGCGAGGTTGCGCCGAAGTTGAGAGAAGCATCCAGCTCGCGAAGAGAAATTATTTGAGGGCAGGCACACGAGTTTTGTTGGTCCGAGCGCCTTGGCTAGGGAGCTTCGCCTTGCTGTCTATGAAAGAATTGGGTCTGGTCACGGTGAGTGGGCGGAGCGCGGTTGTTGTGGAGGGGGAGGAGCTGCGCTGCTGCCGACGTGCGTCAGACCCCGAGCACGTCGCCAACACACCCACACCCGCGCCGCCGTCTCCTCCCATCTCAAACACATAACCAACCTGAAAGGCGCTATCTAGTCAGAGAGCCCATGGGCATCGTCTGATCCCGCTCTCATCAACATTATCCCTAGTCCCATGGCTCATCCTCCTGAAGACAGCCACTTCGCCTAGCTCATTGCCATCTCCCCAAAGTACCTCAACCCCGAGGAATTCGTGGCTGACAACGCCCGATAAGACCTGGCGCGGATGCCTGCTCCCCATGACCCATCACAACAAGCCGGAACAAAACCCCACACCCACATCGCTCCCAAGTCCAATCTTGATGGTGCCTTTCTCCCCTTCCTACACAGAGCCCGCCAACTGCCGAGAAAGTCCAAGTACGAGAGAAACAGAAACGCATCATTTTGTATTGACCCCTTAACTCCCCTCGTATACCATACAACTGTCCAAATTCTGTCCTCGACAACTCTCGGCGGAATCCCACCGTCCTCTGTCCATTCACTCACTCACTCCTCCTCCTCCTCCTCCCCGCTCTCATCGACATCCATCCCCTCCTCAACCATGACAGAGAAAGCAGGCTCCTGATCCACGCCGACATAGCTGTCGCTCATCAAAAACAGCTTCAGGTCGTGCCGGCCGGGGGTAGGCACGGTGAACTCCAGCCTGAGGTTGTGCTCGCGCCCAACCGTGACCCGCTTGATGGCGAACATGGTCCTCGAGTTTTCCTCGCCCACCACGAGCCACCAATTCTCCGTCTTCTTGCCCGGATAGAACGGCGCGTGTACCGTCGGGTCGAACTCGCTGTCCTCGTCTAGCTCGCGCTCGATGTGGATCTTGAGGTACGCCGGCTCGCCGGCCCGTATGCTCTCCTTGTCCTCAACCTCAAACTCGAGCGAGATGTCCGGATACTTGGTGTTGGTGAAGTGGGCCGCCTGCGCGAGCTGCGCTTGGGAGAGGCCCAGGTCCTGGACGAGCGACTCGTAGTCCGGGTTCTCTTCGGGATTCATCTTCTCCATGAAGTCGAAAATGTCGCTGACGCCGTGCTTGTTCGCCGCCTTGATCACTTCTGGCGTGAAGTTGGGAATCTGCTTCAGCGGGCTATCGCGGTCCCACATGGCCTGGACCACCATCTGCGACATTTCCATGGCATTCATCGCGTTCAAGTGGCCCTCGGACGAAAGGATATCGACCGTGGCGCTTAGGAGGCTGAGGATCTTGGTCAAGATGACCTCCTGGTCTTTGGCGAGATCAATCGGCAGGTTCATCCTGGAGAAGTGTGCCTGAACGAGGACGAATGCCTTGAAATGAGGCGAGTCGTAGACGGGCTCCTTCATCTTCACCGGGACGTTGTCGTAGATGCGCCGAAGGATGGCCTCCTCGTGCCGCCTGATCTGGATGGACTCAAACTCGGTGGCCGATGTAACGATCTCGAGGATGCCCTTCAGCTTGGTCGTCTGACGCAACGACAATAGGAATGTCTCCATTGTCGTGTACGAGATGTTGTAGTAGGCCGCAATCATCGCCGCATTCTGTGGCGCAACGGTTCCCTCATCCTCGTCCATCTCGATAATCTTCGAGTCCGCCAACTCCTTCAGTGTCGCCTCGACCATGTCGGAGAGATATTGGCTCAGGCCCTCGTGCGTAGGATCCGTCAGGCTGTAGTAGCTGGGGTTGGCAAGCAGCCGCCGGTAGAAGTACGTAAAGGTGGCCCAGTTGATGGCATCCTCACCGGACTCGATCATCTTGGTGCTGATTTCTGTAACGAAGGCATCATGGAGGAAATTGTGAAGATGCGACTCGACCGGCAGGGCTTCGTTGAGGAACTTCTTGTAGTACTCACGCTTCACCCCCGGAAGCATTAGTACGCCGCGACTACGCCCATCCTTGGCTGGCTGCACAGCCTTGCCAAACATCTGGAGTACCTCGCTGAGGGAGTAGTCGACGTAGCGGTGCTCCCTGCCTTCGAAGTACTGCGTCCCCATGACCACCACCAGCTGTGCTGTGCAATCAAGCTCCCAGCAGACGTCCCGAGAAGCGACCAGCACTTGGATCGCGCCGTTGTTGTAAAGGTGCTTGACGATGCGCTTGTCACTCAGGGTCAGGGCTTCGTGAAAGTAGCCCACACCATGGGAAAGCGCCTCGGCAAGCGCCTCCTCCTGGACTCGGTCGAGGAGCTTGCGAATTTGGTCCACCTCCACGTTCAAGAACCGGTCTTCGTCGTCATCCGTTAGACACGCCGTGAGAAGATCCCGAGCCGTCGCTCTGGTCTGCTTACGACTGGGCACGAAGATGATGGCTGGCTGGTTCGCCGAGAGCTGGGTAACCGCGAGATATGTCGGCTTCGCCATGGCGAGCATGAGAGACGGGAAGTGAGGGATGGTGTAGGACTGAATATGAAGCTCGAGAGGCACCGCACGCACGTGTGGGCTGAAGTTGTAAATGTCATGCTTCTTCGCATCGATCCACTCCCCAATATCGCGAGCATTGGCGAGGGAGACGCTGAGGCCAACAATCCTCATTGGCAGCTCCGTTTGCGTACGGATGTAGTGCATCCGAGAGACAATGATCTCGTAAATGTACCCCATTTGACCGCCTAGCATGTGCAGCTCGTCCGCGATGAACAGCTCCACGGTCTGGACGTTCTTTCTCCTCTTCCACTGCCGGGAAAGTGTGTCCCATTGGAGAGGAGTGGCCAAGATTAGGTCTCCCTGCTCGAGCAGTTTCAAATCGGCCGTTGTTTCTCCGGTTAGCTTCACAATATCTTTGCCTCCTCGTAGATTGGAGAAACGCTTCTGCCAGTCCTGGAACCGCTGGTCCACCAACTCCTGAAAGGGTGCGATGTAGACCGCGCGCCCGGCGTCTTGCCGGCCCCAGTGCCGCAGCAGAGCGAACTCGGCGCAAACCGTTTTGCCGCTGCCAGTTGGTGATGCGACCAGGACATTATTGTCTGTGCTGTAGAGGGAATTGAATGTCTGCGTCTGCACCTTGTTAAACTGCTGCCAGTCGGGATAGAGAGTAGTGTAGTCCTTTGCCTTCAGAGCGGCCACTGGGAGCGGCTGCAGGTCAAGCAGCTCGGTGTGTGGAGGGAACCGCTCCGGCAAGATGAGTTTCTGGAAAGACACGGCCAAGCGAGTCTCGGAGTGCATCCACCTGTCAGAAATGACCGAGATGAAGTAGTTCGGCGGCATGGGCTCGGAGATCGGCACGGTGAACTCGACGATGTGCTCCTTCGTCTCGGCCTCAGCATACTCCTTGCGCAGAATGAACTGATCATGGTAGAGGATATCTTCGCCATCACAGTCTTCGACGACAATCCAAAAGCTTTCTGACAGGCCGTGGATGTCGATGTCCCACTCAAAGTTCGGGGTAATGGTCAGCTCGACACGGAGCATGGACCTTGTCATTGGCTGCACATTGGCCTGGATCTCGACCCGAGGGAATTTGGCGACCAAGCCGCACACAGTCTTTCCAGCCTTTGGCAAGCCAAGCAGCTCGCCCATTCGAGGCGGATCCAGGTCGAAGTAACTGCTAAAGGGAACGTCTATCCTTTCTGCCTTCCTCACGATCTCGGCAGGGCACTTGGGAAACTGCCTGAGGGGCGACATGGTCGGCCACATCCTCTTCTCGGCCATTTTGCAGAGATTCAAAGCCAGCTTGGCGACAGACGCCCAGCCTTTCTTCAGAGTGATCTCGAAAATGGCGCGGAGGATACGCCCAGCAGACTGGGTAACGTACACCATATCGGCCATGAGAGCCAGCCCCTCAAGCTTGAGGCGCGAGATGTAGGCCTGGAGAAGGACGTTAATCTTGGCCGTCGGCTCTTCAATGCTCTCCTTGACAGGGATTGGAACACGAGCAAGAATTTTTGCAAGCTCGAGCTTTTCCTCTTGACGGACAGGAATATACTTGAACTCGCCGCTCTGCGCAAAGACACGGAAGAGCTCGACGTCATTCATTGATGGCTGAATCAGCTTGTTGTACGTGTCCATCGAGGTGTGTGTGATGTAGTAATGGGACGCAATGCGTCCGAGCTCGGTCGACTGCATCTTGCCGGTCTTCTCATCGTACTTGATCAGGTTGGATTTTTTCAGGACGGTTGCAGCGGAGTGGATCAGATCCACGCGCTTCTGCTCGAGGGCCACATCGTCCTCGTACTCGGCGCCGACGCTGTATAGCCCAGGAGACCGAAGCATCCGGACAAACAGATAGGTGTATCCGAGCCACTCAACACCCTCATCGCGGCTCCGTATGTTGCCGAGGACAATCTCAGCATTGAGGTTGTCAACCAGTTTGCTCGCGAGCTGGCTTTCGATTGGCAGCTGCTGGTTGAGCAGCGACAGATAGTACGGGATCTCGCCTTGGGTTGTGATGATAATGCCTTCACCGTATTTGTCGAACTGAGGACGACCGGCACGCCCAAGCATTTGCAGGACATCCTGAGGACTCAGTTCGACCCAACTACCCTTCTCCGGGGAGTAGACTTGGGTGCCTTTGATGATGACTGTATGGGCGGGAAGGTTGACTCCCCAGGCAAGCGTAGCCGTGCAAACAAGAACATGGATATGCCCGGCTGCGAAGAGGTCCTCGACATCGGTCCTGTCTTCACGCGTCATACCGGCATGATGGATTCCAAATCCGTACGGCAGGATGTCTTTGAGATCCGTGTTGCTGACCGAGCTGGCCGCCACGCTCAAGACCTCGCGGGTTGCGGCATCGTGTTTTAGAATCTGATCAATGGTTTCCATCTCCAAGGCCTTGTCTCGAATGTACTTCGCTGTCTTCGCCGTCTCTTTCCTCGAATGCACGAATATCAGCATCTGGTTGCGATTCTGTCCGACGTGCTCGAGGACCTTTTGGTAGGTGATATCATTCATCGTCTTGAGCTGCTTAATTGCCTTCTTGTCTGTGACGCCAATGAACTCTTGACGCAGGGGGCAGGGGCGATATGAGGCGTCGAAATGAAACATGCCCTTGCTGAAGTCAACCCGGAGAAAACTGGCAACATCCCGATAGTTGGGCAACGTCGCAGACAAGCCGATGATGCGGACTGGTTCACCCGTCTGTTCGGTGCGTCGGATAGTCCTGCTGACAATGCTTTCGAGGACTGGGCCGCGGTCGTCGTGTAGGAGATGGATCTCGTCGATGATGATCAACCGGACGAGGTTGGTGTAGGAGATGTCGGTTGCCTTTCTGGTGATGACGTCCCATTTTTCAGGGGTTGTCACAATTACCTGAGTCTCGGAAATTTGCTGCTTGGTGAGTTGGCGATCACCCGTCAGCTCCGAGACCTTGATGCCATACGGCGCCAACCTCTTCCCAAAATTCCCAACCTGTTCCTGCACGAGGGCCTTTAGGGGAGCGATGTAGACGATTTTGAACGCGTCCAAATCGATCTCTCCTCTGCTATTCCTGTTTTTGCCAATTTCACGGAGCATGGTGAGCACGGCGACGTTGGTTTTGCCACTGCCGGTCGGGGCGCACACAAGCATGTTTCCGTCGTCCTGAAAGGCGGTGGGATAACACTCGGATTGAATCTTGTTTAGCGACTTGACCGTGCTGAAGGGCGCCTGAGCCCACTCGGGCATCTCCGAAACGAGAATATTCTTGTCGTTGGGGTCGGTTCGCTTCTTGGGCAGAGGAATGTGTACCTCTTCATACCCCTTGAAAGTCCGCTTCGTCGTGCCCTCTGGCAGCGTGACCCGAGGGTTGGTCATGAGATGGTTTCCCTGGTCGAAAACCATATTTTCCAAGTTCATCAGCTTTTTGGGTTGTAACCCTCCGACCAGCTGCCCCTCAGGCCGCTCCTGCTTCTGAGGCTGCGCGTCTGCAAAAACGCCCTTGTCGATGTCCATCTTGATTTCCATCTTCGGTTTCCTCTGATCGTCTTTGGGCTTGCCGTGCAACTCGTCAAGAATCCACCGCAATCCTTCCGACGCCATCTCTCGCTCAATGGTCTCGCGCTCCTTCCGGTCCTCGGCTCTTGTCAACCGTGTGAGCCAGACAACCTTCTCGCGGTTCTCCATGAGTTTTTGGACGATCTCGTGGTGCTCATAGTCGAAAAGCTCCATCAGGTCGTTCTCGATATCTCGGAGCTGCTTCTCTTCGCCGTCGGGCTCATCCGGCTCTCCCGATAGGATCTTCAAAGCTTGCAGGGTCTTGTCGTGTTGTATGTGGGCATCAGGATAGAGGCGGCCAATCTGGCGTTGCAACCAGTACGCATCGATATCCCGGGCAGGGACGTAGTTCTTCTCCTGCGACTTGGTCTTCCCGTCGGGGACCACGTCGATCACCATGGCCTCGCCATCTTCCAAACCTGCGTCCTCCCCATCGCGGTTTTGGTCTGCCTCCCCACCTTCGGCGACTCCCTGTTGACCGGGTTCTTCGTCTTCCTCGTCCAACTCCTCGTCATCCGAGGATTCGTCGCGGACCACGTCGAGCATGCCGTTGTCTTCTTCCTCGTTCTCGAAGTTGACAGCAACGCCCTGCCGGCCGTCAATCTCGTCCTCGCCGGCTCGTTTTACGTCTTCCATGTCCTCGTCTTCGTCCTGTGCATCGTAGTCTGTGATTTTTTTTCCCAGGTTTACCAGCTCGTTGAACTGCTTGGGGCTCATGGATGCGCCCAGAATATCGTCGATCTCCTTCTTCTTGTCAAAATCTTTCAGATCATCGTCCTTGAGGTACTCTAGCGCCGCGTCGGCAGCACTCCGTACAACCTCGTGGGGAACATCACCAAGGTGCTCTGCCACGATGCTCAGGATGAGGTTGAACGCGTCCCGAGTAGGCTGCGTCCTTGGCCGATACCGGATACCCTCGATCAGAGCGTCAGCGCCGGACAGAATACCGCCACCACGTGCGTCGGCCTTGCCCTTCTGCTTGACATGCTGCAGTATGTCGGCTCCTTCCCGCATGCTCCCTCGCTCCACGTCCGGCATGGCGCCGGTCTTTTTCGGCTTGGGCGCCGTGTCGCGAGCTACGCGGGAGCCCATCTCCTTGATGGACAAGCGCCCGGCCAGCGACTCTGGATCTCCGGTGGCCTCGTCGGTGCGTCTGGTGACAAACCGACGGTCCGCCTGGAGGACCAGGTTGGACATGGCCGAGTACTTGTATTGCGAGACATCTCGATGATAGTCCGACATTTTGAGCGTCGTCTACTGCCGGGGTATCTCGGGGCGGACGATATGGAACGGAAGCCCGAGTTGATGTTTTGCAGCCGATAGAATTTATCGCCGCCGCGTCGGTTCTGCCTGCAGCTTGGTGGCGATTCCCGGTCCAACCCTGCCAGAACCGAAAGGTGGTCTATGTGGCGGACAAGGAATGATTAGTCCGGCGCATCGAGATACCTGAGGTCGAGGATGAGAAGCGGGATGATTCGGGTGGTGCAATTGGAAGGAGTTGATGCCAGTCGGCAGTCGCGAGTGGATTGTTGATGCGTGAGGTTCCCTCTGATGCAGTGCGCTGCAGCTGGCAGCCGGAAATTTTTGGGCAGGCGGCCAGCCAGCGACGGTCTCTGATTGGCTGCTTTCATCAACGGGTCAGTGTCATGGACTGGAAGCCTTGGTGAGCATCCCGCCGTCTGTCCCCTGAAACAATGCGCCGGGGAATGGGTCGGACCCGCTAAAGAGCTTCCAAGTTGGGCTGTTGGCGATGGAACAGTGCCCCTGATCAGGGTCTCGAAGTTCACCATCCCAATCTCAGCTGGGAGCGCAATGGGATACATCTATCTACCTGCCTCACCACTCTAACACCTTAAAGCACTGACATGCTGAGATTGGGACAGAATGGGTTCGTCGGCCGAGGACACGTTCAAAGTCATTCAAAAGACACTCGAGCCATACATTCGACCACGGGAAGAAGTCACGCATATAAGGCAGATCCTGGCTGTGCACCTCGATTCATGTCTTGACGATGAAACTGCAGGCGAGCCTTTGGCTCTCATCGATGCTAGAAGCCCCTGCTCTTCTTCGACAGCACGTGGCTTACAGAAAGAGTATCTCGAGGCGTTGAACGCAAACATCGAGGCCCGCAATGAGTTTGCTGCATGCTGTCGCGTGCAGGAAAAGCGGACTCGACAACAGCCGGACACTTCTACCGGACAAGGCGCAGACCGACTACAGGAACATGTTGCGGCCATCCGCCTCCGACAGAGAGCCGACAAGCTCCAGGTCATCAAAAGAAGCTTCAACTCGCTTGGGCAAAAACCAGCAGCATCGCCTGATTTCCTGGATTCAGAGGAGATCTTCAGGGATGCAAAACCCCTTCCGACTGTACCCCACGAATTAGTGACTGCTCTCACTGTCGGCAAAACAACTGCTGGTCCGCACTTGCAGGAGCTCATCGATCAACTGGAAAAGCATGTTCTTCAAACCAAGCTCCTGCTGAGACGTGAGGAGCAGCTGCTGGAAAAGGTCAAGTCACGATCCGTCGCCAGACCAGGAAACATCAGTGAAAGCGCCAAACTCGCGGCGCTTGAGCGAACTAGAGCTGAGCTCATCAGCTGGATAGAGACGGAGCTCGGAAAGGCCGCGGCGGATGAGGGTGCTGCCGAAGGACAAGACGCGCAAAGGCATCGTCCCCGCGGGGATTCCTTCAACATGGAGGAACAGCTCGGAAGCATCAAGGAGAAGTACGCCCAGTATCTCGGAGCACGGCAGGCTCTTCTTCAACTTGCCAGTCAACGGCCTCTGCCCGTCATGAAACCTCCAGTGAAGGAAGCGAAACCACAAGATGCTTCGGCACCCAGACCACCTCCCACTGCACACCTCTTGTCGCCCCAACTCGAGCAGCTGCTTTCTCTCTCGCACGAGCAGAAAGGGTTCATCGCTGAGAAGTCCCACCTCAATGCCGCCATTTCTAAACAACTGAAGGAGAACAGTCAAGTTCTGGAGCACCTGGCCGAAGAAAGTCATCTGATCCCGGCTCACCCAATGCCAGGAGCTCCAGGGTCTAGCACAGCATTTGCTGATGCGGTGTCGGCCACGAAGATTTCCGGTCTAACCAACAAGGTCAAGCCCTGGGTGTTTGCTGCCGACTCTGCCAAAATCTCAACGCTGGAAGCCGTGGCCGAGAAGATCGAGGAGGGACAGATTGCCCTTGAGAGCTCGATGCGGACGCTTGAGGAGATCGATGAATTGCTTGGGCAGTTGCCAGACAAGAAGCAGGAGGAGGAACAGCCCAGCACAGGCGAGGACGACCTCTGGCTGGCCGAGGGGCAACATGCGGGCAAAAGCGCTGGGGCGAGAAAACATACCCTTCGAAAGGCAGACACACCGGCACAACCCAACACCGTTTGGGACACATTAGATGGAAAGCTCGGTTTACTTCGCCCCGAGAGAGATACCATATGAATTGACAAGCAATGTACCCCCATTATTCTCCCTTACCTTGCTCCCAAACGCCTCTGATATCTTGGCCTTAGGAGGTTCTTGCACCATGCCCTATCGGCCAGACCAGCCTTTTCTCCTTGTCCTCTCCCATAGGTCCCACTACCTACCGGCCATGATTCCCGAGACGCGTAGCGCAAGATCCAATATCGAGAGGTGCTCGTCCGCGCCGTCAACCAACCTCTTATCAATTTCGGAGAAGACCATGACAATCTTGTTCTTTTGAACGTCTAGGATTGTCTCATCGTAAACGATAGCCTGGTGAAGCTGCGCCATGGTCTGCCCCGCGCTCCAACCATCCGCCACCATCTCCTCCACCACCTTCGCGATAGCTTGGTACGTCTCGCCAGCAGCCCGCGGCCGCATCGCCTGGACTAGCGTTTGGATCGTGTTGTCGGGGATGACGCCGGCGATATCTTCCACGACATTGGCCGTCACCAGCTTCTTATCCACGTCCATCTTCTCGCCATCCTCTCCCTCGGCCTCCGCCGCAGCGGCGGCGGAGGCACCCACCAGCCTCGCAGCGCTCTGCAGAAAGGTAATCGCCTTTCTCAAATCGCCATCGCTGCACTTGATGAGCGCATCCACGGCGGCGTCCTCGATCCCCAACCCCTCCAGCCGGGCGATATCCTCCAGTCGCCGGCGCGCGTTGCCCTGGTCGAGGCTCTTGAACCGGAACTTGCTGCAGCGGCTAGCCAGCGGGTCGATGATGCGCGTGACGTAGTTGCAAATAAGACAAAATCGTGTGATCTTGCTGTATGTCTCCATGGTGCGGCGCAGGGCGCTCTGCGCGTCCTGCGTCATACTGTCGGCCTCGTCGAGGATGATGATTTTGAAGGGCGGGCACGGGTACCGCGCCTTGTAGCCGGGAGGCGGGTTGGTCAGCTGCGTCCGCGCAAAGTCCTTCACCTTCTCGCGCACAATTGAGATGCCGCGCTCGTCCGAGGCGTTGAGCTCCAGCACGCGCGACTTCATCAGCTCCGGGCCGTAGAGTTCCTTAGCGAGGGCCAGGATCGTTGACGTCTTGCCCGTGCCGGGCGGGCCGTAGAAGAGCATGTGTGGGAGCTGTAATGGGTGTTGGCAAGGGATTAGCAAGAGCGCGGGATTGCTGAGCAGGATGAAGATTGCACCTACATTGGAGGCTTGCAGCGTCCGTTGGAGGACGGTGATGGTGTGGTCTTGAGCAGTCACATCACTCAGTGTCTTGGGCCGACTAGACGGAGGACATTAGCGCCAAGTGCTTTGATGAGCAGATTATACAATAATTGTACTATTTCTCGACCCAGGGCTGCGTTCTGGTGTTTTCCCTTGTCTGCTTCTCGGCGCTGCTTGACGCTGCCCCGTTCGCGGCGGCCGCCTTCCGGGCTTTGAGGTCGAAAAAATTCGACATGACAGGATCGCTTATGTTGAAAATTGGTAGAGTTCCTGTGTGAATTCTCTCGAATGTAGTGTGCCGTGGTTCTCGATACTGGGTGATGGTCTGATATTTCTTGGTTGATGTCGCTCTGCAGGCACTTAACGCGTTCGAGCTGGAAAACGCGTCTGGGTTCTTGCAGGGGTTCACCGGCCCACCGGCCCCACCGCATTTAGAGAGGCCTGAGCTTGACAAGTCAAGCAACGTCCATTCATTCTCACATTGCCTGCTTTTATGACCGATTCCGTTTTACAAGGCCGGCATGAAGGCTAGATACGTAGCCTAGGTATCATAACAGAATCAAGCCTTCTGGACAATCTGAAGTCAAAATGAGAAGTGAGGAACTACCCGGTACTGCCAACATGCGTCGTGGCACCGATCTTGGAACTTACATGGCGAAGCTCGTGCCAAAACGAAGAATAGGTCACAGAGAGCCCCTTGGCATATCTCCTGAGAACCCGTCTACATCGAGTTACAAAACGCGATAGAACAAAAGGCTTTCATATCGGTGATGCATTCGGAGACTAAGGTACCTTATCACCACATGTACAAATACCTTTACTGACAGACGCAGGTTAGGCAGCCGAACCAACCGGTCAATTGACTGTGAACGGAGGGTTGCATGCAGGGACGCACATCATCTGAACAAGGCCAAAGCTGGCAAGTACAAACGCACCAGGACAACTCTGACAGGTCCCCGATCAGGCTCCCACGGGTGCAAGCATTAGCTTGGGCTGCATCGTCTGTTGGTGGTTGAACGTCTCACTTGTCACCGGCCACAGTGCACCGCACCGGGCCAAAACAGGAAGTTGTCTTTGGAGATGGCGGGGAGGAAAGCACAGCTGCACCGTGCCAGGTCGAGACCAGACCTACTGTACAGCCACCTCGCCTGTCGGATCCCCACCTTCTAGAGTTGAGGCGGTCTTCTCTCTCAGCCTTTCACACTGTCCTCCTCTTAAGATCGACATTTCTGCGCGCCATTTCGATATTCCCTTCAAACTCAGCCGAAACCAACGACCATTGATTATCGCCCATGAAGTATTCCTTTATCGCTTCATAAAGCCCTCGGCGAGCTACAGCGATGGCGGATCAGTCAGTCTTTCGAATCACGAAGGTGGGTCGCTTGTGCTTCGTCGCTCTCTAGCAACGCGGGGTTGTAGGACTGACCACGATACGGATGCTTTTCCCGACAACAGGAGCTGAGCGATCTGCAGAAGAATTCGGATCTTTGTAAGATGCCAGACGCTGCACTGAATGAATGCTTGAGCCTTCAGTCTGACACAGCTCCCTAGCTCTGGCCGTTGCTTGTCGCGATGTCGATGTGCGGAATGTCAAGGCCCTCATCATCGGTCCCCACGAGACCCCATACGAGTTCGGTTTCTTCGAGGTATTTGAGTTTCATGTAACTGCACTGTCGTTTGCCCTAACATGGCAGTAGTTTGCGTTCAAATTCAACAAAGGTACCCGGAGCCGTCGTGTGGAAGACCTGAGCAGTCCGCTGAGATGCTGACTGTTTGCTCAGAGTACCCTCGAAAGTCGCCCCAAGTGACAGCCATAACCACGAATGGAGGTCGCTGCAGGTTCAACCCCAACATCTATGCCAATGGAAGAGTGTGCCTGTAAGCTGACCCCTGCCATATATTGAGAGGTAGCTTGCACTGACAGGGCTCCAGTTCTATCCTAGGGTAACCGCCGTCTTCTCGAACAGATAAACATCGGAGTCTTGCTGGGCGCAGTGCTGATTGGGACTAGGACATGGCGTGGGGAGCGCGGGGAGGAATGGTCCGCTGCGCAGGGTCTGGAATCCATCTTGCTTTCGATCCAGAGCCTGATGTCAGCGAATCCGTACGAGAACGAACCCGGCTTTGAGGATGCGAACGAGGCCTCGGATCAGAAGAACCAAAAGGATTACGTCCAGAAGGTGATAGAACCTGCAGTTGTCTCAGGGCCATGAGCTGACTGGAGCGCAGATCCGCCACGAGACACTCAGAATTTCGGTCATCCAGCGGCTGGAGGAATACCTCAAGATCGGACCGGACGGTGTGGCCGCGGCTCCAGCGGCTCCGAAGGACGAGTATGACCTTGACATGGATACTGTAGAAGATGAGTCGAGCGTCCCATTCGAGCCATTCAAGGATTTGTGCAAGCGCAGATTTTTGTGGTATTACGATACCTACCTTGCCGCCATCCAGAAGGGCAAGGAGGAGGTCAAGGACGGCACCGTCTTCGAGAAAATGCCTTTTGAGGGATCTAGCAACACCATGGAGGGTAAATTCAACTACAGCGAACTGGAGCGTCGGCTCCATAACATTAAGAAAGCCCTTGATCAGGAAACCGAGACGTGGGGCCTAGAGGGGCTTATGGCGAAAGCCAAGGACACCACCGTTGCCGTCAACCTGCAACGCCAGTTCGAACAGATTGTTGAATCCTTCAAGCGCGCCGACGTTCCGCACAATCTCGAGTTAATGGATGGCAACCCATTTACCTGGGTCTTGACATACTTCGGCAAGCCCATGACGAATCTCGACGGAGGCCTCTTCAGGGCAAAGCTGTGCTTCAGCCCACGGTTCCCAGAGGAACAACCGAGGATCAAGTTCGAGACACGCCTGTTCCACCACCGGATTGCTGCCGACGGTACACCTTGCTATGTTGTCCCTGGCAACCGTCGCGAGGACGTCAAGACCCACATTGAGGCGATCATCGAAGCCCTGGAGGAGGAACACCCGCCTTACGACCCCAGGACATTGGTGCATCCCGAGGCGTTTAAGCTGTACTGGGGCTCGCCCGAGGACCGGCGCATGTACAACCGGCGCTTACGTCGGTCGGTCCAGCAGTCGATGGAGTAAGCCACGCCAAACATGGGAATCTCTCTTTGGGTTTGTGTGGCTGACGAACAACAGAGATTTCTGAGCTGCTCAAGGAGATCTGATTCTATCCCTTGTTTTTCTTTCAACTCTTTAGGCATGGCATCAGCTTGTTGGATCCTGCAGGATCTTAACCAAGCCGTTCGGCGTTCAGACATGGCTGGGCAAGGCAGGTGTTTGTCAGGGTGGAGTTTGCGAGTCTGGCTTCGGTTTTCGTCTGTCAGGTGTGTCACGATAGTCAATGACCTGGCCTTCTCGAAGGAGGGTGTGCATAAGGTTCTCTTGCTCGCGGAGCGAATATGTGTAGATACCCAAAGCGGCTGTCATGAGTTTCAGCCCTTGGGTTGTAAGCGTTGTTCTCACAGGATACATGCCACCTTGTAAGCGATGTTCCATGATATTTGCACAATTAATACCTCAGGTACCTTATGCGGCGGCAAGTGAGTACACACGCTGCTGTACGCCAAGACTGACGAAAGCTCTCCGCTGAAGTTCCTGACCATAAAATCCCAAAAACGCCAGGCTAGAATGCATACAATGTGTTGATTGTCATACTCGCCATCATACACTTTATAGGAACACCCCGTCCTCCTCTTCCTTCAAACTCCTTCGACACCTTAGGGCAGGCAGCGCTCAGCGCTTACCGCCTTTGCCCTTCTTCTCCACCTTGTCCCGAAGCGGATTATACGGCGCCGCGATACCCACCAACCGCCGGGGCTGTTCACCAACCTGAGCACCTCCTCCCCTCCCGCCTCCGCCTCCGGCCGCGCCGGTCGCTGAGGGATCGTAGGTCCCGCCGGGTCCCAATATCATGGGTGTTCCGGGTATAGGCGCCGCGAGCTGTTCGGAGTGGAGCTTGTCGAGCGACTCGCCGACGACGCCGTACTGGGCCCAGTTGATGGGCGGGCAGCGGACGATGCTTTGGGGTTTGGGAAGGGTTTGCCAGGGCGGTGCGGGTGGGCTGCTGGTGTGTTTGCCTTTCTGTCTATGTTTTGGTTTTGGTTTTGGTTTTTGCTTGGGCGCGCGGTGCTCTGGTGACTGTTCGGCGCGGGTAGTGCTGTTGTCCGTCGGGGCTTCTGTTTCGGGTTCCTCGGCTTCGGCTTCTCCATCGTCGTCGTCGTCGGAGGTGGTGGTGCTGGAGGAGTCGGATGCGAAATGGTCGCCAGTGACACCGCCTGCCCGTGTTCTCGGTGAGAAGAGGGGGTCCCCTTCAACCCGCACGTTTCCAGCTGCTAGGTCGGCGGCGAATGCCTCTGGGTTGGCGAGCGCGGCCTCCTTCGCGCGCCTCAGCGACTGAAGATCGGCTGTGGCCCGCGCGCGTTGCAGTTGGAGGATTGATATTGCGCTTTTCAAGGCAAGTACGTCCGGGTTCGAGTCAAAGTCGATGGGCTGGGCTGGTGGGGGGGCGATGCCGACCTGATCGGTTTGACTCGTGTGTGTGAATACCGGGCGGCCGAGCGCAAAGTCGTCCGGCGCATTGTGTGTGGTATTGCCTGCCGGACTGGCGCCCGGTAACTGCGCTGCTGCGAGCATCGGTGTGATGGGGCTGACAGGCGGTCGAGGTGGCGACGACGCGCGGGATGTGGGTGAAGCATGTCGCGGGTTGGCGGTCGTGCCCCGAGCTGCTGCAGATGGCGCGCCGGGACCGGTGTCGATGGTTAGGCCCGGCATGCTAATGGCCGTTACGTGCTTCTGATTCCCAAAGAGGCTGCTGGCAATATCATGCCGGCGCGCTCTGGAATCTGCCCTCTAAATGGCAAATACAGTGGATGCGCAGTTCTGAGGTCGGGGTAAGGTAAGGGAGGTGAGCGAGGCAGTCATGGATGAGCTCAAGCAAGATCCCCTCGGTGCCCCGCAGTGGAATCGCGGCTGCTCCCCACTTCTCGGACTGGAACCCTTGGACCGATTGGGATATCGCCAACACTGTTTCGGCTGACTAAGCCAAGGTTTTTCTGGGTAAAGGTAAGGTTTGTACGGATTACGGATCCGTACGTTAGAAATGGATCCCGAAATTCGAACATTTCGGAAGAAGCATCTTTGACTTAACAATCACGAAGAACTTTAAGGGAGCTGTTGGCCCCATATACCGCAGCTCATTGATTGTCTCTTTGAAGAGATATATGTACTCTTGAAAATACATGCTACACCTGGACGGAGCCCACGACTCGGACATGAACGGCTGGTCGTGTTTCTGGAACCCACATTCCCCTACATGATCCCAATGCAGCGCGGCGCCATGTGCACCAGCATCCAAGAACGCCGCCTTGTCGGCTACGTGAAGGCAGAGAAGCAGAGCTGTCATCCCGGAGCACTTCTCGATGCATGGAGAGGTCGGCTGAAGTTTCCATCAGGGTTCCAGCGCTGCTGAGAAAGGCCATGTGCCCGATTTTAGCGGGCGATCTGCCGTTGTGGCTCCGGCGCCTCAGCGAATAAGATGGCCCCATCGCCGCTTGAACGAAGTGAACCATGACGTCGTTGATGATGGTGGTTGTCAGTCGAGTTTTTGGTTGAGGCGAAAGAATCTTCACACTGCTTAAATATTGAATGAGGAGTCCGGGATAATACCCATTACTGCTGAGTTCCTTAGGAAGAGGACACGATGGCTGAGCGGTCTCCGGAATAAAACAAAAACTCCCATCCCAAGCAATACATTCGCGACTCACACTCGTCAACCTACCGTATCCTCCTGTGAACCGAGTCAAATTAGACATTACAGGCACCTTTACCTACGTCATCCCGTCCTCATCCAAACTTCAGCGCCATGAAGAGGTTCTGGGCCCAGCGCGACACCGACTCGGACCGGATCGGGCAAAGCCCACCGCCTCCGGGCCGGACCTCCGAAGATCATGCCCCGGCGAACGAGCACACCCGGCTCCTGCCGAACCGTGTCGACAGTACGCCCTATCTCTCGCCCGACGACCCGGCTGTGTCCCCTTATAACCTGTGGACCGTCCGCGCCGTCCGCTGGGTCACCGTTGCGTTTACCTGCCTCACCTTTGTCTGGTGGGTGCTGATGATTGTCTCAAACTTCATCACGCCCCCCGGGTTGCACGTGCGAGGTTCGCCTTTTTTCGCGTTTGCCTATGCCTCGATCGCGCTTCTCACGCTCATCGTCTCGCTGCTCTTCTTCTCGGTGCCGAGCAGGCTGGCGAGGATACTGAGTATTGTCAACGCGGTGGTGCTACTGGTCGACGCCGTCGTCATTCTGGTGGTTCCTGGACTGCGGCACGCCGAGATCTGGGCAGGAGTTGCGAGCGCGATCTGGGCGGCGCTTATGGCCATCTGGTTCGTGACGGCGGATCGCACGGTCCAGTGGGGAAAGGCAGAAGAGGAGCGGCGGTTGACTGGTCGGCCGGAGAGCAGGCGTACGGTGGTGGAGTGGGTCGAGATTATGCTGTCAACTATCGTGCTGACCGTAATGGCGTTGGTCATTGTGCTCATGACGTTGACCCTGACACTGCGGGCGATCGACTCGGGCCTCGCGCCTCCAGGCGATAGGTACTGGGTGGATGGCGACAGGTACCAGATCCACCTGTACTGCTTTGGCAACAAGACCGATGCGGCTGGGACCAAGGTGACAACAGTGCTTTTGGAAGGCGGCGAAGACACGGTGGAGAACGGCTTATGGCAGTTTGCCGACAACGCCGTCAGGAACGGGTCGGTTAGAAGGTTCTGCTTCGCCGACCGTCCGGGTATGGCATGGGTAAGTTGATGCTCGGCTCTGTCCCCCGAAGAATTACGATATGCTGACAGCCGGCAAACAGAGCGACAGTGCTCCATCGCCCTTCTCGGCGAGTATGGCCTCCGATGCGCTGAGCGAAACCCTCTCGCGAGCGGGAGAAGAAGGACCGTAAGTCACAGCTCCAGAGACTAGTCTCCAGGCCGCAACTCAATGCTGACAAGTTGTCGATCATAGATGGGTGCTCGCCAGTGCTGGTATCGGTTCCCTGTACTCGCGAGTCTTCAGTTCGCGACACGGGGATGAGGTACGCGGCATCCTCATGATCGATCCTCTCCACGAGGACTTTCTCTTGCGCACAGGCGCGCCAGGACGCGGGTTCATACTTTGGTTTCGAGGTGTCATCTCGCCCTGCGGATTCGATCGCATTCTTGGCGCCCTTGTCAGTGGCAGGCGGGCCGTGGATCGTGTCTGGGGTCGTTCCTCGTATCAGTCCGGCACGACTATTTTCGCCAAGCTCCAGGAGAGTTTAGTGGCCGACTCTCTCACAAAGCGAGACGTTGTGTCCAGTCGTGCTATCCAGGATAAAGATACGCCGCTGGTGGTGATCAGCTCAGGGCAGCAGATTCGCAGGGATAGAGATTGGGAAGACAAGGTCGGTGGTTCCGCATCTCCCACCAAACACTGACACTGGCCGTGACTTACACGAATTTAAATAGCAACGGGACCTTAGCCACCTCACCACGAACCTACAACGTTGGGATATTGTCGACGATGCGCCCCATCGTGTTTGGGATACCGTGGGCGGCAGAGAGATCATTGAGAAAAGATTGAAGGAGCTGGTTAGGTAGGCCGCTGGTACTAGGAGTTTGAATGTGGTGGCAAGCTGCCACGAACGGTATAGGCTGGTGGGAAGAATGGAGAGCGAAGGGTTAAGTCGTCTATCCATCGTCGTTGCTAGGATGGTTGACCGTGGTGCAACGTTTCTGAAATTCTTTGCTGGTTTGGAAGGTTCAATAAGGAAAGATGAGTATATCCGAGCGAAATGGACAGGCGGAAGCGCTGATGATGGAGATTTCTGTCGGTTCAATTTGCCGTGAATGGAGGGTTGCCAGTCGAGTTTTCATCTCGCAAACCGCATCAGATGGAAAGAAGGGAACCCTAAGTGATGCGAGGACCGAGGACCGCGCAAACGCACGAGCAACTCCGTACAAGCCCCGGGTATGAAGTAATGTGAGTAATTGCCCTAAAAAAAATGCCAGGGCTGTGATCCGCTGACCAAACTCCTACAAAGGGCAGCTGCATCGGGTCAGTGTTTGCTATTCCATCATTTCGCCCAATGCAGCGACCACTGCGCCTAGGGAATAGAAGTCGGGAATTCGGCGCAACCTGGAAGTCTTGAACTTCGATACCTTAGCTTACCTTACTTACCAGGGACCGCATGGTAAGGTACCTAGGTACCTAACTGCCCAGCCACTACGCGAATGATCCTATCGTAGGTGTAGAGAGTTATCTGAGAGACAATTTGCATGGAATACCTGGTATGCATTCTCAATCACTCCTACTAGCAACTATTTCGCTATTAGGACTGGCGTTCTCTAGGAACGTTACGCAATCTGGAATTGTGTCGTTTGCCGGCACTTATCCTTTACCTTACCGTCTACCTGGTACCTTTAGGGTGAGTTCGGGCCCCGCCGCCCGCTGAGCCATCCACGGCAAGAAACCTGGAAGCCTGGAAATTAGCACTCCGCCGTGGCGGGGGCTTGTCGATCACTGTTGTCTGACCCGGCATGCGAGTGGATCGCACAACCCGACCTCCTGAACAACCATCAGACTTCTGGTCATCTTTGACCGACCCGATCGCGGTGCAAGGAGCCGTGTCCAAGCACCACCACCCGAAGCAAACGTGCCTCGACTATCCGGCTCGGATTGATTACCCACTCCGGGCGGCCAAAGACAAGCCGGAGCATAGCTGCACAGCGCCAGAGAAAGACACTAAACCACACCGACCGCTTTCAGGTTGCTTTGCTTCCTATCGAGCCATCGTTCCCGCCTCAGCCATAACAACATCCACAGCGCCCAGCCTCCCACCAACTAGCGCACTCCTCGCACAACACTCAATTGTCGCTGCGATAATTGTTCTGGCTCTCTCACGATCCAGGCTGTCTTGCTACTGCCTCAGTTCAGATTTAGTTCCTGAGCTGGTTGATGCTGGCTGAGAGAGCTATCCCCGCTTCTGCTCCCACCCTCACCCTCAACCGGCGAACAGTGCACCATCTCTCACCGTCCCGACCACGGCCGGCATCCCATAAAAAGGGCTTCCATGGTGGGCTTGTTTGAATAGAAGCGGGTGGATTGAGATTCAATCTGCCATGGCAGGATACGATTACGGCGGCCCAGGGGGCGGCGATTGGGGCCATGGCCACGGCCACCCTTCTGCTGGCGAAACACCGTACCGAACTGATCAAGAAGCCAACCTCTCCCCGGGTCTCAATCGACACAACGGGGCTCAGGGCAATCAGAGCGGAAGACCCCCGGCGTCTCCCGCATTAAGCGCAGAAAACACAGACAACGAGTCGAGGCGCAGCGCTGAGCGGAACAGATCCAGGCCGCGGGGCTCAAGATCCGCCAGCGGCCAAGTGCGCACCTGCAAGAAATGCGGGGAGGCGTTAACAGGACAGTTCGTGCGCGCTCTGGATGGGACATTTCACTTGGACTGCTTCAAGTGCCGTGTGAGTTGGGTTTGCGGCCCTGTCGTTGGTTTCCCTTATTGACCTCGTTGTAGGACTGTGGCCAGATTGTAGCTTCCAAGTTCTTTCCGGCGGACGATGAGGATGGCGGAGGCCCGTACCCTCTCTGCGAGACAGACTACTTCCGCCGGCTCGGCTTGCTGTGCCATCAGTGCGGCGGAGCACTGCGGGGATCGTACATCACGGCGCTCGATCGCAAGTATCACGTCGACCATTTCACCTGTTCCCTGTGCCCGACAGTGTTCGGCGCCCAAGACAGCTACTACGAGCACGATGGCCAGGTTTACTGCCACTACCACTACTCTACCCAGTTCGCCCAGCGCTGCAATGGATGCCAGACCGCCATTCTTAAGCAGTTCGTCGAGATCTTTCGCAACGGCCAAAATCAGCACTGGCACCCAGAATGTTACATGATCCACAAGTTCTGGAACGTCCGCCTCAACCCACCCCACGAGGCCGCTACCGCATACACGGACGACCCCGCCGGTCGTGAGCTTGTGCGCGAGGAGGAGGAGCGCATGGAAGAGAAGGTCTACCGCATTTGGAGCGTGCTGTCAACTTTTGAGGAGTCCTCGGCTGCTTGTATATCCGACATGCTCTTGCATGTTAGCAACGGCGCGTATGTTGACGGCGTAATGGTCGCCAAGAGGTTCATTTTTCACGTCGACATCCTCTTCCGGTCTGCAGACAAGCTGGACGAAGCCATGGCCCAGCTCGAGATGAATGGTAGGAACGGCCCGTATATCCCAAGTTGAAACAATGGCTAACATGAGCGGCACAGCTTTGGCGTATGGACGCGAAGCTAAGCTTCTCTGCAAGAAGATCGTGGCCTTCTTTTCGCTACTTTCCAAAACGCAGGACAAAGCCACCCGCAAACCAGGCGTCACCCAGGACCTGCTGACCCTGGTCACCGGCCTCGCTCACTACCTCAAGCTTCTAATCCGAATCTGCCTCCAAGGAGCGCTCCGGATAGAGAAGGAGCGCAAGACCGCCGATGGCCTTTTCCACTTCCTGGACGATCTCGGCGACCTTGAGACACTGAAGGCGGACGACAACTCCACCACTACCCTGCAGTTGACGTCGGGAATTTCTAGACTGTCGGCTCACGATTCGGACCAGTGCACCCTTTGCCGAAAACCTATCGAGGATGAGTGCGCAAAGCATGAGGATCAGAGATGGCACCTGGCGTGCGCCAATTGCTCACGCTGTGGCAAGGAACTGGGACGGAACCTTCAAGATGCGCGCTTGAATCACTACGACGGCAAAATACTTTGCAATACCTGTCAGCCTATTACGCCTCCCAACGTGGCGCCATTCGAGCATGTCACCAAGCTGCAACAGTATGTGTTCCTGCTACAGGTAGCACTCGCCAGGCTTCTGGAGATCCTTCGTGTCACTGGGTCCCTTCCTACTTCGGAGGACTCGACTGGAGATGGTTCTGGCCCTGTCGAGGGCCGATCTGGGGCATATGGGGGTCAGTATCCGGCGCATCATCGGGAGTCGTCCTATGAGAGCGCTCTCAACGATGTCCGGAGGTTAAAAAGCACCCGATTGGATAAGCACCTATCGTCGAGCTTTAGGAAGGCCCGGACATCGCGAATCCTAGATGGGCCCGAAAGCAGTAGCGCACGGCCTGGATCTGCCGGCGGTGGCCCCGGAGAAGGGGGAGCAAACAAGGGGTTTCACATCGTTGAGGAACGAGGACCGATCGACGAACAGGATATGATGCTGCCGAACCAGGATGCACTGACACTAGACGACATCCCTCGTATCGTCGCTGCTGAGCAGGCGGCGAGGGAGCAGCGGCCCTACCCGTCTGCCCGACCGGACCTCTTCCAGTCCCCAGCAGCCGAGTCCAAACCGGGAGCCGGGCCCCCAAGTGGTGGCGACCACCAGCGCAGCCTGTCAGATGGTCAGCGGGCAGGAACACGCGCCCTTGGCGACCCGTCCGCTCCACGCTCCCGGCGCTATTTCTCCGAACTTTCGGGTCTGGAATATTTCATTGTTAGACATCTCGCTGTCCTTACGATGCACCCCATGGTCGAGTCCGAATTCACACTTGAAGAGCTGCTTGGCCTGATCGAGAGCAGGAAAGCTGCCACGTTCTGGAAGAACATCGGCAAGGCATTCAAAAACGATGGCCGCAAGAATGTCAAGAAGAAGGGAGTCTTTGGTGTTCCCTTGGAGGTTATAATCGAGAGAGACGGAGCAGAGTCCACGGATGGTGTTGGACCGGGCACCCTGCGGATTCCGGCCGTCGTGGACGATATCATTTCGGCCATGAGACAGATGGACCTCTCAGTCGAAGGCGTCTTCCGAAAAAATGGCAACATCAAGAAGCTTGGCGAACTTGTGGAAAAGCTTGATAGGGAGGAGGAAGTGGATTTCAGCGCAACCCACGTCGTCCAGGTGGCCGCCCTTTTGAAGCGCTATCTCCGAGAACTTCCAGATCCTTTGATGACGCACAAGCTCTATCGGCTGTGGCTGGCGGCGGCGAAGATTCAGGATGAGCAGAAAATGCGGTATTGTCTCCACCTGACCTGCTGCTTGCTTCCCAAACCGAACCGCGACTGCCTGGAGATTCTCTTTGGCTTCCTGAAATGGGTTGGATCGTTTCACCAGGTCGATGACGAATCCGGGTCGAAGATGGACATCAAGAACCTGGCTACCGTTATCGCTCCCAACGTGCTGTTTGACAAGGACAAGGCCTCTACCCTTGGCAGCGATCCAATGTATGCGATTGAAGCCGTGGAGGCATTGATTACTAACATCGAGGAGATGTGCTTGGTAAGGTCTCCGCCGTCCTGTCCTGTCCCAGGTCTGTTACTAACAGCCTCACCAGGTCCCTGATGATCTCGTCGACATACTGAACGATCAGGCACTCTTTAACAGTAACGGAGATCTCACCACGAAGGAAATTCTCAAGAAGTTCTCTGATCGCGCTGCCAATCGCCTCGGGCCACGGCAATACGCCGAAGTCACCGAGATCGTTGGTCGGCACGAGATTCCAAGCCGGCCCCCACCGAGGCGGGTAGAAACCGACCCCTCGCAGTGGCAACAGGAGAGCAGCGTCCGAACAGTCCAGGAGCCGACAATACCCTTCACCGGTCCCCCTCACATGGGCACGCCGCCTCCAAAGCGTGGACCATACGACGCACCTCCGCCTCAACAATCTCCGTACAGTCAGCTCGACCAGCCGGGGCCAACACCCGACGGCAACGGCCGGGGTGGCCAACCGCAGAGGGAATGGCGGAACTCGGGTTGGGGGAGACAGAATAGCGGCTTGACAACCGGCACCGTCTAGGAGACAAGCAACGGTTCTGCATCCTCATGACTCCTTTGGGCTTTACCTCAGTCTCATATGGGCTTTCCTCTTTCTACATCTTGGCGCACGTGCTTACGGAGTTAAGACGGGGTGTTACTTTTGCATTGCCACTGATTGCAAGCAAGCAAAGCAAGCATGGTTGCTCGGCGTTAACTTTGAGGCTCACACAGCTCGCCCCCACCCCCCCCCCCCCCCCTTTTTCCCCCCAACCAACCCCCACACCTTCCTTCAGCCACCAAAAAAATCTTCCTCCTATCTCACAATGTCTGAGTTTGTCCATTGGGAGCGAGCGTGTTTTACTTGAACGGTTGCCTCATGTCTGTTGTTCGGTTTTCTTTTGCTTCCGTTTTCGGGTGAAGAGGGGAATTTGTGTAACCCCTGTGTGGGTAGCAGTGGAGAAAAGAAGGGTCCAGGTAGGAGGAGGACGGATACAAGGGAAAGAGGAAAGTTACTTTAGTTCGGAAGGATGGAATCTGGGAATCCATGATCCACGCACAATCCAGGGATACTGGTAGGAACCTGCCTCGGCATGAGATGAGGAGAGAAGGGGCATATATCTCAGGTACTAGCATTCATTTTCATGCTAAAGGTAGCAAGGTTGGAATTGACGCCTTGGTTGGATTTGTTGTAGGTATGACGGGTTGCCCTCATCATGTCTTCGGGCCGCGGTGACACTTCTTGTTTGACAACTCACCAGGTCCCCGGTACTCAGATGTGAATGAGCCAAGAGCAAGGTAGACACGAAAAAAGCGGCCCTGTATTGACGTTTCGCTGTCCTCTCCTGCCAGTGATTGACTCCTTGATTGCCATTAAATATATTAGACGTGGGAGGGTTAAGCAAGTCACTTCTTGCCTGCGCCTCATAGGTATCAAACGTGTTAGACTCCTTCTCACAACATGACGCTCAGACGTTTGGACTGGGTTCCAGATGTAAAGGGCACTCGTTTTGAACCACATTACTTCACTCGGCCTTTTTTTCCTGCTCAAGAGTCCACTTCACCGACCTCCTGACGCCCTCGTCCAAGCTCACGAGCGGCCGATACCCTAGCCTCTTCTTGGCCTTGGAAATGTTGTAGTACCGCGTCATGCAGCTGTAGATGATGCGTTGCCGGTTGAACGTGGGCGGCTTGTTGATAATCCAGAAAAACCACTCGCTGAAATAGCCTAGCACCATGCCGACGCTACGAGGGAGGACTTTGACATGCTCCGTCCCGCGCGGCGAGCCGGCCGCGGCCCAGACGGCGCGGGCAAAGTCCCAGAAGTATACGGGGCTGTCGTTGGTGATGATGAAGGCCTCGCCGTCGACGCGCTCGTGGTCGAGGGGGATCGTCTTGGCCGCGGCCGTGAGGAGCAGCGCGCGCGCCGCGAGGAGGTGCCCGTGCGCCACGTTCTCGACGTAGGTGAAGTCGAAGAGGTTGTCGTTGTCCCCGACCTGCACGTTATCCCGCCCTTGCCGGAGAATGTTGATCAGGTGGTACAGAACCATGGTGTCGCCCTCGCCCATGATGCCTGAGGGGCGGATGGCGCATGTCAGGAGATGGGGCGCGGCGGAGGCGCGGTTGGCGGCAAGGACGAGTTCTTCGGCGGCAGCCTGAGATACCATAACGTGTTAGTAAGACGGCTGGGAATTCTGGGACCGAGGATTCCCGTTATACCTTCGTCTCGGAGTAGTACTCGCTCTGGTCCTTTCCCCGAACCAGCGGCCACCGCTCGTCGGCGTTGATGAGGTCGCTCCGGTTGTCGCTCATGACACTGGCCGAGCTCGTGTACACCAGCGCCTTGACGCCCGTCTTTTGGCATGCCTTCACCACGGCCTCGGTCCCGTCCACGTTGACCTTCTTGAACAGGGCGTGCGAGACGCTGTCGCTTCCCTGCGCGGCAGGCGATGCAGTGTGGATGACAACGTCCGGCTTGACCTTTGAGAATATGCTCTCGAGCTTCGCAGCATCAGTGATGTCGGCTTCAAAGTAGGCGACGCCGTCCGAGTCGGGCCTCCGGTTACGCGTGCAGCGCAGGTCGATTACGGACACGGAGCAGGTGTAATCTCGCAACAGCAGGCGGACAACGTGGTGGCCCAAGAATCCACAGCCGCCAATGACCATGACGGAGCCGAGCTCCGGCTTCTTTTCTGAACCCATTGCTGTTGTTGGGTTATCGCGCTCAGTGCTGGTGTGGAAAAAGCCGGCTGGACTGTAACCAGGACCAATTGATGGCGACGAAGGTCAGACAGGTCTCGGGTGTTGGAGATGGATGGTTCCCATCCTGGGCCCTGGCGACTCCTTTCCGGAGCTGCCAAGCTTCTGGTGGATTTTCTCCACAGATGAAGGCGGTCCGGTGTCGCAGAAAGGCACCGGAATCCCATTGGATCGCCTCTGGGTCTTGGCAAAAGCGGGGCCTGAGGGTGAGCTCCGTTCGGGTTAGGACTTTGCTCGGCACCAGGCTTCAACTCGCGGGATCACAGATCCCCATGCCTCCACTGCCATCTCGAGTTGTCGTGCGGACTCGGTTCAAGGGAAGAGCAGATTAGGCAGCCTTGTGAATTTTGCTGCTGCATCCATGTCCTCAACTTCCTTTCCTCTTTTTCTTGTATATACCTCCCATACCCTTCCGTTGACTCCTTCTTTCTTGCATCCACCGTCTTTTCGAGTCCGCAACAAGCAGCTCCATTCTTCATTGCTTGCGCCTTGTCCGTGTTCTTGATACTGATATACCACAATTAGCTACTTTGCTCTCCCCCTTTTCCTCATAGGTAGCCGGCCATCATCAGCATTCTGAGTTCATGAACCCGCAAGAGACCGAGATCCTCGTCCACATCGCAGCACCGGCCAGGGCTGCCGACGATGCCAAGTACCGAGCCCTGGCCGCGGCCTACCTCAGCTTTAACCCAGCAACTCATACAACAGTAGTTCTCGCTACACCGAAAGACAACCAGGAGCTCTGCCATACAGGCGAAAATGTCCAGACCCAGCTGTTTCAGACACAGGACCCTCCTCGATCGACTCCTGGAGTAATCCAGTCCCCGATGCTGTCGTTCCAGAGCGCGGCGAATAACTTCGGGTCCCCTCGGTTACAGCAACCTGGTGAGGGGAACATACTGGAGTCTCAGTCGTTATGGCGGCCTCCTCCAAGTGTTATCCAGGATTCAATGCCGGAAAATGAGTTCGTACTCCCTCAATACTGCACGCCAACGAGGATCCTGGAGCACTACACTTCCGGCATCGCCATTACCCCGTTGAACATGTCGCCGCTTTCGCAGAGACGACAAACCAAACCGCTTCCGCCATCGAGCTCACCCAAAACAGGCCGGGGAGAAATGCTCACATTCGACATTGGCAGCCGCAGCCCCCCGCCCCATGAGGACCAAGGCACAGTGATCCCTCTGTCACCTAGGGAAGCTGTGGAACGCCACCGGCAAATAACTCTCACAGCGTCGGCCATTGTGGAGGAGACTCGCATCGGCTCGTCCTACCCTAGCCGACAGGGTGCGCCCGCCTCTTCATCGCGCGCCGAGTCGGAACCTCCGCTCTCTAAACGGCCACGCACATCTCAGAATCCGGCTCCCGGCAAGCCGATCATCAGGAGCGCGAGCGACGTGGGTCCCCAACGAAGAACAATCATGGACACCGCATCGCATGACCTCCCAAACACGTTCGAGATTATTTCGCCCCCTCCGCTCACGGACCAAAGAGAGCTCCAACCCGAGGATATGATCACCGACGTGCTGGCCAGGCTGGCGCGCGAACTCAATCTCGAGAAGCGGTTCCGGCCTGAGTCGCAGACGCGGGACCTGCGCCCTTTCGAGAGGGGCTACTGGCTGGTCGACTGCACCTCGTGGGAGCCCGAGTTGAAGCGATCCGCCTGGGGGTTCCTGACCGACTACTTGGGCAAGGGCGCCGCGGGGTGGGGCACGCTGTGCAGGCGGGATGCGGACTTCTCGTACCTCCGGTTGTACTGCTGGGGCTGCGTCGTTGGGCACATGTACCTTGTGCTGTACCTCGCCTGCAAGCGCAGGGTGATGAATACGGGGACGAGGTGGATTGGGGCGGATGGCGTGGCGGTTGTTGTCATGGGGCCCAGGCCGGGGCCTGTATGAGTTAAACCGAAGAGGAGATGAGGGTTTCTGCTTGGTTTTTTCTTTGGATATGTCTTGTTCAGTGGCTTGGACTGGATGGAGCATTGGCTGGCGAGGGTTTTGCATTTCATATTATTGATACCCACTTGGAGCATTGCGCGGAGTTCGGGCTTGTGGGATACCTGGTTTAATGGGCTACGATCAGGTACGAATTCCGATCCTGGTTAACCAAACATACGATCCCTGGCAGCTCTGTCCTGATGCGGTCAATATGCTGGGTACTTCGTCTCCTAAGATGGTGAAAAACATATCGAACGTCTCGACGTGAACCCTAGCAAGCCATCTACGAAACACAGACACCATGGATATCCCAGTATAACCCAAACACACCCTAGGTATATGTATATGTACACAACCCAAGTCGGCCCCATATGTCCCGCCAAACGCTCAGGAAACGCACAACTCCTCCCACGGACGGCGCTCATGGTTATCGTACAGGTACAGGCGGCCTAGCGGCTAATGCCTTGCCAACATAGCGCTGCAAGACTATGCACTCTTGGCCCTTGTTATTTGCGGTATGGCTCCATCTCCTTGGCGAATCTGTCGCTGTCCGTCTTCGCAATCTCCTCAAAGGCCTGAAGCGATCGGGTAGATTAGTGACCGTTGACCTCTTGAAAATGGGCTGAGGCAACCCCTCGGTTATTGATTCCAGGACATACCTTTCGCTCCTCCGCACCGAGCTGCTTCCACTCGCTGGCGATCCTCAAGAGCGTGGATTTGGCGGAGGTGGGGTCGTTGATTCCGGACACGTGGAAGCGCGATTTGACAAACGCTGCATAAGAGTTCAGCGGCCTGGACGGGTAGCGAGGGTCGTCAAAGGTGGGCCTAGTTTGGATCTTGTGTTTTCGCCGGAGTTGCTTGCGGGCCAGGTTCGCCTCGTGGATCTGCTGCGGCGTGTAGTTGTCGAGCCAATTCCTGAGCGCGGTCTTGTTGGCGATCTTGTTCTGCGCACAGACGGCACGGAGTTCCTACATGGTTGGCGTCAGTCTACAGCGCTCGGGATAGCGGTTGTCGGGTGTACGAGTTTGCCCGTCCTACAGCTTACCTCCATCTCTGCGGTCGACAGGGCCTTGTAGTCGCTGGCCAGACCGGCCATGACATCGGGCAGATTAAGGTCGGGCCCCAACTCCAAATACGCTTTCTTGACCCGCTGCGAAGAGTACACTAGCCAAGGGTTTTCAGGCAGCCTGGCGGGTTCCTCCTTCAACAGCCCCGTCTTCTTCAATGCACGGATCTCGCGTTTGACCTTTTCTTCCTCCGTCAGCGGCTTCTTCGCCTTGACCGGTTTCGCCTTCTTCGCAGCCGGCGCCTTCTTAGCCTTCCTTGCGGGCTTCTTCGTAGCAGTCTTCTTCTTCGTCGCGGGTTTCTTCGCAGCGGCCTTCTTGGCTACCTTCGAGGTCGCGGCCTTGCTCGTCTTCTTTGGGCGACCAGCCTCGGCGAAACCCCTCGAGAAAACAGCAGCGACACGGACGCCGCTCGGAATGATGGGCGCGACCCGGGCCGGAAGCTTCGCAGCAAGACGGCTTGTGCTGCGGACCCAGAGCCTGCCGCCAATGCGGACCTGCTGCGCGGTCGCGCGGCCAATTGCTGACCACATGATAACCCTTGACCCTTTTCGGCGCTGCAATCCGGAATTTGGCGCGGTTGCAATGTTGCTCGATTGATCTGCTTTCTGCTTTCAACGGTATTTGTTCCGATGGGCGCGCACGGTGGGGGGCGCAGGTGTGGTCGTGTGTGGGAGAGAGACCGCAATATTATGCGGGTTGCTCGTGTAGTTGCAGCGAGAGCTCATGCCCACTGCTGCAGCTCAACTGGGCTCAATCACGCAGGAGCTCTCCAACCTCCCCTGTTGACTGGAGCTTTTGGTCAGGGTTATGGCCGGACAACCGATAGAGGTGCACGGACCCCTTAACCTTGCTGCATTCCAATTCGGTTCTGCGTCGCGTTGCAACCTGGAAGTCTGCTTTCAGCTTCTCCGCGCAAGGGGCCATTGTTCTCAAGCATTCCAGGTTGCGAGGAAAAAGGCACCTGGCACCTCAGCATGAATTCACCTGCAGCTTGAGAGTGGTGCTTATGCCGAAATCTCTCTCCTGTGGTTAAATCTTGAACCTGGAAAGGAGCTTCAGGCAGTCACGTACGGAGTATGCTTCCAAGTACCGCTTCATCTTGGCTGTTGGTACAGCCAAAATAATGCGTGTAAAAATCATCCTCTCGACCAACTACCCCTTTTAGCAGATTGCCCAATCATGTATATCGAATGGCAGAACTTGGCACAGAGTTGCCCGTTTGAACTTCTAAATCCGTGGCAGAACGAAAGCCGGGTTTAAATGGTATGGGAGGATTACCGAGTACTGTCGCTCTTGTCTTCGCAAGACTCTGTCGATGTCACTGAAACCTACCTTTCAAGTCTGCCGGGTCCATTGTCGATAAAACTGCAACATCACCTCTCTGCATCCGCACCGTACCTTGAATACTCTGTGCCTCGGATCACCTTAATGGACAGCAGGCTCCGAGTGAAAAATAGAAAGCAATCCAGATAGAAATTACTAGGCAAGTGCAGGTCTCCTCATCCATCCAGCAACGGGTCGAAACGGCTTCTATGCCGATGAAAGCCCTCATTCACCATGATGTATGTGGGTTGTGGAGAGGCCAGTCGTTAGATATTACGTATTAAACATCAAGTCCGGCACGAGGCATCGGAGTCAAAGCCAAGGACAGTCCAAATTCCAAATCTTACTGTACTAGCAATACTGTGTAGCGCCTGGTTAGGCTTGCCGCGTTTTCTCCACATTCCTCAGTCAAACTTCTGCGATTTGCAGCCTGACCTGCTCCTCTCCACCAAGTACCAGTCAGCAACGTCGTCGCCTCTACGCATCTCGCAACAAGATGCAGAGTCTGCCTCTAGTGCACTAACCAGTGTCTACCGCTTCCAAGAGTACTTCTCACCACCAGTGACATCCTGCTGAGCCACCGTCACTCAAATCAGAAATGGCTCGGCCCAGAGACTCGCGCTCACCATCTCCTGCAGGAAGTCATGCTGCGCGAAGGCGGAAAGATGATGAGCGTCACGATCGTGACCGCGACCGCGACCGCGACCATCGCAGACGCTCTCGCAGCCCGGATGTAAGTGGTTCTTCCGCCCCCTCAACGCGGTTTCGGATGGCACCCTGACACCTCAACTTTGCAGCGCCGATACCGCGACCGCGAGCGTGATCATGGACGCGATGGCCGAGACCGCGACTCACAGCGCTGGGGAGACCGTTCTCTAGACCGCCGCGACGACGATTACTACCGAGGCTCCCGGCGCGATGGAGGGTCCAATCGAGACCGCCGCAGGTCACGCGACCGAGGTTTGGGCAGACCGCGGTCGCCCGACCGTCACGGACATCGCAGTGGAGACAGTAGCCGAGATTACCGTGGTAGGCGGGACGATTCCCGCGACCGAAGGAGCCGACGTGATGGCTCGGTGGATTCCGCTACCCGCCGTGGTGACGGCGCCCGCTCTCGTCCTCACCAAAAGGCGGATGGGACCGCAAGCAAAGATGTCGAGGTGCGTGCTCGCCCGATCCATCAAGATTATCGTGCCTCAGCTGACGCAGCTCAGGTCCCGCAGCCAGCTAAGTCAACATCAACCCAAGCGCAGACAGAGGCAGAGAAGAAGGCTGAGCGGCTGCGCAAACTCCAAGCCATGAAGGAGAAACACGCCCAGAAGGAAGCGAAGGAAGCCGGCATGACCGCCGGAAGTACCCGGATGCTCCTGGCCGAGATGGACCAAAAGGCCAGCGGTACAACAGGTCCAAACAGTCCTGTAGTGAGCGCTGCCAGTCCTGCCCCGGCATCGCCCACAACTCCAGTGCCCTATGCCGGCAAATTCGACCCGAAAGCCATAGCAAGAAATGCCAAAGCAGCACGGCCATCATCGCCCACTAGGCTTGGCGATGTGAAGGTGGCCGCACCTGGAGCAAATGCCCAAGGTGTCAAGAGCGAGACGACCTCCAAAGGTGCCGGTCTTCTGCCAGCCAACCGGGCGGTCAGTGCTTTCGGATTCAACAAGTCTGCTGACGCTCAGAAATCCTCCTCGAAGCGAAACCTCGACATGGACGACGAGGAAGTCATCAAGCGCAAGCTCATCAAGCTCCCCGATTTCGTTCCGGAGAACGTTGAGAGCACGCCCATTGCGGACGGCGCTGAAGATGACGGCGAAGAGGACTTGGATGTTCTCATGGCTCGGAACGAGGAAGACAGGGCGGAAGCCCATCGGCTGCTGCAAGAGAGACGCGACGAGCGGATTCAAAAGGAGGGCATGGCCATGGATGTGGACACGGAGCCGCCGAACGAGGAAACCAAGGCTGAACCGGCGCCGCCAGCTCCCACCATGGACGTGGATGAAGACGTTGATCCCCTGGATGCTTTCATGGCTGACCTCGAGCATACCGGTTCTGCAGGTGATGTCGGCTCAACGCCCGCTCGGCAGACGCAGGGCGCGAAGAAGAACTTTGAGCCAGAGGCGTACTTCAGTGAGGATGACTACGGCTTCGAAGCAGACAATGCCGATCCGTCTTCCATCCTTGCCATGGCTGCGAAGAAGAAGAAGAAGGACATTCCGACGGTGGATTACAGCAAGATCGAGCTGAACCCGATTCGGAAGAACTTTTGGGTTGAGCCCCAGGAGCTGAGTCAAATGACTGAGGAAGAAGCAGCCGAGCTGCGTCTGGAGTTGGACGGCATCAAGGTCTCTGGCAAGAACGTGCCTAAACCAGTCCAGAAATGGTCGCAGTGCGGCCTCACCCAGCCCATCATCGATGTCATTGAGGGACTCGGCTACGAAAAGCCAACTTCGATTCAGATGCAGGCCTTACCTGTCATCATGTCGGGTCGCGATGTCATTGGCGTCGCAAAAACCGGGTCTGGCAAGACTATGGCCTTCGTTCTTCCCATGCTCCGTCACATCAAAGACCAGGACCCCGTGAGCGGCGATGACGGACCCATCGCTCTGATCCTGACACCCACTAGAGAGCTGTGCACGCAGATCTACACGGACTTGCAGCCGTTTGCCAAAGCGCTGAAGCTTCGCACTGTCGCCGCGTATGGAGGGAATGCCATCAAAGATCAGATTGCCGAGCTGAAGCGAGGTGCCGAGATCATTGTCGCCACGCCTGGTCGGATGATTGATCTCCTGGCAGCCAACTCTGGCCGCGTCACAAATCTCAAGCGTGCCACCTACCTGGTCCTGGACGAGGCAGACCGCATGTTCGACATGGGCTTTGAACCGCAGGTAATGAAGATCTTCAACAACGTCCGGCCGGACCGCCAAACAATTCTGTTCTCCGCGACCATGCCCAGGATCATCGATGCGCTTACCAAGAAGGTTCTTCGAGACCCGGTTGAGATTACTGTCGGCGGTCGTAGCGTCGTGGCACCAGAGATTACCCAAGTCGTCGAGGTCATAGACGAGAACAAGAAGTTTGTCCGTCTCCTCGAGCTCCTGGGCGAGCTGTATGCTGATGACGACGATGTCCGCGCCCTGATCTTTGTCGAGCGGCAAGAAAAAGCAGACGACCTCCTCCGCGAGTTGTTACGTCGCGGCTATGGCTGCATGTCTATTCATGGTGGTAAGGACCAAGAAGACCGCAATTCGACCATCTCGGACTTCAAAAAGGGCGTCTGCCCCATCATGATTGCAACGTCGGTGGCAGCGCGCGGCCTGGATGTCAAACAGTTGAAGCTGGTCATCAACTACGATGCGCCCAACCATCTCGAGGATTACGTCCACCGGGCGGGTCGTACTGGCCGCGCTGGCAATACAGGTACGGCTGTCACTTTCATCACGGAAGAGCAGGAGAACTGTGCGCCGGGCATCGCCAAGGCGCTCGAGCAGAGCGGGCAGCCTGTTCCGGAGCGGCTTAACGAAATGCGCAAGTCGTGGAAGGAAAAGGTCAAGGCCGGGAAGGCCAAGGACGCCAGTGGGTTTGGTGGCAAGGGCTTGGAGAGGCTGGACAAGGAACGGGAGGCGGCGCGCATGCGCGAGCGCAAGACGCACAAGGCCGAGGGCGAAGACGAGGATTTCAAGGAGGAGGAGACGGCAGAGGACGCGGCCAAGAAGGACAAGGCCAAGTCGGCCATCGAGGCAGCTGCGTCGGCCATCGTCTCTCGGGATGCCGCCAAGGCGGCGGACGGCGAGATCAAGGCCGCTGCTCTCGCAGAGGGCGCGGTCAAGGGAGGCGTCGCAGTCAGCGCGGGCAAGGGCGGCGCTCTCGATAAGGCCGCCTCGGCAATCAGCGAGATCAACGCCCGGCTTGCGCGCGCAGGCCAACTTCGGCCCGGGCAGCCGGTCGACAACAAGGGCCCCGACGCGGGCGCGTTCCACGCGACGCTCGAGATCAACGACTTCCCGCAAAAGGCTCGCTGGGCGGTCACCAACCGCACCAACGTGGCCAAGATCCTCGAGGCCACGGGCACGTCGATCACGACCAAGGGCAGTTACTACCCGCCCGGCAAGGAGCCTGGGCCGGGGGCCGACCCCAAGCTATACATTCTTATTGAGGGTGACACGGAGGTGGTGGTCAGCAAGGCGTTGCAGGAACTTACCCGTCTGCTTAGGGAGGGGACGATTGCTGCTGCGGATGCCGAGAGCCGGGCGCCGGCGAGTGGAAGGTATACCATTACGTGATCTGTTATGGAGTAGTCGACTGTCGTTTTGTAGCCTGGGGATTCATGACTGAGATACAGGACATAAGATATTGAACTTGCTGGCTGCCGTCTTCAAGGGCGAGGTCCATGGGGTTTCCGGATTATGTCCACATGACGAACAGCTCATTGCTAGCTTCTGGGATAATAGATAACACGCTCAACTTCGTTGGTAAATCAAAGATGTCCTTTGCTTCTTTGAACAGCCATGTCATCCGGGAGATGCACGGAAAAAATGGTAATATCAAATCAACCTCAGCGCCCCAACCCCTGGCCTGCCGTATATCGAACGACCCCCTTCCATACGGTATTGTGTAACCGACCCTCTTAACCCCTTATGACAACGATAACTTCAACAGCAACAAATTGACAATCAACCCTCCCGCATCGTCAATTGTGCGGCAACGCACTGGTGCTCGCGTCCACTTCTCTCTGCCGCCTTTCGGCTTCGCTCGCTTTTTGCAGCACCTGGGCGTCTGTCATGCCGCGGCGCTCGTGCAGCTGCGCGGCGAGCTTGCCTCCTCCCTTTTTGCTCTGCGCCGCGCGAGCCTGGAGACGGTTAGCACATATGAACATCTACAGTCGCCGCGTATTCCGGATGGCTTAGTGACCAAGATACCGTACCTCGGCGGCGGCGGCTGCCTTCGCCCGGGCGTCGTCTGCCGCGGACTGGGATGTGGATGATGGTGATGGTGGCCTTCCGCCTAGCGTCCTGGGTGGACCGCCTACTCTCCGTGGTGGCTTTGCAGTGTTTCCTTTGGCGGCGGACGCTGGGACCGAGGCGGTGGTGGGCGCGGGAGGTGTTGTGCCGAGGGGCCGGCCTGGTTGGGAGAAGGGGTCGCGTTCGCTGCTGCAGAGGTTTCCCATTATCTGTGGTTTTGAGGACGGATCTGCTTGTTATGGGGGGTCCTTGTTTGGTCAATATCTGTGCCCCCCAAACGGGTTTAAATGTCCAGTGTTTTCGGACTTTTCTCTGAGGAGATTAATGTTCAGATGAAGGAGGAGGAGTACCTGAAGGTATGGAGGTAACTTGCCGTTGTTTGAGATGCCCCACCTTCTTGGCTCCTGTGTTGCTTGGTAACGCAGCTGCGTACGTAGTACGGATCCGTACTGTAGTAGCTTCAAGGTTCCATGAGCTGGTTGAGGCTTTTGCAGTTACACATTTTAAGTTTGGGCTCATATATCACTACTATCTCATACACATATACAAATCAATGGAAGCACGCCAGCTGCGGGAAGAATCGCCGGCAACCGCCCAGCTCGCATCCTCAGGGCAAGTTCACGGAAAATGCCAGCAAGCTTGCTATGGCCTGTATTTGAGTTACAGAGGCCATGTGCTCCACATATAACGGAGTACAAGTGACCCTGTTACAAGATTTGTCATAATTTGGGCTAAGATCTCTCTAAACGGACGTGTTGGAAAACCATGGACTTGCTTTCTGTGAATAGAAAGCCGGCAGCCTCCGTCGAGAGCCACATGGGTTGCCTGGAGAATGACTGGGATCAGCCAATCACGCAGGTTGCGCAGAGTGCCTCTCGGCTCCACTGTCTCGGTCACCCCCCACACTCAGGGTTCGGGCTGTTGACTCGCAGCCCCACCATGATCGAACTTGGCCGCACAATTGACTTGTTGGATTCAGAGACACGAGACATCTCGCGGTTTACCCAACCTCGATCGGAGCCAGGTCCCTGAACCAAAAGTAATCGCCATACCCAAAGTCCAGTGCCGAATGTGTGAGTGATTGACATGGAAAAAGGATGACAGAGGAACGGGAAGCAACGAGCCTCTCCACGCCGCGATCCTCTGTTTCCTCTCCACTAATGTGAGCGGCCGTCAAGGTTCTCGCTGACTGCAAAATAATATCGAAGGCAGGCTCCGCGCCCCCACAGCCGACCTCCCACCTCTCACCCTCGAGACCCGCGGAACCGCCGATTGTCAATAGCTCGCCGTTGCCGGTCTCTGCCGTTTCGCTGCCAACTTCAGATCGACATCGGCGACCGTGATCAGTCGACGGGGACACTACGGCCCTCACTTAATTGCGCGTACCCGGCTTGTCGTGATCAATCAAATCCCAGGCCAGCGCAGTGTATCAACACCTGTTGTCGCGCGTCACCATGAATGGCCACTACGAACCCGACGATCGCTTCTCGGGAAATGGGGAGAGCTTCCACCGACACTCGCAAAGCAGCGGCAGTCACTTTGGCCTGGACTTCTCCGGCATAATGCATCCACAGCTCGGACCAGCTCAGCAGGCGCCCAGCGAGCCGGTTCCCGTGTCTGGGCCAGGTGGCGCGCCTTACGAGTCGCACGACGACCTCTGTGTCGACCGCTGCATGGGAGTGGGCCTCTACAACGGCTTCCAGCAGTTCAACCATCGCGGCGGCCCGCCCTCCTTCCAGAACCGCTGGGCTCGCGACAACCCCGTTGCTCGCTATGACTTTTCGATGGGCCTCAACGAATTGTCGATGCAGTTCCGGACTCCAGAGGTGGCGTCCCCGACCTCAACTATGTATTCCCAGCACTGGTACGGCCAGCAGCTGGACCAGTGCGTTCCCTGCACCGACGAAGACTGCCAGTCAATGCCCGACAGCTGCTGCGACAGCGAGTGCACCATGACAGACAAGTGCACCAACGTCGCCTGCGCCGACACCCCAGATGCCTGCACTGATCAGACCTGCCCTGAGCGCCCCGCTGTCGCTGTGCCCACGTCCGAGGTAGTCAGCGGTGCTGCCGCTCTCATCTCCATAAACCACGCCCCTGACCCTTCCCCTCACGGCAGCTTTAGTTTCCAACACCAAGGTGAGGACTTTGCTTCCCTGACTTACTCAGTCAGATTTGCTCATCCTCAAGACCTAGGCATGGGTAGCTTGGACTTCGGTATGCCCAATGCCCTCCAGCAGAATTACATGCTGCTACCAGATCTCCTGCCAGGCCCGCTAGGCAACATTACCAACCACCTGCTCGTCGCCCATGGCGATGCAGGCTCGTCCAGTTGCACAAGACCATGTCCCCTAGACGACCTGCAGAACTTCACATACTGCCATATGCCGATTTACCACAATCCTGACGCCTTCGGCCAGTTCAGCTCGGTCGGCTCTGATTTCCACGTGAATCACGGCTTCGTCGAGTGCGGTGCCGAGATACACGACGCCGAGTCTTTCCTCGCCCACTTTAACTCGCGCCACCGGCCCTACTTCACCGCCGGTGTGCCTAACCTTCTAGCTGCCTCGTCCCAGGCCCAGCATAGCCAACATGTACTGGCTTCGACCGAAGTTATGTCCCCTCCCGCCACGCCTTTGGACACGTCCGATTCCGGGAGATCGTCAGGGACCCCTTCGCCTCTCACTCCGCTTTCCAACAGTTTGGATATGACCGACCTTAAACAGGATAGCTCACATCACCTCCGCAGTACATCAATCGCCTCGTCCGCAGATCACTCTTTCGACGTCGGCGCCGACGAGGAGCACAAGTGTCTCTGGCGGGATGAATGTAGTTCTAGCGTCTGTGGGCGTGTATTCGCCGACGCCGAGGAGCTGTTCAAGCACGCCTCGGAAACACACATCAAAAATGCCCAAAAGGGGGCACAGGGGTTTTGCTGCGGCTGGGACGACTGTCCGCGAAGCGAGCCCGGCGCTGCAGGGTTTCCACAGAGGAGCAAGATTGAGCGACACATGCAGACCCATATTGGCCGTATGTCCTGATGCGGAGCCATCCATGATCTGGTTCATCCCTCCGCTGACTCTGGTTTTGTAGACAAGCCTCATATTTGCGCAACATGTAACAAGGGCTTCTCGGCGAAACAGGCGCTCACTCAGCACATGTTCATCCACAGCAACGAGAAGCCCTTGGTCTGCAACATTTGCAACAAGGCGTTTAGATATCCTAGCGCTCTCAGTAAGTCTGGTTCACCTGCATTGCCACGGGCAGCCCAGGCCTGACACCGTCTCTACTAGCCATGCATCAACGTGTCCACTCTGGTCTAAAACCCCTGAAGTGCCCGGTCTGCGGAAAGGGATTCAGCGAGTCGTCCAACCTGTCCAAGCACAAGCGCACCCATGAAGTCAAGGGTCGCTTCACATGTACCGTCCCTGGGTGCGACCGCAACTTTCACCGCCAGGACCAGCTACGGCGACACATGAAGACCCACCAGAAGGAGGGCGACAGCAGGCCGGTGACGAGCTCGGCCTCTAGCGTCGACGGCATGTGTGATCCGATACCGCAGAGCTGAAACCGTTGGCTTCTTATCTGCATCATGACTGAGCTTCCTGGTCCATGTATGCCGAGAGGGGTATAGACGAGAATGCTTCAAAGCCAAGCACGGCTGCGTGGGTTGACAAACCTAAAACTCGCTGGAAGGTATCGTTACGACCCCAGCACCAGCGCGGTTACCACATAGAGCCGCGTCACCGTTGCCCCTGCAACTAGCGGAGAGGTTGGTCGTGTCGAAGGAGGTCGGCCAGTCGAAACCACGGCTAGGGGGTTCTTTGGAAGCCGGCGGAGCGCAGAGCCGTGGATTGTCCCAGACAGAAACGTGGATTTTACGCGGCTCGCCTGGGCGAGAAACGCATGACTTGTTTGGCAGCATAACAATGGCGCCAGGTTGGGGCTGAACAAAAGGGGCTGTGCAATGGGATCATGAACCGTCAAAGATACTTCTTACGTTGGGGATTTGGACGTCACGCCACATGTACTTACTACGGTGAGGTCGACGAGCGGATATACCCGAATTACTACACCCACCGAATGTGAGCTGATTGCTTGCGCCACCCTTGACTGTGGTATTCTCTGCGAATGTAGTTAAAGGCGGTCGTAGGGACGACTACGCTCCCATCAACTGTTCAAGCAAAGCGGGAAAAACTACCACAGCTACCCAGACAGGAACGACGAGTGTAGTAACATACCCCGAGATTCGACCATTACTTCTAATAAACCCTCCTTCTCCCTGGCTTGCTCTCTCTCTCCCCCGCCCTTCCTTCTCCCTCTCCCTCGTCTGTCTCTATTCTTGTTTGCCATTCGTCACATCGAAAACCAGAAGCTCGGGGCCTCGCCCGGAAGAAGCAGCTGGCCAATGCCGGAATCGAAGCAAGGCCACCGACACCTGGATAACGAACAGTGATAGAGAACAGGGCTAACAAGGAGCTGCGCTACAGCGGCGCCCTCTCTCATATTCTCTTTCTTTCCTCTTTTCTTTCTTTTCCCTTACTTTCCCTCGAGATTGCAACCACTCAAACTTCGCCTACACGGCTTAACAATGACCACGTGGAAGCTGTATTGCGGACAGATCAGAGCCTTGATTCAACGGAAGGTACCTGATCACTCGGGCCGACGGAGAAACCATCTGTTGAGAGGGCTAGTCGAGGGACCAATCTTCACATAGTTTCAGCTGTGCTGACAGTCGGTGTAACTCCCGAGAATTCCAATGAAGCCACACTGGTTTCCTTCAAGTGCTTGATATAGGCAGCTTGTCTCCCGTTTATAAAGCGACAAGCACACATGCCGTTGTGCGAACCAACTACCTGACTCGGTTTCTTCAGCTCAGATCCCGCAGAATCGTTTCAGAGCGGATTACTGCGCCATGCCCAAGCCGCTCACAGCACAGATCGGTACGCAGACCGCACCCACGGCGAAGGAGAACGACGTCCAGTCAGTCAAACCCCCCTCTCAGCCCAGCTCTGAATCATGCCCTCGAGAGAAGGCTCGTATTGCTTGAGCGTGACCTGGCCGGTAGCCTCGTCCAGGAAGGTGTTGGCCTGTACGAACACCTTTCTGGGCTGCTTGTTCTTGAGCACAACGTCCCTCACCTTTGTCCCCCAGTACTCGAGCCCGACGCTCGACATGTCAGTGAAGAACTTGGTGCCGGCCTCGACATCGCCCGTCGACTTGTAGATGTGGATCTTCTGCAAAAACTCCGCAACGGCTGGTGATTGTTGTGTCAGCCTTGGACCCAGTCATACTCCTTCATAGTACCTAACTCACCTTTTCTGCCGCTGGTGAGAATCTTGGAGCGGTCCAATCGAATTTCAAGGTCAGAAAGGTCCTCGTTCTTGTACTCTAGCTTGCAGAAATCGTCCCCAGCTTCGAGGAATGACTGGTGGTTATCAGCAGTTCGGTTCTCGCGACCACGAATCCCATCAACCTTACCTTGAGAATTGCAAAGCGGGCCTGGCAATGGGGCTGTCCCCATTTCTGGCTCTTCGGATCCCAGAACTCGACCGAGCACAGGCCTGCCCTGGCCATGCTGAGGTATGACGCGTATAGGACATCGCCCGCCTCGCCGTCCATGTCGACAGTACCATCGCCGAAACCGAAGATCTTCAGAGCAGAAAATTCACAGCTTAGGTGCATGGCGACGAGCTCGGCTCGGCATTCCTCGTATGCGCCGGCGATACCGCCGAATACGGAACCCCACGTTTGGCCAGGCTTGTACCAAGTGGTAATGGGTTTCCCAGTGAGGGGGCTGACCGGGGGATTCATGATATCGAAGTTAAAAACGCCAGGAGCCGTCTCCTGGAGGAGCTTCCCGCAGCCATGACCTGTCAGCTCATGGAGCCCAACCTGCACCTCGAAGGCTGCGTCGCGGAATTTCTGGTACACCGGCAGGTCGGCTTCAGAGATGAACGGGATCTTCTCATCTGGGGCCTTGGCGCTCAAGACATTGCCCAGGCTGACGTTCTTGAAGCCTTCCTGCTGCCTGATATCATCGTAATTTGGAATGTTGATGCCAGCAGGGATTCCGGAGCCGGCAAATGACAACACCTCCAGAGATGTGAAATCAGGCGACAGGAACTTGTCCTTTTCGAAGTCCTTAGACCACGGCAGCAGTGGAATCAGGTCCGGCGCGGAGCGCACAAGCTCACCAAATGCCCGCGTTCGCTCGAGATTGACAACCGCGGCGAAACCCTCCCATTCTCCGCGGACGCCTGCAGGGTCGCGGTAGGTCTCGATGAAGCCAATGTTGCATTCCACCATGGGGCCCTGGTCTCGAATCCAGTGTCGCTGACTCTCCTTGAAGGCCAGTAGAGACCCACTCTCGAAGGACTCACCGTAGGCAAGATGCATCTTCTGCTGCGTCTCATTCCCGGCATTGTCAGCGGCCTTCCTGATATAGCCGGCAATCGCTTCCATCTCGTTCGTGTAGTCCCCGTAGACCAGCTTCACGGTCTTGCCCTCGAGCGGCCCTTCACTGATGACGTACTCAGTGTCCTTCCCAATGTCGCCGCCCTTGTTGGGAATGGTGGTGGTCGCCGAAGCGATCAGCAGCTCAAAGACGTCATCTTTAGTTTTCCGCAGCCTGGTGTTCTCTGGGAGGAGACCCTTGTTCTCCATCCACTTAGAAACGGCCCGGATATCATCCTTGGTGATGTCGGGAGAGTCGGGGTAGTAGGTAGTCAGGTGGCCGTCGTCCGTGAAGCCGAGGTGCAGGAGGCCCGGCTTATCCGCCGAGAAGATGGCACCCTTGGTGGCCTTGTAATGCTTCTCGGCCTCGGGCGACGCTGAGGCAAGAGACGCAAAGACAGATTCATCGCATCGCGGCAGAAACTTGGAATCTCCGAAGCTCTTGTAGTTACCAGCGTTGCCTAGGAACTGGGCAGCGTACTGTAGGAAGGCCGTGAGCCCCTGCTCGTCGACGCCAGCCTTCTGCGCAAGCGCCTTCCAGTCGCCGCCAGCAGCCTTGTGAAGGGCAAGAATGAAATCATAGATGTGCTCGGACTCGGGCGAGACCTGGCGCAGGACGATGCGGGTGCCAGCGAACGAGGCCCTATATTGATTCGAGTGTCAGTGCCGAGTGGTGGAAGATACAGTGTTCACATCCCCGGCACGCCCGATAGCGGACGAAGCAGCAAGCAACCTCTTGGTTGTGTCTGCACGGGCGTCTAAGGTATGATGGCTTGCGTGCCATGGCCCTCTCGCAGAGGCAACAGGATGGTTTCTTACTTGCTGATGAAGTGAGAGTAGCGCTTCTGCTTATCAGAGAGTGCGGAGAAGTGCTTCTCTATCTCGAGGCGGACGACCGAGGGCGGGGCATCCGCCTGATATTGCGAGAGCTCTTGGGCATTCATAGCGAAAAGACGGCGCGGTTGAGACTGCGAAAATCTGACGGTAGGGAACGAAGTGGCACGAAGCGCAGATTGTGCCAAACCTGGAGTTGCGATTCGAAGAAGCCTCGTACCCCGAGATCTTAGGGGAACCTGGAAAGAAAGACGCATCGAATACAGTAGCAACGCCCCAACGCCCGGTATCTTTCGGCTTCTGGCTTACAATTGTCACCTCACCACAATGGCAGCTGCATGCATGTGTTTCGCAACTGCCTGAACCGGCATTTGGCACGGACAGCTCTCCACTTACGGCTGAGCGCCCCACTAGTTGCACGTGCTCCTTTCAACATTGAAAGCTCACCTGGAAGGCGGGGTAGCTGTCCAATACAAATACGGTAACTCTAGAGCTTCAAATGTATTGACAACAGATCGTCTTGGTAATATCAAATAAAGAAATTGAGACATGCTCAATGAGATTGGTAAGTCGAGGTATGTCAGGCAGTTCAAATCAAGTCTGCTTCAATTCTGGGTTCAGTCTGATGTTGAGACGGGAGGTTGCTGAGTGGACAGCGGCTCTGGCCCAAAATAGATGGTGAGGGGTCGGAGATGAGGACACCCTTAAAAAAAGGCTGCTCTGATTCAGGACGTCGGCATTGGGTGGCAGTCATTCCCTGTATGTAAGAATAGGGATGGGACTTGCTGCCGTATGTAGGATGCCGCATCCTGGAGACTCTGGCTTGCCTGCTGGCAACTTGGACATCACCCGCATGAAAAGCGGACAGAAGGCGTGCTGCACCGAGCGTCGTGAAGAAAGAGGGCTACCTGATGAACGAGGCAGGGCTCTGCACTCGTGTAACCCAGGTTGAGCGAGTGTCATTCACAGATCCTCGCTAAGTGGAAAGAGATGGAACGAGACGAAAGAAATAAAACAAAAAGAAGAGGACAGAGAGAGAGTTAGAGACTCTTCGGACAATCGGGAGTTGTTCACTTAGCGATTGGCTGTTGTGTGTACCGCCAATATGGACCTTTGTTATAACGTAGTACCTAATGCGGTGATTCCTCCCGTCGTGGTTTTGCAACTTGACTGTCCAGCCTTGCGAGGTGTTCAATGTCATCAATCGTCATGTTGCCAGGGGTAGCACCAGAATAGCTCACTTGCAGCAAGTCACCAATGCACTTCGATGAATCTGAAATGGTGCAGCACCAACAGAGCCTTGACTGGTTCATGCTTCTCGCATCCGCAGCTGAAGACTGAGGAGCGGTGAGGACCCAAGCTCCGTGGTTTGGCAGGTGGGCGTTCCAAATCCGGGGTACATAAGGTATAATGGATGTAACGTAATCCGTACTGCAGTAGTAATATAAATTCGCATCTCTATGCCTTTGATGCATGAATCCTTGGCAGCAGCTAGAAACAGAACTGGGAGGCTTTCCAGCTTGATCCACAGTTGCATGAACCTAGGCAGTCCTGCACCGTAACGCATTGGGGGATATGTGAGGCTTTCAGGTGTCCACCTCCCGTCAGCAGCCGACAGAGAATGGCCCCTCCTCAAGTGTCACGGTTGAAGCACAACCATAGACATCGAGGTTATGCTGGTACACACTAAGAGGGGATCTGGGTGGTTTATGCTTTGAATGTCCAATGTTCGTCTGGCGTGCTGCTACAAGTTCGAAAGCTGTTTGACAAGGCACTTCGGGAAGAGCCAAGCATCTCAAGCACTCGGTGATCCGGTATGCCGCATTTCGTTACGAGATCTGCAGCCCGATGCCCGGGATTTGGCCCAAGCTGGGGTGGCCCGGGCTTCGCAACTGCGACCAATTTCCCAGGGATTGGAGCCGGTTGGGTCATCAGCGGGGCAGCATCAAAAACAAGGCATGTCACGAGGCCTTGAGCCATTGCTCGCTCTGCTTGGGTGGCGCTGCGATTGAGCATTGACCCGCTCGGAAGGCTTCACTCCAGCTCATCCGAATGACTGGGAGTTGGACATTCATGAGCACCTTTGATGCAATCTCATCTCCCAGGGGAACGCTTTGTTCTGACTGGCATGTATTATCTGCTTGGTTCCTCTTCAGGGGTTGCAAGTTGTTTTCCTAACCTGTGGTGAAAATTTCGACCTCCAATCTTAGGTTCGCTGATCCGGCACTGTGAGCTGCCCCCCACGCTCCCCCAGAACCCGGCCTAGGAGGTCCCCGGATGGGTTAGCACACCAATCCCTCGGGATCGTTTCATCCTTGGCCACGCTTGCTCCCTCTTCAAAAGAATACCCCTTGTTCCAGGCCCCGAGGTAAGGTAAGGTAAGGAAAGAACTGCATCAAGGGGTCTCTGCGCAGTCACTGCTTCAGGTCTGCGGCTATGTTGGCAGCTGTGCGGATGAAAAATGTAGCGCTGGGTGATTTCAACCATTTCTTGTCGCAGTGTCCTGTCAGCATTTCCATTGTGCCTCAATCCATCCCGTGCTGCCTCCCCAGGAAAATCTTCCCCGAGTTTCCACACGAGGTACTTCGACCCCCTGAACGGGTACCTCTCGCATACCTGGCACTACACCCCCCCCCCACTGCACACGCCTCTCCATTGCCAAGCCCGAGATTCCACCACTCATGACGCTGAATCCAATTTGAGTCTTCCAAGTCTGTCCAAAGTGCCAATCGGATTTCCTGTTTTCAGTGAGATTCATGAGATTCACCCCACGAAAGATGTGCTCTGAGCGCGTGAGGGGCGGGACGCCATGCACGGAACGCATTCGGTGAACATGTACAGTACGAAATAGGGCAAGTATTTCACTGCAAAAGGCTCCGCCGAGTCCAGGTCAGGTACCCCCGACCCCAGATGGAAAACGTTAGGTCATCGCTGACAGTTGGCTGCCCACTCAAAGCCTCAGCTATATATTGAATGCCCGCGTTCCGCCATCGGCTTGTTTCTTGGTTTCCTGGTCTAATTGTTTGCTCGTTTCATTAATCTTTGGCGGGTTGTTTGCACTTCTCCGTGTGTTCTCTTCCTTTCCACAATCACAGACTTTGAACTCCTCCTGTTGCCACTTGCCGATTTTGGTAGTGCCTGCTTTCATCCCACGTCAGTCCGGTCACTTACACCATAAGCCCTGAACACACGCCGTAACGACTTCAACCTGCTACAGCAAAGCGCACGCGATTCCTCATCAAATACAATAGCGTTGTGACTGCCACTTCCAGTGATTCACCAGTGCAGCTGTACGTTACAACAACATTTTCTCCCACTGCTGGCCGCCCCTTTCTTGGTCTTGTCGTCGTCAGCCATGCTCTCCTCGGTGGCATTCAACGGGCAGAGGCCTTCCTCTGCCAGCGCCATGTCCTCCGGACACCAAATTATCCCACCCTCGCCCAAGGCTGCGCGTCTCCCTATTACCTCTCTCTCCAAAGGCATTATGGCCAACGGCGCCACATCCACGGTTGATTCGCCCGCAAGGGACCAGCATATCTGGCTCGTAACGGGCCCCGCTGGCTGCGGAAAGAGCACTGTAGCAAAGCACCTTGCCACTTCGCTTCAAGTGCCCTTCATCGAGGGCGATGAGGTACGTCCTGCCCGGAGAATGACCGCTTGATCGAATGTCACCCCATACTGATCATCTCCCACCTTGATTATAGTACCACCCCCAGGCAAACATCGAAAAGATGAGCGCCGGCATCCCCCTGACCGACGCCGACAGGTGGGACTGGCTGACAGCCCTCCGCGAAGCCTCGATCCAGGCGCTCGACAAGGGCAACAGCGGCGTCGTGCTGACCTGCTCGGCGCTCAAGCGCAAGTACCGCGACGTCATCCGCGTGGCGCCCTACTTCACGCCCAACCTCCACCTTCACTTCATCTACCTCGACGCGCCTGAGGAGGTGCTCCTGCAGCGCGTGTCGGCGCGGCAAAACCACTACATGGGCGCCAACATGGTCCACAGCCAGTTCGAAGTCCTGGAGAAGCCGCAGGCGGACGAGGTCGACGTCATCACCATCGATGTGACCCGCTCACCGGAGGAGGTCATGGCCGATTCTTTCAACAGGGTTCTTGAGACGATGGAGGGCTCTGGGTCACAACCCGAGGCGTGACAAATTGGCGGGGAGGATGCGGGCTGAACTGCCGCGCTTTAATACATTGTTTTCAGCGAGGAGGTTTTGGGCGGTACCATCATAATATTGCATAGGATTCGGAGTTGGGCCTCTTCGCCGTGGCTTTGATTACGTTGCTTGGTCGTCTTGGTTCTCTTTGGGCGCTATGCGGGCACGGGGGAAGGAATGGGTATCAGCGCCTGTTGAAGACGCTTGTCACGTTCTTGGATGGGCTTTGCATGGGCGAAAGGCGGACTGCACAGCTACTTCATTCGGCCAAGGGCGTTTTAAAATGGATCTACACTGGAGCAGGATTTTGCCGCTCTGGAGCAAGCAAATCTGAAATCTGACATTTTCTACCCCTATTCATGGCTTTGAAGATGTTCTCTCCTCCCTCCCCACCCCCCCCCTCCGTCCTTCGCGCCCCGGGAACCTCATCAGCTCCCTGATTTTACACTGACTTCGGTTTCTGCAACTCTCGGTGTAGCCATCGGACATGGGTCTCAATATATCCCTTTTACTAGGTAAACCCCGTTGAAACTGGGCGATAACCGTGCTCTAAGAGTTCCCCAAGGATATGGAGAAATGCGCCCTCACTTCCAGCAGTCTGGTAACATGCGGCCAAGAGAGCGCGGGACGAGCCGTGACCAAGACAGCTCCGTTTAAGAACCGAGCGGGAATGATATGAATCTTTTTTAAAGAATGGCAATGGGAGAAGTCGTACTGTAACCGCCAAGCTTGATACAACAATCAACAACTTATTACCCCTTCCACGCCCGCTTCGTTGCCTGGTGAGCAAGGAGGCACACCTATTCTTGGCACTCACCTCCTTTAATCCCCTCACCACAGAAAGGGTAGCCTTGCACTAGACATCATTTGTGCTTACCGTGCATGCCGCTGTTTTTCTCTCTCCCTTTAGCAAGGCAGTAACCAACAACTGCCGAGCATGCTGTTGTCATGATGACTTGGTGTCAGCGTGAAAGTAACCCTCCGTTCCAACAATTCCAACCGCAGGATCAGCCATCATGCAATTTACGCACATATCCCGCTCTCCCACATATGCCTCACCGCCGCGCCGGCGCGCTCGACCGGTCAAGGCTTTACACACTATGGCCTCTAAAAGGCCGTCATGCCTCGGCGTGTAAAGAGGGGGCAGTCGCTTGCTTTTCTTGGGGCCACCGTCGTGGCTCACATCATACTCACATCACATTCCCCCTTGGCACAACATCTGCTAATATCTACAGTTAAGGACGGAAGATACGATGAAACAGACACAATAACCCTGGGGCCTGTAAACCCCGATTGGGGGCTTGGGTAGTGTCAAATATCGCGCGGTGGGGGAACAAGAAGACCGGGTATGTTTGACAGCGGCCACCCTTGGGTTCTTCCCCGACATCAGTATTTTTGATGTGACGATCCTGGTACTGCTGTGTACCTACTCTGTACCGCAAAGAGACAAGACCACAGGAAAAAGGGAATGGTTTCGGAACAAAAAGGCGGGTCGTGGCTTGGGGGGAGGACGGCTCAGAGCTCGAAACGGCTGCCAGAAGTGGGGGATCACGAGGCCGCGGGCGACCATTGACGGGACGCTGCAGGCTGCAGGTTTTGTCGTCTGGGCTGCATGACAGAAAAGCAAGAAAGAGACTCATCATCGCATGTCGCCTGCCGGAAAAAGGAGGAAAAGGGAACATGTTCTGAAGCTAACGGGACGTGGTACGAATACTTGTGAAACTTTTGACTCGTGAGCACCCAAAAATCAGAAAATGGCTACTATGAATCAACCAGAGAACTAGCCTGCCTGCTTTGTCTGTGTCTAAGTGTGCACTCGTCTCGAAATAAAACACCGCAACAGCTTGCGTACATTATAACCGGGCTAAGCGAGCGAGTACGGCCGACCGGATGAATCCTGCTGCGCTTCACCGCGCCACCCTCTCAGCCAAACACTTGCCCCTCATCCCTATCCTGCTTCACGCCCAACTCGGAGCAAGTAAACCTCGAGACCTTCTCCCTCCCACACTCCTTCAACTCAGCAGCGTACTCTATATTCTTTCTTTCTCTCTCTCTCTCACACACACACACACACACTCTCTCTCTTTCTCTCGCTCGCTCGCTCGCTCGGGCCTTTTCCGGCTTAGCGCAGGTGCATAACCATGACATCCGGCTCCTCGACAATCGCCCTGACCACCTCGGCAGCGCGGGCCATGGTCGCCCCGTCAACAACCCTGTGGTCAGCGCTCCAGCTGAAATTGCACACCTGCCTGCGCACGACCCGGTCCTCCTCCCCGGGCACCGTCGAGAAGGCCGGCACGGTGCGCATGCGGCCGACGCCCAGGATGGCCACCTCGCGCTCGACGACGACGGGCGACAGGTAGGTGCCGCCAATGCTGCCGATGTTGCTGACCGTGATGGTGCCGCCCGACATGTCCTGCGGCGAGAGCTTGCCCGCCGTGGCGAGCGTCTGCAGCCGCGCCAGCTCGGCCGCGATGCCCAGGATGTTGAGGCTGCCGACATTTTTGATTACCGGAACGAGCAGGCCCGAGGGCGTGTCCATGGCCACGCCAATGTTGTGCTGGCTGCGCAGGACGAGGGTTGGCTTGCTGTTGTTGGCGCTGTCGACGTCTACGCGGGCGTTGAGGATCGGGTACTTGTAGAGGGCCATGGACACGGCCTTGATGATGAAGGGTAGGTATGAGAGCTTGCCCACTTGGCTGTCGCTCAAGCCTGACTTGGACAGGACCCTGTTCAGGCGCCCACGGAGCTCGACGAGCGAAGTGAAGTCGACCTCGTCGGCGTAGAGGAAGTGGGGAATGCTGAGGGAACGCGTCATGGTCTTGAACATCATCTCCTGTGTCCGGGTGAGAGCGATTGGTGTCTCTTGCTGCGCCTCTGTCGTCGACCTTTCTGGTGATGTGAAGGCGGCAGCCGCCGGTGGTTGAGTGGCTGATGCTGGAGCAGACGGCGCTTTCCTCCTTTCCACAAACTTGTAGATGTCCTCCTTGAGCACCCGCCCATCCCTTCCTGTGCCATTCACTTCTGAGATCTCGACACTCAATTCCTTTGACAAGTGCCTGACTGCGGGCGTTGCGAGCGTGGCATGCTTTCCCCGGCCCTTAGGTGTGCTTTGGGTCTCATGCTCGGTCAAGATGGCGACCTGTGATGCTGCTGTCTCTTCGGCTGGAGGACGTACTGGCGCCTGAGTTGGCTTCGGCTCCGTCTCTTTTTCGAGTGCTTGAACCGGCGCCAGAGCGCCCACATCCTCCTCCTTGACATCCCCTTGAATGTCGATGTCGACAAACGGCTTGCCGACCTTGGCCATTTCGCCGGCCTCGTAATGTAGCTTTTTGACGACGCCTGCAAAGCGGCTGGTGATCTCTACCGAAGCCTTGTCGCTCTGGACCTCGCACAGAGGCGAAAACTCCTCAACACGCGCCCCTGGCTCAACGAACCATTGAATGATCTCGCACTCGACGATGCCTTGGGGGAGCAAAGGGTCAGTTAAATGTGAAGACGCTGAGGAGGACGGGGTTCTGCATACCTTCTCCAATATCAGCGAGCAGCACTGGCTTCACCGCCAGAAGAGGCCTTGCGGCATGCAATGCGCGTGCCATGGATGGCGGAGACAGCGGGGAGATCATCGAGACTGCACCGCGCCGACTTAGACCTCTGTAGAGGCGCCATTGCTGGCGCACTGCGCGGGAACTGTGGCTCCAGAACATAGTGGACAAGGACGACAGCTAACACCAGCGTCGAGGTTTGCAAGCGGTCACATCTCAAGTTCAATTCATTCTGGGACGAACGATCCCAAGGGGCAGGGCAACAACGAGCGGTTCAGGGCCATGGCTTGCTGCGGCTTATGACCCTGCTGAATGACGTTAGAAGCCGAGCTGTCCAGGGGCACAGGTGCCCCGCGGATAGCCGAGCATTTGACCCTGAGCAAAGGTTGCCCGAGACTCCGGACCAACATTGCGGGGCCCCTGAAGCGCTAGCGTGATCGGGTTGCGGGTGAAAGTGGGTCCAAAACGTTATCGAGTTGCACGGAAATTTTGGGATGAGCTCCGTCACCATCCAACGCCGACATCCGTCTTGCAGTTGCGACGCCCTGTTTGCACTATGATTACACGGACGGGCATCCGGATAGTCTTTCGGCCAGCGACTTGCTTCCTCTGTCAATGGCGCACATTTAGCGTATCCTACCGGCAATTGGCCGACAAGCCGCCGGGGCCGCCCGCCGGGGCCGCGACCAGTTCGAAACAGACACCCGGCCCATCTCCGGGCCCGGCCGGGAGTGGTGATGCAGGCCTCGCGGAGGGTCCGCTCGCCCATGCACCCCGATCATTTGGCAAGAAGCTTACCGAGTTTACGCCAACACCGCTGGCAAGGCCAATTGGCATGAACTACCCCCCAAGCGCCGGCGAGAACACGGGCAAGGATAACCGAACGCTCAAAGAGCGCCACGCGGACTTCACCAACTACGAGAAGCACCTGAAGCGCCGAGAGTACCTGTACGCACCTGGCGCCTATTACCCCATTCCGTAGTACACTCACCATGCTAACACGACCCGCACCAGCAAAAACAAAATCTCGCGCCCCTACTTCCGCGACTGGCGCAACCTCCAGTTCCACGAAGGCAAGACCTTCCTCTCGCCGCCGCGCCCCTTCCGCGCCGACCTCTCCCTCTACTTCCCCAACCTACACGGCCGCACCCTTGCCAAGTCCCCATCCGCCAAGGCTGCCGACACGACCCCTCTCCTGGAAGGCCGCGCCTCGGTCGTCTCCGTATTCAGCGGCATGTGGGCCGAGAACCAGGCCAAGTCGTTTACCGCCCCTGACCAGAACCCGGCGCTGCACGAGGTGGTCCGGACCAGCGGTGGGCGCGCGCAGCTGGTGCAGGTCAATGTCGAGGAGGACATGCTCAAGGCGTGGCTGATCCGGCTGTTTATGGGCTCTCTGCGCCGGCGGATCGGCAGGGAGAACTGGGACAAGTACTTTATCGTGAGGAGGGGCATTTCGGACGAGATTCGCGAGTCGATTGGCTTGTTGAACGGCAAGGTCGGGTATACCTATCTGGTTGACCACCAGTGCAGGATACGTTGGGCCGGCAGTGGGACTGCAGAGCCCGAGGAGAGAGAGGGGTTGGTGAAGGGGGTGCGGAGGATACTGAGCGAGATAGAGAAGGAAGGGGTCGTGGAGCATTTTGTTCTGAAGCCAGTCGCGAAGAAAGTGGTCGAGAACGTGGCTGAGAAGTAGCTCATGGTATGGGCGACTTGGTCGAGTTTCGTGATACCCATGGTCTTGTTGAATAGAACGCCGCCACTCATCCTTGCTTTGTGTAAAAGCGATATAGGTGGTGATGTACGTTAGAAATGCGTTTCTTTCTGCGGCTGTGCCTAGCGATAACCATCCAGCCGTTCCCCAAACTCCTTAAACGCCGACCTAGCCATGCTTCCCAAAGCCGCGAACCAGCATTATCCAAGTATCTCAACGTTTCAAGCTCGTGATGCTCCCTCTTTCCCCCGGGCAGGCATGCCGAACCTTCCCTGCTCACAGAAAGAACCAAAACGCCAAGAAGCACAAGGCAATAAACGACCCCATGATGATGCCATCCCGCCTCTTCTTGGCCGAGATGCGCCCAATCAGCGTATTGATGCCCGGCACCTGGCTCGCGGCGAGCGTGATGCGTCGGTTGATGCTGGCGAGGGTCTCACGCTGCAGCGCGAAGTTGTCCTGCACGGCGTACGCCTGGCTCAGCACGCTGTCGGCCACGTCATGGCTGCGGTCCAGCCGCGCCCGCTCGTCCAGCATGTACTCGGCCTCGGCCGCAGCCGGGTTGGCCGCGCGGTACGCCGAGATGTCGTCGCGCACGCTGCCGAGCAGGTTGGCGCGGTCGCGCGCCTCCTGGATCGACTTTCGCAGCCGGGCGAGGTCGCGCCGGTGGTCCGACAGCTTGTCCCGCAGCAGCGCGAGGTTGTTCTGCTTGAGCGCCGACGAGGTGAGCGTCGTTTCCGAGTCGAGAAGGTGGCCTAGCTGTGCGACGACGGTTTCGCGCTGGGTGGGGGAAGAGATGGTCAGCTATCATGGGGGCATCTGGGTAGGGGAACCTTTTGTAAGCCTGCCTTGTCTAGCAACTCCTGCACTTTGGCTTCTGCATTCTTCTCTTCTTCTGTCGGCTTTGGAGGGATATTTGTTTGCGTAGAGAACTGCGAATATGTCTGGAGGCATGTCTCGGTCTGCAGCAAAGGGTCAACGTCAACACTGCTGCTCATTCATCCCCCTTCTTCCCGACATAACCTCCATCTTCTGAGGGACAACCTACTTGTGATTCCAACGACCGGGCCTGTTGCCTCAGCTGAGCCCAGCCCTGACCTGCCGTCGTCGCCATGCTGCCTGCAATGACGAGGAACAAGAGAGAGTATAAGAAACCTACAGCATCCGAAGCGACGATGTCGCCGTATTAAGGGTTCTTTCTCCCTGGAAAGTTGAGCTGATCCACTTGTGTCTGTTTCTTTGTGAGGTCACGCCGTGGCGTCTCATTGCGGAACCTAGCGTCACAGAGTACCCAAGCTCAGGGTTAGGGGTAGCATCAAGTGAATGTCTGCAACGGCTTGCCAGGAATCGGCGATTTGGATTGAAGCCGTGGTCCTGAGTACTTGGTGTTTGTGTAGATACCTACCTGGTATATTTATTCGTTAGGGCGGCAGCATGGCCATCTACGTGAGTACCTGCGCTTCTGTAGATGCAATTCCAGGCCCCAATCAGCTGTCGAAGCACGGGGGCAGGTGCAGTTGTTACCTTGCGTCAGAGCAACAACCTTGAGGGCCTGACTCAGCCAGCAAGGTGCGCGTTCATCGGTCTCGTATCGTCAACAGTCTGAGCATGAAATCTGGAACTCCGCGGTATTGAGCTCGATGTACTTCTTGTTCATCTCCCCTGGTGTCTCCAGTGATCTAATTCGCACTAGATTCGGGGTTGTCTTTGTTGTGCCTGGTTGTATTTGCCCTGCCATCCAGCGCAAAGTCACGGTTATCCCATGAACAAATCACCAGCGGCATCCCCATTTGCTCCGAAACCCAGTTGTTGTTCATGGATATCCGATCCTGTGAAGAGCCCGGTGATTGTGGGATCTTGATGACTGTAAACCCTCATTACAGACGCCGTAATGGACCGAGAACCGTCAAACGTCCAAATGCAATTGGCCAAGCCATAACCGTAAACCGCGCCATCGACCACCCATCACGCCCACGCCCTGCTAACCAACCCTCTACCACTTCATCAGGTGAGGCTTGTCGCCCTTGCGGAGGCTGAAAGAGGTGGCAAGGTAGCTGGCGAGCATGTCGACCTTCTTGATGTTGGCAATCAGAGCCTTGTCGACGGCCTTCTGGTCAGCCGCCCGGCTGCTCGAGACTTCCTTCTTCTATGCATCTTGTCAGTCCGGCTGCTCATCCGCCCCCGCTCCCAGATCGGATTCCAAGTCGTACCTGGGGCTTCTCTCCCTGCTTGAAGAAGGCCTCCTCGCTGGCTTTCTCCTTAGATTTCTCCGCGGTGAAGTACTTCGGCCGGGAAATCTCCTCAAGCTTGGCCTCGTCGATGCCAGCCAGGTCGACCTTGAGGGATGTGGCGATGACGTATCTCGAATTGACGCGACGAAGAGGAACACCGTTGATCTTGAAGGGCCCAGTGACCAGCAGGACACCCTGGTCGAGGTTCTTGAGAAGAATGACACGCTTGCCGCGGAACCGACCAGCGAGCAGGATCAGAACGGTGCCGGGCTGGAGGGAGCTGCGAGGACCCCAGGGGCGGACGGCCTTGCGGACCTGATAGCGAACCAAGGTCAGAACGAATTCGTGCCAGAGATCGCAAGCTCGATTGACACCATATCCATCTCTTCCCGGGCATCCCCATCCTCCCCTTGACCAGTTCCTCATCCTCAGTCCCTCCTCTTGCTGCCTCCGCTCTAAAATAGAGTCAAAGTACGTTTCTGCCCAGCCCAGCCAGCCCATAGTCGAGTCCCACCCAAACTCCCAACCTCCAAGCCCCCGAAACACCGTAAATCAACTCAGAAGATGGATGCATCCACGTACCTGGCGAGGCTTGGCCTCGTCCTCAGCAGGGTACCATTTCTGAGCCTTCTCGGACGGGTGAGGGATCGTCCGAGACGACTTGCCAAAGGTCTTAGTCGTAGGAGCTGCCGACGACGACATCTTGAGCGCTTTGGCTGTTGGGTGGATTAGTAAAAATCGTTGGTCGGTCGTCAACGTCTTGACTTGTCGCTGCTCGAGATTTTGAAATGAGTGAGCCGCCGGTTGTGCGCAAGTTCGAAAAGGCCAAACCCCAAGCTAACCGCTTTCGGAACTTGCGGGAAGATCCTGGCTCGAAGCCGGAGTGCCACAACGCGGTGCACGGACCAAATTCTCTTGTAGGGTTTTCCGCCCTGTCTGGCAATTTACGCATCCACACCAGTCAGATTTTGTGAGGACGCGAGCCAGCTTGGAGAGGCTGTTCCCTTCAAACGACCGAAGACCCCGTCGCTGTCAAAGGAATCGTCGCCCATCGCCCATTTGACTCGACACCAACATCTTTCACAATGGTAAGTACGCTGTGGTTAATCTTACACCCAGTTCAACCATCACATCATTTCCAACCTCACGGCCTCGGTTGCCACCCCTCGTTTCCCGAACACACCGACGTCAAACTTGCGACTTTGGCGTCCAACTGCTGACCATTATGTTAAAGTCTTCCGGCAAGGTCAAGGCGGGCCAATTATGGTCTAAGAACAAGGACGAGCTCACCAAGCAGCTTGCTGAGCTCAAGACGGAGCTGAGCCAGCTTCGCATCCAGAAGATCGTCTCCTCGGGCACCAAGCTCACCAAGATGTACGTCGATTTGAATCCGAGCGCTCCACGGCCGAATTGCAAAAAATGGAAAGATTTTACGTGTTGCTGAGGGCAGCGTTTTGCTGACATGGAATTTCCTTATCTCGAATAGCCACGATCTCCGCAAGTCGATCGCCCGTGTCCTCACCGTCATCAACGCGAAGCAACGGGCCCAGCTCCGCCTCTTCTACAAGAACAAGAAGTACCTCCCCCTTGACCTCCGGGCCAAGCAGACCCGTGCCATCCGCCGCCGCCTGTCCAAGGAGGACGCCTCGAGAGTGTTGGAGAAGACCAAGAAGCGCCAAACGCACTTCCCTCAGCGGAAGTTCGCCGTTAAGGTACGAACCACTTGAGGGACGGCTTGGGAGAGAGAATTTGTCTCGGCCGCGGTCGACAAAGATGGGAATTCATGGCTGACTGGGCGTCTAGGCTGCATAGAGGCGTTAGCGTGGGTAATGGGATGGTTGTATCTAGGGCACTTCCGGCGCGGTTTTAAAACTTTGGCACTCGACGCATTGCATCATCCCAGGGATTCTGCTTTCAGGGTTTGGGGTGTTATACGAGGTCAATGAATTCTCGGTCCCGGCTAGGTATCTTTTACCACTGCCGAATGAAAGCGCTGCGCTGAACACCCACCATCAGACCCGATTCTCGTTGGTGACTTGGCCATGGCGATGGCTGCCGGCCTTGCGTGTTGGCATTGGGTCTCGGCGGTGTATTGCCATGAGCGAACGCGGTCCAACTCGGCGGCAGGCAGGTCCAGCTCCATGTATGCCCGCCAAATAACGATACAGTTGCCCGTTACGGTCATGGTGTGATTCTTGCCTCTGTTAACCTTCATTTGATTTGGGATTTGCATAGCCACATGTGATCTTGGTGTTAGCCGACGGGTGCATTTTGAGTAGGGAAAGAACGTTCAACCCTTTCCGCCCCTCTCAGGGAAGGACACATACTCAGATAAGGTAAGGTAGGGAGCAAGTGGAATGGAAACACAGACAAATGTCTCGGAAGTCATACGCCTGCCTGTAACACCGAGCAAGCGGATTCGGACCTCTTGATGCCTTCGCTTTCTCTACATCACATTCCCTCACCCCTCCCATCGCGGTCGAAGTTCTGCCGGGCGGTGAAGCGCCGAAGACAGGGCTGAGTGGGTCTGAACTCCCATCAAGCGCGCCAAGGCGGACCCCTGGACGCATTATAGCGCAAGCTCCAAACTGTCCTCTCCAAAAGCCGTGCTTGTCCACTCCAAACTGGTGAGAGGCAGCACCACAACACAACCAAGGCCACCATGTCGGCCGATCCGCTTCAGGTTCTCGCCAGCGCGGGGAAGGGCAAGAGTACTCGCAGTTTATTGCGAGTCATCATCCTCGCCCTCATCGTTGCCGCCGCAACTGCAAGTCGTCTATTCTCGGTGATTCGTACGTGGCCCTTCCCAAGCTTGGTGACGGGGGCAATCCTTGGGTATTTCAGAGCTCAAGACTGCCATGCTCGTGATCCTGCAGCAGTCCAATGTCCCTGGGTTTTTGTTTTCAGAGCTCCTTTTCTGCTAACCCGATCTTGTTATTTGCAGGATTCGAGAGTATCATCCACGAATGTCCGTATCTCATCGCCCTCCTCGTCCATTGCGTCCTCCGGTCCACCGTGTAAAGGGATAAGTACTGACATTTGACCAGTCGACCCTTGGTTCAACTTCCGCGCCACCAAATACCTTGTCGCGAATGGTTTCTACAATTTCTGGGACTGGTTCGACGACCGAACATGGCACCCCCTGGGCCGTGTCACAGGCGGTACCCTCTACCCTGGTCTCATGGTGACGAGCGGCGTCATTTACCATGCCCTCCGAGCCCTCACGATCCCCGTCGACATCCGGAATGTCTGCGTTCTCCTGGCGCCCGGCTTCTCGGGTCTTACCGCTATCGCCGCCTATCTGCTTACGAATGAGATGACACCGTCGCCGTCTGCCGGACTTCTCGCTGCCCTGTTTATGGGGATTGCGCCTGGCTACATCTCTCGATCGGTTGCGGGGAGCTACGACAACGAGGCCATCGCCATTTTCTTACTCGTATTCACCTTCTACCTCTGGATCAAGGCGCTCAAGCAGGGGTCCATGCTGTGGGGTGCTCTCTGCGCCCTCTTCTACGGCTACATGGTTGCCTCCTGGGGTGGTTACGCCTTCATTACATGCCTTTTGCCCCTGCATGCCTTCGTCCTCGTCTGCATGGGCCGCTACAGCACTCGGCTCTATGTCGCCTACACCACCTGGTATGCGCTAGGCACGCTGGCTAGCATGCAAATTCCCTTCGTTGGGTTCCTCCCAGTTAAGACCAGCGAGCACATGCCTGCCTTGGGTAAGTCATCTGTGTACTGCGCTGTAAGCGAAAGTTTTAGTCCTCTAACACACGGTGCAGGCATCTTCGGCTTCCTGCAGCTTCTCGCATTCCTTGACTATGTCCGTTCGGCAATTCCGAGCCGCCAATTCCAGACATTCCTCTGGCTCTTCGCCGGCGCAGCATTCGGACTAGGATTGCTGGGCTTGGTCATTGCCACCAGCGCAGGCTTCATTGCCCCATGGAGCGGTCGCTTCTATTCGCTCTTCGATACCGGCTACGCCAAGATCCATATCCCCATCATCGCCTCCGTGTCGGAGCACCAGCCCACGGCGTGGCCAGCCTTCTTTTTTGACCTCAACATGTTGATCTGGCTGTTCCCTGTTGGCGTCTACCTTTGCTTCCAGCAGCTTGCCGACGAGCATGTTTTCATCGTCGTCTATGCCTTGTTTGGAAGCTACTTTGCCGGTGTCATGGTCCGTCTCATGCTCACGCTCACGCCGGTGGTCTGCATTGCCGCTGCGATTGCCGTCTCGGCGCTTCTCGACACCTACCTCAGCGTTAAATCGCCCAAACCCGAGGAGAACCAGGCCGTGGAGGGTGCCGAAGGGAAGAAGGCGGCAAAATCCGGCCTCAAGGCGACCAACAAGCCAGTGGTGGGCGTGTACACTACTTGGGGCAAGGGCATGATAGTCAGCGCCCTTGCGGTCTACCTTCTGCTGTTCGTCCTGCACTGCACATGGGTGACGTCGAATGCCTATTCGTCCCCCTCGGTTGTCTTGGCCAGCAGACTGCCCGATGGGAGCCAGCACATTATTGATGACTACCGCGAGGCTTACCAGTGGCTGCGCCAGAACACGCGCGAGGATGCCAAGATCATGTCGTGGTGGGATTACGGCTACCAGATTGGTGGCATGGCTGACCGTCCAACACTCGTCGACAACAACACGTGGAACAACACGCACATTGCGACGGTGGGCAAGGCCATGAGCTCGAGCGAGGAGGTCAGCTACCCGATCATGCGCCAGCACGAGGTGGACTATGTTCTGGTTGTCTTTGGTGGTCTCCTGGGCTACTCTGGTGACGATATCAACAAGTTCTTGTGGATGGTTCGCATCGCCGAGGGCATCTGGCCCGAGGAGGTCAGTGAGCGCGCCTTCTTTACCCCTCGGGGTGAGTATCGCGTCGATGGCGAAGCCACCGAGACCATGAAGAACAGCTTGATGTGAGTGCTGCTATCTTTTGTTGCATGACAGCAACTAATAACTGACCGATCAAACAGGTACAAGATGTCTTACTATAACTACAACAACCTCTTCCCCGCCGGGCAAGCGGTGGATCGCATGCGGGGCGCCCGACTTCCTGAGGTCGGACCTACCCTTAGTACATTGGAGGAGGCATTCACGAGCGAGAACTGGATCATCCGGATCTACAAGGTCAAGGATCTCGACAACCTTGGCCGCGACCACTCATCAGCGGCCGCCTTTGAGCGGGGCCACAAGAAGAAGAAGGTCACGAAGAAGAGAGGGCCGCGGGTCCTCCGGGTGGACTAAGAGGCCTCAATCACCCAGAGCAAACGCTATGTATAAAGAAGTATGTTAGAGTTGATTTCCTTGTCTCTTCTCTTGCAATATATGGTCCGGGAAAATGAGCTGGGTTTGCAGGTTACAGCAAAAGCACGTTGATTGAAGTCCATTGTCTGGCAGAGAATTGCCAGGGTGAATCTGCCTGAGCCAGCACCAGCCCTGCTAAGTGAACAAATGTGCCGGAGAGGCGACAGGGACATCGACGACTCAAACGAGACGCGTCTGCTTTTTGTCAATACCAGCACGCAGCGTGAATAGAATGTGGCTGCTATTGTGCTGTTTCTGTTCTGCTCGCTTCCCACACCATATCCCGCCCACCAACACCACCTTCTACCTCTCCGCCCTCTTCCATCTCATCACCACCACAGACGCGTCTCGCAAGACGGTGCAACTTACAGTGCAACACGGTATATAGCCCCAGAGCTCTAGCCAATTCACACGGTCTGACCAGAATAGGAACAAGCGTCCTTGCTGGGCTGCCTTTCTGGCCGACCTTCTTCCTTCTGCCCTTTCACAACTCTCTCTGGCATTGTGCTTCGTCTCCTTGCCGGCTCTGTCAACACTACCTCCCCGAGCTTGTTTGGTATACGGATCATTTCAGCAGTGTAGTCAGCGAGCTTCGATTCTGGGGAAGCAAGATGCAGTTCATCGTGTAAGTCGATTATTCTCCTTTTTTTTTTCCTTTTTTCCTTTCAAAAAGCGATTTCTTGAGAAAATGGCAAGATGAACCCGGCTGTGCTGTGTTTCTCATCAGCCGCTTTTCCTCCCTCTGTGTGTGTTGTTCAAGATGGTTCATCAGGGGCTTTGACAGTCAACATCGATGTTTTCGTATTCTCACGCTTTGCTGACGATCTCCAACAGGACCAAGGAGGTCGACTGGGAGGCCGATGATGAAGCAGAGGATCCAAAGCCCAGGCGTGGGGTGATGAAGCGATACCGCTTCATCATCGACTTCTCTCGACGTTCCTCAAAGGCCAACGGCAAGAAGAGCAAGGAGCATGCTGCCAAGTCTGAGCTCTCGGAAGATTATGTCGACTCGGAAGATGAAGTGGGCGACGACCCCAAGCCCGACCAGCATCTCTGTTACGGCTGTGGGCAGCTTCGGTCCGAGCTGTATCACTACCACTACCCAATCAAAGCCGGAAAGCGGCCCAGACCCAGCCTCTGCACCCAATGCCGTTTCTTCCGAAACGCCAGAATCAAGAACCGCGCCCGCAATGGCGGCCGCCGCCGCCGGCTTGCGGAGAGCGAGGCCCGTGTTGATGAGCGAGAGTGGTGCTCCAGCTGTGGCACGCTGCGCTCGAACGAGTACCATGTGAAGCTTCTGTCGGGCGAACTGCCGCCCTGGAACGAGATTTGTGGACAGTGTATGATGAGGGTGGAGAAGAAGAACAAGATCCGCCGGCTGCGTGTGTACTACGAAGAGATGGACGCCGCCGAAGGCGTCGAGGCCGCGACGCACGATCCTCTCCGGGAGAGCCTTCAGCAGCGCCGGAGCAGCCCGTACGCCATCACGCCGACCTCATCGCGCGAGGAGTTCCAGGCCGACTCAGCCGCGACGTCTCCGTCGGGCCCAACGACGGGTGGCTCGAGCGGGTCGAGCAGCACGGCCCCCGCCGCTGCCCAGGCTGACCCTGGCAGCATCAAAATTCACCAGGAGTCCCGGAAGCCGGGCGGCCAAACTCTGAAGCCCCACGCCCGTGGAAAGACGCCTGCCCCGTGTACTGCGGCAGTTCCCACTACTTCTGGCGACACTAGTCAGCGTCAGAATGCTCGTCCGGGTCCTGAGCAGCACCGGCCTCGCTATGGTCAGCAGGAGGACATGCGCAAGTGTGCCAATGTGCCATCGTACCCACCCGAGCCGTTCACCTTGAAAAGCGGCCACACGTCGCGTGGCAAGGCCCAACCCAAGCCCGAGCAGCAGTCCCAGTACCAGGGCCAGCAGCAGTACCACCACCACCGGGCTCAGCAGCCGCCGCCGCTCAGACCGATGGGCATCTCGGACAGGTACTGGGCCTCAGAGGAGGGCAAAGCCGAGCAGACGTTCACCGCCGGCGGCTACTCCTTCCCAGGCTTCGCCACCGCCTACATGTTTCAGGAGGACGAGGATGGTGGCGCTGCTGCCGCGCCGCGCTCGAATGGCGACTACAAGGATAATAACAACAGCAACAATAACACGCGGTACGCCTCCTCCTCCCGCACTTTTGACTGCGCTTCTCGCCCCGCTGGGTGCACCACCACCGCCACCACCGCCACCACCACGGCGGCTGCTTCTTCTGAGCATCAGCACATGCCCCCTTCGCACGCGAATATTGCCCAGGCGCAGGTATGGGAGGTGGACTCGGACGAGGCCGAGGAGATTGAGGAAGGCCACGTCAACCTCTTAGCCGGCAAGGGCAAGACCAGGAGCATGGCGGCGAAGAAGGCTTGATGAATTTGATTGATCGATTCATGAACTTTTTCTTTTCCTGTCAATTCATGCTTGTTTGTTCTTTTTCTTTCTTCCCCAAACACGGGATGTTATTCTCTGCTTCGGCACGGTTCAGTCGAGAACCTACATTCATGTTTTCAACATAGCAACAGCAAAGAGTCAACTATTTGCCCGGGGAAAATGGGCGGACAAAATAATACGGCGATGCGAAGACTGTGGCTGACTAGAGCCCGGATCATATGGCTAGCTGTAAGATTGCGGGCTGGGACTAGCTTAAGGTACAATAACTGAGAAATACGTGTTGATTTTCCATACCTCTTCTGAGCCCACTGGCTAAACAGTGATCGCCCATCGGCCAGCGATGTCGTTGAAGGCCGGGGGTTTGATGATTGTCAGGGGCAAGGCGATACCTGTAGTGACCGTGGGATTGTTGCCATCTTCCCCTTCGCCGAACACCACATCAAATACCACGCGGCCATCGCCAAATTGTCCACACAGCCGTCTTTTTGGGACCACAAGACGCACCTGGCGTTACTTACTCCAGGGCATCACGACGGCCGCACCACTCCAGCCTGGTGAATAGGAGCGCCATCTTGGCCGAAGTAGCCAAGAAAGGCTACATACACATACTACACACCGTGACTGCTGCGATGTAAACGAACAATGAATACGCTTGATGTATACGGTACCCGATCCCTCTAACATACATGATGGATGCCTTAGATTGCTTTGCCCCCCTGCGCTTGACAAACGGCTGAACGAGAACCATATCACCACCGCCCTCATAAATCAGAACTCAACTCCGACCAGTCCCATCGTCCTATCCATCATCCCAGATAATCCGAAAAACGAATACGGAAACGGTGAATCGGCTCCATCAACCACAACCAGACAGATACACCTGTTCTTCATGCCCCAGCTTTTGTTTCCCCTATCCATGTCATAAGTCTCAGCTTCGATCCTGTCTTTCTCTCACTCTCTCATTCCCGAATCGGCTTTTGACTGGCCCGAGAATGGCCCTGACTGCTCCAACTCCGTGATGAAAGGAACGCAAATGGAACGATACCAGGTTACGAGACGAGATGCCAAATACATGCTCAGCAGATTGACTCCTCAAAACAGCGTCCAGACTCCTCGCTTCCAGAAACCCCCAGATACCCGGCAAGGACAGAGCAACCGTTCTATAACAAATGGAAGAATCTCAGAAGAGAAGCCGTGTATTGCCATCAAGAAACTGTACTCTGAGGGGAGCAGGGGGGTATAGATGAAAAAGTATCCGCAGGCTGTCCAAAGAAAGAGAAGGAGAACAGACTCGTCACTAACCTAACCCCTCCTCGCGGCCCTCAACAACTCGAGCGTACTCGGCGAAGCATGGCGAAAATTCGGCACCGTCCTTCCACCTGTGCCATACGACGCCCAGGGGGTCTGGGTAGCCGATTCCTCGCCGAGCGTTACCCCCGGCGCGGGACTGACCCTACGAATCCCCAGCGCGCGGCAGGCCTCGAGGCGGCGGGCCTCGAACTCACGCGAGCGCTGCCTCTCTCGGTCGACGCTGCGCATGCGCTCCTCGACGTCATGGTTGGCCTCCTCCATCTTGAGGTCGTGCTCGCTCAGCCCGCGCATCTTGCGCTCCGCCCGCGCGCACACCTCGTCCAACCTGGCCGCAACCGCCTCGGGCGCAAAGTCGGACTGCGACGAGGGCACGACGCTCGTCGCGCGTTGCTTGGCGCTGCCACCCCAGCCGCAGCGGAAGATGAGCTCCGACTTGACCCTCCCGTCGGGCGTTTGCCACACCGACACTCGGTCGCCGTCGTACAGCGTCATCCAGAACTTGGATGGCCCGCTGGGGTTCCTCGCGTCGTCCGAGGGCAGGTGGACGTCGTTGACGTAGATGCCCGCGGTCGCCTTGGTCGAGATGTAGAAGTGGAAGAGATCCTCATCCACCTCTGGCACGCGGTTCCATGGCCGGAAATTCTTGGCCGGATCGTAGTGTGGCTTCCATAGGAGGATCCTGAATGCATATTTGGGCACTCTAAGGTCGTTCTTGACAGCATACAGACGTGTGTTCTCTGTTGCTCTGCCCCATGACACCATCGACTCTGTGATCAGGATCGTAACCAAGGGGATGGCGGATCCTGGAGCAGATTGCAGGCAGGCAACTACCGGTCTTCCGGGATCGGAATGCATGGGCATTTTGAGCTCAGCGATGCCTCCTTGGTCTGAATCTGGCGGAGTAGCTGGGATGCTCGCGTCGGGAGCGGCTGTGGATGGTATCATACCATTCTCTGCGCCGCCGTTCTGAGTTGGCTTGCCTGAATCAACGCGGCGACGTTCGCAATTGGATGCTGGGAAATACTTCATGGCTAGATCCCACAAGGGCGTCTTGCCTGGGCCAAACTCCTCATCCCTGGCCGAGGCGGCCAGCTTGAACGCGTCAAGTTGCAGCTGCGTCATCTCCGGATAAGCTAGATGCCATGTCTTCCTGTCCTGGGCTGACCAGTAGGTTGACTTGTGCACGGGGTTGTCGATTTGCCGCCCGGATTGAGCCCTCATAATGGACGGCATTTGCGCAAGCAACTCGTACTCGCCATTCTCAATGGCTTTATCGACTGCAAGCCTGGCCTCGGTCTCGGACCGAAGCCTCTTGAGCCCCCGACGATCTTCTGTGACAGGAACTTCATCTTCCTCGCTGCCGTCCGACGAAGGCTTCCTCTTGCTGGTATTCAAATCGCCCGTGGTATGCGAGCGGAGAAGGGATACGCCGCGGGATTTCATATTGAGGTTCTCGAGTATAGACTCGGCGCCCCCGAGGCTCTGTGAGGCGACGTCAAAGGTCATGTTATTGAGCTCGTCGACCGACCTGCTCTGACCAGCGGAGAGAACCGAGGCTCGGAGACCACCCGACGAGGCCTGCGACTTCTGCGACTTTTGCCGAGGAGTGAGACTGTCCTCAGACTCGAAACTGTCCTTGATCTCCAGATCGTTGCCGAGGATTTCCGTGGTGGCGTTGGACCCAAAGCTGGCCGCCGATATTGGCAGGTTCAGGCGATCTGCTGGAATGGCTCCAGAACTCCTTACTGCTGAGGAATTGACTTCGCCGAAAAGACGGTGGGGATGGTGATTGGGCCCAAAGGTATAGTTTTCCTTTTCCGATTCGTAGCTGAGAAGTCCGTCTTTGTCGAAGTCCACGTCCTCGTCGTCTGAGATCTCATCGTCACTCGGTACACGCAACTCCCGGCACTCGGCCTGTTTCCTCTGTGTGTCTTCAAGACTCAACTGGGAGGCGTTTACATGGAGCTCTTCCTCAGCAATCTGCTCAGAACATTGCGCCACGGTGGTGAAGGAGCCGGAAATCCACGGATGGTTCTGAAGAACTTCCACCGTTGCCCTGGTTTCGGGCCTCCGGTCCAGCATGCGACAGATAAAGTCGATTCCCTCGTCAGAAACATTCGCCTCCACGAGCGGCGAGACGTCTAGCGGCTTGGTCATGATCTGGTGAAGCAATTCAGAGTGGCTGGCGCCGTTTCTGGCCGGGAAAGGCGGCTTCTTTGTCAGGGCGTAGAAGAGAACGCCGCCCAATGACCAAATATCAACCGCATGATCATATCTCTGGCCTGTATTCGGACGACGGTAGCGGTTGCGTGGATGGCGGCGACCGTGGTCGTCGTACTCGGCGTATTCGGAGTAGACTTCGGGCGCACAGTAGAGCAGCGTGCCGCAGAAGGTCCGCAAGAATGTTTGCTCGTTGTCAACCATTTTGGATAGTCCAAAGTCGGTGAGTTTCACAACAAACGGAGCTTGCGAGCTGACGAGAATGTTGTCGGGTTTTACATCACGGTGTGTGATGTTCATGTCGTGCAAGTACCCGAGGGCATCGAGCAGTTGTCGCGCCATCGTCTTTGTGCCGCTCTCTGACAGGGGGCCGTTATCTGCAATCAGTTTGCCCAGATCGCCCCCGCCGACGAACTCCATGATGATGATGAGGAGCCTGTCGTCCCAGTCGATGTGCTCAATGTACTCGACGATATTCGGCTGCTGAAGTGTGAGCATTGCATTCCCAGGTTGTGCTGAAGAAGGGGGATGGCCTACGTGCTTGACCCGCTGCATGATCCTCATCTCATTCTCTACCTTTTGGTCCAGAACGCCGTTTTTCATGAACTTGCGCTTGTCCAGCTCCTTTGCCGCGTACGGACGTCCATCGAACTTCATCGTTACCTTGTGTACCGTGGCGAAAGCACCTCTTCCAATTTCGCACACGCGATTGTACTTGTTCGAACCGTTCCACGGCCTTGGAAGCGCGTCCCTCGTACTTTTGCTCTGCCTCGAACGGCTGTCAGCCGTTTGGGCTCGAAGGGCTGTAACGGCATTCGTTGTGTTACGGCCAAGGGCAGCCGGCGGTCTTGGGGCTCTTGGTTTGAATATATCCACCTGATTGAGCTCGTCAGCGCGAGATAGGCGTCCGCGCCGGGGGAAAGAAGACTTACGTGCCCTCCCGGCTCGGGAACAATGGTTGCACCGGGGTCAGCGGTAAAGAGCGCCTGGTTCGCCAGATAGGCGTCCAAATTGCGCTTATACTCCTCCTCGCATGGCCCATCGCGGATTGGAATCCGAACCAAGAAGACGATATCTAGGGCGGCTTGATGCATGAGGATCTTGATCTTGGACCCGCTTTCTAAGGTTCTCATGGTTTCGGAGCGCGGGTTGTCCTTCTTTTTGAGCAGCACCTCGTCGACCACGGTCCCGTTTGTCGACATGTCCTCAAGCATCAACACACCGTGCTCGTTCAGGTAGATGCGGAAGTGTACCTTGCTCAGGCGTCGGTGCGGGTCATTTTGGAGGCAGATGTCGCAGAAAGCGGGGTGCCTGCCGAAGGTGAAGCCTTGTGACGGATCCTTGACCTGGGACGAGAAGCGCAGGGCTATGTGGTTCTCGCCAACATCAGAATGTATGCCGGGGAAATTGCGCGACTCGTCCTCCCGCGTGTAATCGAGCCTGAGGTCGTCGACATCTTCTCGCCCCACCATATGCTGTGAATTCTCAGCGGCAATCCTCCTCACCTCCTGGCGCGCAGGCTCCGAGTATGGCAGGAGGAGACATATGATGTCTGCGATGTCTTCGTCCGAAAAGCCCGAGGTTTGCTGGCCCAGTCGCCTTGGGTCGACGACGGTTTGTGTTGCTGTCGGCCCAGTCAGCAATATGAATCGCTACTACCCGGAAGGCAAGCGACACAGCAATGCGCCATTGACGCGCTGCAGCAACGAGGGTAGGCATACGTTGAGTAAGCTGCGAATCCCTAGCGGGATCCATCGGGACGGAGGGGATCCACGGTGAACGGCGGGGTGCAGTCGGTGGTCGAGCTCCGCGGCGACGGACCGGCGACGCTGGCAACAAGAGTCAATCGAGACGGGCGAGGCGGCGCGTTGTTTTCGCATCGGAAGAGCAGAGACGAGTAGCGGCAGACGCGAAGGTCCTCGCGTGGTTCGGACGAAGATGTACGCTATGGACGCGAACGAAGCAGAAAGCGGGTCGGTTCAAGGTTGAGGGGACGACGGGGCGGCAGGCCCCGTGGTGTGGAAGACCCTTCCAGACGAGGGGGTCGCGGTGGGCTGTGGATGGTGGTTGCCGGGGGCAGCGAAACGGAAACACTGCCGGACGCCAGTCAGCGGCCGCTTCGAACGTCAGCTCTGCACTGTCTGCAGGTTCTTTCAACTGGCCAATGCACGATCACGAGCGAGCAAAATGCCTTCTCAGTGAGCCAACGCCGTCATGCGGCATTCTGGCGTGAGTTGCTTGGATATCGAGGCAAACGAACATGACCAGGCTGAGTTCCCTCGAGTCTTCGAATTTGTCAGATGGCATTGCAGCGATGCTGGAATGGGTGGCCAGTGGTGACTGTTGCCCTTCACACGCGCTGCAAGGCGCACGGGCGCATCCACCTTACCTGGGTTGATTGCAAGGGTTCGACTGGCTGCCCCTCATTCAAGACTCGACAAGGCCAATAACTACAGTAATAAATCCCGGTACTCGATAACATTCGAGAGGGTCATGGTGCGCCCGGAGGCTTCGTTTCCCAGCGAGGCGGTTCTCGAGGACTTTGCCGCATCTCCACTCTCGCCCCCTCCCGGCATGACCAGCTGCGGCCCGGCACCAGTCGTCCGGTGGAAGGGAGTGCCAGTGGCGGAGGGCACCAAAACCCGGCAGCCAGCCGACTCGCCAGGTCTGTCTTTGCCCGGGGTAGCATGCATCCGGCGAAACACCAAAAAGCAATGAAAGGCGGGCTAGCTCTGGTTGCCTTGGTGAGCTTGGATAACTTAAATAATTGGGTAGGTGTTCTAGGTAGGTGAGGAGGAAATGTTGGTCATGTCTGCGATCGCCGATCTGGATGAACACGCCGATAATCGAACTTTCGACCGCGTAGGGCCTGCACCATGGCCATAGTCAAGGCAGCATCAAGTTCAGTCCTACACGTCCACGGGTGTAGAGCTCACCTGAGCATGCATGTGGCAACATTGAAGCCTTAATCAGGTAGCCCGGAGTTTGATCCTGGATGGAGAGCTAAGGTACTCACATGCAGGTGCCTGGCAAACCTGAGACTTCTCTTGCACTTCCCGTTTCTCTTGATAGGAACAGGCGAGGAACACTTTTTGTAGGCCGGCCTCATTCCGGCATCGATTGGCCAATTCTATGGATGCTGTCTACCCCAAAGGAAGAGGGGTTGGGCTCTCTGAATGAGCTAAACATACCATAGTACCTAGGTATATCCATCCAATGCCAGGCGAGCGGCCAAAACTTCCTCTACAAATCAAGCAAACGATACAGTTTGAACCGCTTGTTTCTCCTGAAGTACAGAATATATGCTCTGCACAAGAGACTCAGGAAGCAACTTGAGTTGCCAAATTCTTATTATGTGACTGGTCAAGAGTTCTTGGTTCATTCCCCTTTCCTTGATTCTGTCATATACTTACTGCTTCTCTTCCCCACCTTCCCCATCTCATTTCGTGTCTCTCCCCATGTCATGATTGCTGAATTTCACGTTCATCATTCTTGACTGCACACCTTGGACACGGACCAGGGATTCAGTTGACCGTCGCCAGGAGGGCGCTCAGAGACAAAGTCCAAGTGCTCTCCCACACCCATACTTTCCCACCAGGTTACCTACCTTACTACTAGTAGTGTACGGATACATGCCTTGTATGTGGTGCGGCCGGCATGAGACGCTGAGCTGTTCTATGCTTCCTGCTCAATGACCCCCACATTGGGCATCTTGTCGGGTAGTCGGAAGGGTGACGTTCACGCCAAGACCAGACCGCCTTGCTGGGTCCCGTGCGTACGTCACTTCAGGATCGATGCAACTCTCAAATCTGCATTTCGCTGAGGCTGAGAGTCCGCGATACTCATCATCCAGATAACGCTAGATGGCTGGCGTCTTGGACACTAATACTACCATATGCGGCAACCGGGTCCATGAGCGCATCGGGTCATCGCTCAGCTTGTTGCGTATACGGAGTACAGAGTACCGGTAATTGGGCTGCTTTGATACCCCTATCCGTACATATCCGTACATATGCAGTGGTGTTGCTGAGAATCAACCTTATTTTGCCGTGGCTGCAGAGACATACGGAGTACAGAGGATCCATCGGGGATGATGCGAGATGACACGTCTTCGCTTGTCCATCGATGATGTCCAGACAAATACGCGGACATCATCCACCTCAGGTTGAGGCCGCCAGCTCAATTGTCTCACGCGGGCTCGTATTGCAAATTCGAGACGGTCTCTACCGCCCGCCGAGAGCTGCCTTTTTTGCTGGGCGCTGACGAAGATCACAATACGCCGTCAGATGGGCAGGGTGACCAGCGGAAACAGCCAATTTTAGCGCGTCGTGTCCATGGGATCCGGGGTCAGCGGGTATCGGTTTCAGGTCACAACGCCTGCCGCCAAATGGAGAGCTGTCGGTCGGCAACGACGAAACCCGGCTTTGTTCATCTCTTTCCACCGGCCCTGCCGGGCTGCGCCATGCGAGCCAGGGGCGCTCTGGACCAAAACCATCTTCAGGCGCTGACAAGAGGGCAGCCATCTGCTGCCTCTTCCGTCATCCAAGTATTTTCACGTGCTGGGCCCATGGAATGGTCCAATCATCGCCCGGGCCGGGCGCCAAGCAGCTCGGGCGGACGTTGGTGGATCTCAATACTCCGGAGCCCAGCCCAGCTAGCTTCTCCAATATGACAACGACGAGAGAAATGGAAGGTGGTTGACAAAAAATGGAATAAGTACGGAGTGTCGAGAGCAGTGCCCAAAACCGTTTCCCCTCTCCTGGGCAAGTATCAGGCATGCTGTTTCTTGGAAATGCGCAGCAGCAGCAGCAGCATCGTGGGGCCTACGGAAGGTGCTGTAACAGTCGACGGCGAATGGATGGGTCGGAAGTCTGCCAAGCAGCTCAAACACCGATGATGTACGCTTTTGAGCGCGGATGACACGGTGGCAGAGGGCACGAAACATGCATGGATCGACCAAGAACTTGTGCTGTTTGACCGTTGCTTCTCTGGAGGAGGTAGGTGCTCTCTCAGCTTCTTCATTTGTTCGGTTTCTACGGATACAGGATGGCTTTTAAAGTTGCTTTGGACCTTGGGGAGCTACGGATACCTCCGGACAGTGGATCAGTTGTCCGAATATTATTTCTCGGTATCCCGCCAAGTGGAGGATGGTGTAATCACCTCACAGCAGGGTGCATTTCGCCGTACCTGGCAGACAATGACCGGAGTTTCGGCCGGGAAAGCACTTGGCTTGGAGAGAGACATTCAAATAGGCGAGGTGCCCCTTGCATTTGTCCATGGACCTTCTAAGCTCCTGTTCTGCGTCCTCTGCAGCACTTCTTCTGCCTGACATTCTCCTCCGACGTTGAGAATCCCTGCAGATTGACAGAGCATTGGTGATCAATTCACTCCGTGTTCTGCAGCGGTACGTACCCTTTTATATTACCCTCCCTCACTTCCAAATTGAGAACAAGCACCCTTGAAGAGCCAGGAAGGTTCTTGCTCTGCAGTACGTGCACGACGAAAAACACCGGGACAAAAGGGCGTCTTTATTCGGTTCATACCGTCTCCTTGCTGCTCCTCGTAGCCAAGAAACCTGGCGTTTGTGACGCAGTCGCCCCGGTGGCCAACATCTCCAAGATCCAAGTTGCCAGGTTTCTCTCAGAAAAATACCTAGGTCCGCCAGACCCAGCAGATTCACGGCAGCTCAATGACGAAGATGCCGAAAAGCTCCAGATTATGCACACCAAGTGGGCTTTGCAATCTCCTAGATTCCGGCCTTCCGGAAGTCCGCGGCTTCTCGCTGTACATGTACTGATATAAGTCGGGATTTGTGTGTGTACTGACTTGACGATTGACGTAGGCTGCGGCGATCGTTTATTGTCTGCCGGTCCCTCGTTTTCGAGATCGTTCGTTGATCGACGGAACCGGTCGAAACTGGAACGCCAGATCGCAAGATCGAGTTCTCGGTCTTTGTCCCGAACCTCCCGCACCTTAGACGAACCTAATCCGGATGGAGCGGTAGCCGGCGCAAGAGTGACGGCACCAAAAAACCGGGCCGTTGGCACGGGAGAATAGCTTGGAGGGTCCTCCCCAAACGACTCCATCGAGCTCGACCCTGTCTGCTCGCAACACGACCGTGCATGAGTTTCTGATATTTTTTTTGGTGGACAAACCGTTGTTTGTTGTGTTTTGGAACTGCGCAAGAGAGCATCATACAGGCTGACTGCTTGCCAAGTCGCCATTTTTGGAGAACCCCACCATGGGTCGGAATCGAGGTATGTGGTGGCTCTTCCATCGCTTCAGCTACCAAATTTCAGGGAAAAAGGCAGCACAGCTGGCACTGGCATGAGAAGTCTCGCTGCCGGGGCAATCGTGTGTCGTGTTTGTCAAAGGGCACTTTGTGGAAGAGTCAATAACGAGAGAACATTACGAGGAGGCGCTGGGGCCATGCAAATACTTCCAGCCGATTTGCTGACTCCTGTCGTGTCTGACAGTCCTCTCGTTTATTTCCCAGTGGTCAGCGCCTCACAGGGATTTGGGGTCCCCTACTCCTACATCATCGCCCAGCACCGACGCCCTCAATAACAAGCCTTCCCTGCCAAAGCAGCAGACTTGGGGTCCTGACTCGGTCAAATCACCCTCGCCCGTCGCACAGCGACATCCCGCGAGCGATTCAACGTTAGCCTCTTCGTCCGCAACGAGCCCCTCGGAGGGCGAGCATGCCGCCACACCCCCGTCTGTAGAGAATTCGCCGCCTACTAGTCCTGCGAGAGCGTCAAGGAGAAGCTCGCGACCGCTTTCTATGGTGCAGACCTACAACCCGCCCGTCATGGCCGTCACCGAACAGACCCTACCCGAGCTGCAGCCCATCTTCACGCTGCTGAACACCCACTCGAACAAGCTGTACCAGGAGGGGTACTTTTTGAAGCTGGACGACCAGGACATCCGTAGGCTACCTGCGGGGCTTTCTCACGCTGGCTCTTACTGACCCCAACTACAGGTGGAAATCCGAACCCCGACCGGACATGGACTGAATGTTTTGCCCAGCTGGTCGGCACTGTGCTGTCGCTTTGGGATGCCGCTGAGCTGGACGCGGCGGGCGAAGACGGGGAGGTGTTGCCCAAGTTTATCAATTTGACAGATGCGTCCATCAAGATGGTGCGTGGCAGTGCCCCATAAGAGGCTGCCTGATTTGAATTGATGTCTGACGGTGGGTCACAGATCGACGCGCTCCCGACGAAGACGAACGACGAACAGCCGCTCCAAAACATCTTGAGCATCAGCACTGCGGGCCGCAATCGGTATCTGCTTCACTTCAACTCTCACCACTCTCTGATTCAGTGGACCTCCGGGATACGGCTGGCCATGTTTGAGCACTCGACGCTTCAAGAGGCTTACACGGGCGCCTTGGTCGCAGGCAAGGGGAAAGCGCTGAACAATATAAACATCATCATGGAACGGGCCAGGCAGCCCATCCAGGAATGGGTCCGCGTTAGATTCGGCGCAGGTGTTCCCTGGAGGCGGTGCTACTGCGTCATTGACCCTCCAAGTGAGAAGGAGTACCAGAAGGCGCAGAAGGAGCACAAGAAGCGCTCACCCTACGATCGGTCCGGCCCCGTGTTGAAGGGCGAGATACGCTTCTACGATTCTAAGAAGGAAGCCGAGAAAAAGAAGAAGAACCAACGGCCGATCGCATCCATTATCGATGCCTACTCTGCCTATGCTATCTACCCGCAGGCGAAGGAACTGATCGACACATCAACGCTCCTCAAGATCGAAGGCAACATAACAATACACTCTAACCCCCCGTCGTCGACCGAAGGTTTCGTGTTCATCATGCCCGAAACCCACCCGGCCGTATCCGGCTTCGAAATGCTCCTCCGGTTTCTGTTTCCCACCTGGGACACCTTCGCTCTGTACGGCCGCCCCGGCCGCCTGGTGGCGAGCTCCCTCGACACTCGCTCCTTGATGTTTTCGATGCCAAAGTATAGGAAATACGGCTATCTCGAGATCTTGGATGTGAGCGGACTTATCTCGACCGAGGGCAGCGCAGTATGGTCAGAACGAGAGTGGCGCAAACGGCTCAAGGATTTGACAAGTCAGCGCATGGCCACTATGGAAGACGTGGCCCCGAGCAGCGATAGCCGGAGTACAAGCCGCCATGGTAAGCGGCTGAGCTACGGCGCCCAGAATTCTGCATCTCGGCCGAGGGTAGGCTTTGCGGACGACAGTGATTCCGTCCGAACATCGCGATCAGGTGCGCGCAATGAATCGGCTCCTCCTGATCCCAACCGGGAACGGCTTCCGTCATCGATGGCAGGACAGTCTCGGCACTCTCGTCATATTTCTGATTCCCAACTCGGCGACGCGACCTCTAATTTTGTGTTGGATAACTCACCTCCCGCGCAGCCTGCGATGCGCAGCGGCCCGGATCGCGTCAGGGCGTATGCGAGCGAGTTGGCTTCGACACCCGAGAGAGTTAGCTCCGAGGACGATAGTCCGGCGAGAGGACCAATGGTCGGCAACCTCGAGACTATGAAGCGCATGGAAACGCCCGAGCCTGTCAACGCGCCTCCCGCTTTCGCGCATGGTGCAGGTTCGCGCCCACAGCAGAAGCCTAACCCGTCGCCGGAGATGCGCAGGGCGACCGTCCGCTTGTCAAACACGACATTGTCCCAGCTCGCCACCGCCGGGGGTCTGACGCCAAACGCTATCTTGAATGAACCCCACGAGTTGCACTTCGGAAACGGGAGCGAGGGTTCGAGTCCAAGGCACACCGACCACCGAGGTCTAGCGGTACAGACACAAACCAGCGCCAACGCCGTGGAGATGAATGCTAATACCAATGGATCTCGTGAAGCTCTAACATTACCCACCACTGCTGTCGGAGCCGCTGCACCTCCGCCTCCCCTCAGGGATCCCGCCCGAAAACGGTCGAACTCCCCGCTCAGGGGTCCTTCTGCTGAACGCACTGATACTACTCCCGCTGCGTTTCATCCCAGTCCTCATAACCACCCTTCCTCAGGCGGTCGCCGCACTCCTCCTCCAAACCACTCCCAGCAAGTTCCACCGGCCGCCGGAAGCTCACCGCCGGTCCACAGGAAGCCTCTCCCCGCCAGGACGACCAGTCTATCCCATCACCGGAATGTAGCGGCCTCACCAGTTCCTGCCCAGTCACCTCCGTTCACTTTCCCGTCTCCCGGGTCAGGACCTCGCTTTCAGGGCCTGAATGATTTCACCCCCCCGGCGCAGACCCATTCACGCCAGAATGGCCAAAGGAGTACCGAAGACGGCAATGACGACGCATCTTCTACAGCAAGCCCAGATTATGCCAGCACTCATCGCTCCATCGACACACAAGAATCTGTAGATCGGCCTCGTGCCGGGAAGCTCAGGGTTGTTGGGGATAGCAGCTCTGGAGGCTCCTCGGTTAAGGATTACGACATCCCCGAGATTGACTTTGGGAAAACCCTTAACTATGGCGCTCCCGTCCTTCCAATCGACAAAGCGCCCTCCAAGGAACGTTCAGGGCCCAGCTCTGGTCGGAAATCGCCGGGCACCGGAACAACGCTCTCCCACGTTCGCCAGCAATCGGATGACACGATTCGTCGGGGCGTTGCCTGGCCTGGTCCTCCCGCCGGATTGTCGACGACGGACAATCTTACATCACTCCAGCAGTCGCTCAGTCCACGCCCTGCTCCCACGCCCTTGTACGCGCATCAACGCGTTCCGTCTACCAGTACTCTGACCGACGTTAGGATTTCACACTCCCGCCACAGCTCGGCCGATCTCCTGTCCTCGGGGCGACCTGTTGGTCAGTCGCATTCCCGGCACAGCTCAGTCGATCTGCTCTCCAACGGACGACCGCCCAGCCGGGGCGCCGGGGCGGTACTGTCTAGTGCTGAACCCACCAAATGGCCCGGCAGCCGCGGTATCTTACATTCTCGCAACAGCTCAGCTGACCTCCTCTCGTCCGGGCGACCAGTCAGTCAGGGGACCGCAGTGGCTTTGTCTGCTGGAGAAGTGTCTTCGTATCTCTCGGCTCGCGAGCAAGAGCATGTTGCGCGAATAACAGGCAGCCCATTGATCGCCTTGGCTACCAACAAAGGCCCGTCGCAGACACAGAGCGGCCTTGTTGGTGCCATCGAGAACAGAGAGCGCGAAAGAGCCCAGATGAGACAGGGGATAGGCGGCCAGGCGGTCGCGCAGGCCATCGACCAACGACATCGGGAGCAGAATCAGTATGCCCAACGAGCCGCTCAGGCCGCGTACGCGCAACAGCAGGCCCAATTCGCCGCCCAGCCGGCTCAGGTCCGTCCCCAGACTCCTGGTGGCATGAGCATGATGCAGCCCCGTCCCAAGACGCCGGGAGCCACAAACATGATGATGGACGCCGGTGCTGCCGGTTCGCCCTACGGGCCTGGCATGGCCAGCGTAAGCTCGCGCAGCATGAGCCCTGGGCCTGGCATGATGGGCGGTCCCGCGGGGGGACACTTCTCTCCTGTAGGCCCCGCGCAGCCGCGGTCTCAGATGATGATGTCCCCCTCGGCTTCGTACGGCGGCGGTGGCGCTGCTCCTCCAGGAGGTGGGTGGCAGCACATGGGCGGCGGCGGCGGGAACATGCCGCTCCGGCCGGGACCGCCCGGAGGTGGAGGGCCCATGGTGCCGCCCTCGCCGAGCATGCCCATGGGTTTTGGGGGCATGCACCACGGCGTCGGCGGCCCGCGGCCGCAGTCGCCTGCCTTCCAGATGCAGATGCCTCCTCGGGGGCAGTATGCGCCGCCTGGCATGCCGCCGCCAGGGGGGCCCAGGCCTGGGACGCCGGGGCGGATGCAGTTCCATGGTCAGGCTTTCTGAATAAATCACGGTCTGGGAGTTGAAATGGGTGATTTGAAGGTTGTTGTTGCTGGAGGCGGCAATGGAAGGGGAGGGGAAAAAGGTTGAAGAAATTCTGATGTTGGGTCTGGAACAAGGGGGTGGGGAGAGTGAGGCATTGATTGCATGAATTGGTTTGTTTTTGATCTATCTTGGACTATCATGGCTGGATAGATGATGAGGGGTGGTTGTGACGGTTGTTTGTGAGCATCCTTGTGAACCGCTGCCGAGCAGCTCTTCCCTATAATGTTTTTGTGTCTGTGTTGCATTGGAAGCTTTGCGGGGCTGCCTGTGTCACGAATTCTTTTTCTGATCTTTTTCTTTTTTTCCGGTTTGCTTTGAGCAGGCTGGGCGATGTCGGTCTTTTCTAAAAGCTGTTTTCCTTGGAATTTTTCTGTTGAGGTTCGACTCTGGCTGCATATGGAGGTGGTTTGGCCTGATATTCCAGCATAGCACATTCTGGCGCTGTAGGTACTGGCAGTCTTTTTAGAGCATATTCTCGTTCAATTCCACATGGAACCTTCAGCAATCCTGTTTTGGGCATCAAACGACGAAAGATGCGAGTCCGAGTTCCTGTGATGTCCTCGACCCCTTAACTCATCACCGGGATCAGATATCTATCAGCTGAAGGTCAAACCGGAGCTTGAAAGGTCGGCAGGGACCGACAGGGGGCTGCAAGAACTTGGCAGCTCCAACGTGGGAAATGCATTTGTACAGTATCCGTGGCGCATCCATAAGATAAGGATCTGAGCGAGATCCGGCAGGTTGTTTTTCTTTAGTTATCTAGGCAGTGACATCTAAGGCCTCTCACAAATCAAACAAGTCAGATTTGCCTACCGACTTACTTGAGATACTTAGGGCAGGGTACTACTTAACTTATGTTTAATTGAAAACTTATTAACATTATTTCCTAGGCTGATATGCCCATAGGTATGTCAGTTCCTCTACTACTATATATATTATTATTATTTTTCTTCCTATACTGCTATACTCAAAGGCTTGCCAGATCCTCTACTACTGAATATAAAGGAAAACTATGCTTGTAAGGCTGGACTAAAAACTTCTATCTTGCCTGTACTAGTCCGAAGTCCTGAATCTACCTACTACAGCAAAAGAAAGGCGTAATTAGCTAATTAGACTATCAAACTAGCTTAGTCTCATTGTACAGCTAGTCTATACTCCAGGAGCCTCTTAGAGTATAGTAGCTACCTAATTACCTTCCTTGCAAGCCTTCTCTCTTTGTTTCCCCACCTGCCGAAAGCCCTATACAAATCTCTCTACGAGCATATCTATATAGCTAGCCAGGTTCTTAGCTTAGGTAATTGGCAGCACTATATAGGTAAGTATTTGTGAGAGACAAGTAGCATCGAGGCGAGACATGTAGGCACTGCAATTGCTGACTCTATTCTGCTAATCGTAAGATGAGGAGAAAAGGAAGAGAAGCTGGATGTCACGGCCCCCACTATGAGCCCTACACTTGGGCAATTGGCAGGCGAGACACTGTGGATTTCATGGCGAAGCGACATGACTCGCAATAGAGGGAGGATATCTGGAGAGCGAGAGACTCAGATTGGAACTTGGAACTTCCTTCTCTTGAGGATCGGTCAGTTAGTTAGTGGTACACGCACATCACAGTCGTCTTGCCTGCTGCTCGTTGAGGATTCGGTTCATCTTAGTGAGCCTATGTGTGTCACCTTACACCCGGCCGCATTCGCAGTAGGAAGTAGGTATTCGAGAGACCTTAGCCCAGAAGAGGAAGTTCTTGAGGCCTCTTGTGACGAGCACCTCCCAAGGCCTAGTCAGCTCGCACATACAAGATTGATATTGCTATAACGAGAACAAGAGCTAGATGACAGAATGGGCGTGCAACCAGACCTCAAGTACTGGAGCAGAGGCCTATGCATAAGCATGACTATAGACGTATGATTAGACCCCATGACGTATATATAACCGCAAATATATGACATAACCATGAGAATAGGAATGGAAATCCCGTGACACCTATAGCCTCGGTTCGAGCTTGGGTTAGTAGGTTGCTCTCAGCCTTTATAAGGCCCATATGTCTTTCTAGTACTCTCTAGTTAGTATATAATGTAAGAGAGACTATTATATAAGATGTATTTTAGTAGCTAACCTATAGTATATAGCATAAAAGGCATGAATAGTTGGGTATTCAATATATTACTAGTAGCAAGAGTAATTAAAAGTAGCTTAGTATTTTTAAAAAATCTCTTTGAAAATATAATGATATAACTAGCTAGTTATTCTTTATTTAAATATATTATTATAAAAAATTTTCAAGGAAGTGGCTATAGTAGCTAGAATAATAATAAAGCTGATAGCTTGGCTAATGTATTCAAAGAGTATTAGCTACTAATCTACTATATATACGGTCTTGGCAAGGACTTGCCAAGGCAAGTCAAATTTGAAGCCCTATTTGGTTCCAGTTCTGTTTGAGTTGGTTTACTTAGATTTGACTTAGATAATTTGATTTGTGGAAAGTCTTGATGACATTCGACTCCTCATCAGAAACCTGATGAAACCACCTACACTAAGCGTTCCTGGTATCGCTGCCCCTCCGATCCCTCGAATGTTGTCCGCCAGCGCCACGGCCCGTCAGGTCGCGCGCGCGCCGCTGGAATGAGAAGACCAGCTGCCCGATTGCTAGCCCCAGCCTCACATGCGCCCTTGAGGGTTCGAGCTGCACAGTCCAGCATCGTAACCCACCCCCACACCCGCGTCCCATCCTCCTGCTTGCCGCCATTATGGCTCTTGCAATATCGCTCTGTGAACGACCAGCTGCTGTTGCAGAAGCGTCGGATATCTTCGATCACTTCAACGCCACAAGACGCGCCCTCAACGACAATCTCATCCAGCTCATCGTCGGGCCCGGATGAGGACGGCAGGCTCGACCCCTCTGTCTTTTCAAAACATCCTTTTCGCTTTGACACAGGCATCGCCTTGTTCGCGAAGCGCACTCCGCGGCCGTTCCCTCCTCCGTTCCTCTCGCCGCCGTCGGGCTCCTTCAGTGACCCGCTCAGCACCCACGACCGGAGCCGGGACCGGCGCCGCGCCTACGTCGGTGGGCAGCTGATTCAGGGGCTTACCAACGGCGACGATGCCGTGTTTGCGAGCGACTATTTCATCGGTGCCAACGACGGCGTTGGCGCGTGGAGTATGCGGCCCAGGGGTCATGCTGGGTGAGTTTGTCATCCATCTACTAGTCAACGCCAGGAATTTTGGGTATGTTGCTGACAACGTGCCATCGCAGACTATGGGCGCGCTTGGTCCTTCACTTTTGGGCAACCAGTATGTTTGAGGACGCCGCGCGACAAGGCGACGTCTACCGGCCAGACCCCGTCGCCTACCTGCAACGCGCATACGAGCAGACCATCGAGGCGACAGGCCCGCCCAACGACTGGCAAGGGACCACAACGGCCGCCGGCGCGCAGTTGCACTACCGCCGTCTCAATAGCACCAGCAGCAACAGCACCAACAACAACGACGAACCCGCCTCGTCCACAACAGACGACCGACGCAGCAGCGGCAAGCTCGCCAGGAAGGATGATATGCAACTGCAACCGCTCGTGTACGTGACCAACCTGGGCGACTCGCAAGTGATGGTGGTGCGGCCGTCGACACGCGAGATGGTGTACAAGTCGGCGGAGCAGTGGCACTGGTTCGACTGCCCGCGGCAGCTAGGCACCAACAGCCCGGACACGCCGCGCGAGTGCGCCGTCGTTGACATTGTCCCCATCCGCGAGGGCGACGTCGTGCTCGCCATGTCGGACGGGGTGATTGACAACCTGTGGGCGCACGAGATTGTGGACAAGGTCAGCGAGAGTCTGGAGAGGTGGGAGAGGGGCGATGTCAGGGGCTATCGAGGAGCGGGAGGAGGGGTGCTCGTCAGCGGTGATTGTGGGAGTAGTAGCGGGATGATGGAATACGTCGCCGCGGAGCTGATGGAGGCTGCGAGGGCCATCGCGGTGGATCCGTTTGCTGAGAGCCCTTTTATGGAGCATGCTATTGAGGAGGGGCTGGCAAGTGTCGGCGGTGAGTTTTGTTGACTGACGGATGGTTTCGGTTGGCAAATGGCTAACTCGAGCCAGGCAAACTGGACGACATCAGCGTCGTGGCTGCGATATGCAGGCGGAACGGTCCGTGATGAACGGGCTTGGAGATGGCCGATGGACTTCCGGTTGTGTGTTGGATCTCGACCGGTGTGTTGAATGATAAGCTAGACGCAGGCCCAGCGGCTTGCCCGGGAGTAGTGGCCTTCTTTTCCCTCCTTCCAGTCGGGTTCATTTCCTGCAAACCTCTCTGGAATAATGATGTTAGTTATAGAAGGCTGGCGGTTGCGGGTAGCTAGGTGTTTGATGTTTGGCTAGGAGCAGCATGGGTCATTGCTGGGGACCTTAATGCTGTCAAGAACTTCGTACATCATGAAAGCGATTTGACTCAGAGTATCTCCGGGGCAGAACTCCACCGAATGCAGATGCGATGTCTACCGCACCGTATGCATTGTGAGCCTTCACTACTGCCATCGTCGATGGATTGTTTCGGTGCCTCTTCTGCCACGAGATTGGGCCAGGCTCAGGAACGGGCTCAGAACCAGGCGGGGTGGGGGCTGTGGATGGGTGAAAGCTTGGCCTGTGGGAGCTGCAGCAAGGGGGGTGCTCTCAGACGAGGCCTGGAAATTTTTCGGCTCTTCAAACTCACAACGGAACACCGACACAGTGGTGTGTGAGAGGTCCAACTGTTCATTACAGCTTTGGCGTTTCACATCCAAACTATCTTCGCTAACAGAGAGATACGGCAGTCAATCAACTCCCAATTCTTCAACCATCATTTTCCACCTTGTCGCAATCTTTGACATCAGAGCTGGTCTAAAGGACGCCGCACCTCACCATGGGCAAGCGCACCAAGCAGTACAAGAAGCTCATGCGAGCCTTTGAGCTGCTCGGGTTCCGCCAGCCGTACCAGCTTCTCATCACCAGCGACGTGCTCCTCGACACCGTCAAGCTCGACCTTATCAACCTCTTTCAAAAGACGTTGTCAACCAAGGACGTGAAGCCCATGATTACGCAGTGCTGCATTGTGAGTTTCTTGTCAAGTCTTCAAAACACTGAAATTTGGATACTGATGCATTGCGAACAGAGGGCACTGTATGCCAAAAATGTTCCTCCTAATAAGGACCCGACGGTTGTCGCCGCCATTGACAGGGCGAAGACGTTTGAGAGGAGACGGTGCGGTCATCTCATGGACGAGGATCCGCTTACGGAACGCGAGTGCATGCTCTCGGTGGTAGATCCGAAGGGGAAAGGGGAGAATAAATTCCGATATGTGGTGGTGACGCAGGATGAGTGGCTGGTATGTCGGGTGTTTTCCTCGCCCTTATCTCTGCTTTTCCGGCTGACGTTTTGGGGCTACAGAGGGACAGGTTACGGTCGGTGGTGCCTACGCCGCTGATGTATGTGCGGCGGAGTGTCATGGTATGTCATCGGGTGTCTGCGTGGGTCTGGTGCCGTGGATGAGCTAATAAACTCGGCAGATTCTCGAGCCCATGTCCTCATCATCAGCCAAGGCTAGAGAACGCGAAGAGCGCTCGAAGTGAGTTCACTTCTACAGCTGTTTACTACAAGTTGAAAGGTCCAAACTGACAAGCAGGACAGGTTCCTGGATGGCATCGTCAGACGGCCACAGAAGAGAAAGAGGGAAGACGACGAGTCTGGGGAAGAGCTGTCTGGAAGTGAAGGCGAGGGTAAGGATGAAGACGGCCGACCCAGGGAAGAAGACAAGCCCAAGAAGAAGAAAAAAAAGCGTGGCCCCAAGGGGCCGAACCCACTGGCCGTTAAGAAGCCCAAGAAGAAGTCGGAAGCAGATCAGAAACCCAGGAACCCGGCGGCCCCCTCGACAGTGGCACCGACAGACACCAAGCCAAAGCGGAAGCGGCGCAAAAAAACCAGCGGTGCTGAGAGTCGCGGTGGTGAGCAGGCGGCAACAGCGGAGTTGGCCCCTGTTGCGGCTGCGGCTGTTGAGTTGTGAGGCAAGCAAGAGCGCACGCTTGACTTTATCTGATAACATTGTGAGCTGTTGATCTCTCCTCTATGCTTACCTTCCTCCACAGCAATCGCGTTTTCAACGGATCAACGACTCCGGCATTTGTTTGTCCCTCACCATGATACCTTTCTTACCATTGTTTTGTTTGCGGCTATGTCCTTTTCAGCCTGGGTGATGAAACTTCTTTGATTCTCTTGTGTTATACCTCCAGACACGTGTAGCTGATGCATCTACTCATTAAAGACATCGACGGAGGTACGACCGTTTCGCTGGCGTCAATGGAACCCACAGCGTCACATCCTCCGGCTGTGGGGCAGGGCCTTTTATCGGAGATGCCAAGAAACGGCACAGAGTCTGTGCATTGAGCTATTAGGAGAGCCAGGCGTGAGAAAGGCGGACGATTGCGGGTGTAAACCATAATTAGGCTTGTGTTTATCTCTTTGACCCTTTTCTCAAAATGATAGATGTTGCGAATTAGGCTCAGCCAAGGACATCGCTTCATCCTTGGGCCGCGTGTTCCCGTCGATAAGCATTGTACGAATAGGGGCACTAACATTAAGGCACCAAAGCAGGGGGGGGAATCGTCGGCCCCGACTCCCGTCTTTGAAACTGGGAACTTACAACCCCCATGTGTGCGAGCCCCTGATCAGCTGCCACCCGCCCGCGCGATTCCCAGGACAGCCGGCTGTCCTGACATTCGTTTATTAATAGTTAACAGCAAACAGCCATGCCGAGCGTTGACGGGACCTCGGCTGGCAGTGACCAGAACGACTCGTCGACCATCGCCACAAGAGATGGCCCGTCCGCCCCGGTGTTGTCACCCGCGAATTATAAGTCTGGGAATAAATCCGTCACCACCATGGCGGTTGAGCTCGACGATTTTGGCCTCCCGATCAGAAAGTACACGGTGCCGGCCGAGGAGGAAACACGAGACAATGCTACCGCGGTGGGCATTGACGACAAGTCTCGTACCGCTACAAAGGACGAGCCCAGGGACGCTAGCCAGCAGCCTGAGGACACATACAGTGAGAAACAAATCGTGGGGGTAACAGCAGTCATCAGGAACTCGGACGCTACAGCAAATCGTCCGGCGCCGGCCAGCATCCAAGACCCCAAGGGCGCCGTCCCCGACAACGACAGCGAACCTGCAGATGCATCTCGGGTATCCGCGACAAGTTCTCCAGATGAGCGTGGTGTTGCGGACCGGACGGACCCAGCAACACAGGCTGACGGGCGGCGCGCAGACGAAACATCAGACGACGCGAACCCGCAGCCTGGAGGCAGCCGCAATACAGACCACCAGTCGGCAAATGTCAAGGAACGGGCCCTGTCAGAAGGGAGAAAACCGGAACCAGAGACGACCGATCCGAAGCACGATGCAAGCAAGAGGCTGAGCGGAGTCGGCGCCTCCGAGTTTTCGCACCAGCAGCTCACCTCGAACCAACCCGAAAAGAAGGACGGCGACGATGACGAATGGCAGGTCATGCCCGCATATGCGCCATACGACATATACGACGACAACAACAAATTGGTCGCCAAAGAATACAACGAGAAAGAGGATGACGAGACATACGGGTACGCCGGACTGGGCGGGGCCGGCAAGGGGTACACAAGAGTGTTGCTGGACGACGACGCCGAATCTGCAACCAGCATGGACGAGCACACCCAATACCTGTTCAAGGACGGCGGCGGCGGGACAAGCACAGGAGTCACCGATGACGACCAACGGGACGCCGTGAGCCAGCTGCAGGCGACCAAGGAGCTCCTGACCGAAGGCCAGAGGGTCGCCTACGTGGGCTTGACGCGACTGGAGCTCTCAGCCATGCTGAAAGAGGCCGAATCAATAGAGCACACGTCCAAGACCAAGAAGCAGGTGACGCTGGCCGCCGAGAACATGAAGATGTGGAGTCAGAAGATGATGATCAGGCTCTACACCCACATGGATATAAGCCCGGCCGAGCAGGTAATGATTGAACAGCTCAGCTCGCACGGCGTCATGCCCCAGGACCTTACCCCCGTCTTGATGGCCAACGCCCGTGTGCGGAATCCCATGGCAGCTGACGAGGTAGGGCGCTCATCCATGTCCAGCCCAAGTCCGTCAAGACCAGCGTCGGTCGCCAGCCCTGTGACGGAGCAGGCAGCCGAGCCGCCGCCGCCCTACTCGATGGACGATGACTCGGAGCTCACAGCACCCGTGAGGACGCCCTCGCAAATGCCAACCACCCAAAAGATCGACATTGACATCCGCTGGACTGTCCTGTGCGACCTATTCCTGGTGCTTATCGCAGACTCAATCTACGACGCCAGGTCCAGGTTACTGCTAGAGAGAGTCGCCAAAGACTTGGAGATACCATGGCTCGACATCTGCCGCTTCGAGAAGAAGGTTACCGACGCGTTGGAAATGCAGGCCAACGCCGAGAGGGAAAACTGGAACGAGGACGAGCACATGGAGAATCGCCGCAAGCTGGCCCTCAAGAGGCGCTACATCATGATGGGGCTTGCTACCGTCGGCGGCGGCTTAGTCATCGGCCTGTCCGCCGGACTGCTCGCTCCTGTGATCGGCTTAGGTCTGGCAGCCGGATTCACAACAATAGGCATTGGCGGCACAGGTGGATTTCTTGCTGGTGCTGGAGGCGCAGCAATCATCACGTCGAGTGCGGCAGCGTCAGGCGGCATCATCGGCATCAGAGCCGCCAACAGGAGAACGGGAGCCGTCAAGACGTTCGAATACCGGCCCCTGCACAACAACAAGCGTGTGAACCTGATTGTTACCGTCTCGGGATGGATGACAGGCAAGGTCGACGACGTCCGGCTGCCCTTCAGCACCGTCGACCCGGTCATGGGCGACATCTACTCTGTGCTCTGGGAACCCGAAATGCTCAGCAGCATGGGTGACACCATCAACATCCTTGCAACCGAGGTGAGCCCCTGGATTCTTTGTCGCCTATTCAAGAAATCTTTTTCATGGTTGTCGATTATGGTCTAAACATCCCTAGGCTCTCACTCAAGGCCTGCAGCAGGTGTTGGCGAGCACCATCCTCATGAGCTTGATGGCCGCCCTCCAGCTGCCCGTCGTCCTTACCAAACTATCGTACCTCATTGACAACCCCTGGACTGTCTCGCTCGATCGTGCCACCATGGCTGGTCTGATTCTGGCCGACTCACTCATTGACCGCAACCTGGGCACTCGCCCTGTCACTCTTGTCGGCTATTCTCTGGGCAGCCGAGTCATTTTCTCGTGCCTTCAGGAGCTCGCAAAGAAGGGGGCCTTTGGCGTCGTGCAGAACGTCTATCTCTTCGGTAGCCCTGTCGTTGTCAAGAAAGACGAGTACCTGCGCGCCCGCACCGTGGTGGCTGGCCGCTTCGTCAATGGCTACAACCGCAATGACTGGATCCTCGGGTACCTGTTTCGCCTGACAAATGGCGGCATCAGGCGGGTCGCTGGCCTGGCCCCCATCGAGGATATCCCCGGGGTGGAAAATATGGACGTGTCTGAGTTCGTCGTCGGGCACATGGACTACCGGCACGCCATGCCGCGGCTCTTGCGGGAGTGCGGCTGGTTGGTTGAGAGCGACGAGTTCAGCGAGATCGAAGACCCGGATCCGGACAACTACCAGGAGCGGCAGCGCGAACTGATTACCGAGATTGAGGAAGCAAGGAGAGAGTTGGAGAAGGAAGGCGGCAAGGGGACCAAGGGCGGCGCCTTTGGCTTCTTCAAGCGGAAGAAGGCCCCTCAGAAGCAAGAGTGGGAAGTGTACGAAGACTCCAAATCCGCTGGCAGCAAGGGCGGAAAGACGGAGGACAAGGAGGGCAACAACCACGGCGTGCTCTTTGACGTCGACGCCATCCGCGCCGAAATCGCCAAGGAAGGCCGAAATCAAAAAACCTCCAACAAAATCAACAACAATAATCTCGAAGAGGAGCTCCTCCAGGTCAGAGAGATCAAGAGCACGCTGCCGCCGATCAAACTCGAGCTCAACCCCAACACCAACACCATCAACCCAGGCCGCGGCCAGCGACAGAGCCTCCGCGAAATAAAGAGCGCCGAAACAATTCCCTCCTCCTCCTCCCGCTCCTCGGACGACGCCAAGTCACCGCTCCGCTCCTCTCACGACCCGGCCTCCTCCTCCCTCTCGAAAGAGCGCACGCCGACGTTCCCCGCCGCCGGCAAGGCGGAGAGCGGCAAAAACAGCCCGTACTTCGCTTATGGGTTCACAGCAAACGGCCAGCATGACGGGCTGATTGATGACGACGATGGGGTGCAGATGACGTTTGACTTTGGTACGGGGTGTGGTAATGACGAGCAGCCGAAACCGTCACGGTTGTCGTCGTCAACCTCGTTTGCTGATGTGGCGGCTGGTAGTAGTAGTAAAGGGAAATCGTCGTCGGTAATAAGCGGCAGGCCCGAGATGGTCAGGTCGGCGCAGACGGTGCCGAATATCACGCTTGCTGATCCGTGGGCGGATGATGATGACGAGGAGTTTGGGAAGGAGCAGGAGATTCAGATGACGTTTGCTTGAAGTTTTGGGGAGTCGAGGGTGGGGGTTTGTTCGGACAGTGTTCGGGGGAGTTGGGGCTTGGGTTTGTGGAATTGCTGTGGGTGGTGGGTAAGGGGTGGCGGTGTCGATGGGCGTTTGTTGTTGACGACCTAGGTAATGCTCAAATGACGTTGGGATCTAGAGGGGATGGGGTTCATTTCCTCGTACATAGTAGATCGGTCAGCAGCGCATCAGAGGTTTCAGCGGGTTGCATAGTTTGTCTTTTATCCATGACGACCGACCCGTTTGGTCCTGTTAACGTGAAAGGGGTTCGTTGTCGTCCCATGCATTCCTCCTCAAAGATTACTGATTCCTGGGTATTGTTATATCCAACATTAGGATTCCATGTATAGGCCGCCTAGCACATGCCGTGGCTCCGGACTCCGGTGCTCAACGGCGAATCTCAAACTCGGTCTCGCCCTCGACGACTTCTCGGTCTTCCTTGACCAGCTTGACTACGTGGGCATGCCGCGGACCCTTGTCAACGTGCTTGAGGAAGTCCGCGATGGCGTTCTCTTCACCTTGGGCTTCTCCCTCGACCTGAAGGAAAGCCGTCAGCTCATCACCAATGTGACTGGTTCCTTTTTTTTTCTATTTTTTTTTTTCTTTTCACATGGGGTCGCTGGTAGTGTGGTTACCTTGTTGTTGTCTGTATTCCGCACCCAGCCGGTGAGTTTGAGCTCGGCGGCGCGGTGGCGGGTGAAGTAGCTGTCCGAAGGTTAATGAGATGTATTCTTGAATTATCCACGCGTACAACGGGTTGGGATTTAGGTTTTCAACTGTTTTGGCGAAAGGATGGGCCATCTAAGGCAGCTCTGTCTGCTGAGGACGTCGTCAAGTTGTAAATACAAGTGAAGAGAGGCGCTCACTAACCGGAATCCCACACCTGGTACCTTCCATTTTAGCATCGTGTTCTGTGTTGGCTTGTATAGTATCTGACATAGACGGAAGGGCTAGGGTTGTGTGTTGTACAAAGCCAAGGGGCTGAGGCTTGATGAATACCCGAGACGAAGTAAGAAACTAAAGAGGGGGCTCACCTTGCACTATGCCACCATGTGCGAGGAAGTAAACCTGTTTGTATGAAGGAAGACAAGTTGTTAGCTATGAGCCTGACGCAGGTTGACAGGACCCTCCAAGCAAGCATCACATACTCTCTTAGCGGTCATACTGACCCGTAACCCCTTCGAAATCAGGTTGGAGCTAAGCCGGCCGAACAATTTGCAGCCGGAATGACTAGATAAGATCGCAAATACTGAAATCCCGTCGCTTTGCGGGTGTTGATCAAGGCAACTGGAGTTTCATGTGATGTCAAAGGGGGACTGACTTACAGCGGTAGAGCTCCGATAAGATAAGAAAGAGGCGGGGCGATGTGAACCATGAGTGTATGAGGCTTGATGTTAGGGAAAACTACTTCGTATACCGTAGTCTGTGGTATAGAGCCTATTACACTTGCCCAGACAACCAAGACACTCTCAACAACACAGGATTTACGTCCCATACGCAGTCCCTTTCAGCCCTTGGATTGCCCATCTGAACCCATACATTCAGTTGAACAACATTCAGTTGAAACCCACAAATACAGAGAAGGGTTAGGGTTAGGATACAACACATACACCACAGACATGCATGTATTCCAAGACAAAGTACGGATCCGTACAGTCGACAGAACTCGAACCAGTCTAACGTTGCCATTCCGGAATGCCAGTCATCTTAAAAACATGCCTTCGCCGAAATCCGAAACAGGGATGCCAAAAAAAACCCGGAGAACATAGAGAAGAAACAGACATGAACTCCCTCACTTCGATTCAAAGCTATACTGCAACCACCCACCCAGCGCCCGCAGACTCTCCCACCTCACATTCTCGTCGGCCTCGCCCATGAGCTCCATAATGCGCGTCTTGAGCCCTAGCCGCTCGAGCTGGCCGCGCTTCTCGGGCACCTCGCCGACGAGGCAGCCGACGTCGTTGCAGGCGATAGCGAGCACCGCCTTGTCGCTGTCCCACGGCTTCTTCATGATGTCGGCCAGCCGCCGGACCAGCGCGCCGTTGTCGTGGTCGAGGATCCGGCGCGCGTTCTCGGCCCAGAACGCCGCGTTGCGGTGCGGCGGCGACCACCGCAGGTGGCCCGAGTTGAGCTCGCCCACGTACTCGTCAAACGTCGTCTTGGTCTTTGTGTACTCGTCAAGCAGCTCGCGGAGCCGGTCCATGTCCTCACGGAGGTCCGGGTCGGCGAACTGGCGCGTCTGGAGGTTCTGCAGCAGGCCCGGGAGCCGGGCAAGGACGGCCGTGGGGAGGAGGGTGTTTTGGTTGTGCACGAGGAGGTTGAGAAGGGTGGAGACGAGTAGCCGAGTCGTCTTCTCCTTTGGTGAGAGACGGAGGAGTTGCGTGTAGAGCAGGACAATGTCGTATTCACTGGAGGGGTGTGTCAGTTTAAGCAAACTGGGCAAAACGATGGAGCGGTGCACTCACTCGTTGAGATCGTCGCCAATGTCCGCAGCCTCGAAACTGAGCTGCCACATAACCAGCAGCACCCTGTATAGGAGCTGCAGGCCAACACCGCCACCAAGGGACCCCTCGAAACCGCTCCTGGCTGTCCCTGTCATGCCGCTCCAAAGACTGGCTGAGGCATCGTTGTTACCGACGCCAGCCGCGGCTCGAAGTATCTCAATCAAGGGCGTGACTGTATCGCTTCTCTGTTTCCAGAACTGTCGCCTCGGCGCCCGCCCGTAGAGCAGAGACGAGTACTCCTGCACTCCGATGTCCTGGAGCCCAGCGTCCGAGTTCTTCGTCAGAGAGGAGAGGTAGCTGAATACGACGGGTAGCGCCTTGTCTACCGTGGCGGGGGACTCGTCTCTGGATCCAGCCATGAGACCGACAAGCACGGTCGATGTGAGGAGGGGAATTGGGTTTTCGGGGTTCGAGGAGTGCGCGAGGAGAGGCAGGAAATGGCGGTAGGGGTCGCCGGTTTGAATAATGGCTTTGGCTAGCGCGGGAATATCTTCGGTGCCATCTAGTCAGTTGACTTTGCGCGGGTAAATGCCATTGGCGGTGGTTGGAAGGGTAGAGCCTACCGGCAAGCAGATCGCTCAAGAGAACGAGGATGTACTGCACGACATCCTGGCGCTTGTGGGCAGATTCCAGAACGCTCTTCTGCCCTTCGGCCCCTACAAACAGAATGCGGTAGCCGTTGAGGTCGGCCTCAATGGCCTGCTTGCGCACATCTCGCTTGACCTTGTCGACGGCGCGGATGCGGGCGAGTTGTTCTTCGGTTAGGGTGCCTGCGCGTACGGCGCCATCCCACGGAATTGGGCGCTGGCGAATGTTGCTTTGCAGCGATCCTAGATATGTCGGCGGGTCCAGCAGCATGATGCGAGGAAGCCTGTTCTGCGCGCAGTCCTGAAGCTGAGGATGGCTCGTGCAAGGAAAGGTTTGGTCGTGCAGGGTGTTGGAGTTTGTAGCTTGGTCGAGCAAGGCGGCCAACCCACAGTTACGTAACTATGGTCACTCTTGGTGGGGCTGCAGCTCCTCCAGCTTCGCTCATCAACCGCTTTTCCCGTCAGTACTCAGTGCATTGAACATCCTGAACTGACATGCTTTGAGCTTCCGAGTCACGCAATGGGCGCCCGCAGTCCACAGCTACGGCCATTCACACTTCAGATGTATTATGGCACGCCATCCAAGCCTACTTCAACATATCCTTTTGATTCTTCTTCCTCGGAGCCCCACCTAAAGCTAAAGCTACAGAGAATGAAGGTGTAAGAATGAATGAAAGTGTATCCGATTGTACTGATAAGATGCTACTGATATTCGACCCCAACATGGTGCCGGCAGGCTCCAAGTTGCAAGCTGCATTGGCGGGGCAAGGGAGGACCTCATGCAAAAGCCGCCGAGCCGACAGCTGCCAACTCATCAGTACCCATCATGTCATGCTGCATCCGAGCTGCATTGACAGAATCGGCAGGGTCCAGGTCGAAATTACCTTCAGGCGGAATCCCGGCGCCAGGAACAAAAAGGCCGGGTCTTCTCGCAGATTTCGAATCGACGAAACAGGGGTTTTACTCGTTGTGGCAGGTTTGGCGGCGGACCAGTTGAGGGCAACAATGTGAAATGCGCGAGGTTGGCGCGGGCTCGTGTCGACAGCTTTTGGAGGAGGTTGGGAACACCAACTCGCAGTCCCAGCCATCAGAAAATTCGACTGCAATAAATCCCGCCTCGCAGAATTCACCCGCCCATTTTCTTTCCATGTTCCTGCTCCCGAGTCCGGAACAATACGCTGGAATGCGATTCTGCTTGGACGGCATCCTTCGACATTTTTGCGACCACTCGACTTGGGCCTTTTAACACGGCGGTACTCTACGTTCCCTCGCCTCCCTGTCGGCCAGTTCAGCGGGTGCAGCTGCCACTTTGAGTTGAACATTCCATGGGACGGCCCGAGCAATAAGTGAGACCTCAGACACCAAGCGACAGACGAAAGCGACAAGCATACCTCCGTAACGCAATCACTCATCCTCGTTCTCGGTCGGCATTCGCTCCGCCTTTGGATTTCAAACGGCTCCGGGACACGGCGCCCCACCCCGCCCGGGTCGCTGGCTTTCGGCGCACCGTGCCCCGTCTCCACCGTCACGGCCGAGTCCGCCAGCTTCGGGGTGATCCCGACTCAATCTACACTAAAATGGCGCCCCGGCCGTCGCTGCTGAGCATTTCTTCGGCGCTATGGCTCTTGCTCGCGAACTCGACCCACCATGCCGCTGCGGTGCCTTTCCCAAAGGACGACTTGCGCGCTGCTGGCTATGGCTATCTCTTGCCCCGGCAGTGTGGGGGGCAGGCCTGCGGCTACAACAACATGTACTGTTGCGAGGCGGGAACCGAGTGCTACACTTCAAACGGCATTGCCGGGTGCTCGGCAGCAGCAGGCGGCGGCTACCAGTGGTACACGACGACATGGACAATAACCCAGACCTTCACCAAGACCTACCAGTCCTATATCCCGGCCGCGACAGCTCCAGCGGGGGGCGGCAACTGCGTTCCGCCCGAAGGGTCCGGTCAAATAGCTTGCGGCAAGATCTGCTGCGCGAGCTGGCAGTACTGCGCCTATGATGGCCAATGCATGGCGAATGGCCCAGCCCCAGGGCCAACAGGTGGCGCAGGTGTGACGACTGCCACCGGAGCCCAGACTCTCACAACCCCGTTCAGCGCACCATACCGAGTCACCAGCGGCACGATGGCGACCTCAACAGGCACAGCAGTCAGCGCCACCACAACTGGCGCAGTGAGCCCGGGAGGGGGTGGAGGCGGGCTGAGCGGAGGCGCCATCGCGGGTATTGTCGTTGGCACCATCGCCGGTGTCGCCCTTCTCCTGCTCATCTGCGCATGCTGCGTGGTGCGAGGTCTGTGGCACGGCATACTCGCCATCTTCGGGCTCGGCAAGAAGAATAAGTCGTCCGAGACTGTCATCGAGGAAGAGCGCTATCACCGGCACGGGTCCACGCATTCGCGGCGGGACAACCACGGGTCATGGTACGGCGGACGCCCCGCCTCGGCAGCGGCGCGCAAGGAGAAGGGCAAAGGCATGGGCCTGCTCGGCCTGGGCGCCGCCCTCGGCACGCTGGCGCTGCTGCTGGGCCTGAGGCGGGACAAGGACAAGAAGAAGGTGGCCGCGACCAAGACCAGAAGCGACGTCAGCAGCAGCTACTGGTCCGATTCCTACACGGCCACCAGCCCAAGTGAGTAGCCCTTTCGTATACCTTTTCCATTCTCAAGACACGGATGCGCTGACATACCACCGAACCAGGCTCAAGGAGCAGCGACAGACGGACCCGTCATTCGGCTCGGCGAAGCAGGACCCCGAGCAGGGTGACAAGAACAACGCACACCCACACGCGCGTGTCGAGAGCGCCCTCAGCAAGATCGGCCCGGTCGCCCAGGCCATGACGGCCGCCTATTGTGCGGCAGCCTCGCCAAAATACGACGGCAACAGAACCACGAACTGTAAATGCCAACACCCCCACACCACGCCTTTCACGAGTACATGATTCTTCGACCTTCTTTTTCTCTCCCCAGTATATATGTTCCTTAAGACCCCTTCCCTCATATGAGATGGCGTTTATGAAGTTGATTTAGAGACGAAGAACGAGGAAGGATTATCTCAGTTCAGCGGGAGACCCCAGGAAGAGGAAAGTGATGAGAGAATAAGTGAACAGAATGAAGCACATGAGATGATGCCTGATCAGCGAGCCATTTGCATAGCAGGATGGGAACGATCTCAATGAGAAGATGAAGCATGGATGACAAGTGGATGGATATGAACGAACATTGGCTGGTTGGCAGATCTAGACGGGACACTTACTGAGCAGCTTCCGTAACAAGAATGTATTCCACGCCGTCATTCCATCTTGATGGACACCGATGAGTGCTTCTGCCGAGATTCGTGCGTCCTGGCGACGCCGACCCTGACGCAACCAGGTCTGTTGATTATGATTGCGGATAAAATATATAGGTATCAGGAAGGCAAGTATCCGAAATATCGCCTCGTGCGCAACTGAACCTCCAACCAAGGCAGGCGCTCTAGCCGCCGCTAAGTCAAATAGTCGTCATCATAGGCTTAGCAGAGGAGGGAGGGGGCCCGGCGAAGGTGATAATGGCATGCACCCAACACCTGTGGTGGTTCAGAAGGTTGCCCATTTTGCAGTAGCGATTTTTGACGCTACAAAACATGCAAATGCCGATTGACCCCTTGCCACTCCGGTTGAGACCCATAAAGCACAAAGAAACCCATGGCCGCATGTCCATCACTCCTCAACGATGTTGCCCTTCTCCGAGACGTAGAGACCGTCCAAGAACTGTGTCAAACGTTAGCCACCTGTCGTCGTGCCCGCTTTTTCCCACCATCGACGCCCAGCATGTCTTGGTGTCGGTCAAACGAACCTTCCGGATATCCTTGTTCCGCACCCGGCAAATCTGCTGGATGTCGGCAGCACTCTGCGAGACAGCCTCGAGCGAGTTACCGCTGAGGATCAGCTCGTCCTTCTGTGCCTTCGAGATCTCGACGTCCACACCGGACTGCATGACGATCCTCCGGACAATCTTCTCGCCGATGAAGTTCCTGCCACACAGCACAACCAAATGTCAGCTTTCCCTTGTCCAAGTTGCCGTATCACCCCGAATTCAACAAAGCGTTTCCCCCCTTGGTTCCTAACATCCCCAGACAAAGCCCGCCAAAAGTTCGTATGTTGGCACGTACCGGATCTCGACCTCGTAATTGCCCGACTCGGCGTTCTTCTCGACGTTCACATTGATGGGGAAATGGGCGTAGACGTAGCGCATCTTGTACTTGAAGCCCTTCGTGACGCCGATGATGAGGTTGTTGAGGAGCGTCCTGACGGTGCGGAGAGCGGCAACATTCTTGCGGACGCCGTGGTGGATTTCGATGTTGATAATGTTCTTCTTGGGCGACGAAAAGCTGACGGCAATGTGGCCGAAGTCCTTCTGGAGCTTGCCGCGTGGGCCCTCGACCGTGACGAGCCTCGACTTGATCGAGACCTTGACTGCACATCGGACACTGGGTCAGTAAACACGCCTCTTCTCTGCGACCCCAAAACGCCACCACGCCAGTGTCCGCCTAAACAGTCCGCCTCAATTGCTGTTCGCATCCCCCGTTTCCGTACGTTTGGTCGGTGTCGGTCGTCGATCGCGGGTAACATCGGGGTCTTCTCTCTCCGTTCTCCTCAGTGTTGGGCAGGAATTTGGCAAACGTACCGTTCTCGGGGACCTCGAGGGTCTCCTCACTGTGGATGTAGCGCATGTTTGCGTTTGGACCTGGACGTGAGGAGGGGTGAGGTGTTGCTTCGTCGTCAAGGTGGGCGAAGGGAGTATGCAAGCCTGGCAAAAAAACGTCGAATTTGCGGCCCCGGATTAATTCGAGTTGTGCGCCGGGACGCCGAAGTTCTTCTTAGGGCAGAGGAGGAGGAGAGGACGCGATTGGTCAAAAGGGGAGGAGGCTGGAGTGAAGTGGGGCCTAAACTGGCTAGCCGCTCGTGCTGTTCATGTCTCTCCAACTTCGAGAACAACATGAGCGATAAACTCGTATCTGAGATTCAAATGAACCTCATAGATTTGGCCGTACCGTTGAACAGGCCCATGTGCTGGATGAGAGTGTCTATTACCGAGGCATATTCCTGCCCAAGTTACATTCTAATGCTTCCTAATCTACAGACAGTTATCTGTCGTGCTTGACCTTGCACAAACCACTGCAGTCCAGCTTGACCAGTTCATACACGTTTCCTGTTTCAATAAAAAAGCAGCAAGCATGACAATTTCTTCGACTCTAACTAATCGTCACCGCAATTCGCTGGTCGTCGATACCACTGAGCTCGACTGCTCTTGATTGGCCATTGGAGCTTCAGTCTGCTGTTGAGTCGTCTGTACTCCGTGCCTCGGCAAGAGGGAACGCTCACGAGTGCACATCAAGCGCTGGGAGCAGTGCTGAGAAGTCTGCTATTGAGAGTACCCAGCTACCATCTCACTATGGATGAAAGTTGAACAACGCTATTTCACGGAATAGGTACCCTTGCGCAGTTATATTCCAGGAGGAGGTGACGCATGGGACAAGGACCCCGAATCTATGCCAAGATCCGGCCCCACTCGCTGGCTGGCCGCAAGGCCGTCGCGGCACCTACAGGCTCCATCCGTAACTGACCGGGACCGAGCATGTACCGCCCATCACCACTTCTCTGGCTGAATATCGAACATCAACCGGGTTCCGCGCGCTGCTAGATACACCCAAGACTACCGGACAACATTGCTCCCTTACTTGGCCCGTCAATTGAAGACTCGCTGTCAACGCGCATGTGATAAGACCCACCGCGCATCCAAACCTCGAAGCTGCTCTCTTAGGACTACAACCGCCACCATGTCGTACTTCTTCGCGACCCCGGTCGACATTGACATTGTGCTCGACGATGCCGACGAGCGATCAATGGTGGATGTCAAGCTCGACAAGAACCGCCGGGAGAAGGCGCCATTGTATATGGATGGCGAGTCGGTCAAAGGCGCCGTCACCGTCAGGCCAAAGGATGGCAAACGGTTAGAACATACGGGCATCAAGGTGCAGTTCATCGGCACAATAGGTACACTCTCCTCAATCCAAGGTAGAACGACACAGATTGCGCGGCGAAGTCTGACAGCGTCCCCAACCCGCAGAAATGTTCTTCGACCGGGGCAACCACTATGAGTTCCTCTCGCTCGTCCAAGAGCTTGCCGCACCAGGCGAGCTGCAGCACCCACAGACATTTGACTTCAACTTCAAGAACGTCGAGAAGCAGTACGAGTCGTACAACGGCATCAACGTGAAGCTACGCTACTTCGTGCGCGTGACCGTGTCGCGCCGCATGGCCGACGTGATCCGCGAGAAGGACATCTGGGTCTACAGCTACCGGATCCCGCCCGAGATGAACAGCAGCATCAAGATGGACGTCGGCATCGAGGACTGCCTGCACATCGAGTTTGAGTACAGCAAGAGCAAGTACCACCTCAAGGACGTCATCGTCGGCCGCATATACTTCTTGCTGGTGCGCCTCAAGATCAAGCACATGGAGCTGAGCATCATCCGGCGCGAGACCACGGGCGCGGCTCCCAATCAGTACAATGAGAGCGAGACATTGGTGCGGTTTGAGGTACGCTTGCATCGGTTAGAGATTATCTGCTAGGGAACCGCAACGGCTGACTTGCGACTCTACAGATCATGGACGGCTCGCCCTCAAGGGGAGAGACCATACCCATCCGGCTGTTCCTGGGCGGCTTCGACCTGACGCCAACCTTTCGGGACGTCAACAAGAAATTCTCAACAAGATACTATCTCAGCCTGGTATTGATCGACGAAGGTAGGATTCATCTTTCTAATCCTCACTCTTCCTCGCCTGCCGATTTCCACTCTGACATGTCCGTTCGTTTCAGATGCACGGAGGTATTTCAAGCAGTCAGAGATCATCCTCTACCGGCAAGCACCTGAACTGGCCAACGGGCAAGGGCAGGAAGCGCTCACGGGAACGCTACCCCCGGATAGGGATAGCAAGCAGGTAGCGGCTGTTCCGGCATGATTTGAGGTCCGCGTCTAAGTTGGGGATGTAGTAGGGATAAAGAATGACGAAGCGACTTTGTACGTACGAGCGGGGAACTAATACTTCAGCATAGGCATGGCGTTGATGCAGATATCCAAGTGATTTGGAAACTCGGTTATTCTGCTCCCACGCTCAGACGCACCAGAGCTGGTTCTATGATTCCCGTTTCGAGCAACCAAGCAATTCCCGTTCGTCACGCCAGGCCATATCCATCATACAAAGGTATCCTTTTTCCAGGACGCTAACGCCTACATTAAACTCATTACAAAACCTTACTACCCTTTGCTCCAGCCCGTTCATCCACCGGGCCCGTCTCGCCTCGGCCGATACCCTCACGCTAAATCCATCAAATCATCCTCGGCGGTAAATCCAAACTGGTTGTTCTGGATCGCCACGATCCTGTCCAACTCCTGCTGGTACTGCTTCCGGAGGTCCGCCAGCATAAGCAATTGCCTCGGCGGCAGCTCCTGCCCGTTCCGCATCGAGAACCTCTTGATCTTCTCGGCGAGCGCCGCGTCCTCCTCCGACGCCAATTCCTCCCCACCGCCTTCCTTGGCAGCCTCAGCATCGAGCTTCTTCGCAAGATCGTCAAGCTGGCTCTCCAATTCATCCTCATCATGATCTTCATCATACCCCACAGTTTGCCTCTGGCCGTCTTCTTCGCCCGGGATCACATCTTCGAGTATGTACGCCTCCTCCGGCGCGACACAGCTCAGCGCATTGATCAGGAGCAGGTACTGCCTCGTGACCTGCGTGTCTAACGCGTCCTCGGCGCTGCCGGCGCCGCCGCCGAGCCTATCCCCTTCGCCCGCCCGCCGCAGTTTCTGCAGGCGATCGAGCAGGATGGCCGCGGCGCCGCGGTAGTCGTTGTGGCTGATGCGCCAGGCGTACAAGATCTGATGGTACGGCACGCCGTTGAGCACGTCCCTCGTGGCCCGGCACTTGTCGACGAGTATGTCGTCGACTTTCGTCTGGAGGCCCGAGAAGGGCAGCCGGATGAGCTCAGAGCTCTGGCCCGTCTCGCACATCTTCTCGACGAGCTTACGCAGGTACGACTTTTGCATGGCTTCGTCGTCCATGGCGAGGAGCGCCGAGTGGGCTTCTTCAAAGTGCGAGGTGGCGGCGGCGGCCGTGAACAGACGGCTGAGCATCTCCGTCTTGTTACCCGCGACCTCGCCGTCGCCCTGCTGGACGAACTGGAGGGCGAGGCGGGAGAACTCCATGACGTACGAGTAGGCCTTTTGCCTGTCGTACAGGCCGACAATGTGGGCATAGTAGTTTGGAAGCCCGCTGTTAAGGAGGTTCCATTCCGTGTCGTCGAGGAGCCCTGCGCTGTGCCGGTCTAGGTGCTTAATCGAGATGCTCAACCCAATCGCCGCCCTCCTGAAGTAGAAGGACGCAGTGTCGTGGTCTCTGAGCGCAAAAAAGACGCGGCCCTGAATGTAGATTGAGAAGGGATCTTGGTCGGCGAACGAATGGAGCTCCAGCGCAAGGTCGGGCCGATCCTGTTTAAGGAGCCAGCACTGGATGAGCCAGGTGTAGAGCACAGTAGTGCTGCTGGGAGCACAAAGGTCTAGCACCAGGTCTGTGATGCTAGAAAGCAGGGGCATATTGTTGCTCTCTGGGAGACCGAACAGATGACCGGTCAGCCCTTCCAAAGCAGTCTTGGTGTTATTTTCATCCTGGCTGCGCTTGATCAAAGAGGGGGAAGAGGAGCCCGATCCGCCGGATTTTGACGAACAGCTCAGCTCAGTCTTCGCCATCCACCTCAGATGTTCCAGCCTCCGAAGCGCATCGATCAATCGCCGGTACACTGAACCGACTTCGAAGCGCGAGTGAAGGGATGGGGCATCCTCGCTCTCAATGTCAAACTCCATGTGAACGAGAAGAATGAGTTGGCTGAAGAGAATCTGCCAGTGAAGCTCGGTCGTCTCCTGGACGGCGCGGACAACAAGCTTGCGTCCGAATCCAGTAAAGGGTTCCCGCAGCTCTTGCGAATTGGCCTCGCTAGTTGCTGTGATGAGATCGAACAGGTCGTCGTAGAGCCTCGCAGTCACCATCTGGTAGTTTTGGCCAAGAGTGTCGATCACCTGGGCGCAGTCTTCATCCGTGATTGAGGGCCAGAATCCCGCGCGATCCAAAAACAGTTGCATGCGCTCGCTGTCGGACCTGGCCGAATCTTCGTATAGCTCGGCTCTCAAGGCAGCTCTACTCAGCTGGTACATGCTGTCCGAGAAACTGTCCACAAAGGTCAGTCCCGCAGATATCAAGGCGGCGACGTCTTCGTTATTCTTCTCCGGAGAGAGAAGATTGTGGTACAGGCCGTCCAGGTCGCTGCACTGCCTGACAGCAGCAATCAAGTCAGCGCAGGCAACCCAGATCATGCCCTCCACAGGGTCGAAGACTAAGGATAGCGCTTCACCCCTTTGCTTGTCGAGCTCAAGCAGGAGACGCCAAAAGCGCATCCACTGTGTCTCGCTCGTGTTTCTGAACTGGTCGTAATCCGCACCACCTGCAGAAGTCCTGTCGAGCGTCGTGGTGGATCCGAGCACCGAGCAGATGGATTCTGCGATACTCCGGCCAGCTTTTGACGGTGCCTCCTTGTAGGTACCCAAGCCTTTCTCGTACATTGCCAGGGCTGTCTCGAGAGTGGACTTGGAGAAGCGGCCTGGGAAGAAGATGAGGTCGAGCCACTTTTCGGTCGAGTCTGTCGGATTCCAGGGCCCTGACGCCCGCACGGGCGGTACCGTGTTTGCGATGTGTACCGCCTTCCAACCGTCGCCAAATGGGTCTTTGGTGTTCCGAGGCTGAACTTGTAACCTGTGCACGCGGTAGCTGGTGTTGTTCTTCCACATCGTCCATAGCTCGGGTCCGTCGGGTTGTTGAGCCACGGCGAAATCAGCAAGATTCCACACATCGAGTGAAGTCGGGCTCGGTGGCACCAAGTGAGCGTCTGGAAAGCAATCCGCAACGTGAATCGACCCCTGATCGTTCGCCTTCACCTTCCAGAATTTAAACTCGCCAGCTCCAACGCCGGAGTACGTCACCACCGAGCATTGGCCGCAGCTGTTGTCCAATATCCGGATGAGGTTACCTTGGGAAGGGTCAACAGTCCATTTGCCGACTTCCTGCGGATCGCGGCTCGTGTTCAAGATGTCACCAGTGTATAAAATCTGCCCTGTCCGCACATCCCAGACCCTCATCCGGTGATCTAAGCAGATGGTGAACAGGAAAGCCGTGTCGGAATGGCCCATGGTCGTGACTGCTGTCGAAGCGGCTGCCGTCAACTCCATATTGACCTTGTCGTATCTGATGGTCGGATTCCGCTGGAACGGGACCAATCCTCGGAGGCTCTGGCTCCAGCCCGCAACATTGTAGATGGTTTCCTTCCACGACCCTCCATTCGCTATGCCATGAGATGTGAATTAGTGGCTCAATCCTTGGCTGCAAATCCGTTTCGGGACTTACACTCATGACTTTCGTTCCTGTCGAACTTCAGAATGCCGCCATCGTGCATTGTGATGATTAGTTGATTCGGGCTGACCACTGCCAAGCGGTGCGGATGTTTGAACCCGAAGCCAGGAGGTGAGTGTGACTTGCAAGCGTCGCCGAGCCCACCATCGATCGCCGTCCTCTTCCGGAAGTGGTCTGGCCGCAACGTGATCGACCATAGCTGGTTAGAATGGTCGACGGCAAAGACGCAAAGCGCATCGTATTCCTCGGGATCAGTGAAGCCAATGCAAGATGTTCGAAGGGCAGTCGGGAATCTCAAGTTCAGGATTAGCGGCGCCTCGGCGGCATTCTCTTGTTTGCAGACATCGGCAACGCGAAGGCTGAGAACGGTGCCGCTATCCAAGACGCGCCACAGAAACCCTCGTGGTGAGGAGTGGTGTTTCCTGTAGTATATAGAGGATGCTGTCGCGAGATTCCTGGACCGGTAACCCTTTTCGTCGTCGGCCGAGGTGCCGCTCCGGCTTGAGGCTGATCGTCCGTAGGCGCCTTGGGGTGCGACCCGGATGTGTACGGTTGACGAAGGGGACGCGGGCTCCAAATTCAGTCGCGTCTCCTTGTAGAGAATTCCGAAGTCTCTGGACACCATCTTGCCCCATGTATCATATGTGGGCGACAATTGACCGATTTGAGGTTGCTGTCGCGCCTTGTTCGAGTTGAAGACGCGAACTGGAGCTCATGGGGCAGAATTCTAGCCGCTTTGTTGCAGAGGCAGCTTGGCGGAAAGCTGGGGTTTCGAACACCGCTGCACTACAGGAGCTCAAGTGGGGCTCATGCAGTCGTGGCAGCGAAGTGGGTCCACATGCTCTTACAAAGTAGGGTTGCTTCGCTTTCAAGTCGTACGGTACGGAAGCCTTAGTAGGCTTCTCAGCTTCCATGCAACATTGGCCTTGATGAGTTTTTGTCAGGGTCCGAGTTATGATTACCTACAAATAGCAGGAAGCTAAGATATCTATATTGAATACATTTTGCCATTGAAAGCCACTGCCATAAACGCCAGTACTTCATGCATGATACCCAGCAACTCCCAAGCCAACAAGAACTCCTCGCACGCTGTGTCACAGCTTCCTAACCCCAGGAACCACGTCCTATGCATCGTGACAATCATGGCCAGCAAATTTACGCCCGCTCTTCGAAGGAAAAAGAAAGGCCGTCATCTACTCCTTCTCCAGATCCTTTGGACTCGGGTCGCCAATACCGTCCTCCCTGATTGCAAACATAGCATCGCTCTCCGGCAAGCAAGGGCTGTCGTAAATCTTTGCGATACGGGTCTCGCCTCGACCTTTCTTCAGGCTGATTCTGGTTGTGGTAGAGTGAGCCATGATGTTGCCGCCGATTGGTTTCTTGGGGTCGGGATTGAACATGGCGGACGGGCCGCCATCGACCTGGGCCACCACCTGGTTGGTGATGACGACGGCAATGCCGAACTCGTCAGCGAGACGTTGTAACGTACGGAGAAACTTGGCCAAGTGCATCTGCCTCGAGTTCAGCTCACCACGCCCCAAAAAGTCTGTTCGGTACAGCGCAGTGGCCGAGTCGACAATCAGAAGACTGAACCGGGTCTCACACATCATGGCCGCCGCTTGATTGAGCAGCTGGAGCTGATGGTCCGAGTTGTAAGCCCGTGCGTATGCGACGTTGTCGAGGACTTCTTCGCCGGAGAGTCCATAGCGATTGGCCACGGCGAGCAGTCGAACAGGGCGGAATGTGCCCTCGGTGTCGATGTACAGACACTTCCCTTCTCCGCCGCCCATGTCAAAAGGGAGTTGGCAAGTGACGGCCAATGTGTGGCAAATCTGCGACTTTCCTGTCCTGAACTCGCCAAAGAGCTCGGTCACACTCCCGGTCTCGATGCCGCCAGCGAGGAGGGTGTCGAGTTGCTTCGAGCCCGTGGTGATAGATATCAGCTCACTGCGACGCTGATGCATCTCGGTAGCCGTTGTGAAGCCCATGGGGACAAGTTTGGAGGCCTCGGCAAGGAGTTTGAGTGCTTTGTTTGCTGAAATGCCCTTGACCTGTTCGAGCATCCTCTGTGGAGTGTAGGCGACCGACTCGACTGTGTTGTAGCCTGCCTCAACAACTTTTTGGATGTCGCCTTTTGTAAGACCGCCAATACCCTTGGAATCAAAACTCTTAGCAAAACATGCAACCAGTCATCCCAGGGAATCTGGTGCACGAGAGTCAGAACTCACCTCCAACGCGGAGAGTGGCGTCGGAGCTCCAGGGCCTGTCTGCCCGACGTCCTCGGTATTGGCTGTATCATCGTACTCGTCGTTTGCAGACATCGTAATTGTAGTTACGAATATGCGGGAGTGTACGTTGCTTTTACTGTGTTTGACGGACGCTGAGAGAAACGTGAGATTTGTAGGAAACACTGTGACGGTTGGTCTGTTGACAGAAGCATTTCGGCCAGGCACCGACCGCGTCAAGTGGGGCGAGTCTTAACGCGCTCTCCCGTGACCATGAGGGCCCACTTTCGGTGCTTGGGGTCTTCGACCCATCACCACCATGAAGACTGAACAAGCAAACTTGACATTTGAAACTTCTGATCGCGTCGGTAGCAGTTGCCTTTTGTACAAGTCAGCCTGGGTTTTTCCTGTGAGCGCTGAATGTGCGCATTTACACTTTTATCATATTTTCCCTTCGACTTCTTGTCTTCTATCTTCTTTCTTCTATGTCTTTATTTATCTGATCTTATTCAGACTCACTTACTGCTTCTATCCTCATTTCTCATTTTCCTATTATCATTCCTCATGTCTTCTTTCTTTATATTCTACTTTTTATTTCCTTCTTTCCGTTTCAGTCCAGATTCCGCCGTGTGTCACGCTAACAAACGAACCAGGGCTGGATTATATTGTCCAGCTGCCATGGAGAAGGTCACAACAAACTTCAGGAAATCATGTTAAAATCAACAACAATGCATAACCACATCCCCTACATTCAGCCACATTATACAAAGCTTCGATCCACACTATCCTACTCAGACGAATCCAAATGGGGAAGCTACCCTCTGTTCTTTCCAAGTCCCTAACACTACCTTCCCCCCTGCTGCTCAAACCGACCACCAGACTTCCGCAACTTCTTCCCGGACCTCGACCCGCGCCCAACGCCTCGTTCACCCTCCCTTACCCCTTCTACCAACCCGGACGATCCGAAGGTCCCCGCAGGCAACACCTCAAACCCATCATTGACCCTCCTCGAGCTCGTGTTAAGGTGCAGATCCCCCGGGCCAAACGTTGGTTCTGGCGCCGCCATCGCTACCATCTCAGGCTGAGAAAACACAAAAAACCCCCGCGGTGGCGACGTCTCTAAGGGGTCATGGCCGTTCTGGTCCTCATCCTTGTCCCTGTCCCTTTCCTTCTCAGCCCAGCGCCGCAGCGCCGCGGCATTTTGTAGTGCCTCGGTCCGTGCTGTCGACGACGGCGCCACGTATGCGTACGCCTGCAAGCTCCCAACGGTAGCGGCAGCGGTGGCCATGTACAGCTTCGAGCTGTGCGACGACGATGTGTAGCTCCGGCCGCTTGCGCTCTTGTTCGCCTCAGAGCGCGGCTGCGAGTCGACCGACTCGGCCGACGAGGACGCCGAGCTCTGTTGGCTGAGATGCCGCGGTGGGCGTGGGTGTGAGCGGCGGGTCGTGAAGGAAGAGGTCGGGACGTAGGTCTCGTAGAGCGGCTTCGTCGGAGATTGGCCCTCTAGTCTTCGGAGGGTGTCTTCGTTCAGGGTGCCGGTCAGTTGCCGGGAAGGGTGCCGCTTGGTTTTTCGGGAGGCGAACTGCGATACGGGCGGGGCGGACGATTGGCTGCTCTCCATCGAGTCGGTGTCGTTCAGCTTCTGGAAGATGGAGGCGGCGGATGGACTTTGCCTGGGGCCCGCGTGGTTTAGGGTCGAGGTAGTCACGATTACGGACCGCTCGTCTCCCGAGCAGTCTCGCCCCTTCTTCTGCGAATCCGAGTCTCGGCCGGCGAGCGTTATCGAGGAAAGCTCGTTAAGCGATGCCGGCCTGGAAATCCATATCCCGTCAATCTCGATGCCGCTCTGGATGGCCCGAACGCCGAACGGGACCGGGTTGGCTCGCTTGATGGGAAGTCCCGTCTTCCGCATTTCCTCCATGCGCGCCCGCTTTTCTTCGTCCAGTATTTCTTGCTTCTTCATCAGTTGGTTGTTCCACCACAGCTTGCCCAAACCTGCACAGAAGACGGCCACGATCCCCATGGCGAGGACCTAGGGAGCAGTTGTCAGCCTCAAGCACCTTGACTCCCGAATGAGGAGCGCTTACGAAGGTCATCTGCTGCCACAGATCCCATGATGTGAAAAATGTGCCGGGCATTTCCTGAGATCGCCGTTTCAGACCCAGGTTTGGACGGGAATACCTCGAGTCTGGCCTCCTTCCTGCCTGTTGCCGGAGACTGACCGCCGTCGGTTTAGCGCAGAGAATGGATTTCGTGATTGCCAGGTTGAGATTTCAATGCGACGGTCTCAGCCGATATCAAATCCCACAGTATTCTGCCCCTCAGCTCAAAGTTGTGTATGGCTCTGGACTCTGCCGAAGTCGACTGATGGGCAAATCCGGGACGTGTTTTGAAGTCGCTTCGTTGTTTGTGGGGTTAACCGGAAGTGTTGCTGCTTCCGTCCTGACTCTATGTTGGGATCTCGGATTGCTTTTCCAACTCGACTCAGACAAAATTCTGCGCAAAGATGGCCGTTCCGAACGGCCGGTTTTCAGTAACTGTCTCCGGCAGATACGAAATGTGTAACGAGTGACAGCGGCTTCGTGATGGTACTCCGTTACAGAAACGAGCTTCTTTCATGTCCGGCGAAGCCGGATAGCTGCATTATCAGGGCTGGTGCTTCCACTAAGGGCCCACGAGGCGCAAACCCGAAATATTCCTATTTGTGAGACATCGAAGAGGCGAGAACCGCAGCGCTGGTCAGGGATCACACGAAGTCAAGCAGATCAGATGGTGGATTGCTGGGTAGCACAACCAAGGTGTTCAGGTTGTAAACGAACCGACCGGGCAGCGAGACGGATTTCAGTCTGTATCACTCGAGCCAGCAAAGACAAACGACGAAAGCCAACCATGCGGCCAAACAAACTGGCGATCGGCACGGACTGGGAACACTTTTGTATGTCATATAAAGCCCCTCTGACGGGTATCGGCATAGAGCAAGCAAGACCAGGGGACGGAGATGAACCCGCCCACCGTAACCACCTCGTCCACATGGCGCAAACCGTTGCCCCGGCCGCTGATGACTCCCATAAAGGTCAGACCAGACCGCGGCGCTTCACCAGATCTATGATACTTCGGAGTCTCTGCGTCTGCTCTATGCTTGTGAGGTTCTCAGGTGCGGATACTCGTCGGGTAGATGGTTGAAGACTAGTGGGGCGTCCCTTGCAGCGGATCGAAGGCCTGCTCTCGGAGTCTCGGCAGGCTAAATTGGCGGCGAGCAACGCGATGGCGAACAAGCAGACGTCCAGATATTGCGTCCGAAGTCCCCAGTTGCCCAAAAGAACCTGGTTCGCGGACCTTCAGGCACGGCAGGCCTGGTCGGCATTCAGCTTATGCAGATGGGAGTGGTGGACAGCGGGATCAAGGCAGCCCGGGGTCAACCATTTCCAATGTGCGTGCCGTCCAGGTCACGGTGAGGGGATAAGGATTCGGGCACATACTCATTGGACATTCATCCAAATTGCTCACGCAATCAAGCTTCTGGGGTGCTTCTGCCGCTGCTCGGCAAATCTGGTTCCCTGCAATGTGTGCTCGATGCCCGGCATCCAGAGATGCACCCTGAATTGCGGCGAAGGAGATGAGAATATCACTTTTTGAATGCCAAGCGAAGCTTGGTAGATGAGGCTGGATCTGATTTCCACCAAAACCGATGCCAAGCAAGGCGAAGACGGAAGAGTAAAGCTTGTGTGGGTCGATCACCAGGGCAACGCCCCTGAACGTCTGGTATGCAATGCTGAGAATCCGGATGAGGTCAGTTTGGGTGGGATCCAAAGTCTCTTGAGGCTCGACTTCTGGAAAGGAAATAGCAGCACCCCTTCTTTTGCTCCGCTGTGAGCGCAGAACTCCAGATCAACCCCTCAACCAAGATGGATGTAACATCAGCTTTGAGCATGCACTTGCCAAGCGCTTACTGGAAATCGCCTTTTTATCAGGATATTAGTACGCTTTACTCGAATTGATATTTGGACAACGGATTCAAATTCTATAGGCTTGTTATATTATAAAACTATAGGTGCCCTCTGTGCATGTATGGTGTGGCCTAGGATTGCGTGCACTAGTTTTTCGGCTTCTTTACAACTATGATTTAGAAAAATTGATGTTGCATCTAAAATATGTGGAGGGTGATCTGGCGTTCTGCGCTCACAGCGTAAGGTACGGATACACTCGGGGCAGAATGCTTGCAGGTAACTACCGCTCCATCCAAGCTGTTAGTGCTGCCCAGAATAATGTATGGAAAAGTCATCCTCTCGACTACCCCTTCTAACAAATCGGGCGGTCGACGTACTTGTTCGCTGCAAACCCTGGTGTGTCCCATTGACATGAAAAGGACGGTAAGACAAGCCAAACTACGGGAGTAACGTTGGAGGACTTAATGGCGGAACACTATAAGCCCCCGTAGTCTGCTCCCTTCCCTAAGGGCTGGTTAGGGGCAGCCCTTTGCGCTGCGCTGTGCATCATCATCCCTGGTCTCGTCGTTGTCTTTTTCATCATCCTCGAGTCCTCCGTCTTCCTCATCCGGTTCTCTCGACAAGTCGAGGGTATCCTCGTCTTCTGTCTCGTCGTCCTCGATTCTCTTGTCACAGGCCTGCTGGATCTTGTCCAAGAACTCACTGTCGGTCCTCATCAGGTACAGCTCGGGGAATCGAACGAGGGCACGATCGCGGGCACAGGGGCCTCATCGTCTCCAACGTTCTTGAGCCTGTGACCCTCATGCTTGCGCTCGCCGCCGCCGCCATACACCTCCAACACTTCCTTGTCAAGGTGAATGATGTATGCCCACTCGCAGAAAAGGGTATCGTACCCGAAGCCCAGCTCGAGGTAGATGGGAACCTTCTTGGGCTTCTGCTCGACATCGCCCTCTGTACCATCCGCATCTCCTTGTGTCTGGTCCGCTCGGGCGATGATGCCCAGAATCCCAGCCGAGGTCTCGCGAGCCAGGCTGGGGTAGAGCTGGTTGACGCCAAATATGTTGCGCTCGTACGGGAGACGTTGGGCCTCGCGGTTCCGGTCCGGGGCCTCGCACTCAGCCGAGATGGCATCAAGTTCTTCCTTGGTTGGCTCGTAAATGTGATGTCCAGGCCGGCCTTGAGGTTCTCTATGTTGCGGGCGACCGACAGGAATATGAGAATATTGACGCCCTGTCCCTCCGGGTAACCGTCGAACGGGCCGTATTGGGCGAGGACCCATCTTCTCTTTTAGAAGATGCTGCAGCTCTGTCAGACATGAATCCTCTCTTGACTTCCCTCTCTCCACTCTCCAATTCTTCTACTCATACTCGATTGTGTAAGCCATACGCACACCACAATGAAAACCGGAAACACCAGAACAGCAACCAAGCCGAGTTCAGATGACCAGAGAAGATCTACACACCAAATGGGATGGCGAGTGCGCATGATGACAATCCCCTCGGTGGAGTAAGATGGCGTCTCACGGCTCTGCTGGCAGCCGAGAATTCGAGTTTTGTAAAGTTGGTTCCCAGTCGAAACGGAAACAAATGGGTTGTCAATTTGCGATTGTGACTCGGGTACCTTGGTGAGTTGAAGTTCAAGAGCAAAAGTTGCGGCCAGTCTACTGCGTTTGACCACTCCTTTCACGTCCCTCTTGACCGCATTCGTCCCTACAAGCATAAGGCAGACAGACACGTTCTGCTGTCAATTTTTCGTGACATTACCCGTATGCGTGAAGTCACGCTCTGGCGACGCACCTCAAATTTTTTGTTGGCCGTGTTGGCGGCCAGAGCCCGCATCAAATGCTACGCCTGCCTGAAAATCTCGCCCACTTTAGGTTGAAAAAGGCATGGCGACCTGATACCATATGCCGAATCGTCGTTCAATGGGAGATTTTGGATTGGGTCGCTTCCACTGTGAAGGAATCTAACCCGCACGTTGGCGGCACGCTGCATCAGGCATCCATCGGCCCCTGCTGCCAACCACAACACCAACAACAGTACATGCCCTCGCCCATTCAACGACACAACCTCGCCAAGTATGTTTTCGCCTCAAACTTTAGGATACTATACCGATACATTCACCAGGGTCAGCCTCTTTGACCAGTTCTGGCCGACCAAGGCTGGTCAGCACAAAAACCACCTCAACACCCAACACACCTCAGACACAACCAACAACCACACCACGGCGATTGGCCTTGTAAACCATATCATTCATCTGGGCCTGTTTGGGCCTGTCTGAATCTGAACCAAGTTGTAACAATAATAAACCTGCAGAAACCAGGACAGGTTAACACTCAGCAACTTCCACCTAAACGCCGATTCCCATCAAACCATGAACATACAGGAAAATACCCTTTGTCACTCCTGTCACAGTCCGCTTTCATACATCACGCTCGGGACTCCAAAGTCGTCGCATTTCCCTCCTTGCCGACCCTCACCTTGGTACCAGTCAGAGCAAAAAAAAGCCTGTAGCCCTCACCCCACCCGAGCATTGGCTGCGGCATTGTTTCACCTTGAGAAGAACCTCCCCACCATATTGCTCGCAATGCTCCCGGCAAGGTTGCCGCCGCTGAAGGCTCTCCCCGCCAGATTCGACGCCTGGCTGAACTTGTCACATCGCGAAAAGGCAAGGGAGTTGGTAATCGTCAAGACAAGCGCAATAACTGGAGAAATCAATCGCAGTCAGCCTCCATTCCTCTTTGCCCATACCTCTCTCTCTATGTCTTGCACCGCCCGCCGAAACAAACCGCGGGTAGAACCTACCAACAAGCGGCAGCCAAATAAAGTTGAACGTCAACAGAGCCACGAGCGCAAGGGCGATCCAGAGACACGGCTGCGCGTAGATGGCGATCCAAAAGAAGCGGCTGTCGGTGGGGTTGACGACCTTGGTGCCGGGCTCGCTGCTCTCAAACACCCAGTGCGACTTGCCCGTCGCCGGGTCCACCTCGTTCCACCAGCGCAGGCCGACCAGCCGGCGGCCGGCAATGTTCTTGAGGTAGTAGAAATCGGCCGCAAGGAGGAGGATGGTGATGATGAAAATCATGACACTGCGGGGCGGTGGATGGGTTAGCGTGGGCTTCGGAGAAAGATGAGGACCGCGCTTCAAGGTGGTCGGCGTGGTGGAGGATGAACTGTGTTGTCTGGCTTGGGGTTCGCGTCAGGGCGTCCTTACAGGTTGTGGATCAAGAGTATGCCGAAGAGGTAGACGAGCAGACTAGCTGTTCGAGTAAGCTCGTCAGTACTGTACCTCACATGAGCCAAAGGAAGAAAGCACCAGCACTCACAAACGCGAAAGCCGAGAAAAATCAGAAGCGTAATTGGATGCGAGCTCAAGCGCCAGCTCAAAGAGCCCGGCGCGGGCTGCGGCTGCTCCATTCTGCGATAATGTGATGTTGCTCGCGTTGGAGACAGCTCTGGCCACGGCTCAAATCGGCGGATGTTGCAGCCACTGTGAAACTGTGATACGTAACCCAACCTGCTGGACACTTGACAAGTTTAGCCACCAGCTGCTTCCCGGCTGTGGGTCTGCCAAGATGCATTGTCGGCCCCACTTGCCGGAGCTTAACTCGCTGGATTCGGGTTCATCTCAAGACATTTTTATGCGTCCTTCTACATCTCGAGGTGTAGGTATGGGGGTAGGCAGGCTGTGATACAACGAGGTACATTGAATTGATCACTGTGATTGCTCTCTCTCCACCGTGTTCTGTTCGAAAGTAGAAACTAGCCTCAGCGGGCTCTTACCAAACCCAAACCAACTCAACTCATGATTGTTCACTGTAAAAAATGGCGCCAGTGCTGCCCACGCTGCGCCGGGCGTTGCTCTTGGATAATAATATGGTGCCGCTATCCACTCCACTCACTCAAAGTAGGAATCATAAACTGACAATCCCAACAATTCCCGCCTCCAACCTTCCGGCCCTAGCCAGCTCCCGCGAGGTCAAGTCGACAGCCTCATCTACGATTTCAAACGCTCAGCCACCACCCTGTCCGAAGCACGCTCAGCTCTCCAAGAACACCTCTCCGAACGTTTCAATAACTTCCCCAACGTCGGCGAGGTTGCGGTGCGCATCAACCCCGTCTCCAGCCCGCAAGCCCAAGCCAACATCAACGCCATCGCCTCCCTACCGGCCGTCGACACCATCGCGACTCGCCCTGCAGGTGGCCTTTAATGGTGGGCCTGGGGACTCGCAGCTCAGCGCGAGGTCTTGTATGCGAGGCAGTTGGGGTTCAACGGGAAGCGTGAGTTCAAGAAGGCCTTATCCCCTCAGGCGGTGAGGACGTTGCTGACACCGGAAAACAGAGTGCGTTCACCGCGCCCACATACTACCCGTTCAGCGCACTTTTGCACCGACGAGAGAGGACGTAGGGTGGGCGGCCCGCGTTGTGGATGCTGACGAGAAGGCTTCTGTGGAGAAGCCGTCATCTTGAACGGAAAACATGTTAATACTCGGGCGATTGAAAGGGCTAGGGCGGTCCTTGTCAAGGCAAAACAATGCGGTTTCGATGTTGATGCCGTCAGGGAGGACTTTAACAAGGAGAGCCCCGACAAGGAGAGCTCCCAGGACCAGCAAGCACCCTGAACACCATGTGGAATGTCATGCTGACACAGACGGCGGCATTTCAGTCAATCAAACGTATGTAACAGTACTTGTAAATGAGAGCATCTCCCTCTGCTACCAAAGTTCAACCCCGCGTCCGTCCACCTCTTGTAGATGTAGAGTACATGGCTCTTGAATGGAAAGTGAGTCGGGACATACGAAACCTGGTTTCTAAAAAGATGGAGCTGAACGGCCGGCAGAATCATGGAGGAACAAGTCAGCCTCCATTTGAGGTCGAGATCTGCCAGCGAGAATGGCTGCATCATCTACCCCATCCAGGTTGGCGACATCACACGGCCCAAGCGGCCTCTGTTCACGCCAGTTCGGCCGACCGAATTCACTCAATGGCAGTGCCTCGTCGTCCTCCGGTTGTCCCACGGGCAGGGCGGCTTCGCTTTCTATCCTTCGAATAAACTCCTCCAGGTTCTCAAAGCCGAAGTTCCCGGGGATGCTTTTCCCGTCATCATATTGGGGGAGTTGGCTCTCGCTGCCGAGGTATCGATCGGCGGTGGCCGTCTGCTCCGCTGGTCGCGCATAAAGGTGTAAGAGAGGCCCTTCATCTCTCTCTCTGCCATAACCGAAACTGACCGGTCGAGTCGGCGCTGAAATGTACGTCGGCTGGTCGATAAAAGTGTAGCGTCTTTCTTGAGATCTAGCGCCGGCCGCAGCCCAATCGTCGTCGAATCCACAGGATCGTGAAAGTTGTCGAGGTTCGAGATGCGGTTCCACGTGCATTGCAACCCGGGAAAATTGCGGCACTGACAACAACTCGCCTTCAACCTCCCTACCAGTCGAAAGCCGGCGAGCATTTTGTGTGAACGCGTCGAGTGACAAGCCGGTGCTGTAAGGCCTCTGGCTCTCCGCGGCCACGTCCCTTGTCACCCAGCCTTCGTCTGGTCTTTCCCTATGCTCTAAACTGTCGCTCCTTGGTTTAGGACTCAAGTCCGTCTGCGCTGCAGCATCCTTCCGAGCGCCCCTCGTTCCCTCTTGAGCGCTATCAGGGGAGAGTCGTGTGGGTTCTCGCGATAACCTTGGCCCGTATTTACGGCGCAGCTGCAGCCTGTCCCTTTCAAATGTTGCGATGCTCTGTCGGATAGAAGGGTCCTCTCTGAAGTAGTGAGACTGCAGTTTGTCCATGCCGCAGTCATCATGATGTTGAGACCATGCAGATACGCTCTTGGCTTTGTCAGGCGGGCGCCTAGAGCGCACTGTTCCAGAATCGCGGCCGCGAATGGCGGGCAGGGAGCTTGAGTACTGGGGTACTACTTCGCCTTCGTCGACGCTAACGCTTCCGTAACGTCGTTGCGAACTGTGCGGCGAACGGTGGCCGTGATGGCGGCTGGAATGGGGATGCGAATCAGCATCGGGGGGGAATCCGTGAAACTGACCAGCACGGTCTGCAACGCCATAGCTCCTAGACTCCGGTTTGTCGTGTGGCATTCTCCGAGAAAAGAAGGCCGAGAATTCCTCCAATTCTTTGTCTTCCTTCTGGCTTTTGCTAAGCTTTAGCTTTGAAGCGTTGGGTTCTGAGTTTTTCCGTGTGAGATTCCGGTGCCGCGAGATTCGATTTGCTTTGGGGATCAGTTTGCTTGCTGTAATAGATTAGCAACAGCGTCTCCTCCCATCACGGGTCCAACGGTCATACTCCGTGGAAGCATATGGCTGGCAGCGGCTTGAGCATCGCCCTGGCGTGCCTGGCTCCGTGATATTAGCGTTGTGTTGGCGGTTTGAACATTGGACATACCCACCGAGCGTTTTCCTTCGACCGCTAGCGCTCTGTCCTTCCTGGCGTCTGTTGTTGTACAACTCCGAAGCCCCTGACCCGAGGCTCGCTTCTTGTCCGCATGCGGCTTGTAGTCATACTTGTCGTCACGAGTCTTATGACGAGTTCTCTTCTCAAATCGATTTTCGACTCGCTCCGCCGCCTCTGGAGATGGTGGGGATGATTCCAATATGGGCCGTGGCCTTTTCCTGTGCTTGCCTACGTGGTCCCTAGCACTGGATTGCTCTGTCAGTCGAAGCTGTCTCCTCTCGTGATCTGGCCTAGAGAGATGCGAATGGCGAGCCTGCATCTGCTGGAGCCAAGACTGGATGAACTCGTCATTCTCTTCCTTGGGACGGGGCGTTGGGCCCCTGCCCAGGGCTGCAAGGGAGGCTTTCGTGATCTCGTCGAAATGTCCGCTCGTATGCAGGCTCCCCGCGCGGTTCTTGGTCTGGCTGTCCTGTTCAGGCTGTTCGCGGCTGTGTCGGACACTGTGGCGCAGCCGAGATGTCATCGGTGGACGGAGTGACTGCAGTGCTTCCATTGTCTTGGGGGAGGTGGAAGTCGGCCCTCGGTTATTCGCAATGGATCATGAAGCCACACGACAGTGTGGGTGTGCGTCCGTGTTTACCTGACCGTGACACTTACAGCACCTCTAATCACTCAAAGTCGCCTCAGTTATTGACCTCGTTGGGGCCCCCTTCGTTCCTGCCGTAGCCCCCTATCCGACGGAAGCCGGTTCTCGAGCCTTCTTCAACCTGGAAGGAGCGTCTGAGCCTTAGTTGATTGACGGGACGAGACCTATATCAGACTGTCCCGGGTCAGGTTCTGCTCCCAATGGAGAATCTTTCGAGGCGCCGAGATTCCAAGTTGGGACATTCCATTACCAATCCGTCGTCAGATTTCATGACGTTAGAGCTCGCCAACAACCTGACGAAGCCGACGTCCTCCGCCCCTGGGACGATCCGGGACCGGTACCGCTGTCATGTCAACCCGTCCGGATTTTGGCCGGGAATTCGCATTTATGGGTTGAAGCCGGCGCGTCTTGGCAAGGTCCGTAGGCGAACCCTGTTATTTCGGCCCGGTTCAGCACCACTGTCTGCGGCAGCGGAAAAACGCTTGCAGCGCTTGCTAAATATGGCAACACGGCCAACGTTGCTGTGAGTTGTTTCCTGTGTGGGAACATATCCCAGTTTTCAAGTCAGCCTATAGTCCATCCCGAGGTTCAGGCTAGAAACTTACACACTCAGACAACAGTTGCTGCTTGTTTGCACCACCCCCTACCCTTAGACGGAATCTCGGCCCCGAGGACGTGCTGGTTTGAGTGTTTCCCTGCCTCGGCATGACGACGCCTCACTTGGCTTTTCCAATGCCTTTGCGTTCACAGCGTCGCGGGCCGGATGGGACTCAACCTCAGACCGAACCAATGGTGACGACGGTACTGGTCCATGCCGTTTCCCCCGGTGTCGGCTGCCGAGAACGGACGAGATCCTCAAAGCCAAAGACCGTGCGCTTTCTCCAGATAAACCATGCAGCCGTCGGCTGCATGTCAGGACTCAGATGCACAAGCGGAAACAGCCACTGGGATGCACCACCGAGATGGCCACTGTTGGACGGTAACACCCCTTGCCCTTTTCGGCGACCTGCCGTCATCTCCGGCCCGCATAATCCACATCGGGACGTCTCCGGCCCATCATCAACCCATGTGGTTGGACTGTTGGGCTTTTGAGGATAAAGTTGCGAGCCCTCTATGAGAGAGACGGGCAATTTCCTGGGGCGTAACTGTTGATGCACTTCGGAGAAGATCCGCCGATTGAGGTTCTGTCGGAACCCTCAACAAAGTTCAGATCCAAGACCTATGGCAGCACCTGTTCCCCGCCTCGGCTTTGGTAGAGGCCGCTCAGTTATGGACACACACACACACGGCGATTGACGGGAAGAGCCATCCATGTCAACAGCAGTATGAAACTTCTTTGGGCCCACATCGCCTCTTGGATTCAACGGGCGCCTTACCGCGTAAGGCTTAGACTCCTGGAGCGTTGAACCTCTGGAGGGTTGCCAAGCACAGAGTGTGTGTCAGTGGTCTCGTTGCCAAAACCACACACTCGTTCAGCACCAGGTCCAGGGCCTGATCCACGTAGGCCTCTCACAAGTCGTCCGCCTGAACACACGCGCCGGCCGAATGGATGATCCGGCTTCTCATTATCCGTACATCGTCAACCGTTCAATCTGCAGTATGGTGCATGGGGACGCGAGAGACTACCGGTATGCTCGTCACTTGGGCATAAGCGTTACTGGGCTGCGGGTGGCATAGACAGGACCGCAGCTTAAGTGGGTGGTTCCTCCGCCAGCAGTTAGCCATCATCCCATCCATCGTCGGTTACGTCTGAACTGAGTGAGATCGGCCGTCAAGCTCAACTTAGTCCTCGGATCACCCGCATGCGACGTCGTACCGAGGGACCACCTGGATTCCCTCGACCAAGCAGCGAAGTCACGACAACCGCAGCCCCCTAACGTGGGCAGACCATAAGCAGCCAACAAAATGACTGATGCTTGGTAAAGAGTTTCATCTCCCGCCTTGCCCTGCCGTCTGATCAAAAGATGCTTAGGTTTCGCATCCTGGAATCACAACACGTTTCAAGCCAGTGCTCCACTTTTCTCCTGCGGCCAGTTTTTATGGAGTCGATCTTTCGGTTCTGCTAATGGCATCCTGCATGCCCATGCACAAAAGGACGCGTCTTCATCTTGATTCCACAGCGAGACGTCAAACTTGAAGCAGCGGTGCTGACTGCTGAGGTGAACAGGACGCCATTGGTGGGCTTCCATATCTGTGGAGAAGCTTGTTGAACCATTGAGACGTTTGAGCTTACTCTTTGTCGGCGCTCGGAATCAAGCCCCTGGTTGCTGTCCATTTGAGCTAGGGTATCTGGAGTGTACCGATAGCGGTTGACAGGGCTGCCCCCCAGATACCCCAGACCTTGGTCCGGATCAGCATATCAGGGTTGTACTGTGTACGGCTTGGGCATGAGGCTCCGGCCCCTTCAGCAAGCTATGATCTTGAGATGGATGGTGCTGCATAATTAAAGGTGCAATTTTGCCAATGCCGGCAAAATCGTCACAATGCCTTGAGCGTGTCAGCGTCTCTGAGTCCCAGGTTGTGCGCGAGCACCATCTGCTGAGAACCTGGATCGGCCAGTCCGAGAAGCTCACGCTTTCTCAAATAGTGTTTCTTAAAAATTTGGGCAAGGGTGTTTCGAGCTTTGCTGAAGCCGCAGCAAAGCCTAGCGAGTGTGGCAGCCGGCGTCTTAGCTCGCCAGACAGGCCTGGACGCCATGCAAGCTGCAAATTGCCAGGAGGGCAGGCCGGGAGCCTCGCTAGCTGGAGTGTAGGATCACTCCTACGGAAGGTTTGGTACTAAGGTAGGCAAGCCGGAGAGGCGTTAACTAGTGAGAGCCCCGAGCCTAGTCGCCGGCCTATTCCCACATTTGCGTCGTGGCCTGTCAGGGCGAACGGGGCGACCGTTCTCGAAACTTTCTAGAGTCATTCTACGCCAAGGTGTAGACGTCGCCCCACATGCAACACCCCTGGGCAGAAAGCACTCTGAGGCGGTGGTTTGGAGGTACGTTTGATGCATGTTTGGGCCAAACCAAGCCAACAACATATCATGCTTGTTGAGGCCTTGACCAGGGCAACAGCAAGCATGTCAAGGAGCTACTAAGCATCGGACAGGTACAGGGAATCCGGTACTCTGTCATGGGTTAAGTCAGGGGGTCCATATGGAGCTATTTTGGTCCATTCCCAGAATTCCCCCGCTGGTATATAAGATGGGTAGCATCAATACTGGCGCCTCTGGTCCTCCCCAGACCGAGCTCTCTTCCACCAACCAACCAGCTTGATAGGGGGGAGACAGAAGAATCCTTGACACATAGCACATAACGCAGCTTCGTTAACACTCCACCGCTCGTGGCCACTGTCCGTCTGCCCCTGTACCGTACACACACACGCCAGTCTCGCTTAGAGAAAACCGAAGGGCTACGACTAAATTTGAGAGCGTGCCTCCGTTCCGGCTGAAGTCGACGAGCCACTTGTCTGACGACATCTCCGATCGTTTGCCGGGTGAGAGGAGCCGATCCCACGGCAGTACCCGTTCTCGTTCCCTCCTTCGTCTTGCTAAGCGCCGGAGAACGGTGCTGTCCCCCCGCCTTTCTTTCCCTTCCTGGCCTCCTTGGCCACCTTGTATCATACGCCCCAGAGAACTCCTGGCACCTGCAGCAAGCGCATACAAGTTCCACAACAAACTCCATTTCTTCCAACTCGTGGGATTCCAGAACGCCGGCGCCTCCGAAGAGAACACCAAGGAACCACGATAAGGAGAAAGCAGAAACAGTAAGATGTCCAAGTTGTTCATTGGGTAAGACTGTTCGAATTCCACGTCGCGGCTTAAACTACCAAGGGGGCAGCCCCTCGCTAACTGGACTCAGCGGCCTGGCATGGCATACCGACGAGGCGACACTAAGACAGAAGTTTGAGGAGTTTGGGATGGTGGAAGAAGCAGTATGTCACGCCGCCCGTCCCCTATGGTGCAGCTTCGTTCTTCCTTGCTTGTCCGCTCCCGTATCGGGAGCTCAAGCCGATGGGTTATTCATGAATGCCGAGGATGAGCTAGGAAACAACAAGGCTAACATCTCGTCAGGTCGTCGTCAAGGACCGCGACACGGGCCGTAGCAGGGGCTTCGGGTTTGTGCGATACACCAACGAGGAGGACGCTCAGAAAGCCATCTCCGCCATGAACAACGTGCAGTGAGTCGAGAGTCCAACACTAGCCCTTGCTAGCCTGCTCAGGATCCGGTATTGACCAAAACTCCCGACAAGGTTCGACGGACGGCAGATTCGGGTTGACAAAGCCTCGGACACTGGTCCCAAAGGCGGCGGCGGCGGCGGGCGAGGAGCAGCCGTCCCAGGCTACGGCCGAGGGGGGTTCGCCGCCGCCATGCCGGTGGCCGGCGCCCCCATGCCCGGCATCGCGTACGGCACCCAGCAGCCATACGGACTGCCGCCGAACCTCTACCACCAGCCGTATGGGCGCGTGTACGCTCAGGCTGCACCGGCCGCATACGCCGTCCCTCCGCAAGGTATGGAAGAAAGGTTGAGAAGAAGAAGCATGCATACGAAAGGGTTCTAACCGTGAGACCCAGCTTGGGCGGCGCATCCCTACGGATACCCCGACCCAACCCAGCAAGGACCACCCCCTCAGCCGCCGAATCAAGGGCCTGGGCCGGGCGGGTACTAGGTCAGGGCCGCCTCCGAACGACGACAACGAAGCTCTGGCGCCGGCTACGCACGCCGGAAGGAGCGCCAAACGAAAAGAACAAAACAGTCTCTAAGAATAGCGAATCGACGACGACGAAGACGATGGGAGAGCGACGGAGTGAAAGCAGCACATACCCTGAATTGTTTTCTTCTTTCCATCTTGAAGCTTGCCCGAGGTTTCTTTCTCTTCTTGGCGTCGAGGATGCTGTACGATCAAGGAGTTGTTGCTGACCATGGACGATTGAAACCTCATGATACCCAGCTGCCCGCCCTGCCCGCGCTCTTGATTTTTGTTCTGTTCTGTTCTGAACCAGGTGCTTGTTTTGCCGCTTACTTTTGTTTCTGTCGGAAACGAAGGACCTGGGCCTATTCCATATCTATTCCTTTCCTGCTTCTTCTTCCAAGCTCTTTCTGCAATGAACTACCTGGCTTCCCGGTTGCAGCGGTTTTGAGTTCATTTTTTAAAATCATTCTGCTTTCGTTGATTTGCCGGTGGAGTGAGTGGTCTGGGAGAAAAGGGGGTCGAGTCGCAGGACTGGAGTGGGCAAAAGTTGAGATTCCCGCCGAGTCCCACGCTTGTGGATACAGAGGCAGGCGGTTCCCTCGTGTCTTACGTTCTGGGAAGGAATGGGCGTTGGCTGCGATGATTGATGCTATCCACTGAAAAAGGGGAATGAAGGCTTGTCAGGATGGGAAGCAGCAAACTCGACGGACCGGAGGCTAACTGATAGCCGACTCAAGCAAAAGGGGAGAAGAGGGAAAAACGGGGAGGGGAACCCGTAGCTGTTGTTTGTTGATGATGTTGTTTTCTTTTCGCGTCGAAATGCTCTCCCCATTTCATCGCGAAGTCTTCTCTGTCTCTTCCTGCTCGTCTATGCTGCTGCCTCTTCTGAAGTCGTGAGTCTGTTCATGATGCTGCTGCTCCCGGCGTAGCACCTGTTCCGGACCAACGGTGGCGGCCTGGAGGCCGATTTGCTCCCTCTCCTTTTCCTTCTCGTCACGCGCTGCGATCGCCCGCACTCGGTTCGACAGGTCCGTGACGTGCTCATCGCCGCTCTCCGGGCTGAGCTCGTCCAGGGCCGCCTCCAGGCCCCACAGGTAGTCCCGGTTGAGGCCGCTCGGCCCGGCGCTGCGGTAGATGTGCTCGGCGAGCGCCTGCGGGTCCTGCGGCCCGACAAACTGCTCGTTGTCGGGCGTGCCGATGTAGACGAGCGTCTGGATGGGCTCGCCGCCCCTGGCCGGGTGGAAGGGCGTGTAGTGGATCGTGTACCCGTTGATCTCGCGGATGTCGAGGTACTCTTTCACCTCGGCAACGCGATCGGGCTTGATGCGGTATGCGACGCCCCAGACCTTGTTGGGGGCTGAGCCGTGGTGGTCGGTCAGCTGCTCCCAGTAGGAGCGCGAGATGAGGGTGACGACGCGCCCTGGGGCTTCGGGAGTGCCGCGGTGGTCTTCGCTGTTACGGGGAATAGCGTTAGCCAGTCATCGGGCTTGGTTGGGATGAGAGTGATTGAGATTAGGTTGACGTCGGGGACAGTATCGAGAGTCGAAAACGACGGCCATGGCAACAGCACGGCAATATCCAGTCTGTCTTGATGTGTTACGGTGGAAGAGCAATGGATGAGGCTGGAATACCTTGCCTATATAACGATTAGTATGCGAAGACCCGGGAAAGGGTGCGTGAGATGGGCTGATGGGAAGCCCCGGGTTATGGGACTCGGGACTTTGGTGGGAAGGGTCAAAGGGGAAAAACCAGGGGAAGAAGTCATGGGGAAAGGGGGCACGGGCACGGCTGCAAGGCGACCCAAGGGATCCGGGTAGGCTTACCTGCCAGAACCTCCGGACATAGCCTGTCACCCAGCCTGGGATTCGCCTATCTTAGGCCCCGTCAGCTTCGGCCTTGCCGAACCGCGGGTGTTCCAGCCCTGGGAGATTAGGTTGGACGGTACCAAAGTGAGGTGGAGGTTTCCAGATCAAACTTCTGCAGGGCCAGTGGTTAGTTCCTGAACTCCTTTTTGGCTCGGTACCTATACATAGTACATAGAAACGCAAACACTCACCCGTATCCAAACAGCCAGAACTCATCATCAGCTTGAGCAGGAGGGACGTCGACGGACATGGTCTCGAGCAGGGGAGTTTCAGGTGCCACAAGACGGTGCTGAACAGAGATACAGACTATGTGCTGTGTTTGTATTTGAGACAAATGCGGGATGGAAGTACGGATACTCTTCCTGATTACAGGGCTGAGTGACTTGAGTCACTGTCGAGTTTGATGTTCTCCCCTTAGGCTCTTAGCGAGTGGGACAAAGCGCTCTCTCACTGGGGCCGCGGGATAGGACTGACTTGGTTGTATGAATGGATGAATAAGCTGAGTAAGTAGTCGTCTTCTCTTTGCTTCCTTGCATATCCGTAGCAGCACGTGGGATTTTTGGATTAGACTTGCGGTCAAGGACGCTCGCCTGAATAAGGTACGCTGCAAGTCATCGTTAGTGGGAATGGTTGGTGGAGACAGGAACGGGAGCGTGCTTCGGCCCGTGTATCGCCTCTTCGAGGGTGTCTTAGGGTATGTACTTATGTCCGCAGCAAGGCTGAATGCGTCCATCTTTGGTAAGCCAGCTTAGGCTTCCTTCTCTTTCCTCTTTTATTGTTTCCCTATCTCTTCTCTCCTTCCGCTCTCCCTCCTCTTTCTTTATCTCCATTTTCAATAAACTGATCGAGAATGGCTTCTGAGATTTCCGATAGCGAGCAAACGTCCCAGAGGTATGGATAAGAACACTGCTTCTCATTCCCTGTGACGTCGAGGTGCGTGCTGGCGCACGCCACGAGACACACTGAAACTCGGGACACCATCTCATGAAGCTCCGGGACTAGGTTGTACATAGAACTGGGCCCTGTCAAGAGACTGCGCCATGTATGCCCTGTGTTATGAGTAACCACATTACCGGTACGTTGCTGCTGTGGTATCATAGAATACATCAGGTATCACCTATTCCGGACCTACCTACATAGGTAGCTTACATTTTGTGTCCTCGATGAATTGGGAGCCAACACCATGGAACATTGACAACCGCTCAATGGTTTCAGCTACCTAAGGTGTTAGGGGTGTTAGAAACTGTTGACTGTCTCATCAGTGGAAGATCATGGTAATGGAATTCTTCCTGATCTTAGGTAGCCCTCCCTGTATGGTTATCGCTGAGGTCACCGGATGGGGATTTTTAGTTCTATTGCTTGCCATGGCCGTAACACGCGTATTCCTGCACCCACGACAGCGGGAACCCCGCCCTCCGAGTTTCCCGGCGGGAGGGCTGTGGGGGGGGTTTTCTGAGAACAGGCTGTTACAAGACTGTTTTGGCCGGAACAGACAATTGGTGGCAGGAACCGGCAGAACCTGGGCCTAACAGATTGAAAACAAGATGTTCTTGCAAACATTCTAAAACTGCCTTCCCAGCCTGTTCGACCAACAGTATTCAATGCAAGAAACGGTTCTCTTTTAGCAGGTCTAGACTTGCCAAGGACAACATTCTGTTTTGTAGATAACAGAGTATCTGGGGTCATTTACACGGTTATCTTATACTGCCCGCGACCAGGAGTGGGGCATGTAGACTGCCACTTCCTTCTTCACTCTCACACGTGGTTTCCCGTGATGTTAATGTAATTGATTGAGTTAACACTTCTTTCTTCATTTCTTTAGGTCCTATATATAGTTCCCAGTTGTTTCTATTTCTTCTCAATTGAAATGAAAAAAAAAAGGAAGAGCAACAAAAGACTATCAAGTTAATGTAGGAACTACACCCTAACCCTTTGTATCTGTATAATACCGCCTTACCAACAGTATGTTTTTAGCTGAACAGCCCTGTTGTCGGAACAGCTTTGTACATTATGTTGCGAAGACACTCCGTTATAGCTTTTTATAATGTTTATGTCCAGTGGATGTTGGCCTAAGGTGCAGTTTTGACAATATTCCAGTGAACAGTCTGTTGCGCATTTGCAAGACTTGCCGTAAGCCTGTTTCTAGACCCCCGCCTCCCTCTAAGGGTGTTCTGGGCAGAAACACAGCACAAAGCTGCGCCTTCGTCAACACTGGAAGAATGCAGAAAACCTAGAGGTTCTTTTGATCCCAGAGTCTGTTTCTCCACTCAATACACTGCCAAGGTGCTGCGGCTGAGACGGCAGGTCGATGAGGACTGGAGCCGCAAAAAAGCTTTGCTCAATTACCACCTGTTGCCTGCCACCTTGCAGAGAGCCTCGACCCTGCAGGACCCAACCCCAAACCTGACACATTCAGGAGGACAACTGGCGACGATCTCCTGCTCAGTCGCAACCAGCAACCAGCCAACACGCACACACACACCCGCACAACAGAAAACATGGCGTACAATAGGCCGTACAACCCCGATGAGTTGCCCAGGTGAGTGCTCGCGCAGACCGGCGCAAGTCGCAAACCCGATTTCACCGGCACGGGCATAGCCCGGCCATCGGCCAACACGTTTTGCCAGCCTACTACAACCGTGACCAGCGTGCCCTTGCTAACGCTGCGCTTAGGTTCGCAGAGCCGGAGCAAGTGAGATTCAACCTCTCCGTCAAGATCGCGGCCGCCGCTGGTTCTGGTAGCTAATCTTGCCCATCCTCTTACCCCTCCTCAGAAAGGGAACCTTAAGTCACCACTCTCAACTCAACCACCGCCGTCTTCACGATACGAATCCAAACCTCCCCCGCCGCGTCCCGTCGAGCACAGGGGCTCCGGCGACCCATACGGTACCCACCCGCAAGCACGGCTGTCACCTAGAAACACTGCCCTGCCGCCAGACCGGTTCGGCATGAGTCCACCCCCGACTGCCGTGGGCGCCCGGCCAACCCACCACAGCCTCCCGCCGGCCAGATCGCAACCGCCACCGAGCCCTGCGCCGCGCGATAGCTCCGCCGACCCGACTCTGCTCCCGCTCTTTAGGGCCGTCGACAAAGATGGTGGGCTCTCTGGGATGTGTCTCCCACCTGTTGAATACCGCTTACACGTTTGATCTCTACAGGCACCGGCCAGCTCTCGGAGAGGGAGCTTTCGGCGGCGCTCGTCAACGGCGATTGGACGGCCTTTGACCCGCAAACGGTGCGCATGATGATACGCATGTTCGACAGCGACCGCAGCGGCACCATCGGCTTCGAGGAGTTCTGCGGGCTGTGGTCGTTCCTGGCCTCGTGGCGGTCGCTGTTTGACCGCTTCGACACGGACCGCTCCGGCAATATCAGCCTGGACGAATTCAGCAACGCCCTCGTCGCCTTCCGCTACCGCCTCAGCGACCGCTTCGTCGAGACCCTTTTCCGCACCTACGACAAGCGCAACGAGGGCGTCATGAGCTTCGACCTCTTCGTCCAAGCTTGCATCAGCCTCAAGCGCATGACCGACGTCTTCAAGCGGTACGACGACGACCGCGACGGCTACATTACGCTGAGCTTCGAGGACTTCTTGACCGAAATCCTCCGCCAGCTGAGATAAAGATGCCGGGCCGAGTTATTGGATAATCTGGTTTGGACTTCCCATCTGTGCGTTAATGTGTCATAATCATGATCTGAGGACGGTTGGATCCGGTGGGTGGATGATTGCTATGAATCAATATCTCTATGATTTGCGTGCTGTTGATGTGGATAGGCTGCTGCGTGAATTGGAGAGGTACAATCACATACCTACCGACGAATGATGAAGTTGATACCCTGAGCCAAAGTACGGACCGTACCTTGGGGCCAAGGTGAGAACCAGTGCCCCCTTGGTCCCGACACCGAGGGCCCAAGCCTCTATCCAACCTTTGCAGGTTGGATACCTAACAATGTTTGGCAAATGCGATGATTCCAGTAACCTTCGGAAACCTGGAAGAGGTTACTGGTCCTCGATCAGCATCCAAGTGAGCTCCAAGCAGACGCCGAGGAGCCGGGCTTGTATGGCTGATTCTTACTCGAGATCAAGTCTTGTGGAATACCTACATGAATGCATTCAGAGGACTCATAATCGTTCCGAACATCTGGTCCACCCTTCAGGCTGGCAGCACGAGCTTTCAACGGACGGTGGGCCTACATGTGAAGGGTAAAAGTGAAGGGTAAACGTGAAGCGTCCTGGGTCCGCAGGGCTGTCAAGCGATAAGCACCGCCCCACAGCAGCCCACTTGCTCCGCAGCAGGCCATGGCGGCCATCCGGGGAGGGTCTGCCTCGGGGAAGAGCGAAGCCAAAATTGGAAGTTGAAGAGTGCATGCAAATTTCTGCCTACCGTTATGATATGCCTAAGGTTTTATAGCTAGCTTTTGTACCTCAAGACCGACCTTATGACCTTAGATTTCGACCAAGCTTTCCCTGGCACGACGGGAGCTTGCAGCTACATTGGGAGAGCTCCAAGCAAAGCCTGGGCGACCAGGGTCCTTCCAATCACAGCGGGCTTTGACATCCCCTTCTGGACGGGGCATTGGCGCCCCCCACCTCTCCGTGTCCCCGGGTTGCATGCTAGGAATCCGGCTTCCTCGACCGAGTCGGGCACTCCGTAGAGCGCCAGCCGTATCACTCGCAAAGTCCCGTCGCTCGAGTAAAGCCAATTGCCTGCGAGCTAATGCTGGACAGAGCAATCAGAATGTCCATGGTCAAACGAATCAAAGTCCTATATCCACGTGTTCAGATACATAGATGTGTTGAAACGACAGGCTTCCGATAACGACCAGGACCGCTTCCGGCTGTCAACAGGACAGGGCGGGATGAGAGACAGCTCGGGTCAGCCTGCCCCGATTGTTGGTTGTTTGCTGCAGTCAATCAAGGATCGAACCGGCTAATCACCTTCGAAAGGGCTCAAGAGGCATCGTCTTCATCATCATGAAATCTCGGTCGAGTTCATGTCGAGTTTCGGGACAAGCTACACAATACGGATAGCAGCTTGCTCTTCGAAGCTCCCCCACGTACCTGCCTAATAAGCGGTAATCGTCCCGCTCTTCCATGACGATACTGATCCTATGACGCCTGTCGAGCTCGGTCTGTCTATTCTCAAAAAAGGGCAGTTGCATGCCATCACTCAATGTTTCCATCGGAGGCAGTGCTGCCCTTGCACAGTGGGTTGAGAATAAATTCTGACTGTCTTCGTTAGTCGATACTTTGGCTCACTGCCAATGGAGGTGCGGTCTCATTCGTTTCATTCCTGGGATCCAAGAACAGACTGTAACTGCCGTCTTTTGGCTTTGAATTCCTTATTAAAAAGGTGAGCTCTCGTGTGTTGAACGCAAGACTTAAAATCATCGCGGCAGAAAGACAGTGAGTTGCAAAGCAGAGCTACCTACCTTAGGTGGTACCTTCCGGTGAAGGGTTTTATCGGTGCCTCCGAAGACAAGGTAGCTGGGCCCGGGTCACCAGCTTCGAGCCTGGGAGCATGCTTGTTGCTGGCCCCGCTCCCTCCCCGCTCTCCCATTCGAGCTGCTCCGTCCATTGTCCTGTTCTCGCCCGCAGGTCATTGCCACCACCTGCCCTCCCTCATCCTCCGAAACACCGCCTGTTACACCTGTCAGAGGAGCTTGGAGCTCTTTTCTCTTGACTGCTATCCCCTAACCACACATTTTCCCAGCTTCGAGACAACAAACATCAAATGTGAGAGTCTTCCGCATCGCAGGCCACTTACACGTCAATTGAGAGTCGCTTCGATCCCACCACGCCGCTATCTTATCGGATACAACAGCTACCACCTACGTCCTCCCCGCCAGCACCCCTCGACAACCGTCGTCACTCTCGCTTGGTGGGGCTACAATATCGTCAAGGACGCCCAAGATGCCGCCGAGGTCGTCCCTCACGTCTTCGTTTTCAATCACGGATGCCAACAATGAGGTTATCTGCCCCCTGCGGAACCAAGATGGCTCCAGTTGTCGCAAGCGCTGTATTGGGGTGAGTTGTTCCCGGGCCAGGCGCTGCTCCCATGTCGCCACCCGAACCCCTTTCAGCCGGACTGTTGCAATGCCTCGAGATGCACAAGATTGACGCGGCACAAACTTTAGGAGAAGCGGTATCGTTCTATGCAGGAGCATATTCGCCGGGCTCACCCCGAGCACTACATTGCCAAGCTGCCTGCGACCGAGGAGAGCTTCCTGCTCATGATCAACACTTCCCCCAGTGAGCGGCCTCAACCCCAACCCACTTCGGTCCCCCCACATGCACACCAGACCAAAGGGGCTTCCCATGGTTTTCGGCGAGATGAATCCAATGGTGCGGGTACTCCACGAAGATATGAAGAGTACTCAGGGGGGGCCATGTTCCCCGCGGCCGCTGCACTCGCCCAGCTGCACAACAACAAAAGCGATGCGGGGTGGGAATCCGAAATAGTGAGTGGCTGCTCTCTCCGGATACCTTCCCTATCGTGCACGATGGCTGACTTTGGGGCGCACAGGACTGGCACTCCGACACGGAAGGGGCGAGAAGACCTAGGTCATCCATTGAGCTGCCACCAATACAGCTGATGAGCGCCGATATTACAAGTGCGCCGCTGCCGAGTCTCGAACCGGGCAGACCGCGCGACTTGCTGCCGTCCATCATGTCCCATTCGCCTCCCGGCCGGTCTTCAACGCTCCCGCCACTTCACAGATCGCTAGGTCCCATTCGACCGCGGAAGCAATCAATATCGAAACGGGCGCACCACAGGAGGAAATCCAAGGGACCTGGGTCGGACTGGCTGCGTCGGATACAGAACGACGGTACCCCGGACTTTCTCAGGCCCGGAAGCCATGATAGGAAAGCTCTCTCGGCCGAGCCGTCCGGAGACTATGGTAAGCGGTGGGAGGATCTGATCGATGCGGCGGCCTCGGCAACGGAAGACATAGATGAGGACAGAACTCCAGTGAGTTTCAAGTTCCCTTCAATGCTCGACCCGCGCCTGACAGGCCAGATGCCGCAATCTCCGGTATCCATCCAGAGGTCGTCCCTGCCGCCTTTTGCCCAGAACGCTTTTACAAGCTACCAACAATCCCCCCTCCAACGTGCTCTCACCCCTCCGTCATACAACCCTGAAGCCCCTGAACCGTTTCCGTCGGTCGAGAGCGGCGAAAGCGGAGACACGTTCCATATCGATTCGCGGGGTTTGTCCGACTCGTCCCCGAGCTACTCGTCTCAGAACACGCAGATATACTGCGCCGCCTGTCAGGGCATCTCGCTGCTGAGGGAGTCGTACGCCTGTACCGAGTGCATCTGTGGTCTCTGCCAGGCCTGTGTTGACGTTCTGATGAGCGAGCAAGGCGCGCGCAGGAAGTGCCCCCGATGCGCAACGATCGGCGGCCGTTTCAAGCCGTTCCAACTCGACATTCGGTAGTTCAGCTGGTGATGCCGTGTCTTGCCTTGATCAACAGAACGACGCTCTTCTCTTACCTTTTTCATTCTTAACCATTCCTCATACCCCTTCTTTTCCCTGATCTACGTACTCAGAACAGTCATGGCGTCATTTTTTGGTGGTATATAACGGTCATTACGGCGCCAACAGCACATCTTGGAGAGGACACTTAACAGGATGGACCTTTGACATTTATGGCGCTGGGGAGACTGGATACGGCGGAAGATAGTCTCGACGACACGCACTTCACGACATCTCCAAACCCGCGCACGACGCAAACGAGCAATGGCGAATGTCACGCTACGACACGTTCACTCGGCATATCAACGACGTTGCGCTAGCAACGATCGGCCTTTCTTTGCATCATCGATTCGGCGGCGTTGGCGTGGATTTACCTCGGCTCTAAGAGAAGATCAACGGGAGTTCTTATACTGCTTTGAAGGCTGTTCTGTCCAGGGCTGGTACGACACAGGCGTTTTTGTCTCGCTTTCCTTTCACTAGTACCCTACGCGGCTCGCCCCTGTCCCTCGACCGACGAAATTTGAATTCAAATAGGAGGCTATTTCATAAGGTATCAAGGTATCTTAATCAAGTTTAGCAAACCTTGATGGTCGTAAGCTTGGCAGAGTTATTATTTCACTAATAATGGTAGCAGCATCCCTTCTGTTTGCGACCGAAACTCAATACCTATTATATATAGTATAGGTCGAAAGCTGCCTTATGCTCTTGAATCTCAGGTACTGCGAGCAGCGCCTCCACTCTGTTTTCGATTCCCCGTTTTGTGTGCCCCTTAAGCTGGCTCGTCAACTCACCAGCAGTCAGGACCATGGGTCTCTCGCCGAAACTGACCTGGCGGAGAACTTGAGCGTGCCATTGGTGAAGGCCACCGATGCGTTCCCAGTGAATGAGGCAAAGGGAGAAGCCTGGGCGATGCTAGTACTTTTGGTGGTCGTTTCTTTCATCTTTCCTACTGGAACCCGAGAACTGTGTCCTGTCGTTCTGCGGAGTGAAAAGGGGGACCACGGTCCCTGGGATTGTCCATGGCCTACCTACATACTCCCATGCTCGTTTTCCCTTCTTGGTCTATGCGGTTTGCGACTCGACTGCAGGCTTGCCATAGCCAGTTGAGAGAACTGTAGCATGTCTCGCCTGCTGGCGTTTCGTCCGAAATGGCTCCCCATGATGGTCGCATCCAGTCGACGTGGCAGCAAGGTATACCAATAACAATGAAGATGTCTTTGCATGTAGTGTCATGGCACCTAGGGGCGAGTGTCGCTCAATGCATTGTGCAGTTCCCCTGAACCAAGACCGATCCATATCCTGTTAGGCATTTCCGAGGCTCGGAGCAAGACCTTGGTTTTGAGATGCGACCATATATGATCCGAAAAAAGTGATAACCACGAGACACCTCCTAGCCCACAACATCAAAAGACAACTTAACGTCTCCCGGCTTGTTCGATAGCAGCATCTAGCTGTCGCTCCTCCTCTTCCAACCTGCGAATTTCCTCCTCCGTCATCCCCTCCTCCACCAAGTGCGCAATCGGCGTCGCCAGTGCCCGCGGTGTCGCCCGCCCCGGCGTTGCGCTGGGCACGCTCACCTGGGGCTCGTCCGTTGGAGCAACAGAAGCGGCGCGGACGCCGGGTGTTCCGGCGGCGGCAGCGCCCGGGCGGTCCGAGTACGGCGTGAACGACCGTGGTGCATCCTGCAGGGACCGGGGATGCGCCGCGGCCTCGACGGCGGCGGCGCCCGCAGCAACCGAGTCTCCGTGGACGGCGCCGTTCTGGTACGTGCCGCTGGGACCGGCCCCCCGGGCTCCGTCGTCGGAATAGGGCGAGTGCGGGGACACGTCGACGTCGGCGGCCGCCTCCTTCTCGGCCATGAGCTCGTCGGCGCGGTTGCCCGAGCCGTACGCCGGGCCAGGGTGCATGGCCTTGTTTTGCTGGCGCCGACGGAGGAGGTACCAGACAAGCCCGCAGACGAGGAGCAGGCCTATGGCGCTGCAAGCGACGGCGATGCCGATGACGGCGCCTTGAGCAAGCCCGCCGCTTGGGCTCGGGTCGGCAGGCTGGGTTGTTGGATTGCTTGAGCTCTCTTCAACTATGATGCCCGTGCTACCAGGTTCCTGGCCATCCTCGGTAGGTGTTACAGGAGGCGCACCCGTTTCGGCCTTGTGGGGCTTTGAAATGGTGTAGATGATGGCGTTAGCCGGTAACACGCCGGCCGGGAGAATGATGAATGCCCTGCTGTAGCTGGAGCCGTCGTTCCACTTCGCTTCAAAGAAGAGCGATTCGCTCGGTTTAAAGTCAAACCATGAGAGGTCGCCGTTGAGGAATTTCACATGGCCTCCGGTTTCGTTTGCATAAACTAGGCAGTCGCTGTTAGCATCCGTATCGACTCAAACCGCGCGAAAGTGGCGATACGCACCCTCAAGCCTGCTCGATTGTTGAAACTGGCTGAACTGTATGGGCGGACTATTCTTCCCAGAGGCAAGCTCCCTCTCACCCTGAATCCCAGGGGTAAAGCTCATCAACCTGACCTCGTTGACAATGATCTTGAATCCTGTCTTGACGGTCCAGCCAAAGGTCCGGCTACCGGTCGTAGTGTTATCGAGAGAGAGGACCGCCCCGTCCTCAAACCCCGTCGTAAAGGTAACATAATCCCCGTTCGCGGTGCCCAGGATCAGCGACACCGCGGCTAGCCAGCCCCTTCCCTTTGATATCCTCATCGCTGCTTCCGACCACACTTCAAGGCTCTCGGGTCTTAGTCGCTCCAAACTCGGAGAATCATCGTCCGGCGGACGTCTGCTGCTGCTGCTGCTGTTGTCGTCGATTCGGCAAGGCGGCGGCGGATGGTTTCCCGGACGTGGTCCCCAATTGTGTCGAGCGCGTGTCGTTCAAGAAGGGGATGAATGGGAGAAAAAGCTCAACGTCTGCATCTCGAAGGGGGGTTCGGCACCACTGCCGCTCCGCAGACCACACTTGGCCCAACCCCAGCGCTCAGCTGGGGGAGGAAGTGCGCGGTGCCATTTGCATAGCCCAAAGGCTGAGCGGCGCAGCTTCACCCAACCAGAGCCCCCTGTTCTGGCATTTACACCAAACCCGAAGTGGCACAACATTTTTGGGTGCTTGCATGTCTTCTTTGCCAATCCCTTGCCCATGCAAAGGCAAAGGCAATAAATCTGGAAAGTGGCTCGAGTTAAGGAGTACTCCGTACCATGACTGATTAGATAAATGCCTCGCTGTTTGCGAAGAGAAGAAACAATTTCTAAAGAATGTTTTCTGTGCATCTCTGTCCTCCTTGTGAGCAGAGCTTTTGAGGAGATTCGAGTGTCTCGCATTGGATACCATGCTTACCCCGAGTCTAACAAGCCTCAACCAATCGTTTAGCCAGCCAACCGCCCATCTCTGAATATAGCACCCGCAATCCAGCAGTGCAACACACGTTCTTGCGCCTACCAACGGACGAGCCGCATTCTTTTATTGAGGGAGACGGCCGCCAGCACCAACAGATCGGAATGCGCCGTCTGTGTTCGCGAGCAGATGATACCGTCCGCGAGGGAGATCCAGAAGAGAATTGGGAGCGGATCCACCTTTTATCACAGTCAATGGGTAAGGTAGTGTCAGCACGCCGACGGGCCTGAATCCCTTTCTGGCACCGATCAACTTGTGGTGGGGAGCGGCTGATCTTCGCACGCATCAAGGTTAAAAAGCGGCCGGGTCTTGGCCCCTTCCAGCCCTGCCTGTCGCCGTCTAGCGTTCACGTGACTTGTCAATAGTGCGGATAGAGGAAGTATTGCGAACTGGAGGATGCCAAAGTGATGGTTTTCTAGGTACAACAATACGGAGTATATGAAGGTACCCTGATGAATTGACGACCCAACTGCGACCAAGACGCCGTCCCAGAGCGGGCGGAGCCACGCATACTCGTAGTCTTATCATCGCTTCTGCTTGCTCGCCTGCTCCTTGAGCAGCAGATCCCGCATGGCTGCTCTCGCATTCCGGCTCCCACCAAGCTTCGGGCCTCGGAGGATCTCTTCTTGACTCTTGGCTCCGGGCTTGGCGGGCTGCGCTGGCCTCCTCCGCCGGTTCCGCTGCGCCATGGCATCCATAAACTCGCGCTTGAACTCCTCAGCGATCCGTTCGTCGGCAGCACCCTCTTCTGCCTCGATTGCTGCCGGGTTGGCCGCCTGACCTGACTGTGTGTCGTATATGTCGACTACTAACGCGTTGGCATCCAGCTGAAACCAGAAATGCAGAGGGGATTTTGACCACTCACGTCTATTCTCGCTCAAGAAGGCCTCGACAAGCTGGTCTCGCTTGATATCGTCGCTATTGCGGCGGTTTCTTGGTCTGAGGGGTTTGCCGTCCCGCCCAAGCCGAACTTTCCTTGGCCGTCCCTTCCCCTCCTCGGCCTCCTCCTCGTCGATCTGGCCTTGCAATCGCCTTCTGGCGCGCTCCGTCATCTCGATGTTTCGCGCGCGAGCCTCGTCGCCGAGGTCAATTTCGAGGAGTCGGCCGTGGAGGACGCGCTGGGAATCGGCCAGCCCGCCAGAGGCGCCGAGGTTCGGGCCCAACTGGCCGTCGCCTGTCGATACACTGCTCTCCTCGCGCCTCTGCTGCTCCAGCTGTTGCTGTTCTAGCGCCGCAGCGGCTTCTGCGGCGCGCCGCTTTCGTCTAGCCAACTCGGATTCTACGTATTCCTCCCTTGCTTGATCAGCCACTGTTCCCATTTGGCTGGTGGCTGGGTAGGGTGAAGGCGAACTCACATGTGCTTGTTGACCAGCTCACCGACGAGCCCAGTTTGTGGCGCAAAGCGTTTCGAGATGCCGCCAATCAAGGCTGTCTCGGGGCCTTGCTGAGCGTCGGCGCTGCCGTGAAAGACGAGGCTCTGTTCCGTGTTCTCCTCGCTTGTTTCCCTGTCGTCATCAAGACCCGAAGACGCTGCCCGGAATCCCACACCACCATGCTTGTGTTTTCGGGCGTTTCGTAGCCGTAGAACCTCGGCGACCGAGAGCACTTCTTCATCTTCGGCTCGTTCGGCGGGGATGGCAGGTTCGGTGCGCGATGCGATGGGGGCGGCCTCGGTCGGAGTCTCGCAACTGCTGCCGGCGCTCTCTGGCTCCTCTGCTCGCTGGCGAAGGATCTTCCTTTTCTTTACAGGGCGGAATACTGCTTGAGGTGTTGATTCAATTTCAGCCTTGACCGTCGCCATTGCTGTTTGGCGATGTTTGTGACAGTGGTGAAGTGGGCGATGTTGTGGCGAAGATGGGAGAGTTCCACCAAGGTGCAAGACCAGGGCGAGCCAGGCTACAAATACATGTCAGTCGCACCCAACCCTGACCCGCAGTCAGAGACCGGGCCTTTGAAACCGAACTTTTACTGCAGCAAGGCAACACTTCCAAATGTACACTGCTCACAAGGTGTACAGCACACCCAGGCGGCGCAAAAGTCGTGCACCGCGAAGTTCACTCTTTACTTGGGCAATGCTTTGCATATCTTGGGCAGCCTTGTCAATTAGGCACCTAGATAGGTACCTACCCACGGTGTCGGTTTTCGGCCTCGAACAACCAACAATGCCGGAAACAGACCTACGTCGTCTCATCAGTGAGCTACGCAAGTAAAAAGAATACTAATTTTTGAGACACAGACTGGGTCCCTTGGCCCCTTTCAGTCTCTTCTCAGTCACCGACATTGATAGCAAGGCCGTCGCTATAAGATATCCCTCGGCAGCCCGTTGACCTGATCAGAGATTCAGAACTATCTCAACTGATCCACAGGACTTACGCTCTACGGCTCCTACGCCTCAGATCCCAAGACCAGTGTTGGCCCATAAGCTACCAGAGAATATCTCAAACGACCTATGCCCGAGTCCTTCGGCCTGCCCGCCCAGCCTGAATAACTCGGCCGGCCGACCGGCCTTGTATTTGGATCGGCGGACCCCACCCGGGTGATCGACTGAGAGCGCGGCCGACGGTCATGGCCCACTTTTCCGGCTTTGTCTCCCCCCGATGAGTCGGGACCGACTTCCATTGTCTTCCAGAATAGCAGCCAACAGGGCAGAGGAAGCCACTGGACCGACCGGCGGACTACGGTAGCATTTTATGGAAGACCAGATGGGGTGGAGATAGCATGCCCCATCCGTGTGTTGGCTAGAGGTTCCGAGGCCCAACAAGACTTGTACTCGGCAACGACGTGGTACGTGAACATACATCAGAGATACCTAGTAGCTGGTTGCGCATCCTTATTTGTTTCCTGCTTGTTCTGAACAGCCATGGGCGGTCGGCGGCGTTGTTGCTGAGCTGATCTGTCCCTCTAGGATGAAAGTGCATCCGTACCTGTGTAACAGGAAGATCGGACATCGAAGTTATTGCATCATCTGCCACTCGCCATGACGTGCCGACCTGTAAGAGCTATGCATCTATCCTGTGCTCTCCCCAGAAGAGTTGGTTCCGTGCATGCGCTACGGGTGCAAGTTTAGGTGCCCACATCGACATCTACAAGGTCAGTTGCAACCACAGCATGCGCCGATGCATGGCCAAGCGTTCACTCGATCATTCGCCTCAAACCGTGGCGACCGAGAGTAGGCCTAATAACAGCTACCTTCCACGGTTGCTTCTATTTCCGTATTCCGGGTGACGATCGGAACGGGTGGGCACCTCTCGGCCAGCACACTGGCAAGCAAGGTCCGTTTTACCGGCCGCACCCTGACGTCTCACTCAATACGAAGACATGTCATCACCACCAAAGTACCACACAGACACCAATCCCGAGCAACGTGCACCAAAAAGGCATCATGAAAAACAGAGCAACGATTGTCGCCATCCTAGAACAGCGCAAGGGAGTATCTCAGTAGGACAAGCCGAATCCAATCAGAAAATGACAAGGAGTAGCTGCCCCTCGTTTTCCCTCTCCTAACGCCGCCGTGTACCTGCTTCCTGCTCCTGCTCCTTTCCCCAAAAGCCCATGCCCTCCCATAATATGTGCTGCTATTTTGTCCACGCATGGCAGACTGCAGCAAAATGAGCGAATGTGATGTGATGTAGCCATGATCCCTCCAGACCTTGCGGCCAGGAGGTAGATGCTGAAATGCTGCTCCTCGCGCAGTCGAATCCTAACACCATATACCGTCAAACATCAGATAACCCCCCTCCCATCCCTCTCGGATCGCAGCTCCACCTCGACATACCTGCCTTCGTCGTAGAAACTTCACAAAGTCCCGAAATATGTACAGAGAATGGCAGCCGCGAGCCAATGACTCAGATGGTCGTGTCGTATACAGCGCGGCTGCGTTGCTTGAAATGCCCACCACAACGGCTCTCTCTACAAGCACGCAGAATTCAATCATCGCTCAGATCCATGCCGCCGCGACCGGCCTAGGCGCGGGGATTATGAAGCTCGCAAACAAGGCGCGGACCTCGCTCAGGTACTCGTCGGCGCTGAACTTGCGCAGGCCCCGCGCGAGCATCTCCTGCTCCTCTGCGTCGTCCACGCCGGTTGTCACCTGCTCCTTGACGCCGTACTCCTCTGCGAGCTCCGACACCTGGGCCAGCTCGGGCCCGAACGGGTGCTGGATGAGCGGGTGTTGCGTGTCCGAGTACTCCTTCCTGTGCTGTTGTTGATGCTGCGACTGGCTGGGCGGTTGCGGCCGGGGAGGCGAGGCAGGTGGGAATGGCGCGGTCGCGCTTGATGCCGAAGCGGAAGCCGCGCCCGAGAGCTTGGATTTGTGGTGGTACATCGGGGTCGAGCTGACGCTGGTATTTGTGCTGGTGGACGACGACCGCGAGAAGCTGAAACTGGCTTTCGTCGAGACGGTGCGATGGGACTGCTGTGATAGTGCTGACGCCGACCGTTGCCGCACGAGGGTGTTGTACGGTTTCTGGGAGTGCGAGACTGTGCGTCGTGGGATCACTGGCACTTCTGGCTGTATCGCGGGCGCCGGTGCCTGGTGGTGGCCGGGGGCGGCGAAAAGGCTCGACAGGTGGTTTGGTTCCGGTGAGAGAGATCGCTTTGAGGAAGACTCGACGTCGGGACTTGTGGGGGGAGTGGTGCCGTTTGTGAGGCCGCTGTCCGACATGTCGTCGTCGGATCTCTGGGAAGAGCCCGTGGAGGACGCCGACATGGGATGGATATCTGGGGCATTGTATGACAGCATATTGGTGGTGTGAATGAGTTCAATTGGGCTCGAGATCTTGTGGCGGAGAGAGCCGACTGATGACTTCAAGTTGGTCGAGTTGCTGTGATGGGGTGCCTTTCCTGCCTCGGCCGCCTCCAAGCTCTGCTTGACCCTTCGGGTCGTGAATGCCCGAGCGAGCGACATCGTGTCTAGTCAGAATTTTCTCCCTCTTTTCGGCTGAGAATCAACGTCGACGGGGAAGTCCGAAGGGAATGGTAAATCTGCTGAAGAAAACCCAGCCCCAGAGGAGGAATCAAGGCAGAGGCCGAGTATCGAACCACCTCCCACTCAAAGATGCGGGTCGGGGGGAGAGGGGGGAAAAGGGGGGGGGGGGTGTTCGACCCAGATTCGTTGAAGGCGGTTCTCGGTGCTTTTCAGTCGACGAGGAAGTGGGTGAGCGTTGAAACACGTCAAGCCGACAACCTGTGTCGCTTCCCCGAGACGGTGAAATCGTTGGAACGCTGTCAGGTCTCGTGATTTCAACGCCGGTGTGACGTGGCGCTGAATGGAACTTGCGTGCGTTTCGTAGCACACCTCCTGATGAACGTCACGGCGGTCGGTTCACACACCCTTTCGCAGATCAACCCGAATATGCCGTCGACCGTATGACCCTTCGTAAGGATCAGTTAGCAGAATGTGTGACCCAAATCAAAGTACTTCCGGACTGGCGAACTGTGGCTGTAAGGCGAGTCAAGAATGAGAGTTGAGAATGCAAGAACTTTCGGCGGCTTCCCACAGAAATAAGCCAGCAGAACAATATCAAGGGATTTGGTTGCGCGTGGATCCAGTCCGGTTATGTTGCAGTCAACGGTCTTTTGATGCCGCTGTTTTCGCAGAGGGATCGTGTGTTGACCGTACACAGTCGCGGTTCTCGTAGTTGAGATGATGCTCTTTGGCTTGCAGTCGAGGAAAAGCCTCGAGATGAGTGGAATGAAGAAGGAATGGTAGCTGCTCCGAGAGTCCAAATGGGCCCGCGATAAGGAACTCCGAATAGCTTAAGAGACTCGTTGAAGGAGAGTGTGTAATGCCGTTCCAAAAAGATCGGAGGGAAGCTCAGAAAGGAAAGGTTGCACGGAAGACGGGAGGGCACAAAACATAAAGAGAAGGGGTATGGGAGGTTTGGGGTTCGCAGCCAGACCTTACACAGCAGACGGCAAAATCAAGAGGTAGATGTAGCGGATACACTTCCTGCCACTTTGTAGAGGGGCCGCTGTGAGTATCGATACATCCGGATCAATGTCACCCCCATTGCGTGGTCCGGTTTTCTCCCACGAGCAGCAAGGAGAGGGATTCGCCCGAGTCTGCCAGAACAAACCACACTGGCATGATCAGCGAGGCCGGGCTGGTCGTGCCGTTTCCAGAGAGCAAGCCCAACTAACCCGCCACCAGGGCCTGACCCGCGAGTCCTTGCCAGCGGTCCCTTACACCATCCCTGTGTCCTGGTTGGCCCGCCTCTCAGGCCCGGCTCGACTGGACCAATGGGAGTTGATATTGCCAATCACCCCCCCTTTAGCTCGGTGGCAATGGCAGGGAAGACGGCAGCTCGATATGAAACCAAGAACAGTGCAAGAACTCACGGGGTCCGATGCTGTGTGTATATTACAACGTGGGAGAAAGCATACGATTTCAAGACTATGTCCCCCAACGTCGATAGCTAGCGTGCTGTTAGGCAGAGAAAAAGTACCACGCGGTTGAATTCTACATACGTCGATGGATCTGCTTCACAGGTCGACTCGACACTCACTCAGATCGGGCAGATATCTGCATGTCTGCATCAGTGTCGTGTACCTGCATTGAGCATAAGCCCAAGAAGCAGGCATCGACGTGGTCGCTCAACCGAGGCTCCACGTTCACTGACAAGCAGTTCGGACGATCGCAGACGGGCCTGCTCACGTCAACGACTTTGAAAGTCACTTACAGAAACATCTGAGAAGGAGGCCGCATGTGGCTCTCCGGGCCTGGCGTCACACATTAACCACGGCCAAGCGATCTGATAGGCCACGCATCGTGAGCAAGCTCGCAAGGTGATGATCGCCCTTGCCCCTCCCCATCGTTGTTCCAAAACTTCAGATTTTGCCTTGTCCACTGAGGGCTTGCGATTCGGTTCTGTTCCTGCAGTTGAAACGAAGCTAAAAAGCACAACGAGGCGCTAATTGGTTGAATTTCATGCTAAGGCTGTTGCTTCTCGGAACGGCAATCCCATCATGAAACCGAAGCTTCTTGAGAGCCACCGAGGAGATGCGTGGCCTTCCCAATTGTCTCTTCCGCATCCTGCTATGCGCGCGGCTGATCTCGACATCTACACAGTACACAGGGCGTCTCAACCTTGGACCTTGTCATCATCCCAACTCCCAACATGAGCATTTGTCGATTGAACACCAGAGACAAGCGCCCGTGCTCCTGGCGATAATCCTTAGCTGGGGAAACTGAGCCGCCGGCTCCACGTGGAGGGACTCGACTCCGCAGCGAACACCCACTCTGCCAAGACAATGCCCTCTTTTGAACCCTCCGAGCCTCCACATGCTGCCTGGCGTCAACGTGGACGTGTAAGGACCACGACAAAGTTCGAGGTATCAAGGCAGTGAAGGAATAGGAAGTTGCCCATTTCTTCTCATGATACAACTTAAAAAGAAAAAAAAAGAATAAAAGGGCACAGCACAGTTGTGAAGATCAATATGATCCCCCACACTTGTGACTCGGGCGGTGACGGGCCGCAATCCCCGACCCCGAGACCTGGGCACCGACGAGGCGATCATGGACTGGCGTATAAACTGGCCCGCCGCTAGTCTATTGTCTACCGGAGCTTTCATCATGCGCACCCGTTTTGGGACCGGAGCTGGATACAAGAGTCCACAACGCGAGGAACTCAACTCACATGTGCAACTTCCGATTCCTTTGTCAACTCTTCATCGGCGTAAGTATAACATCGACCTGGGTATACTGCACAGTACACAGTAGACGCTACAATGTATCATGGTATGCGACATGCCGAAACCACGGAGACAGAGGAAAGGAGCATGAGATGCCGATGCGGGGTATCTACGTAACTCGTTCCAAGATGGCAAGGTACAAGTGCCTAGGTAGTTCGAAACAACAGATTCATCGATTCCGGCTGTGTGATCCTCAATCCTCATCCATTGAGTCCCCATCATGACTTAGCCTAGCGCCATCATCGTCCTCATCTTCGTCATCCTCCTCCCCATTCTCCTCCTCCTCCTCCTCCTCGCTGCTGCTGCTCTCGTCATCCTCCACGGCAACCAGGCGATCCTCAACCGCACCATCACCCGGCTCAGCCTTAGCCGGCACCCTCTGACCAAACGCCTTCCGCACACCCGGGTTCGTGCTGGTATCCCAGATCGACACGGTGCCTTTGCTGCCGGCAACCGCAAGTCGGAACGCAACCTCCTTATCCGGGCCAAAGCTCGTGGAGAAGACCTTGCCGACGTCAAAGTCGCGCGAGACGACCAGCGACGGCCCCTCGGCGCCGATGTTCCAGAGCTTTACCGTCCGGTCGGTCGAGCCCGTCGCCATGAACCCGGGGATCACGGGGTTCAGGTCGAACGACGAGACGGACTCGTCGTGGGCCTGGAGCTTCCAAACCGTCTTGCTGACCGCGGGGTCCTTAGAGGCGTGGCGGGCGTCAAAGTAGTAAATGATGCCGCGCTCTGTCGAGACGTAGAAGAAGTTGGGGTCGTGCGGGTCCCACTTGACGTTTTCGATGTCGCTCTCGACGCCCACCTTCATGGGCTGCTCGCCCGGCGCGCGCATGTCGGCGATGGCGGCCGTGCGGTCGTAGCTGCCGCTCAACAGGATCGTCGACTCGGCCGGGTGCCAGGCCAGCGAGCAGACCTTGTCGGTGTGGTAGCTGTACGACTTGGCGCACTTGGTCGTGTGCAGGTCCCAAAGCTTGACCGTCTTGTCTGCCGACGCCGAGGCAAGCAAATTTCGGTGTTTCCGGTTCGCAGCGAGAGCCAGGACTGCATCGACGTGGTACTCGTCGTTTGCCTTCTTCTTTTTCTTCTTTTTCTTCTTGTCTTCCTCGGCATTGCCCCCTTGCCCGAGGATGGCGTTCGGGTACATGCAGTCCACAGTGTCCAAGTCCCAGATTTCAATGTCTGGGTCAAACGTGCCAATGGCGACAAAATTCCCAACTCCGTCTTTCTCGACGCCAGGCTTGCTGACGGGTATGTCGAGCCACTCGAGGCAGAGTGGTATCGCGGGCAGCATAATGTCGTGGTGGACATAAAGGTTGTCGGCCGAGTCCTCGTACACGTAGACCTCCAGGTGGGCAAGCTCGTCCTCCACTTTGGCTGCTAATAGCAGGTTGTCCGTCGCCAGAATCTGCAGGTCCTCGCGGTCTTCGTCCTCGTCTTCAGCGTCGTCTTGGAGGGTTATGTACGGGTCGTCCTTGTTGGATTCGTAGTAGGCTAGTGACTTGACATTCCCAAACATGCCCATAGACTGGCCCTCGCCCTGTTGGTCGTCATCGTCGTCATAGTGCTCTAAATCATATTCCTTCAGATCGTCGTCAATCTCAATGCTGCGAGCAGTGTTAACACGGACTCGGGAATGGTGTGAGACAGGGCACCAACTCTGAGGCGTCATCGTCCTTTGCTGCAGAGTCTTCTTTCTTTCCTGGCTTAGCCTCCTTCTCTTGGGCCTCCTCGAGGTCTTCCTTGGCGTCGTCAAGCTGCAGTTTGGCCAGGTTTGCGATTCGCTCGAATTCTTCCTCGTCAAAGTTGTACTTTGTCGGGAAGGGTGCCGCAAAGCCGCGCGGCACCCAGGCGGTGGTTGTGATCATGGAAGACATTTTGGCAACAAACAACAGGCTTGGCCGCGATATGGTCCTGGGGAGACCCGACAGATGCTTCTGATTTCGCCGAAGTTCGAACTCGTTTCGAAGATTTCGTCCCACAAGCTCAACTTTTTAGTGGGGCACGCAGCGGGGCTTATTTATCTTATCAGTCTCAGGACGGCCGCTTCGTTCCTCTTGGCTGCGTGTTGCTGGCGCCCGGGATCAACAACCGTCAGCCACCTCCGACACCGACTGGGAGTCGTGCCATCTCTTTGCGCTATGGTCCGCGACTACGAGGACGACCGGTTCAGCAAGCGGCGAAAGCTTGACTTCAACCCGCTCCGCTCCGACGACCGGTTCGGCGACTTGCCATCACGCGTTCAAAACAGGAGCAATGGCAGCTTCAATTCGCGAAGCTCGACGCCGCGAGCCGGGTCGCGTCTTGCTGGCGCTGCCACACCCCGGCAGCGTGAGTTTGATGGCCCAGAGCCCGGGCTGGATGACAATGCCGTCAACGCGCTTGACCGTGACTGGTACGGCGGCGACGATGACCTGGGTGGCCACACGTTTGGCGACGAGACACACAACCCGTTCGGCGACGAGAGTGGATGGGCCGCGCAGGAGAGAGAGGCGGCAATGGTGGAGAAGAAGATCAGCCAGTACGCGCGGGGGATGAGCGCCCGTCAAGTACAGAAGCAGAAGGATGTCGATACCTGGGAGACGAACCGGATGCTCACGTCGGGCGTGGCGCAAAGGAGGGATATAGGCGCTGATTTTGAGGACGATCAGGAAGGCACGCGCGTGCATCTTCTGGTCCACGATCTGCGGCCCCCTTTTCTGGATGGGCGTACCGTCTTCACCAAACAGCTCGACCCGGTGCCTGCTGTACGGGACGCCCAGAGCGACATGGCCGTGTTCAGCAGAAAGGGGAGCAGGGTCGTCAGGGAGCGGAGACAGCAGCGGGAGCGCGCGCGACAAGCGCAGGAGGCTACCAACGTGGCAGGAACTGCGCTGGGCAACCTGATGGGCGTGAAGGAGGAGGATACCGATAGTGCGCGTCCCATCGCTGTCGAAGATGACTCCAAGGCGCAGAACACAAACAAGTTCAGTGACCACCTGAAGAAGTCCGAGGGCGCGAGCAGCTTCAGCCAGAGCAAGACCCTCAAGGAGCAGCGCGAATTCCTCCCAGCCTTTGCTGTGCGGGAAGAGCTCCTGCGCGTCATCCGAGACAACCAGGTGGTCATAGTGATTGGAGAGACAGGCTCCGGCAAGACAACTCAGCTCACCCAGTTTCTCTACGAGGACGGTTATGGCAAGACGGGCATGATCGGCTGCACGCAACCTCGCAGGGTGGCGGCCATGAGTGTTGCCAAACGCGTCGCCGAGGAGATGGAGGTAAAGCTCGGCAGCACCGTCGGCTACGCCATCCGTTTCGAGGACTGCACCAGCAAAGACACGGTCATCAAGTACATGACTGACGGCGTCTTGCTTCGTGAGTCGCTCAACGAACCAGACCTCGACAGGTACTCGTGCGTCATCATGGACGAGGCGCACGAGAGAGCGCTTAACACGGATGTTTTGATGGGCCTGTTCAAAAAGATCCTGCAGAGGCGGCGCGACCTGAAGCTGATCGTCACTTCTGCCACCATGAACTCGAAACGCTTCTCCGACTTCTACGGCGGCGCCCCGGAATTCACTATTCCCGGGCGCACGTTCCCCGTGGATGTCATGTTTCACCGGTCGCCAGTCGAGGACTACGTCGACCAGGCCGTACAACAGGTTCTTGCCATCCACGTGGGAAAGCCGGCTGGCGATATCCTTGTCTTTATGACAGGCCAGGAGGATATTGAGGTGACGTGTGAACTGATCCGCGAGCGACTGGACGCGCTCAACGACCCTCCGAAACTCAGCATCCTCCCCATCTACAGTCAGATGCCGGCTGATTTGCAGGCCAAGATCTTTGACCGCGCACCTCCCGGCATGCGGAAATGCATTGTCGCGACCAACATTGCCGAGACGAGTTTGACCGTTGACGGTATCATGTACGTGGTCGACGCGGGGTACTCGAAACTCAAGGTGTACAACCCCCGAATGGGCATGGATACTCTGCAGATTACGCCCATCTCGCAGGCCAACGCGTCCCAACGCTCTGGTCGTGCCGGACGAACGGGGCCCGGACAAGCGTACCGTCTCTACACGGAGAAGGCGTTCAGGGATGAGATGTACATCCAGACGATACCCGAAATTCAAAGGACGAATCTGAGCAACACTGTCTTGCTGCTCAAGTCGCTTGGGGTCAAGGACTTGCTCGATTTTGACTTCATGGACCCGCCGCCGCAGGACACGATCACGACGTCGCTCTTCGACCTGTGGGCCCTCGGGGCGCTGGACAACCTTGGTGAGCTGACGGAGCTCGGGCGCAAGATGAACGCGTTTCCCATGGACCCATCCCTGGCCAAGCTCCTGATTATGTCAGAAGAGTACGGCTGCAGCGAGGAGATGGTGACCATCGTCTCGATGCTCTCGGTTCCCAATGTCTTTTATCGGCCCAAGGAGCGGCAGGAGGAATCCGACGCGGCGCGAGAGAAGTTTTTCGTGCCCGAGTCGGACCATCTCACCTATCTGCACGTGTACACGCAGTGGAAGGCCAACGGATACAGCGACGGGTGGTGTGTCCGTCACTTTTTGCACTCCAAGTCCCTGCGGCGAGCCAAGGAAGTGCGAGACCAGCTGCTGGACATTATGAGGATGCAGAACATGGCCATGGTCAGCTGCGGCACGGACTGGGACATCATCCGCAAGTGCATCTGCTCCGGGTACTATCACCAGGCCGCCAAGGTCAAGGGCATCGGCGAGTACATCAACCTGCGCACCAGCGTCACGGTGCAGCTGCACCCGACCAGTGCGCTGTACGGGCTGGGGTTCCTGCCGGACTATGTCGTGTACCACGAGCTGATCCTGACGTCCAAGGAGTACATGTCGACGGTGACGTCGGTGGACCCTCACTGGCTGGCGGATCTGGGCGGCGTCTTCTATTCGATCAAGGAGAAGGGGTACTCGGCGAGGGAGAAGCGCATCACTGAGACCGAGTTTAACCGTAAGATGGAAATCGAGGCGCAGATGGCGGCGGACAAGAAGCGGCTTGATGACCAGCTGCAGGCGGAGGAGGAGCTCAAGCTGGTCAAGAAGACGGGGCCGGCCAAGGACAAGAAGACGGTCACCTCGGGGGCGGTGGTCAAGCCGGTCCGGAAGCGCGCCGGTAGGGGGTTTTAGTAAAGGCCAATGCAAGCGAATACCCGTTTCTTGTTGGACACTTCCTTAGACAGATATCAAAGACGGGAACCTGGGTCACCGCAGTGGTTATGACGAGCTTTCATCCGAACGCGTGATCCTCCCTACACTGGTGAGTACCCTGCGGCTCAGTCTATAAACAAATCCCCTTGCACCATTTCCGCAGGTCGGATGGCCCTTACCTTCGGAGAGGCACCCGTTGGACCCCGGAGTAAAACCACCGGGGGAGAACGCCCCCGGTGGATTCCGTAGCCGAGCACCTGCTTCTTTATTTTTTTTCTTATTATTTTCCACCCAATTTCTCATATCTTCCCTTCCATACACAACAACATGGAGCCAAGAAAGTCTTGTTAATCTTTTGCCTTCACTCGCTTTGATTCCAAGCTAGGGCCCTGCCTGGTGAATGCCGATCCACCAATGCCAAGTCGGCGCCGATCCCGGGCCGCACCCTCGGTCATTGTCGGCTACCCAACCTCGCCAACCTTGGAATCTTAACTCACCTCAACAAACTGAGAGCAGTGAACCCAACGTCATCCTCTCACTTTCATTCATTCTTAACCTTGTTTTGCACCATCCCTAAGACGCATCTACTCTTCGCTCCGCGCGATTGACATTTTAATTGGCACAATGCAATCAAGATCATCCTCGCTCGCCCGCATTCTCCGGGGCGTGACTCCGTCACATACCGCCAACCGCTACGCCGTCCGCGCGCTCACGACCTCTCTCTCTCACCCTACCGCTCGTCGCCAGCAACACTTATCCATCTCAATCCGCCAACTACCCACCCTCGCCACCACCACCACGGTCACCCAAACCCGCTATGCCTCCTCCTCCTCTTCAGAATCCCGCCTGCAGAAAACCCCCCTCTACTCGCTCCACCTCGCTCACGGTGCCAAGATGGTCCCCTTCGGCGGCTTCCACATGCCCGTGCAGTACGCCTCGCTCAGCGTCGCCCAGTCGCACCTCTTCACGCGCTCGCACGCCTCCGTCTTTGACGTAAGCCACATGGTGCAGCGCTTGTTTCGCGGCCCCGGCGCGGCACAGTTCCTTCAGAGTATCACGCCCAGCGGTGTCGAGGCGCTGGCGGAGCACAGGAGTACGCTGAGTTGTTTGCTCAAGGAGGACGGGAGCGGTGGGATTGTTGATGATACGATTATTACGAGGTTGGGTGGTGCGGGTGGGGAGATAGGGGAGGGGTTTTATGTCGTGACCAACGCGGCGTGTCAGGAGAAGGATGATGTGTATTTGGATCGGGAGGTGGCGAAGTGGAATCGGGAGATGACGGGGAAAGGCTTGGGGGTCAGGGAGGAGAGGCTGAATGGGCGGGGCTTGGTTGCGCTCCAGGGGCCTGGGGCGGAGGGGGTGCTGGCGGGGGTGTTGGCTGAGGAGGCCGGGCTGGATTTGAGGAAGCTGCTGTTTGGACAGTCGGCGTACGCGAGGCTCAAGTTGGGCGTAGCGCGGGTCAGCAGGCCCGTGCTGATCAGTCGCGGGGGGTATACCGGGGAGGATGGGTTTGAGATTTCGATCCCCGGGGACGAGGCGGTTGCAGTGACGGAGGCGTTGCTCGCAGCCGGGCCGGGGAAGGTTCAACTGGCGGGCTTGGGGGCGCGGGACAGCCTGCGTCTCGAGGCGGGCATGTGTCTGTACGGGCACGACCTCGACGAGTCAACCACGCCGGTCGAGGCCGGGCTCAGCTGGATCATCCCCAAGGAACGGCGCACGGCGGACGCTGGCTTTTACGGCGCCGACGTGATTGCCAAGCAGTTGGTGGCCAAGAGCAAGGGCGGGTCCGGTGTGGCGCGCCGCCGGGTCGGGCTGATTGTGGAGGGCGCGCCGGCGAGAGAAGGGGCCGAGATCGTTAGCCGCGCCGAGGAGGGGAAGGAGCCGGTCAAGCTGGGCGCTGTGACGAGCGGGTGCCCCAGCCCGAGCCTGGGCAAGAACATCGCCATGGGCTACGTCAAGGACGGCTTCCATAAGGCCGGGACCGAGGTGGATGTGCTTGTTCGCGGCCGGCCGAGGAAGGCAGTCGTGGCCAAGATGCCGTTCGTTCCCACCAAGTACTGGAAGGGAGAGACATGAAAAGATAAAGACAGGAGGCCGATGTCATCAGCTGTCCTACTTTGGTGCTTCAAGCAGAGAGGATTAAATGGGGATGAGGTTTTTCAACACCGCATTGGTGGAATGGCGCAAGGCATATCAGGATTTTTCTCTGGTGGAAACGGATACTTCAACGCTGGGAAAGGTCAGGGCGGTCATTAGAACAGGGGAATTGGATGGTCAAACCGGCCCTTGTATGTTGTGTGAGCGTATATTCAACATCATGATCGATCCATCAACGAGCATGTCAAGGGGATATCTCCCCGGCCGCCAGGTTGTTGAAAAGTAATTTTTTTCCCCGCCGCCTCTACCATTCCGAGAAACCCGGCTTCTCGCCCATTAACTCCAATGCCTGCTATGCTACTGCAGTGACAAGCAATACTAACTCAAAATATCTATAACCACCAAAAGGACGTATCCGAGCCCATGTTGAATGACCGCCCTTTTATCCACGCTAAATGCCCGCCATGACCCGAAGAGAAAATGCTGAACCTGAGACGCGCCATATCCGTCTTGTGTGCAAGATGCCACAACTGCTGGAAATGCTAAGCCAAAACAAATAATCTTCTCAGACGTCCATCATCACTCTATTCCTCCTCAGCCCATCGCCTCTCTCGCAGCGGCATTTCCTTTCCGGCCTTTTGCCGCTCCCCAGTTACCTCAGCCCGCCAGGCATAGTACTCTCCCAGTCTGGTCTCAGCGTATGAGGCATAATCGAAGTCGATCTCGGAGATCTCTGCTTGGATGAGAGCCCAGATGCCCCAGTAGAAACCGGGCAGGCCCCGGAAGTGGTCTACTTCCTCGAGCAGCTTCTCAACCTCGGCATCTTTGTTCACCGCGGCAGCGCCTGGCCGCTTGTTTCCCATGAATCCAAAGTATGCGGTGATGTACTCGGCGATAAACTCGCGCCGCTGTGCGCGCGTCGGGAGGACGCTGAAGTCGCAGTCGAAACCGCCCCACTCGGCGAAGTGGTTCGCAATGTCAAATGCGGCAGGCGACGGCGTCGCATATTCGTAATCGATGAAGGTAACTGTGGGCTCGGGTGATTTGTCGCCATTGGCGACCTGGGATTTGGGCAGCACGATGACGTTTCCGCTAAGAAGGTCGCAGTGTGCAAAGACGAGCTGGAGAAGACGTCAGCATGCTCTCGGTGGCCTGGAGCATCAGGACAACTTACCGCGTTTGCACCTAGGCCCGGCCGCTGGCTTAGCTCAGAAATGAGAGTCTTCAATTCTCGCTGCAGTGAAGCCTGCCGGGCCCTTTGCACGTCGGTCTCGGTCGGCAGCGCAAAGATCCACTTTTGGATAACGGTCCAGATGTTCGGTGGCGGCTTTCCCGGCGCGACGCCGTCAATCGCCAGCTGGAACTCGGCATCGCCCAGGTGGCTGTCGAGTGCCGGGAGCGCAGCCCCATCCACCTTGGAGCTCTTGCGGCTGTGTCCGGTTCGCCCAGAGATGCAGGGGACGGCGGCATGCCACTCGGCCAGACGACGGGCCACGGCCTTGTAAATGGCGGGCTTGCGCAGATCCTCCGGTTGGGTGACGTTGCCCTGGATGAAGCGGTACATCATGCCATTCTCGAAGCGCGCAAGGAGCTCGGGGGCCAGGCCGTGCCTCATGAGCAGTTCATGGTTCTGGGTCTCGCGGTGTCGGTCTATGATCAAATCAGTGCCGTTGCCGTAAGCGCGCAGCAGTATGGCCTCCTTGTCCACGTCGTCCTTGGACAGTCCGGGGCGCTTGTTGACCGCCTTCAACAAGGTGTTCGTGATGCCGTCGGTGAAGCGAACGAACTCGACTTTCGAGCCGGGTTCCTTCCATTCTGGCCGGATGGATAGCACGAGGCGAAGTGCCGATTCCACCGAGTTGCTACTGTCGTAGGAGAGGGAAATATAGCGGATGCGATGGCTCTCTCCGTTCAGTTCGCCGTTGCCTTGAATTCCATTTTCGCGGCCGACAGCCATGGTAGGGGCCCACAGGAAGGCTCAGAGAGGCGGTATCGAGATATCGGTTTTCACGGGCGTATCGCAAGACAATGCTGGTATTCAGAACGACTGGTACACTATATTCCCAGAAAAGAGAGCAAACTGGTCGAGGAAGTTAGAGAAAGCGGTGGAGCGAGTTCGGATGCACGAGGACGGAGATGGCTGGAATGCTGCTCAGCCGTTGCGGAAACGTAAAATGCGAGGCACGATGAAACGATCGAATGAGCGAACAAAAGGACAGGACGGCGTCGCTTGCGCAAGGCTTGCGTGGACTGGCCGAGGGGGTGTCGCTGTTTCGTGTTTTGAAGTGTCGCTCACACGATCAGTTGCCCTCCGAGTCTGGTCTCTTTTTGACCAGAGCCTGAGCGGAACCCTCGTGGCATTGATGCCCCTGTCGACTGGTTCCAGGGTTTCCTGTCATGCGCTTGTGATAATGGAGAAGCGTCATCGAAACTTTGTCCCCTAGGGTTACAGAATCTTGGGAAAATCACAAGAATCATGAATTGAAATCACGGCATTGAAATTTCCGAATTTACAGCCATATTCAATACGGCAGGCGGTACAGCTCAGGGTAAGGAATATGTACATTGCTTTCCCTTTCTGCTACCCTAGTTAAGTCTTTATGTATTCCCCTAATGCTAGCTTACCCTTCGATTTGCCAGTAACCCTAGCTTCGACCCATGTTTCCATTTCGCCAACCCATTTCAAGGGAGTCATGAATGAATTTTATTTTTTTGAAGTGTGCTGAAATTTCGCAATTTGTAAATTTCAATCCGTAACGCTACTGTCCCCTCAACTGCCCCTCTTTGGTCGAGCTCGAATACAAGGGCACTATACGGTACTGGAACACTACACATTACGGTACCGGGAGTGAGCCCTTGTCATCGGTGTCGCTTGATGCACGGTGATTTGATTGATCATTGATTTGAACTGCACCCGAACTGCTTGCAGCACCCGTGACACATAACAGCCGATTGTTGCCGCGACCTCATGCCTGGCTTTGCCGACAGGTCTCTTGGGTGATTTTCGAGGTTTGGTGTGTATTCCATGCACACGGTCGGTACACCGAGGCGGATGCAAATGGTCATGTCGCCTGTAGGGTGAAGCACCCATTTAGCAGGCATGGCACTTCCCGTCCTTCCAAGCTCGGACAACTTCTTGGGCGTCGCTCTCGTCATAAACCGCTCGCGCGAGGGCCCGAGATTCGTCTTCCACTACCCACCCTTATTGCTCCCGACAGAGAACGCCGGGAGGAATGCCGACGGGGGAGACGACGTCGACGAGGACGACGACATCCTGCTCGGCCGCCCCTCGCGCGAGGCCCGCTTAGAGGGTGCCTCTTCGTCCGCTGTGCTTGCCGCCGAGCTGGCCCAGTGGAACCATGACGACCATCTCATCACTGAGAGTGGCACCCAGATCGTCCCCTGGGAGCATGTGGCTGGCTTCCCGACCAAGGACCTCGCAAACCTCCTGACGCCAGCCAAGGCTTACCACAAGAGGCTCTTTCAGGTGTCCCTGGACCCGATATATTGCGTGTCCTACCCGATCTACGTGCCTGACAACGGCGTGTGGCGGAAGAAGAAGACGAAGAACGCGCAAAAGCAGCGCCAGCCGCAGCGAGAATTCCGGGTGGCCAAGAAAGAGGACGAAGACCCGCTGCCGATCGACCCCGGAGGATCGGCCAGGAGTGCCGGTGAGAAGGGTCTAAGCGATGCGGAGGGCATCGAGGTGAGGGACATGTTGGAGCCAATGACCAAACCGGCCGACGAGGCCGAAGACAAGAAGAGCTCCATGACCATGTTCAACTTAGTCTTCTTTCTGAAACCCAAGAAGCACGAGGTCAGGGCCCTCGTCGACGTCATGTTTACCCACATAATCAGAAAGATCAACAAGGCCTACAAGTACTGCCAGCAACGGAGTGACTTTGTTTGGAAGGAGTCGAAGCGAATTCTGGCCCTCAAGGAAAAGGGCCGCGAGGACAGTAGGTGACACCATTTGCCCCGGCTGCCCAGGTAGCCGACCGACTGACGAGGCCTGCCATAGAGAGCAAGATGAGCGTTCTGTGGGACGAGATACTGTCTGCCTCCTCCTTGGCGGCATCCATGCAGGACATCTACGAGGCCGTCTCCCAGAACAGGATCGCTGCGCTACAGCTGGACACGATCGAGGGCGCTGTTACGCATTCCGTCCAGATCCCAGTCCCGTTCCACGTGTCCGACCTCCCGCAAGATGGTGAACAAGGCCAGCCGGGTCTTTGGCTGACCACAGCGAACTCGCTCATGGCCGAGGAGGCGGCCGAGACGCCGGGCTTTCTGGACAGGAACTTTGCTCTGCTGCTCATGATGGACGAAAAGAGGGTCACGGCCGAGTTGCAGAGTGACCCTGACGAGACGACGCTTGCTATGATAGAGTTTGTGCGCCATTGCAAGCCGACGCTCTCGTAAGTGCCCTTCACCTCAAACCTAGGCTCCGCTGCAGCGGCTAACACGCGCACGCCCACAGCTTCTATCAAGTTTGCCAGCAGTCGAGCAATATCCTCATCCCGGCCCAGGTGCGCAAGTTTGCCCAGCACTTCATCTTCTGGCGTCGCGCCATCGCCATCCCGCCCCTACACGCCAGGGACATGTACATCGTGAGCCCCAACTGCGACCTGAGTAAGCTGCCACAAGCAGCCGCTAGGTGGGCGCGCCAATTTCCCCTCTCCCCGAGCTTGCCCAATTTCCTCGCCGAGCTTAGCGTTGCCCCGCGGCCCTACAAGCTCCACTGTCCCAGCAAGGCTCACCGGCCCGTCTACATGGCCATGCTGGCTTGGCTGATGCGTGGTGGCTGGGTCACGCAGTTGTGTACCTTTGCCTACGTTGTGGTCTGGCCCGAGATCATCTACGAGGTGGAGCACGCCCTCGAGGCTGAGGAGATCACCCGCGAAAAACACCCCCAAAGCATGGGTCACGAACCGGGCAGTGTTTCCAGCGAGGATGCCGCCACCCTCAGCGCGGCGACAGGCCCTGGCCTAGCAGCCCTAGGCGACACCGCCGTGGCCGCTTTCGGCGCAGGCTTCCTCCCCCTCACTCAATCCACGACCAGCCTCCGCGATCTGTCACTTTCCCACTCCTCCCTCATCCCTTCATACAGCGGCGCCTCCCAGCCCACCTCACCCATCTCCACCCGAAACCACACCAGCACCACCAAGAACAACAACCACCCCCCTTCTCCACCACCACACACCCTACCCCCATCCCACCGGTACCACCACCACCAGCAGCACCACCATCATCACCATCATCACAACGACCCCGACCCGGAGGAGCCGACACGAACACCAGCCGAACAAGCCGCCGAACAAGCCCGCCTAGCCCGCATAGCCGACAAGGCCGCGCGCGAGCTAGCCGAGCGGGCGACAGCCCACGCACGCAAGGCGCCGCCCCAACCGACAGCCCACCCCAGCGTGAACCACGCGCGCCACCTGGACGGCATCGCGCCGCACGTTATTCTCGACGCCAACAAGGCGACGGGCAAAGAGAGTTTGTATCTGAGCGCCATTGGGAAGCGATTTCGCGGGCTCGTTATTGAAAGAGAGAGAGGAGGAGGAGGAAATGGTGGTGATGTGAATAAGAATGCTACTGCGCAACCGGGGCCAGGAGGACAACAACAACAACATCATCCAGGGCAGGGGCAGGGTGGGAATACGAAGAACAACAACAACATCAACAATAACAACAACAACAACAATGGTAATAGGGATACTAGGGGTCATCGGGATGGGGTTGGCGGTGATGGTGGTGGGATAGGAGGGGTACGCGACTGGGGGGAATGGGAGGAGCGGGTGGCCAACGCGTGGCCCGTGTTCTGCAAGTACTTCAACGGGCGGTCGGCGCTGGAGCGCATCGCGCTGCAGGAGGACATGAAGCGCAAGGACGTGTGGAACTTGCTGACGGCCATGAGCGAGTATCTACTTTGCGTTCGTCACTGGTAGAGAACAGGGGGCCTGCGCTCTTGTAACGTACTTGGGTTGGATTGCCAGCGTACAGCGGGATGAACGCCAGACAAGGAGATAGCCTCACAGTGACTCGGACATACGACCACAATAGAGCACAGATGGTAATGAAGCGTATTGGTGTGTGAAAGGGGGTATTATCATGAATCCCGTGTGAATCGTGTCTCGCCGCCAGTGTAAGCGAAAAAACAAAAAGCATGAAATGCTAATAAATAGGTAATAAGAGAGCCCCATGAACCAAAAGGGGCCATTCCTGTGCCACATTCTCCAGGTATCATCCATAAGTAAGCAAGGAGCAGCTAGAAAGTCAGCAAGAATAAATGGAAACGCGAAAACTGATGTCCCGAAAACCGAAGCCCAGTATATCTGTTCCCGGCTGTTGACCCCAGTCCACCCCGCTGCGCCGTGACCTGACCGCGCCCGAATGACCTTGACATGCAGAATAACCCCGAATTACTGCAGCTCAGATGTAGATGCAAACCCAGAGACCGGTGCTATGAAAGGGGTCCGGAGAGGGAGTAGATAGGACAAGAGGGAAGAAGAAGAGATGTCCCTGACGCCATCGGATGGACGAAGCCCCTAATCCTCGTCCATGCCGTACTCGTCCGCCTCATTGAACACGTCGACGTCGTCGTCGAAGCGGACCAAATCACCATGATCTAGGCTCAATGGTTCAGCGCCGTCGTCAGGGCTAAGGGAGCCATGATCCATTCCGTTACCGTTGCCATTGAGAGGCTCGCCCTTGTAGTCGGTGTGGTGCGGCACTCGAAGGCCGGAACCCGCAGTGCGCGAGTACGAAAAAGATTTTGGCTGTCCCGTCGCCTCGTCGATCCGGTTGATGGCGTCCAAGAGCTCACTTTGCATCCGCCTTTCGTCGTCCGTAATCTCGAAAGGCAACTGGCCGCCCCGCTCATACAGAGCGTTGACAAGCTCTTCTTGCTGCTGTAGCTTGACTTTAAGCATCCACATCAGATCCCGTGTCCAGCTCACGGCACCGTTAAGTATGTCGCCCTTGTTGGGCCCCTTGTCCTTCTCCTCCACTGGCAAACCTGTTGTGATGTTGCCTGTGCTTCCGCCCGCAGCCCGTCGGGCACCTGGACCGGCAAGAGCCGAGGTTGCTTGCGAAGGCGCTCCGATGCCAGAAAGTGTTGGCGATAACGGCGTGCCGTTTTGGATCGCCTTCTTGATCTTCTCGTCCTCGAGACGATGCAATGGCACAAGCTTGCTGAGATCTTGGATGCGCTCATTGATGTTGTCGCGCCTACGGCGCTCAACAAGGTTGTGTGACTCACGCCGGCGCTTTCGCCTCGCTTCCTGAGATGTCGCAGCAGAGGACGGTGTGCCGAGCTTGGCAGGCATCGAAACGCCACCTTTCAAGATCATATCGTTGATTTGGTTGCTTTGGAGGCCTGCCTGGAGGGGTGACGAAAAGCCCGAGCCAGGGAATGATGACATGCTGTTGGGCGTCTGAATCCACTGTCCAGAGTGCGATTTCTCGTGATGTGGGCCGGTTGTCCTGATCGGTAAGCCCGAGTCGGCATTTACCGACAGCCCAACCATGGCCGCAGTCTTGGGAGTAAGAGAGCCTCTGGTGCTCGATGGCTTGCGTTGCATGTTCCCGGCAAGGTGCGCACGAGCCTGTGCCTGGGCGTTGAGAAAGTTCGGATCGGGCGCGTTGTCGTTCAGATCCGAAGCGGCAAGGGGAGAGCCCGCGTACGATAGCGGCGACTTGAGGCCGCCCAAAGAATGTGCGTGCTGAATCTGTTGGTAGCGCCCAAAGTTGGACGCGAACGGGCTTTGGATGGGATCGCCATCTGGTGTGCTGGAATACCCGTTCAGGGCGCGCTGATCCATCGGCAGCCCGTGATGTGACCCGTAAACCCCATGGGAATAACTGATGTTCATGTCACCCATGCTGTTATCAAAATCCTGCATGCCGGTGTCTATTGAGCCGTTTAGCCCGTCACGAAGCTCATCGTCTCCAAACAACGCCGAGCCACTCGAGAAAGTGTTGGACGAATTGGCGGGGTTGAAGCCGTGCTGAAAAGATGGCTGATAGTTGCCTGCCATGGCCAGATCGTTTGGGTCGATGGCACCATGGCCGTTCATCGAAAATCCATGCTGTGCCATCTTCCTGGTCTCTGATTCAGAGGGTTATCAATGTGCGCGTGTGGTCGAAGTCTGCATATACTGGCGCAGCGTTGTTTAATACCAATGCAGAAGGCGAAAACGGAATGTTCGGTTTAATATATAGCAGGTGGTCTCCTGGAGAGTAAAGATGGATGTCAGCTTGCGTAGTACAGAGACCGCCGCCGTCGGTGTTACTCAGTAACTGCCGAAGCAGGCCGGGAAAGTGTCCGGCCAGCGGGAAGCGGTGAGATGCTGAGCGCCGACTGCGTGGCGCACGTACCTAAATGCAAATTGTCTTGTGTTCCGCCGGTGTCGGACTGCTCGCCATCAGGCACGGAAGAAAAAGCTGGTGAAGCGATCGATCGAGTGCAGAGCGTTGAGGCGGAGCGATATCGCAGATCGGAGATTCGGTGTCGAAGGCGGAATCGGTCGCGGTCCGAAGACAGTGAGCGCTGAAGAGAGGGCGGTTTGCAGGTCGACAAGGGCCCCGGCAAGGTCTTTCGCTGTGCTTGGCAGGATGCACGATGACGATTGCTGAAGGCAGCTTGTGTTTATGTGTCCGATGCGACAGGTCGAGCGTTCGGGTGGGCGACTTGTGTGAGGAGTCAACGTTGCGGACGAGTGTGGGAGAGTCGAGACTTGAGACTGTGTGAAAAGTGGGGAGGCCTGGGCTTAACAACGCGCTCGGCTAACCTGCTTGAGAAGTGGCTTCTTCAGATCGCACCTGTTGCCAGCGAGCCAGGTCGCAACAAGGGGCTCCCCACAAAGCAGCCAGGAGAAACCCGGACTAGAAAATGAAAAAGCCTTTCTTCTCTTTGGTCCGCCGGCTCCAACCGAGAGATGACCAGCAGCAGGCGTGTCTGAGACTGCCAATGAAGTTGGAGAAGAGGTCAAAGTCGATCTCGGGGCACACAAACGTGCACCGGGAATGGCTCGGATTCAAAAGCTCTCGAATGGGGGAAAGAGTGAGGCGACCAAGATACGGTAACAGTGAATGCAACCTGGAATTCCGCTTGGTGAATGGAATGGGCGGGGAAAGAAGGCGATTGCGGGGGAAGAGATGGGGGTTTTCTGGTGGGGTTCCCCTAATTATGTAGAGCCGGTACCTCGTAAGATCGCGGGCTTTGACCGGGTGGAACGGCGAGGTCTTGAGGTTAGGACGAACGTGGAGGTTCAATACAAGTAAATTGCAAAGGTCAACAAACGCCACCTGTGACTCGTGGAGCACAGAAAAGAGTTGGGATGAAGAGAGCCAAAGGCAAGGCGCCAAGCACACGCGCGCGGTGTGGAGGGTAAGATGGGAATATAAGGTACTTCCACTCCGTATCGAGGACGGGAAATGCGGAACGGCGGCTGGGGCTGAGTAGAACCTCGCTTTTCTCGGAGTGCCTACTTTGGAGAGGCAGGAAATGGTGTGTGACTGTGAGAATGGGGGAAACGGAGCGAGGGTATGCTTCTGGTCTGGATTTATGAGCGCTCAACACAAAGGATTTGACTTATCTCATCCCCTCTTTTTCTTGGAACTGAGATGTACCTTGTGCTTTCCTCGGCGATGATATTCAGGGCTCCAGTATGCCGTAAGATGCGGCAAGGTTTCAAGGTGCCCCTCCTTCCCAAGATGGCCGTGATTCGGCTTGTGCCGCTGATTGGGTTGGCTGAGTACCGGACGGCAACAGTTTGGGCTTCGATGTGACACTGTCACTTCACACGGTCCTGGCTCTTATTGTTGCTCCTGGAGCGCGAACAACTCCACGTTTTGATGGAAAGTGATGATGGGAGATCTTGCTCTGCTCAAATGCTTCGCGGAGATCAAGGTCCATCGGTATCCAAGCTGGGAGAAGAAGAGGCTAACGTGTCGCCCCTCTGTGTGTTGGATGCACCAAGTGGAGTTAGTTAAATTGTCAAGACTGCTTTGCTAACAAGTTGAACTGGGCAGTTGTGTTTATGTTGACCTCGAAGTCATTCCAGAGATGGCAGATGCAAGGCCAATGTTGTTCTGAAGCGATATGGCGTGTTCAGGTTTCGGGTTGGCTCCCAAGAGTGGGTTGAATAGATGATGCCTTGTGAGTGAGGGCGCCAAAGCGAGAGTTCCAACTCAAGAATCGAGAAAGGCTACGGCGAGCCACGATTTGCGCGTGAAAAAGGTAATAGAACGAGACTATCAACATTTCCGGCATGCTGCATGCATGTGGCGACGGTGAGGATGTTATATATTGCGAGCTTCTCTCACCACATCGCCGACCCACCGTACACCGTGTCTTGGATCGAACCAAGTCGCCTGACATTTGGACAAGCCCAGCCAGAAAATGGTGTGCTGAGAAATGGAGACATGGCCCGCATAAAGGCATTATTGCAAATGACTCTTTCTCCCATGGTGCATTAGCTTTCCCACCTTGCTCCCGTGGGCTTCACCGAAACTTGGCCGAAGATATGGGCGTGCTCAATCAGCCCAGCCACCAGTGTGACTCGCAACTGAGACATCAAGGCACACCAAACAGAGAAGAGCAGCCATCCTGCACACTAGCCTGGGCAGGCAATACGGAAGTGGTGTTTGGAGATATACAAGTTCGGAGTTACCAAGAAATGCCGGACGGAGGTGAGCTGCCACACCCCAGACCAACGGACTGACGGCGGTGCTTCGTCCTGCCACAGGCTGCAGCAGCAATGCCGACATCGAGCTCCACCGCACATGCAGAGAGGGATCGGCCCGTGTGATACACAAAACATGGCTCGCTCGTCGATTGCCGGGTATAGGTATGTCCGGGTCTGGAGACTTGTAGCCCTGGAGATGTAAGTGGCCGCCATCCACCACAAATATTGTCCAACAGTTCCGGGCTAGCTGATCGATAGCCTCAAGCACCTAGCCCACCTGGGCACTTTACCCTTCAAGACATGGTTTAGGTGATATGGGCCACTGAAGGTTTCCATTCTCCATTCCCACTGCCTGGAGATCCGGCCTCCACACCGATGCGGTCGAGGAGTGCGGCCGCTGTGGCAATGTCCAGGGATTTTGCTTTCCCCCCGGATTCGCCCTGCTGTCCGTGATCAACCGAGAGAGAACCTGGAAGGCATTCCGCATCTCGTGGCATCCGTCCATCGGGGGTGTGGTCAAGTGAGTCTCCACGTGCTGATACGGACCCCTTAGTTCCAGAGGAGCGCGAAAATAAGCCTTCAGAAAGTAGAAGTAACTTAAGAATCAGAATATGGTGAAAATAGACAACCCTCCAAGACTGGATGACACCCTCCACAGGTGGTCCGTGACCACCTGCTGTGGCTAGCTTGATCAGAAGGGCCAATCACCTGTGCAGGATCGGCGAAGTGGGTGCTCTCCCGAGCCTCCATCTGCAGGGATCAGGAGCGTTTCCTCCAGGGTTGCGCAAGCCGTGAACCGCAGCCAACATTCGTTGCCTCCATTTCCAGCGAAGGCACCGACCGCAAACGACGCTCGACATTACCGAGAATTCCACCGTTACAGCACCATCCGCGATCTCGCGTTTGTCACATATATCCACGTTGAGCCAGCTGTTGAAACCCACCGCGATAGAGAAACCAGGAAACCGCTTGCAACAAGCCTTGGAACGAAATAAACACACCTCCACTCCTCCCGCAACATCCGAATCATCTGAGCACGCTCCGGCACATCCTCGTTCCCACTTGTACGTGAGCTCGCCGCCTGACTTTGTGCCCGTTGATGGGTGTCAAACAACCGACTACACCTCCCACCATTCCCGGTCGTGTACTACGCCGGTCGCTCCAACCTCTGTCCTTGTCTACGTCATTCCGAGCTCGCTCTGCCTCGTCCTTGCTCACACACCAAACCAGGCAGGCCTCTAGTGTCGGTCACCGGGACCTCGTCAGCCTTGCCGGACTTTCGCATTTGCTTCCACCTGCAAAGTCCCCGATCGAGTTGCCCGACGCCCGGAACGCGCCCCCCATTCAAGAGCTTTGCTGAACCTTCTCAAGATTTGGATCGAGGGCCAAATAGGGCAAAGGTAACGGCGCTTAGGTGGACCATGGCTTCAGCATCCTTTCGAGATTCACTCAACTCGCTCGGCTGGTCGCGCCGCAATGAGGATCTCCCGGTGAACACATCGCGACAAGGCGGCTTCCTGTCCTCGCTGCAATCTTTCAACCCTTTCGGCAATCGTGGCTATGTCCAACTTCCGACGACCGAGGGCCCAGGTGCCCCCTTACCGGCGCCGAGCCGCCGCGAAGAGGAGGACGCGTGGTTTGCCTGTGAGTCAAGCGCGTTTCGATGCTGCCTCCCCCACGCCCCCTTGCCCTGTTTCTGGCGTCCCTTCCAAGATTTCCTGTTGCCCCTGCAGGCCGCCCCACGGATGCAGGACATGTGCCGGCTCTGCATGGCCATGTCTTGGGTCGCCCCGTGGCTGCATATGTCTTTGTGCCTCTATCATTATCAATTTGATATCCCGCGCCGGATGGCTTGATCCGTCATCAAGGACTAACTTAGGTAACATAGTGAGTCGGTGGGATCGCCTGCTCATTTTTGGCGCCTGCAATCTCGGGGCCCTTGCCTGCTTCGTCATCTGCTTCGCCCTCTTCCCGGCCATCGCGCTCGGCAGACCGCGCAAGCTCGTCGTTCTGTAAGTTGCTCCTCTAAGAGTTTATTCCTACACTGCCACGGCGTCCTATTGGATACTGCCACGGGTAATCCACCCGAGAGCTCTGTTCTCTCGGATTCAACTGATTCGGTTGCCGGGCCTTCTGTTACTGGGAGTTCGGTGAATACGAGTTACCGAAGCTGTCTTCAGGTGGCGGCATCAAGCTTCCTATGTGAACCAGGTTAGGTTGCCACTAGGCTTACTCGCCTCTCCACAGATGGACACTCGGCTCAATACTGTTCTTGTCGTCCTTTGCCGCCATCATGGGTCCATGGGCTTACGTCCAACACCTCGCCTCTACGCCAAGGCTGCCTTTTACAGCTGCCTACTTTGGGTCTCTCGGGCTGACGCTGTACTTTTCCATCGGCGTAAGTCAGGCCTGCCCTTAAGTTCCTATTGGCCCGCGGATGCTGATGTTCTTCTAGCTTCAAAGCACGATTCTCACACTGTTTGCGGGCCTCATCCAACTTGCGTCCCTCATATGGTATCTGGTGAGCTATTTCCCTATGGGTTCGAGCGGGCTGCGCCTTGTAAGCACTTTTGGCGCCCGCAGGGCAGCAGCCTGGATGACTAGTTGAAGAAAGTGTATGAGCTGTGGCACGTGGTTTCCGAAGCCGGTGCCGAGTATTTCTCTTGCCAACATTATACTGTACATTCTGTAAGAACACATCGTTTCAGCACGCGAACTGTGAAACTTCCTGGCGGAGGAGAGCGTTTCTGTTTGCAAAGCTGTTGCCTCCTAGTATGGCATTGCCTGCGGTGTTTCCGGCGCGGCTGGTTTCTCGCATTGTGATCAATCTTGTCATCACGGCAGAAGGAAATGCCCGATCACTTTGAAAGAAGACGAAGGGCATACCCCCGACGACTTCAATATCGTACTTCAAACCGGGGCTTTTAGCCGGCGACATCTTTGGTACGTCGGTAATTTCCAATTGTTTCAACATTCGTGGAGCTGGAAACGTTCCAGAATGTCGAGCATCCTAGCCACTCAAAGACACAGGCTGTGGCGCTCAAGTACGTAGGGTAGGGTAGGGCAGGGCATGGCATTGGAGATGTCAAGAGCGGCTTACCCAGCCTGGAGTTCCAGCTTGCTCAGGAGCCTACAACGGCTAGCCACCCGAAAGACTGCCCCGGCTCAAACGGAACCAATATGGGAACCCCTTCCGCCCGAGGCAACTCCCATGCCTCCGTCACAAACGCCTCCGTCACCGACGCCTCCGTCATACGATTAATAAAGTAAATGAGGTCGCTTCTTTGCTAACATTGTCTGGCAGACAAGTTCAAAGTCCATCTGGCATACTGAGAGGTGTTTGGGACATCGTAGTGGACTCCTAGAAATACTGGCAGTCCGCATAGTTAAACGACGAAATGGAAGCATTTAGACTGCCCAATTGCAAGTACGGTACGAACTCAGGCAAGGTAAGGTACCGGTAAGGTATCAATATCGCCTCGTAAGGTAAGTTACCATAGACAGGACCTCGGGTCGGCGCTGCGGGCGGGCATTTCCGATCGCCCGCTTACATGCGCTGACCGATCCGGTAAGATGCATCACACTGCAGAAGAACATCGATGCATCATCGTCCCAAGAAAGGGCCAAGCGTTGCAGGCAGGGTTGATGCGGCCTCATCTACGATATATGGTGCTCAATGAGGGGTTTCATACGCCGGGTCATCATCCATCTTCCACACGCACCGTTGCCGTAGATTCGAGGCATTCCATTGGAGTCGGCACAACATCGGGGATCGCATTTGGACCATAACATAGATAACCCCAGATCTCAAAATATTCCGAAACAGGGATGGAGATCAAGGCCGGGGACCGACCTGTCTCTTAACTTTGTCGGGTATGCTAAGGTAGGTATGTAAGAGAATTAGGGCGGTTGTGACCTCTGCAGACTCGGAACGTCGACAGAGGAGCGAGGATAATAGCGGGGTTCCTGTCCGCTCACACCTGGGGTCACTCCGTAGTTACCGTCCATCAAGTAAGACCCCAGATTTTGCCAGGAGAATGCTACCAGACGGAAATTCGCTGAATTTCTGCTACGGTGTGTCAAGGTCCGCATTGCCTAGGCAGTGAGGCCAATGCAACAATGGCGGAGAATCAGTTCGCCTGCAAATGAGGATGGGCCCAGTGCTGCGAACGCAAACAGTAGTGATCCAGCATATCATGTGCTACAGTTAGCGAGTGAGCGAAAACGACAACTGTGAAAGCAGGAGTTTGGCAATCCATTGAAGCCTTAGGTTGCTTTTTTGACATTGAAAGTAACAGCTTGTTGACCCGGAGGCAGGTACTGAACAAGTCAGCGATACTCCCGGTGGCAGGTGGGAGTTTCCACAGCTGTTGTGTTGTCATGTTCACAAGCTGAACGAATGCAGGTTCAGCATCGGGGCTCTCTGGGAGGAGGTCAGTAAACTCACGTCAACAGCTTGAACATCAAAGAAATTCGGCGTGACATCCGACCCGAACCATAAGCTCTTCCTCTTCCTCACGGCGACTCGGTGGCACTCGGACCTTGAATCTCCTCTCATTCCCTTCCTTCATGTTGCCCACTGCAATCAATTGCACCTCAATGCGGAATGGTAGGTGACCATAAGGTACTGTACATATTCGCGCACACCCCACACTTCTCTCAGTCAGTCAGAGTCGGGTCTTCCCCTCCGTCCAGAACCAGCACTGGCACCGCTCGGGGCAACGCTGTTAAATGTTTTTAACGTTAGGTACCGGGCTCTAACGTTAACTCCACCATTTTTTTTTTTTTTTTTCGCAGCGTCCGACTGAGAAAAATTTATTCAACCCACACACAAATCTCGTCGACCCTTCCTGGAAGCACTTGTGCATATCTCGGGCACACATTTTTTTCCCTTTTTTTCCCCTCTTCCCATCCTTCACTGCCAACACCGCTTTCTGCCCTCCGTGTACCACAGACGCTCTTTCTAGAGATCGGTCGCTAGGGTGCTGTCTTCGGTTGTTCGACGACGGGAGGCTTCATTTGGGCTACTGCAGAGCGTTCTGCTGCCATTGCCAGTCGATAACTTAGTTGCACTGGTTTCTGCCCTCGCCGTTTGCCTTCCTCACCCTCCGATTTCTCAGATCTCGTCCCTTTCACGATATTGCCCGCTCGAGCCTTTGGCATACGCGCGATTCGTCGAACTCCAAGGAAACACGCCCGGACCTCGCCGGATCAAGTGGGTTCTCACCTGACTTGTCCCCCGCGATACACCGACATACCGACAGGGCTTGCTCTGGTTGCAGATAGGTTATTTGTCCAGTTGATAGTACCGACCGATCCAACTAGCCGACAATCGCTCAACCCAAGCTGAAGCTCACTCCCGTGCCCTTCTCCTAGGCTTCGACGCCTTCAGCATTCCGTCAGTGCGGGGAGGTTGCGTTGGCCTCTCCGGACTTCGCCTGATATTGGCCAAGGATACGAAGGTCAGCAAGCCATTCACTGCTTCTCGATTCCTGATCGATTAGGGCTCGTACCCGCGGACGGCGAGACTGCTCTGTCCCCGTCGTGCACGCAGCGTCGTCTCCACAGCAGTTACATCAACCCCGACCACAAAAATGTCTGCCCCAACTTTCTCCTACGCGCAAGCCGCGCGAGGCCGGACCATGTCCCAGCCCAGCCCTCAAGAGACATCGAGCCCTGCTCCTTCGACGGCAGGTTCGCAAGGAAAAGACGACACCTCCACCGGCGCCACATCCGTCACAGCACCATCAGTTGCCTCCACCATCCCTGAAACTCGCGAAGCTGAGCAGGTGGCCCAGACTCAAACCGAGGGTGGGTTGGTAAAGCAAGACTCGGAGATCTCCGTTGCTGGTGCTGGTTCTTCTGCTGTGTCTGTCACAGAGCAGCCTAGCAAGACGGCTGAGGAGGGTAGCACGAAGGCGGCAGATGTTCGGACTCGGACCCGACCCCAGACACGAAGTGAGGATAAGGCATCTCGCTCGGCCAGCCGAACCTCCCGATTGAATGACGGCGCAGAAGGCAGGAAAGGCCGAAAGGGCAAGAAGAGCCGCACAGGCGAGAAGGATGCCCACAGCGACCAAAATCAAGAAGAGGATGCGGAAAAGGTGAAAGAGCCCCCAAAGCCGGTCATTCTCACAGAGGCCCCTCCGCCGGCTGTCAACCCCTGGGCCAAACGGATGGAGGCCCAGAAAGCGGCAGTCCAGACCAAGGTTGCTACGGATGGAGCGGCAGCAGACAGCGAGTTGAGGCAGAACTTCTCTCAGGAAGCGACAAACCCGCGCACAGCAATACCCAATGGCGTCGACGGGGACAAGTTGGCGGAGAAGAAGTCAGCCGATCAAGCGCCGCGCCGTAGTGCTCCCCGTGGCAGCCGTGCAGGGGACAAGGACGAGAAGAAACCGGTGACCCTACCACCAGTTGCGGATCCCACGTCATGGCCGGATCCCAAGTCTGCCGCCGAGCTGGAGCAGCCGGCCCGGAAACCGCATGAGAAGGCCGATACGACCGAAAAGGACAGCCATGATGAGGCTGGGCCGACACGTAAGAAGACGTGGGAGAAGCTTGAGATTGTTCACACTGTCGTCTTCGAGACCCAACTACCGCCGCTTCGTACATCGAAGCCTCGAACTGGTGCTCCGCGCGGCGGACGTGATTCGGGCTCAATGAGAGGCAACCAACCTGCTGCTGGTCCGCAACCCGCGGCCGCCCCGGTGAGCGACAAAGCACCTTCTCCTGGAGGGTCCACTGGTCCGAAGAACACAACCACTCGCCCCCGTGAGAGTAGCGTTCCTTCTCGCGGAGCTCCTCACCCTCAGCCACCCCATCCTTCGAAGCGCGCCTCAATTGATGCAGTCTCGCGCGACCAGCGCAAGCCATTTGTGCCGGCGAGCACAGCAGAACAGGGTCGGGATACGAGCCTCGATGCTTCTTCTGTAAGTCTGACGGTCAAACATGCTGCCATGCGCCCTTTTCCGCATTGGCTATCCCATGATCAAATACTAACAAGGATGCAGTCGTCGAAGAGGGCCAGCGCGACAAGAGACATCCGGATGGAGAACGGCACTCTGGGGGTTGAGAGCGGCCAAGCTGCAAGCCGGATCCAGGAGCGGAGCAACTTCCAGACCCGGGGCGACTTCGCCAAAGATGTCGCGCACGGTCAGCAGCAGTATTCTGCACGCGACGGCCGTCCCGAGCGTGGTCGCGGTGGCGGTTATCGTGGCCGTGGGGGCCACAACAGCTCCTCTCTTCCGTCTTCATCGTACGGTCTCAACGGTCACTACGCCCCCAACGGCTTCCAGTCCCGTCAAGGCCCCAGTGCCCACAGCCCCCCGGCTTTCTCCAGCCAGTTCCCGACGTCTTTTGGTCACCCATCAAGAGGCAGGGGAAACAAGTGGGCTGGCTCTGGCCAGTCAGCCGGACGTAATAACGCCGGTGCCACGGGGTACCCCCCTAAAATCACCCCCGTGAACGACTTCGCGGTCGGTCAATATCCTCCGTTCATGTATTCGCCAGTCTTCGATGCCTCGATCCCCATGCTCAGGTCCCAGGTCGAGTACTACCTGTCCGTGGAGAACCTTTGCAAGGATTATTATCTCCGCCAGCACATGGACGGCCAGGGCTTTGTTCACCTTGCGACCATTGCTGGATTTAAGCGCATCAAGGCTGTCACTGAGGATATGGAACTGGTTCGTCTGGCCTGCTCACTTTCTGATCAAATCGAGTTTGGTGTTGGCGATGACGGCATCGAGCGGCTGCGGCCCCGCGAGAAGTGGCAGCCCTTTGTCCTGCCTGTCAGCGAGCGGGCTGAGCCTTATCGCAACGATGGTCCGGCGAACTGGACTCCATACGCCAGGCCTGAGACACAATACGTCGCCCCATTTCCTGGTCCCATTGTCCCCCAGCAGTACCCCCCTGCCGCTGCTGGCTTCCCGGCGTTTGCCGATGAGCAGATGTTCCCGCCGCCTTACGTCAACGGGGCTGTCTACGACCCCGCAGTCAACGGTGTCGCCGTGAATGGCGTCCACCATGGCCATGAGACCAGGCTGTCTGCGGGCGTTCCGGAATACGCGCCGCCCCAGTCTCCTGTAACTCTGGAGAGCATGACCAATTTCCCAGACTCACTGGTGGAGAATCTGATGGTAGTCTTGAGCTACGACGACAAGGGCGATGCCGGATCGTCTGATGCTGCCGGTGTGGCAGGCTATGTTTCCCATACCGGCCAAAATGGCGTCGCCGGCTCACCCGAGGCCGAAAGGTAATTACCATGTCAATTTTGATTCACCGCCTCACAATGGACAGGTCTAACATTGCGGCAGCGTCAATACGGAGCCAGCAACCGATTCTGCCAGCGCTGAACCCTCCAGCCATTCGGATCGATCTGAACGCGGGATCGTTTGGGTTGATGGACAAGCATCTGCGTCCACCAAGGAACAAAAGCTGCGCAGGCCATATAGCGAGATCCGCCAGGCGGCTCTTGAGCAACGCCAGAATGCGAAGGCTGGCGAGACTCCCCGAGAAATGCAGAAGCTCTACAAGTTCTGGTCGCAGATGCTCCTCAACGACTTCAACGCCAAGGTCTACCAGGAGTTCAGGAATTTCGCTCTTGAAGACGCGTCGCGCGAGGCACCTTCCAAGTATGGGTTGAAATACCTCCTCGAGTTCTACGACCGGCTTCTGCTCAAAACGAACACTCGCAAGCCCTGGCCTCAGGACCGCGCGGTGCCTGAGATCTTCACGGCTCACTTGAATGAGGCCGTCGAGCTGAACAACAAGCTTGACGGGAAGGAGGTAGCCGCCATTTGAACTTGGCGAGCTTGTCATGGCATGACCAGTGGTTTCAGACTGCTCATGATGCCAGTGGCAACACCAAGCATCACACTCTGTTTGGACGTCTTTCCCAGCCGACGAGGCGACTTCCTTCTTGATCCGCCGAAAGTCTGAGGCATACCCTTTACTACACGAAATGGCTATTAACCCGGGATCTGGAGATAGCCGACAATACCCTTATTTATCTCCGTTTTGGTCTCGGATCTGTTTTCGGCGAGCGGTTGCATATCATGAGGGACAACACTCGACAACCAAGCTTCCAGGGGCTAACTGAAGAACAAATCGGTGCGACAACGGCGGGTTGCTGTGTCGGAGTTCTGTTTGCTGCCGGCTGGCCTTCGTCTTCCATCTATTTGATGGTCGGGTGCGCTTTAGCAGCGCTACTTGAATTTGTGCTATTGGGCGCCAATTTTTCGAGTTTCCTTTTCTTCGGAGTCGGTTTGCATCATTAAGGAGGGCAGAAGGACAGATGGGACGGCGTTTATGAACAGCAGCGAGAATTGAAGGATGATGGGTCGCGGGAGGAGCGACTGCTTGGACGTCGACGAAGTCTATTGCACGACCTGTTCTGGAGGCGATAATTTTTTTTCTGGCTTCTTGCGATTTTGTCACCGATCTTGGGTTCCATAAGCTCGACATATTCCCCTTGCATGACACCGCGGCGTTCATCGATTTGCGACCAGCACCCTCCCACCATCTCTTCGGCCATTGCGCAGGCAGGGGGAGAATTCGGCAAGGATCGTTGTGCTACCTCCCTTGGGCCGAAACGCCTGGCTCATGGCATGCCGGAGTCATGAGTTGCCATATCCTTGCGGAGGATGTTGCGCCAGTTCACATCTACGGGAGAAAACAAATGTCGGGTTACGAGCAGGTCTAAGGTTCGCCCAGGGCGGAAGAGCGGCTGGACGCGACGGCTTAGCGATTGCTGTTGCATCTACTGGGGTGGACGAGGACGAAAGTCGCTGCTCTTTTATTTCATGAATGACGGTGTCGAGGGACAAAAGGGGTGGCGACATGAGCGTTCACTCGACGACGTTTTAGACCTGATACTCTGCTCTCCGGAACCTCGGTCCACCGTAGGCAGTGCCGAATTTCGGTTGTCTTTGCGGAAGATAAAAGCGTTTGGGTTTTGTAAAGTGTATAAATAGTCAACAAAAAACCAAAAAGGAAACCCGTTGCTTTGCGTTGTACTGCTGTCATATTAAAGGTACCTTATAGCCAGCTTCACTGGTCCACGTAAAGTACTGTACGGATAACGTAAGTTACCCATTGGGGGTCTCACTCCATGTAATAATGGGGCCGCTTGGCACCAACACACACTTCAGCTCGACAACCGACGTTTTGAGTCGCTTTCCCCCCTCGAACAGGTTTTCTCCATCCTGCACACATTCCCAATCTTACTACTCCCTGACGGCTCCCTTTGTCTCAGCGCCGACATGCCGTGGGTACTCTGACCGACTTGTTCTCAATCACGACTTAGGGGCGTGTGACAGCAGCATTATGTCGGAAGAGAGTGAGATGGACAAGGCCTACATCCGAGCCACAGTCACATGCCGATAACGATTTCTGGCCTTAGACACCGGAGAGGTACGGAGGGACCACGACCGCAATCTGCTCGGCAACATTCACTGTCCGGCAGCATTTCATGGTTGATCTACTGCTAGAGGCTTTTGAAAATTGAGGATATACTAGATCTTCAACCACAACAACCCCCGGCCGTCGGTTTATTGTGCTGTCTGGATCGAGGAAGTCATCAATTTTTGTCCCTGGACCGTGTTCAACACGTACACACCCACCTGGACTTCTGCTTTGATTTTCTCCAATTTACCTAACACCTCTTTACGTGGAGGCAAGATGGTAACCCCTACAACCGGGTCCAAGGTTCCCAGACCGCCAGCGAACCCACTGTCAGAGGAGCGAGACAAGCCGCGGCTCACGGACGCAGAAAAGAAGAGGAACCATATCGCCTCTGGTGAGCAACAGCAGCTGCTTCTGCAGCTCCAGTCCACGTTACCAAAACAATCCTCGAAGTTGGTGGGTTCCCTTGCTGACTTTGTGCTAAAACTTTACAGAACAGAAGCGGCGCCAGGCCATCCGGCTGGGCTTCGACCGGCTGAGCGAGATCGTGCCCGGGTATCGGGGCCAGGCCCGGTCCGAGGGCCTCGTGCTCAACGGCACGGCCGAGTACATCCGCAAGCTGGCGCAGGAGCGGCGCGAGCTGCTCGAGGCGTGCGACGCGAACGGCGTCGCGGTCGACGACGAGATGAGAAAGTGAGTTGAGCACTCTTCCTCCCTTCAATAAATTTGTGTAGTATGTCTGATTGTATTTTCATTTCTTTGAGTCATGTAGGGCGATAGACAAGTTCCCCTGGGAATGGATAGATGGCTTGCTTATGGAGAAGAGCGGTGCCGAGGGCAGTGAGGTGCCCGAAGGCAGCGAGCCTCCGGAGGGCAGCGAGCCTGCCGATGGCGGGTGATAGCTGATTATGGAGTACGGCTCTGTCGTTCACGGTTCGCGCGGAAGAGACGGGAGCATGGAATGCTAGGAAATATTGGCTGGTTTCGGATACCCACATCTTCTACATGACTATGTTATCGGAGTTTTGCACAATGTCGCCTGAATAGAGAGGAAGCCCAGTTCCCGTTGCTTACTCATGGTGTGTCGCGGTTCCCGGACTGCCAGCGTGATGACTACATGTCGTAGTCCACAATAGTAATCCAGGTGCTTTATACAAAAGCCTGCAATGTAATCAGCTGTGCTCACTCTGTTATTTGCCTCTTGTCTCTGAATAGTTTCGAGATGTCGAAGCCTTGAGTCCAGGGGGGAGGGGAGTTGTGTGGCTGGCGTGCGTTGATGACATCATCGGGAGCATGGGATGCTGTGGCTAGTGGCCTTGCCCGTAATCCTGTACGCTCTGAGGGGGCCTGTGGGCGTCGCACACCATGTCCGCCCTGTGCCCGGCCTCGCCGGCAAGACTGTCTCACAGTCGGCGCATGGGCGCGGTCACGCCGGTTCCCGGTCTCCCAAGCATTTTGAGTGGGTGGCATTTTCCGCATTTCCTCACCCACAGCAAAGGTGTGCAATACTACGAAGAATTCGAGTCTTGATGCTATGAGACCTCACCGTTGAAAGTGGGTTTTGTTCTGTGATTTGAGGCCGAGCCTGCTGCCTACCTGCCCTTGGCTTCACCCAACAAACTTTGGAAGCGAAATGTGCCCTATTTAAGCGTACATTACGGCATGCGATGGCCAGATGTTGTGCCCAACGCCGTATGACGAAGCTTCCCAAGGCCGCCGCTTGTGGGCAGCGTCCTCCCGAACGTCTCAGCTTGCAACCGCAGCGGCCGCCCGGCCCAACAGCCTTGTCGAGTTCCAGGATGACCCAGCTTCCGCGCGAAAGAGAAAACAGTCAGTCAGTCAGGCCTCCACGATCTGGGGGACGCATTGTGTGCTCATTTTTTGTTGATGCTTCATTATGCGCTGTTCAGCTCGTTCCATTAGAGTGGAATGCACATCGTTCGTCTCATCATTCAGGTAGTGGGCAGTGCTGTTGACATCAGATGAGCCAGGTACTGCAGGTGCCCACTTCACTCTCACCAGGCCTGCTCACCTTGCCCCTCCCCCTCCAAGACCCCTGCTTGCCATTAGGATTCGGCCCCGCTCTGAGCCCTCCGTTCCCAGGCAGCACCCCAACTTTGCCAAAGCCTGCTGACCTCACTTCTCACCCGGCTCTTTCCTTGACCTTTCCCCTGTTTTCAGAAAGCCGAAGGCCAAGAAGTGCCTAGTCAGCGTCGCAAAACCAAACAACCAACTCGAGAGAAAAAAGGAAGAGAACAGATCAGTCACACCAAAGACTTGGTTTGATCGATCGCCGTCTATCCCAAGGCCATCCGGTGATGGCGTCGTACGACCCCTATGACGCACCCCACCGGGAGCGCACCACCAAGCGCTACTACCGGGAAGAGCGCCGCGAGGAACGCGATCCGCGCTACTACGAATCGCGCGAGACGCTCCATGTCTTGCCGTCGCGCGATCTCGTCCCCAGGCCCCGCGAGGATAGCGACCTCTCGGTCGAGGAGATCCGCCGCGATTTCCTGCCCCCGGGCTACTCGCCCAGGGATATGCGCCGCGCCCGGTCTTCCGACCCCGGGTATCACGACGACTACTACGATGACCGCCGCTCCCACTACAGCCGGGACCGTGACTATGACGACTACGACCACAAGCCGCGCGGGAAGGCCGCGGCCGCCATCTACGAAGAAGAGCGCAAGAAGAAGGCCCGCATGCTGTCCAAGCAAGAGCAGATCATCGCCGCTGTGACCGGCGCAGCCCTTGCCATCGGTGGAAAGGAGCTCTACGACCGCCGCGCGGCTAAGGAACATGGATCTGAGGTTGAACGGAACCTTTTGGCCTCAGCAGCGCTCGGGGCCGCTGGCGCCTTTGCCGGCTACCAGGGCACAGAGTTTTACAACAAGCACAAGGAAAAGGAGGAGAAGAAGGCCATTGCCAAGTACGGCTACTACTCGGACGACGATGAGACCCCCAAGGAGAAGAAGGGCCACAAGAACTTCCTGGAAAGCGCTCTCGCTGCCGCCGGTCTTGGCGGCGCTGTCAAGGCTTTGACGGGTGGCAAGGACGACAGGTCCGACACCAGGAGCCGCCGCAGCAGCCGCTCTCGCTCCCGTTCCAGGTCCCGTTCTACCTCCCGGTCTCGAGACAGGGCTAGAGACAGGGGCGGCAAGAGTGATGGAGCCGGTAAGGTCCAGAAGGCTGCCATGGCCTCCCTCATTGCTGGCGCTACTGAGGCCTTCCGCATCTCCAAACAGCCAGGCTCGTGGAAAGGCGAAAAGGCCAAGCGCATTCTGACCGCCGCTGCCGGTGCCGCTACCCTCGACGCAGCCCAGGACACGGAGAAGGCGGGCAGCAAGCTTGGCCTGGCCGAGGCCGTCGTCGGTGGTCTCCTTGGAAACCGTGTCATCAACGGCTCCAAAAAGAATATCGAGATGGACGAGAAGACAGGCCGGTCCCGGTCCCGGTCTCGCGCTCGCTCCAAGGATGGCGGCGGTGGTGCGAGCGGGCTGGCCGCCCTTGCGACCGCTGGCCTGGGCGCGTTTGCAGGAAAGAAGATTTTGGACAACCGCGAGCGGTCTAGGTCCCGGCGCCGAAGCGTAGACTCGCGCGACAGCCGTGATCATTCACCCGACCATCATCACCGCAGCCGGAGCCGGAGCGTTGTGGACTCTGCCCGCAGGCGTCTCGCCAAGGTGGGCATCGGCAACGGCCCCGAAGACGATGATCGGGATCGCCGCGACCGTAGGCGCGACTATGATGACTACGAAGACTCTGGCCGTTCTCGCCGACACCGCGACGATTACGATGACTACGACAGCAGGGACCGTTCTCGCGACCGACACAGGCGGGACGACTATGATGATGACCGCTCGCACCGCGGCGGCGGCGGACGGGACCGTTCTCGCCACAGACGAGGCTCGGTGTCCTCGGACGACTTGGGCGATTCAGAAGATGACAAGAAGCGAGGCAAGAAACTGAGAGGTAAGCAAATCATCACCACGGGTTTGGCTGCCGTGGCGACCATCCACGCGGCCCACAGTGTCTACCAGAGCATGGAGAAGCGCCAGCTGCGGCAAAAGGCCCTTCGAGAAGGGAAGATAAGTACCGATCAAGCCGAGAAGCTCAAAAAGAAGGCTCTTCTTCAGGACGCCGCTGCCGTTGGCATCGCGGCGCTCGGGATCAAGGGCGCCATCTCCGAGGTCAAGGAAGCAAACGAGCTGAGGCACGAGATGCGTCAGTGGAAGCTTGAAAAGGAGGAGAGACACAGACGGCGTCTTGAGAGACAGAAGCTCTTGGGCATAGGCAGTGGTGATCATGGCACCGATCAGCTCGGCAGACGCAGGGCTGACACTTGGTCCTCGGCAGCTCCACCAGGGGCCGACCGGTACGACGATGGGCCCCGTTACGTCGATGGGAACCCATACGCCGCTATACTACCTGCCGGGTCATCGACAGGAGGTAGCAAAGGGTAAATATCCCATCAACCTCGCAATCCACCGAGCCATGTGCAACCAGATCACGACGTTGCACAAGAGATCGCACCTCTTCCGATTAAGATACCCACTGCACTTTCAGCACCACTGCATCTATCCGCTGTGCCATGCACATAAGCACAAACACTCCCAACCGCCAGCATGGCCGGAGTCAGCTGTACCGACACTCGACACCACCACTCCGCATACTGGGATTACTTGTTGCCAACACACTCAGATGGGACAAATGAACTCCTACTCAGATGGCAGCTGGTGGGACTCGAGGTCGTTGTGCGTCTCGAGCTCGCTCGGATGGCTCAGCATTATGTTCCCGGCTCCCGACGCGCTCCATGTTCTTGGTCCTGGCGCTGCCCGGCTTTTCTCCCCTCCCCTTATCCGTTCACACTACCCTCATAGGCTTCTCCTTCCTTTGAACGAATCTCATCCTAATTAATCTTTTTCGCACGTGATAGACGACCGACGCCGCCATTAAAATCAAGGAACTGATTGAGGGAAGCCAACGGGCAAAAGGGGCTTCGCAATCGACCAACATGATCAACCTCTGCAGACGGACAAGGGCGAGGACATCCGCCGGGAAGCTTACTCAGGCGCCGCGAGCTGAGTGAGCCCGACCACGGCAAAACAAGGCTCATATTTGAACGAGAAGCGGACACGGCAAACCTACTGGATTGAAGCGCAAGAAACCGTCCCTGGCCTTTGATCTCCGCTGTCAGCCTCTCCCTTCATTCAGCTGATTTGTCGTTCCACGGCTTCTTTGGTTTCGCTTATCTGGGTTCTTTTGGTTGTTCTACCACTCCAGCGGCTAGGCAAACGCAAAGTTGGATGATACCTCGGTCTCACGTTCATTCGATGTACTTGGATCTCGCGCAGCAAGCAAGCAGCATCTAGCGATTGATGATGGGAATGGGGATATCGGCAGTCGGGCGTGGTTCGGTCAGTTTATGCTGGGCTGATTCATTGATTTTGATGACTTGTTCTTCTCGTTTACATCCTCCTGCTCATGTTTCTCCTTTTTTTTTCCCTTGGACGAGGATACGACCTTGGTGGGAAGATCTGTGATGATGTTATGTAGCAGCAATGACAATTGATGGTTTCTGGTTTCTTTGGATAAATCACAATCTTAATCCAGTCTCGCAAGCTAGTACATAGGATAAGGGTGCCTCGGCGTACAACCTGGAAGTACTTCGTCACAGAGCCATGAGCTTTTTGTACTTGCTCACTTTGACCTTCAAGCAAATGAAGAAGAACTCAACTCCATTGAAGCAATTCCTGGCAGGGAAGACCCCAAAGTTAGAGAGCAGGATCTACTTCTCCTGGGTACAGTACGTAACACGGTCCAAAGGGTTTATCACAGATACAGCGGGATTTCAACATGCCTTCTCCCTTGACGTTCTGTTGTTCCCCTGTGGGCTTGCTCTTGCATGGGCATCCCTCAACGCGGATGGATGGTAAATGGCGTGCTCTGTGGCTCTCAATCCAACACGTCCATATCATCCAAACGATCATTTTCCACTTAGTCCATCTCTTCCTGTGGTAGACAAGCCCGCTATGAATAGTCCTCTTTGGTTTCCGAGCGGGCATTGCTGGTAAAGCTACCCGCCTCACTAGCCGTCCGTCCCTCCGCCTCCGAATCGCTCCCCGCTATCCGCCCGAGGCCGCCTCCCGCTGAGCCATTGCCAAGGCACGGGTAGCCGCCTGGCAACGGAATCTCGAGTCTCGTCATGAATCCATTCCTGACGGACCCTTCATCGGCATCACGGCCTAGATTCGCTCCTCGGGCCTTTACCATGTCCATGGCTTCGCGCAGAGTATCTCCGCTCTCATCGAGCGCCGCCAGGAACCGCGCCAACTCCTTGCACAAGTCCCAATGCTCCTCGCGCATGGCACGGCTCAGGAGCCGCACGCTCTGCTCGCTCGCCGTCGCTAGCTCGTCAAACGTGTGGAGAATCAAGAGATAGCCCCCTGCCGTCTTGAGGCTACCACGCTGCAGGCTTTCCTCAAACAGTTCTTGCGGCGGAGGGAGATAGGCAAACAGGGTGCGCCAGGAGCGGACCTCGGTTTTGCGCGTGCACTGAACGACGATGTCGAGGTACTGTCTGAAGGATGAGAGGAGGGACAGCACGCGTGGGAGGATGGCGTGCTCGGGCGCAGGGGTTGGATTCGCATCTACCTCCTCGTCCAAGACGTGGTGCAGAAGGATCTCAAGGCCATGGGCAAAATACTCCAGATGTTCGTACTCCTGCGCGAGTCGCAAAGCCTCGGCGGATCTGTTCGCACCGAGATAGAAGCGCAATATATCGGGGAAGAAGAGGTGGGTCTGCAACACACTTGTTAGTATCCCGACAATACGACTGCAGAAGGGGTATCATTCTGGCTTACCCTGATGGAAAATCGGAAAAAAGAAAAGCTAATGTCGCGGCGTTGTATGAGGTCCGGCTCCACGCCGAGCACGATGGCTTTTGGCAGCAGGACGGAGAGGGGGTAGAAGTCTAGAGGAACGGGGACCATGGCAGGCAACTCCCGTGAATGTTCTCCCGAGATTGCCCTCATGACAGGCTCAACGTCTGGCCATGCCTTCAGCTCGCCTCCATCAAATAACCAGAGCGAGTCTTCCAGGTTCCCGCTTCCCGTGCCGGTGGCCGCCTGGAGGAGCTGTTGTGTCGTAGATTCCAGGGTTTGTGGCCGGTCTCTCATGCTGAGATAATACTCGACGTTATTGGCGATGACACGCATGTCGTATTTCAGATTACCTTCGCTGACCGAGGGTCGGAGGAGGACCAGTTTCCCGTCCACCAAGAACAGAACAGATGCATGGGCTACGTCTTGAGACGGATCGCCCTCCAAAAGTTGTTGGTCTGGCAGGATCCAACTGAGGCCCCTCACCCTTGCAGGAGACCTGACGATGCCATGGAAAGCTATGTGGCCCACCTCGATCAGCTTGATGGAGCCTGTCACGGAGGCAAAAATGTAATGATAAAGGAGGTTGTCGTAGGTGTACACCAGCAACGAGTCTTCGCCAGTCGAGGTGACCAAGACAACTGGCGCCGTCATGGGCTGTGTGTATGCTACAGTACCGTCGAGCGCTGCCTCACGGGAGTATAGCCGCAACTCAAACGACCTATTAGCTTCCACGGCGGCTACCAGAATATTCTGGTACCAGCACATACCCCCTTTGACCTGAAACTCGTTCTCCAGGGCGTCGTTGGCGAACGTCTTCCAACGGCCGCTATTGACGCTGTAATGAGCCAGGCCCCTCTTGCCAGCCACGGCCACGTATCTGCCATCTGCTGATATCGCGGTACATCGTACGGGCCACTGGTTCCAGAGGTAAACGGCGGGAATGCGGGTTGTATGCCAGAGCGAGGGCTCGGCTGAGATGGATGTGAGATCCGGTAGGTCGTAGCCCCTGTACACCATTACGCTCGACGAGCTCTGGAGCACGGTCCGGAACAAATTCGCCGAGTTGTAGCACCCTGTGACGGCACTCCGCGCCATCTCGAGCAGCCACACTGCTTCATGAGCTCTGCTGACCAGGAGAAGATCGCATGTCCCTCCCAGCCAGGCGGCATCAAGCACGCCCGAGAGCCATTCTTCGCCATTAGCAGACGAGCTCGTAGGGTCCGTCTGGAAGGTGTTGCTCAGTGGCTTCCCATAAACGCTCCAAATCGCCCATCCCTTCTCAAACCCTGCGAAGAGGCAGTAGCCGTCAGGGGAATAGCTGAGCGTGCTGATATTCCCAGACGCGGCGATGGAGACGGGCAAGCTGTGGACGTGGGAGGCAGGGATATTGCCCGAGTAGTCCCTTGCTGAGTAGACGCGAACGCTGCCGTCGGCGCACCCAACCGCGATGAGCGAGAATCGGGCGTTGATCACGCACCGAATAGCTCGGTCGTAGTCGCCTTGAGGCGTGTGGAAGCAGTGACCCTTGAAGAGCTTCTTGGGGCCAGCTGGCTCATTCGAGCCGCTGCCGTGGTGGCCAGGCATCAATCGCTGTACCGCATAAGCTCTCCCATCGCTCGTAATCCAGGTTGAGAGATTCATGGGCCTGTCGTGGGTCATCTCCTTGACCGTGACCTTCTTCTCGACCCAGCTCATCCGACTAAGCAATTCAGTGCTCGTCTGGCTGCCCAAGCTGTCGGGAGCCCAGCGAATGCACTGGACAGCAGCCGGCTTGCGGGTGGCCACGACCAATTCGTCGTCCAGGGCCAATGCACTTTCGATGCCCGCATCCACCTTGATCACCATCCGGAAGCGGACACTGACATCCCTCACCCCCGGACCTTCGCCGGGTCCCCACATGATCTGGTCGGGAGCAGCGTGGCCAGGGTCTCCGGCATGGCTCTGGCGTCTCCGCTGGACGTTGGTGTGGTTGGCGAAGTGCGGACGGTAGACACGAGCTTCTGGATCGGTGGCAAGGGAGTATGTTATCAGATAGCCCAAACTCGTATGAAGGACGAGGATCGCCGAGTCGGGCCGGAGCAGCAGGTTGCTATTGGTGCCGTAAGTCTCGAGGGACGCATCGGAACGGACGACGACGGAAAGGACAACGGTCGGCTAGGAGACAGGTCAGAAGACAAAGAATGGACACGACGATGAAGCGTAGGGGAAGGGGGAAGTGCTAGCACACCTTTGCCTGCCAGATGGTCATGGATGTTGCTGTGATAACGGCAAAGATGTGGCCAGCGCGAATCACACGAAGCGCAAGGATGGGTTCGTGGAGTGGGATGCTGGCAGGAGCAGGGCCCGGCGAGTGTTTGGGGGTGTCCTCATCGAAATAGTCTTGTTCGACAGGTTTGATGCCAGGAGTCACGGGAGTTATCGGTGTCACCGGAGTGAGAGGGGCTGTTGGGGGAGGGGCTGCCGACGAGGAGCGCGGGCCGTCTTGGAGCGCAGCGGAGGTCGGAGACAGAAGCGAATTCCTGTCGAGTGTTGGCTCGCGTGGCCCAGCGGCAACGGAGGGAGGGAGGTCATCGTGGAAGGCGATTTGTAGCGGGCCTGGTTGGTGGGAGCTGCTTGTCGCATAGATTCGCGGAGTCCCAAGCGGCCAGTACATGGCTCTCTCTGAACCCGGTTCCTTCAAGGCGGCTTCATGCGCGCATCGGCAAGCTGCTTGAAATTGCTCAATTTTCGGTGTCAATTCATGTCGATGTTTCGCTCTCGTTCAAGTGTCGTTGACGTAGCCGCATTGATATCAAGGTGGTGTCGGGTAGCCGGTGCAGTATCCCAATAGCAACTGTCTGCTGCATGTATGACATCTAAGCCTCGTGAGAGACCTTCCCGTCCTGAGCCAGGCAGTGGAAGGTGCCGCCGCAATTGAAATCTCCAGCCCCCTGACCTGTCCAGCATCGGACCTTGGCAGCCAAAAGTTGGCACCAATCTTACTGCATGGCCCGTGCTCAGCAATAGCTGTAGCGACCGGCGTCCATTTCGGGATCACCTCAGCTGCATGGCAACTCATGGAATTTCACCCGGCGCCAACCTCAAAGTAACTCATAGCACGACGGGAGTGAACGGCTCCAGCATCTTGTTCTTGATTTGCTTCCAAACAAGGCCATACATACCTATCTTGAGACGACCTGATTCCGAAATCTGACACGCTGCTGCAAAACATCAAAGTCCTACAAACTGGGTGTCGACCTCACTCTGCACCCCCACAGGATCTGGCAGAACTGAAGTTCCCCCATTCTCATCATGGCGCCGCCAGTCCGGCCTAGACACAGTCGCATTCCAAAAGAAAAGTTCCCACTCTACTTTGGCAGTCTCAAAAGTCAGCCGTACAACGAGTCAACGTCGGGCCGCGGGGTCGGATCGCACCATAGGTACGTCTGTGTCCTGAGAGCTCGCATGTTCTCATGATGTTGTGTACTTCATCTCGCTGAGCAAAGCCTTTGCTGACGGCAATTGCCCGTCTAGTTTACGTTCTATTGCCTGGAACCCATTGGGTAGCCTTGTCGCCACAGGTTCTTCCGACAAAACACTCCGTGTTTGTGAGTAAATTGTTTAGTGTCCTATGAACATCGTCTCTCCTCATTAAGGAGCTTCGTTGACTCGGGCGATGCCAGCTGACCGAGACGCGCCGCAGGGAATCCTGAGAAACCCAATGTGCGTTTCTCAACCGAACTCAAGGGGCACTTGGCCGGGATTGAGAAGATCGCCTTTAATCCGGTCAAGGATGCAGAGCTCTGCAGCGTCAGCAACGATGGAGTTGTCAAGTTCTGGGACGTGAGGACAAAAGCTTGTGTCAACGAGGTCAAGGGCCTGGGAAGTGCTCACACGCTTGCTTGGGCCCCTGACGGCATCTCGCTGCTCGTAGGAAACAAGGTAGGTTCTCCGACTCACACATTGAGGTTGGCACGGCGCATTGACCTGATTGGCATCACAGCGTGGTGAACTCTTCCGGATATCACCAGCCAAGTCTGCTGTTACCACGTCCCACCAGCTGTCCATTGACACCAACCAGATGGCCTTCTGCTGGAGCGGAGAGAAAGTCTTCCTCCCGACAACCGAGGGCACGATACGCATCCTCTCATACCCGGAGCTAGAGCCTGTCCTTCACGTGAACCATGCTGTCAAAAAGGGAGAGTCGACAGAATTCATGCTTAAAGGGCATACCGCCTCGTGCCTTACCACTGAACTCTCGCCCACGGGGAGATACCTCGCAACCGGAGGCGCTGACTCTATCATTGCCCTCTTCGACACCAAGGATTGGATATGCCAGCGGACCGTCTCCCGCATCTCGGGCCCAGTAAAAAGCATAAGTGCGGCGCCATTCCGGCACGGCGCGATAAGCCTAATGCTGATCTAATTATAGGCTTCAGCTTCGACGGCAGTTACGTGGTCGGGGGGTGCGAAGAAGGTAAGGCGACCCATGGACGATCCCCTGAAACAAGCGCAATCTGCTGATTTGCCCCTCCACATGACAGGTCCCGGATTGGAGGTGACCCATACCGAGACTGGGGAGCACGTCCACACGTTCAAGACGGCCGGGCCCTGCGAAGCTGTCGCATGGGCACCCACGAGATACTGCCTTGCTTACAGTGACCTCGGCGTACTGCGCATCATCGATGCAGACAGGAAGTGAGCCGGCAGTTCGCGTACTCAATAACCATTATATCCGCCCCGTTTTGAGATGGAGAGTGGACGCATGTGTCATGCGACACCAAAGCCAGGGACTCTCTCAGAACGCCCTACTGTGCTATACATGGCCCGTGGCCTCAAGACCGCCAGTTACCGAGAGCATGTACTCTCCAGGGGAAACGGGGATACTGATACCTCGGTGGCCGTGACGGCAGCTATAAGCACGGCGTAACTTCACTCCGACCTGCCAGTCACCTCTCCAGCAAGATCGCAAAGATCAGCCATAGATTTGTGGCTGTGCGGCTCGACCCGGGCCATGCTATATCAGGTTTGCGGAAAACCACGTGGGAACGGGCACCGAGGCATATGTTTGAGAGCGTGCCTGGAGGTTTCTGTAAAGGTATTTACTGCAGGATAACCCCAACCCAAAACGAAAGCCCGCACCACAAGCAACACTCGGAAGACTCGAGCTGCTCGAGTTAACAACATCATCAGATAATTTACCTCATTGGTATCCCTCGTCGGCCTTTCCATACTTCTATGGATGCCGAAACCCATCAATGGTTCAACCAGCTCTGTCACAGTGTGTCAGTGCCAGCTTGTGCAACCTCGCGCCCCGCGGACTGCTGTCCGATCAGCCGTCGATCATCTCCAACGGTGGGGGAAGCATGTGGAAACGGGGTGGGGCTGTGCTATTAATAATGTGAGCTACGTGCCAAATCTAACCAATAGATAGACAGCTTGGAGCTCCAGTAATGTACCGCACTCCTGCAACCTGAACAACGACAGGTGGACGTGCGCGTCCGTCGCAGCCTGCAGCGGACACTCATGAACGTCAACATGGAAAGTGGTGACCTATCTACTGTGTAGGTGCCTGTCCCTTAACACCCGGCCTTGAGCAAGCTCCTTGTAGCCTTGCCCACGTTTCTAAAAGCGTACCCTACCAGCCGGAAAGCCAGGATATTAAGCTCAGCAAGCTCAAACAGCTCCATAACGATGCCATCAAGATCGTGGATAGGCCATTCACCACGCCAAATGGTTTAAGTGGAACCAGGGTTTGAGATGAAGGCTGGGGATTTTGGCAATGTGAGGGAAGATGAACCCTGCTCAACGTCTCAAGTCACTGCACATTCTGAGCCTGGAACGACGACGCTTTTCTGCCCATTGGTCCACTTTGGCTCGCTTGTGTGGATGTGTGACCTTGTGAGGGCTCGCGGCACTGCCCGATATCTTCCAGCGTTCCATTTCCAAAAGCTGGGTATCCAGAACACTTCTTTTGTGTTGCACTGTGGGAGCAAATTCAAGGGACGGGGCGCCGGGCCCGGACAGGGGTCCAGTCAATCGAGCCCGCCAAATTTGACCCCTCGACAAGCCTCGTAGGGCGGCTCAACAGGCATTTGTAAACCGCGTGTCCCCGCCCCGTCTCTCACGCCTGTATCCGTATCTGCAAGGTATCATCCGTACATTCATCTCTAGACACCGCGTTCGTCGATTCTATCGCCAGCAACCGTTCCCTCGACGAGGCTACACTTTATCGCGTATTGCCAGAGATTTACTCAACCACGCCTACTATCGTGTCAGCGCTAGTGAGTCGGTGTGGTACAGAGGGTCATTCACGGTTCCGTCTAAACCCCATCGATCTCCGGGATCCCAAGAATGCCCCCAGCCGTAGATTGAGCTTGATCCCGACCCCGAATTCAGCTCTGGATTCCGAACACCGAGCTGCGCTGCAGCCTCTCTCTGGACGGCTTCCAGATCCGCTCGGAACCATCAACGCCTGACTCTGTTCAACCGTGCTCAACCCCGCGAGAGAGCAGGCCGGGCTGCGTTCCAGCTACCCCCACGAAACAAACGGTCTCCCGCCTTCTCCGCGTCGTTGCCCGCCATGTCGACATCCTCCGAGACGCCACCCGACACCATCATGGTGGGGGTTTCCAATTCCGACAGGCTCGCCGACGAGGATCACATTGCGGTAGAAGCTCCTCCGGGAGGCAACTCGAGCGTGCCCAAGCCGAAGCGTCTAGCATGCATGATCTGCAGAAAGAGAAAATTGAAGTGCGACGGCATCAAACCGAGCTGCAGCACATGTTCGCGGCTCGGCCACCATTGCGCCTACGACGAGGTCAGGAGAAAGAGCGGGCCCAAGAGAGGTTACGTCAAGGCTCTTGAGGAACGGCTAAGTGCGCACATGTCTCGTCCCAATCGGTGATAGAATTGGGCACGTCAGGAACCATCACAGCTAACTGCCGTCCGTGTGCAGAACAAGTCGAGACGCTGCTGAAAACCCAGGAGCTCTCATCAAGTTCCGATGGAGCCAAGGGGATTTCCATTTCTCTCGATGGAGCCACAAAGCAGCCCCTGAATCAGCGCGCCGCTGCCACGGCAAACTTCAATGTCACAGACCCATCCATCGGAATCACCAGTGGTCGCGACTGGCAATTCAACGCCGACTCGCCCAATGCGCCCCTTGAGGACTTCAACTTCAGCGGCGGCATGAACATTGGTATGAGCGGGGTGGATAACAACTTCACATGGGAAATGATAGGCTTAGGCTTGGAGGAGCCGTTGCCCTCCCAAGCCATAATCGATGAGTTGTAAGTGTCTCTAGGAACGCAGAGCGAACGATGGCGGAAGGCCAACTGATCGACGCCATCCAGGCATCACATCTACTTCGAGAAGATTCACCCATCAGTGCCCATGATCCACAAATACCGATATTTGGCGGCAATGAACCTGTATGTCCCATCTCTTACTGTCGACTTAGAGTCTCATATTTAAACTCTTGATAGTGCTCCGGCCCAGCGCCCCCCCGTCTGCCTCCGGTACGCCATGTGGACACTAGCCTGCTCTGTGTCAGATAAGTTTCAGACCCTCAAGGACTTATTCTACGCGCGTTCGAGGAAGTACCTCGAGTCAGACTACATCAAGGGCTACGGCGAGCACATCATCTCGGTCGCCCACGCCCAGACCCATGTGCTACTTGCCTCGTATGAGTTTAAGTGGATGTACTTCCCCAGAGCGTGGATGAGCACGGGCTCCGCCGTCCGATTGGCTCAGATGTAAGTCCCCTTTGCCGACAATGGGCAAAGCTTAGCTTACATTACGTGCAGGATCGGTGTTCATCGCCTCGACGGGGCAGGGTTGGATGTCAAGCAGTGCTTGCCACCACCTCGAGATTGGACAGAGAGGGAAGAAAGGAGAAGAACCTTTTGGATGGCGTTCTGTTTGGACCGGTTTGCCAGCATTGGCACTGGCTGGCCTATGGTTGTCGACGAGAAGGACATATTGACGAATCTGCCCGCATCGGACGAGGCCTTTGAGCTGAGCCGCCCAGAGCAGACGCCCACGCTTCAGGACGCCCTCGGGCCCGCGGGAGCAGGGAAGCTCTCGCCCTTTGCTGGCGTGGTCCTCATGGCCTGCCTCTTCGGCCGCAACCTCGTCCACCTTCACCGCCCAGACGTCGACGACCGAGACCACGACCTGAATGGTGAGTTCTGGAAGCGCCACCGACAGCTGGACAACATCCTTCTCAACACGTCCCTCTGTCTTCCGTCGGCGTTGAAACTCCCCAATGGCCTCGGAAACGCCAATGTTGTGTTTACCAACATGTGTATCCACACATCTACCATCTGCCTGCACCAAGCAGCCATCTTCAAGGCCGACAAGAACCGGCTCCCGGCTTCAGTGAGCTCAGAGAGCAAGGTGCGGTGCATTACGGCGGCAAACGAGATTGCGAGCATCATGAGGATGATCTCGCATCTGGACCTTTCCGCCATGAACCCGTTCATCTCGTTCTGCCTTTACGTATCAGCCCGGGTATTTGTGCAGTACCTCAAGAGCAGGCCAGACGACAGCCAAACAGCCGATTCCCTGCGGTTCCTCCTATCGGCAATGAACGCGCTGAAGCGGCGGAATCCTCTCACCGAATCCTTCCTGGTCCAGCTCGACGTGGATCTTGAAGCGCTGGGCGTGCGCATTCCCAGGCTGAGAAGCGCATTCCCTCGCAGCAGTGATACCGTGAGTTGTGACACCTAAACCCTCACTACAATCTCTTGCTGACCTAAACAGCCGGGCTCCCCGGGACTTCTTCCTCAGGGCTTCTCGCCACACTCCCGCAACGCCACCTATGGGCGTCCAAAGGGGCACGGCATCATGAATTACACGAACGAATGCCACTTCATGAAGGTCTCCGGCGACGACGGCAACCCCGCCAATGGCCCTGACATCATCGACATCGACCCCAACCCAGGCGTTCAGGGTTTCTCGCCGCCCGAACAACAGCCCACTGCCCTCCCAACCCGCGAGCGCAGCCACACCGGCCCGTACATTCCCAGCCACGGCCTCGTACCACCGCCCGTTTCTGCCTTCTCAACCTACGTCCCTTCCCCGGACATGGACGCAGCCAGCAGCAGCAACAACAACAACGACCTGTCCGGCACCTCACCGGGGCCCTCCAACCGCCCGACGCCAAACTCGAGCACAACAGGCGCGTCGTCGTCAGAACAAGCACAACAACAACACCAGCGCCAGAACCTTGCTGGCTCCGGCGGCAACGGTTCCGGGCGCAACTCGTTCGAGACAAGCCCCGTCTCGTCACACCAAAACCTCACGGGTGGCGGCGGGAGCAGCAGCATGTCGGGTGCAACGGGCACGACGCCCGTCAGCGACGGCGTCGTGGAGCCCTCCTCCTTGCCGGGCATCAGTGCCTTCTCTTTCGCGGACCCTACAGTTTCGTCCTTTGGGATCCCCTCGACGGGGTTGACGCCCGATTCGCATTCGCATCATTCGCGCTACAGCATGTCCGCTGGCGCAGGCGCTGACGACACGTCGGGCGGGGGAGGAGGAGGAGTGCATCCTACCTGGGCGGCCGAGATGGCAGGGCATGGGCAGCATCAGGGGGGAATGGCGGCTGTGCCGGACGGTATGCTGAGGTCGATTATGGCGATGGGAAGTATGGAGGGAATGGATATGGGGGGTTGGGAGCCGAGTGCGTAGGTTGTTGGGTTGTGGGTGTTCTTTTTCTTTTATGGGCCCCTGGGGGAGGGGAGGGAGGGGAAGAGATACTCTTGGATACAGCAAAAAGATACCTGCAAGTGCGCTTGTCGCGGCGCTCACTTGGTTGGCGGATGGTGTTTTTTCGGTGGATTGTCGAGTCTTGTTAGGGGCATCGGCTGCGGTCTATCTTGGTTATTCTATAGGCGAGTGGCGAAAACAGAGCGTCGGTTGGCGGTTCATGACTTTACGTCTTTCCTTTTTTTCTTGGTCTCCTGCACACTACGCTCGCTGGGACGTTTTCTAAGACCGGGCCCGGGTTATAATGTACGAATGTCGAGCAAGGCAGGCAATTTGGATGAACGGTTTGGGAATACGAGTAGATAGTCAATTTCCACTCCAATTACTGCAGGGAAGACCTGACCCGTGCAGAGACATATCATGAAACGTAAATAAAGCTAAAGTACGGTATGTGCGGGCAAATGGTCTTGACAAAAGCCGAACCCTAGTACGCCGTTGATCAACCAAATATGCTCTCCCAGAGTCATCCCTGATGTTTCGATTTACACAGTATTCGCCAAACGTAGCATCTCCAAGGCTGTGAAAACAAAAACATAAATAGACGACCGTTCCGCCGTGCGTCCAGCTGGACTGCAGCCTAAGAAGCCTCCAATGTAACAAGAAAAGAGGAAGCTATGTAACATCCCGCCCGCTTCAGTACCGCCTCATATCCCGCTGCATCCCATATTTAGAACATTGATTACCGACAGATAGCAGGGTGATATACAACAGGAAAGACCAAGCCGGAAAGATAAAACAAGAAACGCGATATGAAGGATGGCAGGGGTGAGGCGAACGAAAGAAGGGTGGAGGAAAAGGAAACACTGGATAAACAAGGGGGTGTGCATTTCCCAAACCTCAAACAATGGCCCTCCCATCCGCCTCGACAGGCTCCATTGGCGGTGGGGGAAGTGATGGTGGTGGCGACGGCACCTCCCCTGTCCTCTCCATCTCGGAATTCCGAATCATCCTCCTATTCCTCAATCTCCCTTTCATATCCCTCCACTTCTCTCGCGCCCCAATAACCTGCCCCTCCTGCTGCGCACTAAAGCAAACCACCAACGTCAGCGCTACCACAATCGTTACAGAATAAAAGATTGAGAAAAACAGCACTCACCGCATATAACCCTCGCCAAGCTCCTCGAGGTTCCGATTTTCGAGCCTCTTCTTGCCATCGTCGTCGTACACGGTCCGCTGCACGTCGGGCAGGTAGGCCCACGAGTAGACGGCGCCAAGCGCCATGAAGGTGGCAAACAGCAGGAAAATCAGGCCCTGCCGCATCGTGGACGCGTAGCCCGAGTTGATGCCATAGACGACGAGCACGGCGACGATGCTGCCGAGCTTCCCCGCGGCCGCCGAGATGCCGTGGCAGGTGCAGCGGTAGGCCGTCGGGAAGATCTCAGCGGGGATGATGAAGGTGAGCGTGTTGGCTCCTGTTCAGCCAGAGACGGGATACATTTGTCAATGTTCCGTGTTGCAAACATTTGAAGGAGTAGGGAAGGGGGGAAGGCTGGGGGGCTCGACTGTACCAAAGTTGAACATGAAATGGCAGATGGCCACGCACACTACGGTGGCGGGTGCGCCTGGCCGGTGGGCTACGCCGTAGTAGACGCCGCCAGTGACGAGGAAGAGCACTGTTAAAATGATGAAGGAGGTCGTCAGCCACCGCCGGCGGTGGATGCGGTTGGCGAAAAAAATGAAGCAGGCGCTGCCCGCGATGGAGGCGAGGGATACGGTAAGCAGGTACTGCTTGGTCTGGTCGATGATGGTCTCGAAGATGGTGTTGCACGGCCGGGTGCGGTCGGTTTGCCAGGTCGGCAAGCCGTCGGTCGCCCAGGACTGCACGAGCGATGTCCCGCCGGGCAAGGTCGAGTTCCAGCACCAGAGGTCTGAGTTGATGGGAATTCTCTCGGTCGTGGTCCATAGATCGGAGAGGGTGCCGCGGTTGTCGAGGCTGAAGCCGTAGAAGGAAACCTGCCAACAATGTCAGCTGTGAATCTCCCATTGTGGAAAGGTCCGAGGGTTTTCGGGAGCAAATGCGCTCTCTGGGGAGCAGGATGGCCCGTGGAACAGCCATAAGGCGCTATACACAGTCCACACACAGAAGAGCAGTGTTTCTTACATCCAGGAAGAACCATGTCATGGCTGTGCCGAGTAGATAGTACCAGTTCTTGTCCCTGATGAAGTAGTTGTGCAAGTCCTCGAGGGAGAACTGACGGGGCGTCGTTTCGGCCTCGTAAAAGTTTCCACCGCCCGTCGGCGACATGGCAAATTCGTTGTTGGTGGGAGGCGCACCGTAGACTCGCTGTGTATCCCTGAAGGCGTTTCCGGGTTTGTTCTTGACCTCGAGCGTGTAGAGGCCGCAGTCGTAGAGAAAGAAGCGGAAGATGATGGCCAACAGGGCCGGCACAGCCCCGGAGCCGATGACAATGCGCCAGGTCCCGTCAATGATCCTCTTGCATTCTTCCTCGTGGAGCAAGTCGAGACCGCACTGCTTGTCATGGAGCCCATGCGCGGCGTCCTCTCCCAGGAGAACCAAGACGCCGACAATCTGGGCTAGAGCTTGCCCGACAGGCTGCATCAGGAACACGGACGAGATCATGGTCGCCCTCGAGGACGTGCTGGCCCATTCTGAAGTAATGACAGCTATCAACAATGTCAGCCTTGATCTCCTTATTCTGAATGTGCCTGGAAGTTTCAGGAGCAAATAGTCAATCTCGGGAGCATGACGGCTCTGGAGACAGCGATAAAGGCGTAACGTATGAACAGTCCACGAACAAAGAGAATGCTTGTACCTGATAAAGGATATTCGGCGCCAATGCCTGGTAGGTCGAGGTCAGGCTGCGGTTCGCATTCAAGAGGTCATATCGTCTGATGGCTTACCTATCCCCATCACAAAACGCCACTTAGGATATTTCGGTCAGAGAAACGAGACAGCGAGGCACGGGGAAACGGGGTTGCTTGGCCTTACAAATGTGAAGAGTGCTAGAAACGACATGTCGCTGTAGCCGTCACTCGTAGTGGCCACTCCGATGGTGGACACAATGACCAGGACAAGCTCAATGCCATAGAGACGGGTTCTCCCGTACCTATCGGCGAGGTAGCCGAAGAGCAGTTGGCCCAGTACTGAGCTGCGAGAAGCCATCAGCAACCAAAGGACCGTGACTTTTGGGAGTCTGACGTTGGCATACCCAAAGAGAGTGAGAAGGTTTATGACCAAGCCAACCCACTTGGTGTGGGGAAAGTAAACAAACGAGACGGTAGAGAGGATGACATTGGTGGCGAAGAGGTTGTATCTACGCAAATGGTTCAGTCAATGGGAACATGTCCTGGTACCATCAGAGAGAGGCTGTGAGCAACGCACGAGTCCGTGAGGAACCCGGAGGCGGCGACTCCCCAAATCCTGAGGTTCCATGAATTGAGATCCAGTTCATAGCGCAGTTGATGGCGGTCCTGTCATTCCCCAATTTCAGTCAGCCATGCCGCATCTCCTCCAAGCAGACGATCAACAACGCGGAGTAACGTGCCTGGCGGTCGCGTGGGGGAAGCGCGGAGCTGTCGTACCCCAGATAGCCGCGGTTGCGCTTCTTCTCGGGGTCGGGATACATCTCGGTTGCCATTGGGGCGGCGTGCGAGTCGTATGTCGTATGAGATGAGGGCGTCGAGTTACCTGTCGGACATGGCGACGACACGGTGCGCACCTTACGCCTGCAGGTGGGCCACCGCACGCCAGAAGTTGTCAAGGTAGATTTCCTGAAAGATGAGGATCGGTGAGCACCGGAAGTTGAGGTTCAAAAGTAAAGGTCGAGCTTGATTCCACTCGAGGTTCATCTTGTTCGTAGCAGAACCAAGAGAGATAACTAACCAAATCCTTCCCCGATCCACTACAGTCCAGAAGCACCCCAAGCCCCAATTCAGCGCCAGCAGAATCCCATAGCCATCCAGTATTCGTGTGTGTGGGGGAGCTGTGCAGGGGTTGGCAGTGCCTAACCTTTCGAGGCAGCCTTGCCGGACCTCCAAGCCGCATCTGTGGACAATACGTCCGTATATTTCCTGCATATTCATGTTGTCCCCGCCCAGAGCAGACAGCGTTATCGAGACGCCGTACTACGTAAGCACGCGACCCTCTAGTGCTATTTGGGTGCTCGCGGCTTGAAGTCCGCCCGCCAGCCCGCCCGTCTTGAGAGCAAGAGGGCGACCTGCGGCATGGTGTTTGCTCGAGCTGAGGCTTCCTTGTCGCCAAGGAGCATCAGCAGCGGGGCAGCCTTGGCGGTTTCTTGTCCTAACTATGCGTCGATTTAACCGTGCTGATGACGGCAGGGCTCTCAAACCAGCATCGATGAAAGGCCCAAATTTGTTGCTTCTGCCCATCACGACTGGCGTCGATCGGGAATCTCTTAATGCTGCACAACCACATCCAAGGGGCTGGCTCCTTATGTAACAACTGGCCCGGTAACTTGGGTTCGTGGAGCCTTCAAGGCTCGCACGGCCCACTGCATCGACCATTATCTCACTGTTGAATGCTGAATGGCCGCTTGTTAGCGAAGCCAACAACAGCCAATCATACCCGCAGACGTGACCCTCCTCCCAAGCTCAAACCTGCCATTGGCCACAGGTCTGACTTCCCAAGACACGGCCAAAAAGCGTGGCGACGGGAAAGAATGGCGCCAGGTGTAATTCGAGAAAGCAATGTCCTCATCCAACTTGGGCTTGAAGCTTCATTGTCAAGCTCGAAGCACCTCACTGGCGATTGAGAGGCACAGTTTGCTGGAGTCTGCTGATGTGTTGTTCGTATCTGTAAAAGCGTAAAAACATCCTAACAGTCAAATATCCGTGTCGCCCAGGTGCAGTCCCTACCCGTTGGACTAGTCCAAGCCCATACTGCCCAAACGCAGTACTTCAACATACGCCTGACGCCGCGCATTTGGCTAGCTGAAGCCGTCAACTTGATACTGGTGCTCGCCGGCAGCGTTGTACACAGCCGACGCCTGTTCCGGGCGCTGCGGCTTGCTCGGCGGGGTCAATATATACTGGGGCGGAGCCATGTCAAGCTGGTCGTGATATAGCTCCTGGTGAGCAGCTGCTTGACTACCGTTGTCTGGGCTGTCAGCAGCTCTTTGCTGCAGCGGAGCCAACTGACGCTGGTCGTGATACAGACCCTGAGCAGCTGCCTCGCCACCGATGCCTGGGCTGTCACCAGCGCTCTGCTGGAGCTCGACGGCGATGGAGCGGCCTTCTGCCTCCCTCTGCCTCCTCGACCGTATCCGCGCACAGCGGCCGGTCCTCAGAAAGTTACCACCGTATGCTTTCCTCATTTGGCGGCTGATTGTTGGCACGCTCACTTCGAGGCCACACTGCGTCCGAAGGAAGAGCTGCATGTCGTCGAGGAGGGCGTCGGGGTGGTCCTTGTGCCATTCCACCAGCTTCTAAAACATGTCAGACATGATGTATGATTAGCCGATTGCAAATGACTCTGCCGAACCGCTTATTGGTACTCTGTATATTCGCCTTACCTCTAGATGATGCGGCTTTAGCTTTTCGGCATTTTTGCTGACATCTTTGTGCTTCTTGATCTGGCCCGTGGCTTCGAACTCGTAGCGCCGGCGCCGGACAGTCCTCTCGTCGACGTTGAGCACAAAGGCGATATCGTGGTTGTTGAGCTTTGGGATCTGTAGCAATTTCGCCAGGATGGCTCTATGGTCTTCGGAGAGCTGCTTGCCAGTCATGGTGGAGTGCGGCCATGATATTGCATTTTGCACGTGTTGTTGTTGTCACCGGGGTTGTCGTCGAGGACAACACGTGTAGGCTCAGAGTGGGGCAGCAACGGAGACTCCCGTCGCTTCCAGGCAACGCCCGGATTTTGCTGGCTGGTCTCGGCAGGGTGTTTGGAGAGGTGCTCCAGGGTTAGGGGCGTTGGGCGGTGTTCAGGTTCCCACTTGTGCCTCTCAGCGCCCCCCACTGAGGTGGACAAAGCCGTTCTAAAACTTCCAGAATCCGATGCTATGCACAACGGCGTCCCGAGATCGAAGTCAAAATTCCGTTCGTATCCAAGAAAGCAGAGACATGATTGCGCGAGTGCCCAATCCTTGAAGTCCATGACATCCGATAATGGAAATTTCAGCCTCCTCCGCAGTGGCTACGCCGCCTACGCGCTACGGCGCCATAACTGGCCGTTCACTGGCTGTGCGTTGGGGTCACACGCAGACACGCACGGCAGCAGGGGAATCCGGGCTAATGCGCGACTGCAGGGCCCCTGCCCGCTAAACCACAAACCACATGGTGCATCGCGCAAATGGCAGAACGAGACTGCTGCTCGTGGGCATTCGGCTTGCGGCGACTGCCCAGCCCGCAACACCATCACAGTCCTTCTCAGGCGCTGGCTCACGCTGCCCCCACACGCAAACTGAAAACCATTGAACCGCACCGCGGCTGCCGGGGACCAGCGCTGTGGTCCCCGGGTGATGCTCTCAGTAGGTGGGGCACTGGATCCGGCGACATTTCCCCCGCGCATGTCTGGTCCGGAGCCACCTCAGTTCAGGTCCTGCTGCTACGGTGCTACCCAGTTCAGACGCAAGGTGGTAGCCAACTGCAAAGCTAGCTCCCGGCTGCTGCTCCACGACAACGCAGAGAGCTGAGGCTGACATTGAACCGCGGGACAACAGCCTCCTACGCCATCGACGCCCCTCAGCAGTCCTCAGCACTCCCCTCGCCATCAACATCGCCGTCACCTGCCCGGATAATCATGTCGTTGTGGACGACTGCTCGGCTGCCCAAACCTGCGCCTCTCTCATCCTCTTGCTTTTGAAGCCCCCATTGGGCCTTTCCCCGGCTGGCAGTCTTAAGGTTAGGCCGGTTATACGACAGGGTTGGGCTTGTCAGCTCCCTTTATTGAGATGGTCATCGGCTGCATCGCCAACCCCCTGAAAGCCGTGTTGTGGCTCTCCGGGTTCCGGTTACGCCGCAGCTTTCACAGAACGGCGGTGTGCTCGACATTCCGGAAAGAGCACCAGCAACCCTGCCGGAGGCGACCATGGCTACATCATGGCGGTCCGGTTCCTCTTCCTCCTTCGCCTCGTCAGCTCTGAGCGCCCCGCCATCCCATGCCCAACATGCCAGCCCCGTCGACTCGACCTTCACTCCTACCTCAGCCGCTATTTCCGCCTTAACCACCGAGTCTTCGGCCCCACAAACACCCCCGGCGCCTCTCGACCTCGGGCCCCCTGGCTACCATGCGACAATGTAATACCTACCTAGTAGCCGCCATGGCCTACTTCTTCCCAGCCCCGACTGCGCAGCACTCTGTCTTCTGACAACACCGGCTGTCTAGAAAGTTATTCGAGCGCACCCCGAATGAGACGACCGTGTACCTCGGCCCCTGGGAGATTGTAGGTGCCAGCCCACGGCGCTTGCTGTGGCAATGCAGTTACGCGGGCGAGGTACTGGAGCATTTCCGTACGTACCCTGCCTATTCCAATTTCTCAGTTGACGGTTCACATCGCTGAGACAAACAGCTCAGTCCCTTCAGACAATCCCAACGAGCTCTTCCCCCACACGCTCCATGCTCAGCATCGTCGATTCGGCGATCCGCGAGAAATGGAGCTCTACCTAACCTTTCTTGAACCGCACCGGATCCGGTACATCACAAGAAACGGCATCGTGCATGATGAATACGTCGAAGTCAAGTATGAGTTCACCACCATCGAGGGCTCCATTCAACTTCAGAGCGACATCAGGACAAGAGACCTGGTTGATTGGTTCGACGCTGACGTCGTCTGGTCCGACACGCACCGCAGGACCGACTCGTACGGCAACGTCAGGGGTTTGGGCACCATCCAGAGGATCAAGCTCTGGCGGGATCGATACTCGACATTCCACTATCTGACATTCTATGCTAACCATCGCCGGCGCTGGAAAGAGTATCTCCTCGACGACTTCGACACGGAACTGCGCCAGCGGGACGACCAACGCCGGCGAGTTCAGCTTAACGCACGCGGTGCCAGGAGAGGCAGCGCATCCGAGAGCAGTTCAAATCACGGTCACGGCCGCGAACGGCGCTTTTCCGCTACGTCAATATTTCGGTCCAGACACAGCAACGCATCCTCCAACGGAAACGCTGCTGCCTCCTCCTCATCAGCCCAAAACAACCTTGACATACGTTATCTCGGCATCCAATTCTCCAGGAACCCTAACATCCAAGCTGGGAGTGATGGTAAGCCTCGACTCACGCTCCATGGGGCCGGGCAGTCTGTCTGGGCAGCAAAAGCTGACACAATCGCAAAGATTACAACCGGTTCATTCAGCGATGGAATGCTGCCCACGCTGCAGACGCCCAATTCGAGGCCACGTTCCCGACAAATCGTGTCGAACTGCCGTCACCTTACGTCAACGGCTACCACACGCGCGCCCCGCCCCATGTGAATGGGATGGCTGAACTACCCTCGCCCGAGTTGCGTGGGACCCTTCCGCCGGTGGCCGAACCGGCCTATGATATCGATTCTGATGAGACTCCATGAAAGCGACCCTCAACGTGCGCGGCCGCTATTTACGTGTTAGAAGGGGGCGGACATGGACGGCGGCGTTTTGCTCAGGTTTTGCAATAGATACCCCAATTGGCGGCGGCATCCGTTCACCCTGCTTTTTTCTACCCCGTGAAACTCGGAGCGGGACCGAAAGCCAATGGACCCCAGGATGTGAGAACGTTCTCAGTGGTAAGCGGCCTACCAAAGCCACAACATCCCGGGGCGGATAGGCACATGAGCAAGCTGCTGTATAATTGCCCCGGCATCCCAAATTTCTAGTCTTGAAGCACAGGTGTTGGTGGGGCCCTGTCAGCAGCTGGGACGGCGGCAGGCGGGTGGCCGAGACTGCGGAGAGCCCCGCCCCTGCCTGAACAGCCAAGCCGGCACGACGTCATACTCCCGGCGCTGTCATCATACCACTTTCGGGACGCCATCCGGCCGCATCCGCAGTACAGCAAGATCGTCTGGTCTGATGTGGCTGCGGGTATAGAATAACGTCGGCCATCTTGGGTTCATCAGCTAGGGGTTTGAAATGCTGAACAGTGGACTGACCCACAGTCAATCGAGAGGGTGGGAGAGATTTGTCCCTCTATAAGACAGTGACATATACTCCCGTCTCGCTTCGCTCTTCCTACACATTCAAGGCCAGTCCGGTTTCACCCCACACCATAGCTTCGCGACTTCACTATACCTCAGAGATTCTGCGATCCCGCTTTTGCAGCTGGTCTATTCAGCAATCAAGCGGCAGAAGATGAGCAAGATTATCTTGGCTGTCAATGCCGGCTCCTCGTCGGTCAAGGTGTCGGTGTACAGCGCCGAGAAGGGGCAATCTCCCACACAGTTGGCACAGGCCCAAGTCAGCGGCTTGACAGCACCTCCGGCAACGCTCAGGTACGAGCGCGGCAACGAAACGGTTATCGAGAAGCAAGAGGTGGACGACAAGGTCAACGGACAGCGAGATGCTTTCAGTCACATTCTGGATACGCTCGTCGGGGACCACGACCTGCCCAACATCAAGAACAAGGATGATATTGGCATCATCTGCCATCGCATCGTCCATGGCGGCGACTACGCCAAACCGCAGCTGATATCTGACGGCACAATGCACCACCTGGAAGACCTGAATGACCTAGCGCCCTTACACAATGCCAACAGCCTGGGCATCGTGCACCTGTGCATCCAAGAGCTGCCCGCCGCGCGCAACGTCGCCTGCTTCGACAGCCAGTTCCACTCCACCATCCCCGAGCACATCCGTACGTACCCCATCAACCAGGACATCGCGCGCAAAAACCGCCTGCGCAAGTACGGCTTCCACGGCATCAGCTACTCCTTCATTACGCGCGCGACAGCCGGGTTCTTGGGCAAAAAACCCGACGACCTCACAATCATCGCGCTCCACCTGGGCTCCGGCGCCAGCGTGTGCGCCATCCGCGGCGGCAAGAGCTGGGATACCAGCATGGGCCTAACGCCGCTCGCGGGCCTGCCGGGCGCCACACGCAGCGGCAGCGTCGACCCCAGCCTCGTCTTTCACTACGCGAGCGACGTCGGCCGTCTCTCGCCCGCCTCGACCAAAGAGCTCCACATCTCGCGCGCCAAGGAGATACTCAACAAGGAGGCCGGCTGGAAGGCGCTCACGGGAACCACCAACTTTGGCGCCATCGCCGCTGCCAAGGGTTCAACCACCTCAAACGACAACGACGAAGACAAGAAGAAGATGCGCCTGGCATTCGACTTGTTCGTTGACCGCATATGCGGCTTCGTCGGCTCGTATTTTGTCAAGCTACGCGGCCAGGTCGACGCGCTGGTTTTTGCCGGCGGCATTGGTGAGAAGAGCGACCTGCTAAGGGCGGCCGTTGTCGAGCAGGTTAAGTGCCTTGGTTTCGCGCTGGACGACGAGGCTAACAAGGCCAAGATCGAGGCGGTGGTGCAGGACGTCGGGAAGGAAGGGGTTTTGCCGAAGGTGCTGGTCTGCCAGACGGACGAGCAGTTTGAGATGGCGAGAACTTGTGCCGAGTCTGAGGAGTTCTGGTGAGCGCGGATAGATAGATTTCCTCACTGTTATGGGGAGGGAGGAGAATGGGCTCAGAAGACGAGCGCTGCTGCAGGGGTTGCCTTGACGGATGTGATGATACTCAGGACTACGAGGCGGGATAACTTGAGACGCGTGCTTCCACACGAATACATGAATATAGACTCCTGAGCATCTTTCATGATGCAGATTTGATCTTGCCACAGTATGTGCACCGCATAGGGGCGTCATTGTTCCCTCCCCATCTAAGTCTCAGAACGACCTTGACGTCGCGGTGGTCACATAAGTATTTCCGGGATCGTGAATGAGTATTACAGTGCCAACTACTACAACCAATTCGATCCCGAAAAGGCAAGCCTTGAGCATAACTATACTCCTATTGCTGTCTTACATATATATCCTCGTGCGCGCTACCAATTACTCCACGAGACGCTGCTCGAGGCCGGCTAAAGCGACGCCATAAGCCTGCTGTCGTATATACAAGTCATACTAGAAGGCGCTGCGTATGGCTCCGGGATTCCCACCCACCGCCGGTCATCGACGGAAAGCCGTCCTAGGCGTGGCCCCCTTTTCCGCCCAGGTTCAATGAATTCATCCGCCGGTCCGGATCCCAAGTAGCCAGACCAGCAAATAACCAACTTCAAGGCCCATACAGGGTTTCCCCTTCGCTGCCGGAGCACGTCGTGTCCTCGGTGTACAGGGAGATCCTCAAGCTCCCTCCCACAGTCCATTTTCCCGCCCCATCTGTTGCCTCGCCGGGCCCACGATCCCCAGAAAGAAAAGACATTACGGGTACCGTTTTTCAAAAGGAGGAGACCACAACCAAACTCCAGCCCTCCAATACACCCCGGTTATATGGATGTAGACAAACCCCCCCACAACGCCGTCCCTTCCACCTCAAATTTGTACACTGTAGCCCCCCCCAAACGCCGTGGATAAACTGAAACAGACCGTCCACTCCCCCACGCGAGACGCCCTTGCTCCTGGTAATGCTGTCCCCTTACCGTGACGGTGTATCAAACCGGACCAATGGCGCCCAAACCGTGTACTTTTTGCGCCACCCCATTCCGTGTGTAAAAATCATCCAAATGGGTTGAGAAATGAGAAACATATGCCACCAAAGGATCAAGGAAAAGAAAAGCAAATCAAATCCAGTGTGTTTCGCAGCCATTCAGCACAGGTGCCTGCCTTTGAACTCGGTACCAGCTTGCGATTTTCAATCTCTGCCAGAAAAAAAAAAAAAAAGCAAGTAAAGAGTGAAGGAAGAGAAAGAGAAGAAAGAAAAACGACGGTGCTTTCAAGGGAATGGCATCTTGCTCATTCCATTTCCTGGCGCTTCCTCTCAGCCACCATGACGAGGGTATCGAGCCTTGTTGTGCCCGAACTGCCCACCGCCGCGGCGGCGGCACCGGAATGGCGGTCTGGCGGCTGATAATGATCAAGGTGGCCGTGCAACTCACGCATGTCCCAGGCGATAGCGCCGGGCGAGGGTAGATCGCCCGGCGACGCGGACGTTGCAGCCGTACTGCCTGGTGATGGCGGGGTAGCTGATGGAGCACCAAGGGGTTCTAGACTTGCTACACTGCTGCGTCTGCTGCTGGCGTCGGTCGCCTTGGACCAGGATTCGCTGTGCCGCGGGTGTGCCGGGGATGACGAGGGTGCGAGGGATGACCCGGAGCGCTTCTGCCGCAGCTCGGAAGCAAGCGGAGGGGTGGGTCGCCCCCCCCGCTCCTGAGAGAGTGCGGTGGGTCGCGAGCTGGTGCCGTTCATGCGCGACCTGTCCTTGAAGTGCGTATCGAGGTGCTGCTTCATGTTGTCGGAGCGCGTGAACTTCTTGGGGCAGCCCGGGTAGGAGCAGGGAACACCCTTCTCGGCCGTGTGGATTTTGGAGTGCCGTGAGGCGTGCCCGGACGTGGTGAAGGTCTTGTCGCAGCCGAGCTCGTCACGGAAGCGGCACGGGAAGCGCTTCTGCGGCGGCTTTTCAGCACCCAAGGTGCTACCGGAAGGAGAGGCGGGGATGGCGGTACGTTCGTCCTCATATTTGACGGATGGGCCATCGTTCAGGGCGCTTGCCTTCCGTTTGTTGGTCGGATGGAAGAACTGGGCGTCGGTGGGGTGCTCGTCGGGATAGGACCGTGGATCCTTCGCTAGGGGCTGGTACCGCGCCGAGAACTCGTAGACGGGCGTCATGGGAGAGATAGGCTCAGCCGTCATGCGGGAGTCATAAGAATCCGAGCGTGACAGCTCCGGAGTAGGCGGTATCGACCAGGCGCTGGGTGTTTTGTGGCCATGATCGGAGCTTTGATAACAATGACCCGGGACTCGAAGGCCATACGCCGGATCTTGCGGGCTATATGCCGCGGCTGGCGGACCATTCGCCCAAACCTGGGAGCTGGAGCCCAGGACAGGCGATCCGTATACGGAGGCCTTCGAACCATAAGTTGGTGCTTCCGGACGGCAAACCCGAAGTTCTGGACTAGTGGAGAGCCGGCCTGGCCGTGAGAGAGTAGGACGGGTATGGGTTGCGATAGGAGGCGGCGTGTCGCCGTCGTCGTTTAGCAGCGTGATGACCTCCCCGGTGGAGCGTCTTACAACCGGGCCACCACCCATGGTTGACAGTGTAGGAGCTGGTCACGGAAATGTGCTGCTCAACAGGAAAACAGAATGGAAGTCGGTCTGCGTTGTAGTGATCGAGCTGGACTCGTTGCCGGATGCACACAACTTCTCAACGGAGGCGAAGGGGTCGGGGGGTCGTGACTATGGTCCTGACTAAGGGCATGTGCCGGCTTGGTTATGGTCGTTTCCTTCGTCTTTGGGGGGGTAACGAGCGACGGTTGCATCCAAACGAAGGGTCGGGTTTGGACGGAGAATATCGTGAGGTGTGGATGGGTAAGGCCGGAAGGATGAAAATCAGAAGCATAAGGCAGCGTGCGCCTTGGGGACGGAGCCCCGGGAGGAATAAATACCTGGCAGCGGCAACCGTATCCTTGATGCATGACACTGCGATTGCGAGTGAATGCCTATGTGTTAGGACCGGGAATCCCAAAGCGCAACGCCCCGCAACTCTACTGTGTAGCAGGGCAGTTTGCTCGAGTGGGGGAGCCCTGCGGAAGTGTCTGTGACCCTGACCCCCTGGCGCATCGTTCAAGGGTGTGGTGGGGCTCCATCTGCTCGACTTGTCTTGGTTGTCCAGCCTTGCAGTGTCGAAGTCACTTTCAAGTCGTCTTTGCTTTGTCTGAGTGCCTGCCGCTTGGTTACCTGGTAATCACTGTGGAAATCTGGCGAGCCGAGTCACCGTCACGGCGTTTCTGCGGCAGGACCACTATCTCCCCAAGCTCCCTCAGACCATTTTCATTGCTAGGTATCAACTGCACAACACTTAGTGCCTTGATTCATTGCACTCTGATCATGCACGTCTTTTCCTGTATTTGCAGGATACGCACTTTGGTAGGTACCTTACCCAGGACGCAATCTCCGGCCGTCCTTGGCGACGTTGTCCCTTGTTTTCTCCGCAACCGTTTTAGAAACCTGTGATCCCCGCGAGTCATCCAGGATCCAGCTCCAGAACGGGTGGGCTCTATGACGATATCTCTTTCAATTGCTGATGTGCACGCTTTGCTGCCGCACAGGCTGTTGATAAGGTTAGCGGTGCACGCTCGACTCTCTCAAGGCGGATGCCGAAAATTCAAATGCGTACTCTCTCACCATGACGCTCTGCGATGGAATCCGAATTTGTTGTGCCATGGGTTTTACCGGCGTGCTGGGCGATGCTGCTCCGATGATCTTCGATCCTCGCGGCTCTCGCTTCTGCATTCCACTGGGACCCCAGCGGGGCAGTTCAGGGGCACGAGGGCATGATGTGACAAGGGTCTGCTTGCGTGTTGCGGGGAGCTCACCCGAAGCCCTCTCGGGGGGCTCTTTTATGGATGGGAATGGTGGCTGCCGGTCATTTGGTCCCTTCCTTGCGTTCGCTGGCAATCCAGCTCCTTTGTGTGTCAATTGGTGGCTCGCTACATCCGCCTTACGGTCTTCTTTTCTACACAGCATTGAGCCGTGTTGCTTCGCTGCCTCCATGCAACTTTGTCACCGGTAGTTGCGCTCTTTCATCGTTGCGCATGGTCTCGGCAAATGTTTACCTTGATTATGACGTAGGCGCTTGCATGGGCCCAGATAATCTAGGCACACCAGAATGTCAACAACGGAGTCCACCGTGAGGCGCTCGCCAGGGTCAAGCCGCCTTCGCTCCGCCGGTTTCGTGTGGCTGCATGGTCGTGTGGATTTGCACATGACGGCGGGTAACTTATCATTACACCTGTTCATCGGCGCTTCGAGCAGCAGTGTCTGCTTCGTACAAGGGCCAAGGCAGACTCTTAACATCTGAAACTGCAATGCGGATAATGGTAAGCATGCAAAGCAGACTCCAGCAACTGCTTTCTCGGCAACTGGCTCGGTGTGAAATATTCTGGCATATCCATCTGCCCAAGATCCGATTTACGATAGTCAAAGTACCTTAACCGTACAGAGTACTCATTACGAGTACACTGCAATGAACCAAGACTTTGCTACTCCGTAAGCAAATCACCACCAGCTTCCATGAGTTTCGAGCAAGTCCGTCGGAGACCCGAAACTTCTGTGGGACAAGGCGGAACTTCTTCAACCAACTTTAATTCGCGGGAGCCTTTAAGCACCCTTGTTGGACGATGCCGTATTTCCGACGCGATCATTACCCGAGTAGTGTATGTACACCGCGGATACCGCAGATACCCTCCCGGTGCCTTGGTTGATCTTCGGTCAGGTGGGTTGTGACGGCCGCGAACTTGGACCCCGAAAGAGGTGGAGGAGTGCTGGATTTGACCATTGCCTGGACCCTGAGGGTCTTTCGCGTTCCAATGCCCTTTCCTGGACCAACAACTGGAACTGGTTGGAATTCAAGGAAGTTGGTACAGCTACAATTTCCTCGGCTTCATCAGGGACATATGCTCCGAGAAGGGTTCGAACTCGAAAGGATGAGATACTGCACTCGAATTTGCCTACGTAGCTTACTACCCTCACTGTACATACACAAACCAGCTTAAGACACAGAGTCATTGGACATGTCAATGGCGGCTGGAAATGCTAAAATCCTGGATCTTGTGACTGTGGTATTCGTAGGCCTGCGATGCTAATCTTCCGCGAGATAGGAAAGTGAAGAGGGGAGGTGTGGCTGAAAGCCACTCAGAATCGAATTTCAGGGTCTTTGCAACATGGCCATGCATAAGGCGTCTGACAGGGGTGATTGGCCTTGTTCCCCATCAAGCCTGCTCTGTTGCAGGATCGAACTTTTGGGCGGCGATCGAGAAGCTCGTGGGCCCGCTTCGAAGAGCAATGCGGAACGGCCCCACTTGGCGTCTTTTCGCCGCTGTCCTCAGCCCGGCCTAGAGCCTCTACCGCCATTGTTCTGGGACTCGGTTTGTCTAGGCACCGTTTCTGACGTCTTGAGGGCACAGCTCCAGGTTAGATCCTAATTGCCCGGAGTCGTCGCCGGACGAACAACGATGGAATGCTGCGGTCTGAGCCCTTACAAGACGCAGTTTCAGCATTGCGCAGGTGACGACATCAAGTCACTTGTGCGCGCGGTTTCAGGATGTCAACACCAGCTTGTGGGTTCAAGTTTGTTGTTCGGCTCGACAGGCTTGGCTGTGTGGGGCCCTGGGGAACACACGACCGGAGAAGGTGCTCCGGCAAGTAGCACCTCAAAAACGCAAGTACTAGATCCCGGTTCAGAATCCATCCCACTCTGACCACAAAAAACTAAGGGCCCGACGCATGGAAGTCTGTGGATCGTGAGAGAGTAGTAGCGTCACTCTTGACCTTCCATCATTATGACTTCCCATTCACATCGCAGTCTTCAAGCTCGCAGCCAGGTGCCGGCGCCAAGGGATAAGCACCTTGATCTCTCCTGTCCAGTCCGACCTGGTCACACCATCTCTCGAAGTTTGAGAGGGACACGTAGACACTGAAGTCGAGCAATCCGGTATGTATCTCACACTGGCAGGTCCTTCTGAATGACTGCTCAAACACCTAAGGATTCAAGAACAGGGAAGTTGGATCTTTCGTGTTGATTTGGCCCGAACCTCTTTCTCAAAATCGGCTGCCTCGAGGCTCGATCGATCGATTGGTGGGGTCGAGGCCGCAGTTCCGTGGAAACACTTCAATCCCTGCGTCCGCCGCAATGCCCGGGGAGTCTCACTCTAGTCACTGGCGCCCGGCCTGCCAAAGCCATGCAGTTCGAAGAACCTGAGGCCCGGAAAGCCCCGTCAGTTCGGCGGATCCTCCTTATCCTCTTTCCCTCAACCGTGCTGGACGGTCTGCATGCATCGCATTGATGAGCACATCGCAGAAACCATATACCTTTCAAAGGCGGCAGGAGGTTCACCCATTCTCTGGTCGCGTTCAACACGCTTGAGCGGCAGCGGACTGCCGAGAAATTTCGGGCCGCTCGGATGCCGTCCGTCGTCGACACCGCCCGTTGCGATGCACCCATCCCAGCCGCTACATGGACCTGAGGAACCAACCGCCATCACAATCATCAACAATTCTATCCGTAGCGGGGCCGGATTCTGCACTAACCCATCCAACAGCATACCACTTGCGGAAGCCAGACGTGCCAGTTGTGGCGGCCAATACCAGGCCACAGCCACAATGCATGGCAACCACACCGTTTCTCTCCCTGCCCGCCCATCTCCGAGAATGAAGAGCAAAAACAAAAGCGCGCCCATCATATCACACCAAGATAAAGAGACAAGAGACAAGACCGCGGATGCCCCGGCCGGCTGACCCCGAAGTTTTTGATGTTCCGACCAATCCTTTCGCCGGGACCGTCTACGACGAGTTTAACCAGGGGAAGAGTGCGCAAGCGATCGGCTTCGTCAAACCATCAATCCGGCAAAGATGGGCAGTGACGAGATAACATTAGCGTCAAAAATAGGTGCGTTGCGAGAGAGCGCCCTGTGTGTCGGTCCACAGAGCGAATGAATGAAGCGAAGGCATGGATGATGGTAGGGAGCAGACTATCAATTGGAGGAGCTCGAAACTATTCAGGTGCCGTCGAACCCACAAAGCCGAGAATAGGTCCTTCCAAACGGGTGACATGGATAGGACTTTGGGCGGTACCTCGATGCTGTGTTGCTGCGTCACAAAAAACGATGTTCATTCACGTTTTGTCTCTGGACCGCCATGGCATTCTGCTGGTGAAACATGGCATTTGCAAGAATGCCATCCTACGGCAGGTGCGGGGTTCTCGCTCCCATTGGGAAATTTCGTGGATGTTCTTTGCTCGCCCATTTCCCGCCCAAAACGTGGACCTCAGCTCTCATTTGGTCATTATCCGACAGCTGCTCAGCGTTTCCAATTTGTGCAACGGCGTTTTGTCAGCGATCAAGCATAACTCACCATTTTGGAGACGGAGGACGCTCGGGATTCGACTCCGCTTGTGTCGATCGTCAGGGTTTGAGCATGGGATCAAGGTTGAGTGCTGTGTCTCGTATTCGAATGTCAGAAACTGCGGACATACCTCCTCCGTATAGCTATGAGCGCACGTCGGATGGAAGAAACTCGCAGCACTCTAAGGACGTTCCGTAGACTAAACCTCCACTAGACGCCATGTACTCCGTAATCATGAGTGCATCACCAAGCAAAACCCCCGCCAACCACCCAGATTCGCACTGCCATGGAGTCTGTATCGCGCACAATCCGCGAGTTTTTGCACCGAGCTTTTACAATCCGTAGCTATGACTTGGTCGAGCCAGTGTCAAGCCTTTTGCTCGGGGGCAGCTCCGGCTTCTTAAAACCACCATTGCTGCTGCTCCCCGACCCACCTCCAACCTGCGTGAACGCACCGCTCTTAAACCACCTGTCCTCGTCCGCCTTGCGCTTGCGGCTCAGCTCGGCCTGCACCTTGGGATCGACCAGCTCCAGGCCGTGTGTCGCCGTGAACGCCAGCGAGGACACGGTGCCGGCCGTGGCGGAGCCGAGCGTCGTTCCCACGCCCGACGTCCGCAGGCCCTTGCTGCTGGCCAGGCTGAGGTTGCCCACGCCGCCGCCGGTAAGGGCCCGGAGCGACGACGCACCTCCGCTGACGAGCGAGCTGGCGCCGCCCCAGCCCTTGCTCTTAGCGCTGAGCTTGGCCCTCGTGCGATTGTCGATCTGAGCGACGCGCAGGCGCCCGTCGTCGCGCTGTCCAATCATGCCCAGGCCCTTGGTGCTGTCGCCCACGCCGTAGCCGACCTCCTGTTCCTCCTTGCCGAACGCCACCCGGTTCTGCGCCTTGCGCAACTCCGTCATGGCCGTCGCCTCTTTGGCCTTGCGCGCGCGGCGACCGCCGCGTTTCCTGCTCGGCTTGTCGTCGGGCGCTGGCAACGCGCGCGCTCCCTTGCTCAGGGGCTTCTGTTGGAGCTTGTCCAGACGGTCGAGGCATTCGTCCTTCAGCCGCTCCCCTTCGGAGCCGTCGCGGAACTGGTGGAAGCAGTCGGTGCGGGCGCACATGACGATCTTGTTGGCGAACATTTTGATGGCTTGCTTCTTGAGGTCGCTGGGGATGCTCCGGATGACGGGTGACTGGAAGATGAAGCCCTGATGTCGGATGCCGACGTTGGTGGCCAGCGCAGCGCTGGCTTGTTTTCTCGAGCCCCAAGCCGGGAGGTTGCAAGCCGGAGTTTTGGAGAGACCGGTGAGACCGCCGGCCTGGTTGAGAAGCTGCGCCGCTGTTAAAGAGCCAATGAGCGCCGTCAGGTTCGGCGCAAATATGTTCATGCGCGACTGCACATACTCGGTCAAGGTCTTCTTTGCCTTGTCGAGCGCAATGACCATGTCGCATGCCTGTATCACCCGCTGAAGCTGGTCCGGCGGCATCGCCTGACCTTTGGATGTGGTAGCCTCCACCGTGACAATCATCAGGGATGGTCCATCGAGGACTGACTTGAGCGACACGCCCAGAGGGTTGTCTGTTGATGTTGTGAGAGCCTTGACACTCTCCGAGTCCATTGGCCCATTGCCCAAGATCGCAACAACCTTTGCATACTCCAGCGGGTTGGTGATCAAAGTCTCGAGTTCCGGGAATCGCACTGAATAGTGGTCTCGGATGAACTTGTGAACGAGCACAATCTCGTTGTCAATCTGAGTAGACAGGCTGTTCGATTGGGTGAGAAGGTGGTATTCGGGATGGTCCTCCACGTTGCCGACGTTGTCTGTCCATTCGGCCGGTTGCGACTGATAGTGTGCGATTTTCTGCAGCGTTCGAGGCAAACTGTCAGGGCTATTGCTCCGAAAAAGAGATGTAAACGCTTTTTCCACAGCTGACAGAAATTGGGTGGACAGGCCAGGCAAAGGGGTTCTACTAACCTCAAGGACAGGTGTCAGGGTTTTCATCAGGCCAGCCACAGTGCGCACGTCGCGGACGCCGGCCAACTGCATCTTCTCGATCCTTGCCTTCGCGCCGTCGTCGTCTTCCAAGGCCGGCGCAGTGCCGCCTTCTAGCCCATCCATCATGTCGGCGTTTTCGTCGGCTTCGTCAAGATCCTCATCGCGCAGTTCCTCCATGGCCGTATCGCCTCCATTCGTCTGCGCGCCGCCCGAGAGGCCAGCCTCTCCAAAGAGGCCATCGTCGTGCTCATCGCCTCCTGCTTCGGATCCGGAGCCCTCGAAGTCCTGAAGGAGCTCGTCAGCGAGTGTCGACATGTCGGCGGATAATGGTTTTTGGCGCGACAGAGAACCAGAAATGATGGTGGTTTTAGCGGTCGCGCACTGTTCAATAATCGCGGAGGGAATGTTTGAGAATGGATGTGACGTGAGAGGACTTGACATGTTTGGCCTCTTGTTGAAGTTCTGTTGTGGGTCCTGATGCTGCGAGTTGCAGCGGCTCGGCTCGGCTGCAGTGCTTGGCGTCCACTGGCAGAGCACGGGCCCTCTGTCCAGTTTGAAGTTCTCGTCCTCAACTGCGCGGTTGCGCAAGTTACTTTGAACAACTCATTCACTGATCCATCTCTTGGGCCACAGCCCCATTATTACCACTGCCACCAACAGTCTCGGAGTATTGCGAACTCGACACGATGGAGTCCGCGCGCGGCCCGCCGAGGGTCAAAAACAAGGCCCCCGCGCCGGTGCAGATCTCAGCCGAGCAGCTACTTCGCGAAGCTGTCGACCGACAAGAGACTGCCATCCAGAAACCCGTCCAACGGTTCGCCGACCTCGAAGAGCTCAAGGAGTACCAGGGCCGGAAGCGCCGCGAGTTTGAGGACTACATTCGCCGCAACCGCGTCCGCCTCGCAAACTGGTTTCAATACGCCCAGTGGGAGCTCGAGCAGAAGGAGTTTGCGCGCGCCCGATCCGTCTTTGAGCGCGCCCTCGACGTGCATCCGAACAATACTCGTACGTTTCCTTGAGCCGCATATAGTTATACGCATAGGCGACAGCCGCTAAGAAAAATTGCGCACCCCAGAGCTCTGGGTCAGGTACATTGAGGCCGAGATCAAGAACCGCAACATCAATCATGCGCGCAATCTCCTGGACCGCGCCGTCACCCGGCTGCCGCGCGTCTCCAAGCTCTGGTACAAGTACTTGTGGGTCATGGAGATGCTCGGCGACATCCCGGGCACCCGCCAGGTGTTTGACCGCTGGATGAAGTGGCACCCCGACGAGGACGCCTGGAACGCCTACATCAAGCTGGAGAAGCGCTACGGCGAGTATGACCGGGCGAGACAGATCTTCCGTGCCTTCACCGCCGTGCATCCGGAGCCGAGGACGTGGCTGAAGTGGGCCAAGTTCGAGGAAGAGTTCGGGACCAGCGATATGGTGCGCGACGTGTTCCAAACCGCCATCCAAACCATCGCCGAGACCGTAGGCGACGACGAGGTGGACGAGAGGCTCTTCATCGCCTTCGCCCGCTTCGAAGCCCGCCAAAAGGAGTATGAGAGGGCGCGCGCAATTTACAAGTTTGGCCTTGACAACCTCCCACGGTCACGATCTATGGCGTTGCATTCACACTACACCACATTCGAGAAGCAGTTTGGTGACAAAGAGGGCGTGGAAGACGTCGTTCTCACCAAGAGGAGGCGGCTTTACGAGGAGCAGGTGAAGGAGAACCCCAGAAACTATGACGTATGGTTCGATTTTGCCCGGTTAGAAGAGATGGGAGGGGACCCAGACCGGGTCCGGGAGGTGTACGAGCGGGCCATTGCCCAAGTACCGCCTACCCAGGAGAAGCGCCACTGGAGGCGGTACATCTTCCTCTTTCTCTTCTACGCGATATGGGAGGAGCAAGAAGCCAAGGACATCGAGCGTGCCCGGCAAATCTACGACACCTGCTTGGGCCTCATACCTCACAAGAAGTTCACCTTTGCCAAGGTATGGATTGCTAAGGCACATTTTGAGATCCGCCAAGGGCAGCTGACTGCCGCCCGGAAAGCCCTTGGGAGGGCTATTGGTATGTCCCCAAAAGACAAGCTCTTCAAGGAGTACATCTCGCTGGAGCAGAGGCTGTACGACTTTGAGAGGTGTCGCACCCTGTACGAGAAGCACGCGCTTTACAACCCCGCAAACTGCCAGACATGGATCAAGTGGGCCGAGCTGGAGCGAGGGCTGGATGACCTCGACCGGACCCGGGCCATCTTCGAGCTCGCCATCAGCCAGCCGATCCTGGACATGCCCGAGGTGGTCTGGAAGGCCTACATCGACTTTGAGGAGGAAGAGGGCGAGTACGACAGGACGCGCGAGCTGTACGAGCGGCTCCTCCAGAAGGCCGACCACCCCAAGGTCTGGATTAGCTACGCGCAGTTCGAGATAAATATCCCCGAGGCGGAGGAAGAAGAGGGACAACAAGAAGGGGAGGAAGCCGAGGAGCGGCCGGTCAGCGAGGAGGCCAAGGCCCGGGCGCGCAAGATATTTGAGCGGGCGCACCAGAGCATGAAGGACCGCGAGCTCAAGGCGGAGCGCGTGTCGCTGTTGTCGGCCTGGCACGAGTTCGAGAAGATGCACGGCTCGCTCGAGGACATCAAGAAGATTGAGAGCCAGCTGCCGCGCAAGACCAAGAAGAAGAGGAAGTTGGACGACAACACGTGGGAGGAGTACATCGACTACATCTTCCCGGCCGACGACCAGCAGGCCAAGAACTTGTCGAACCTGTTGGCCATGGCCAACGCTTGGAAGCAGACTGGAGGGAGGATCATTGGCGGCGACTGAGAGGGTGTTTCGGGGTGACAGAGCCGAGTCAATTGGTAGGGCAGTTAAGGGCCCTCATAGAACAGGAGCCAGCCTGCGCTGGACTAGGCAAGTTGAACTCAGGACCGAAGTTAATGGGCTAGTTTGGGAAGAGTGTCCTAGCAGTTGATGGCTGCACTGCCATAATGAATACATCATTCACAATTCTTCCTTCGCATGGTAAGGCCTATGGTGTGTTTCAGGGTCCATATCGCCTGACCTCGATCTGTGGCTGCAGAAACTGTGTGGTCTCGAGAACTGGTAACGCTTACAATGGAGAAGTGAGCACCCATCAGCCTTGCCTCACATTTCTTGCTCAACCAAGCCGACTCTATTCGGCCCTGACACAACTCCTGCGTCTCCAGTATCAATACCACCCAGGCTGTGTGCCCGCTCCGCACGCCCAAGCGGACTCCATATCTCGAGGCAGACTCGAAAGGGCTGAAGAGCTGCCCCGGTCAGGTCATGGAGTGACTATGCAATCGGAAATTGTTGGGAAGTCACTTCAAGCCCGAGTGTGGAAGGAGCAGCTCGCCCCTTTTATTACAGGCGACATGCTCACAGGTACCGCCGCATCCAAGCGGTTAGTGCGGCCCAAATAATGTATGTAAAATTCATACCCTCAATTACCCCATTAACAGACTGGTCTGGCGAGGTACATCGACTAGAGCAACTCGAAGCACGCAGTTGGCTGACTCTCCAAGTCCAATCCGGACCTGAGCTGTGGGACGAATCTACAACGAGCACTTGTCTCCATGTTTACCTGAAGTTCCAGTTGCCTACAGTTTCATTTAGAGAACCCCACGAGTGATTCCGTTCCAACACTTCCATGACGGAACTTGGTCGGCGACTGTCGCATCTGTCTTCGAGCTTGACAGAAACATCCGCCACATGCAAGAGGATTTGACTGGGGCAGAGACCTCTGTAGTCCTCGAATATGTACGCCTTCCTCTACACTCTCATTGACCGTACATCGCCAACGAGACCATGTGTCTCAGGTCAACCTCACACCCTTTGCCCTCATACCACCCCATCATGAGCGGATGCTCTGTATACCCAATCGATGGATGACCTGCTCAAGGGTACAGGGAGTGTCCCATAAAGCCACTTCAATAAAGATGGTTTTCCTTAAGAGGGCCAATTGTACGGAGTATGTGTCGTTGAAATCTGGCTGCCCAGTTCAATACTGACCATCCAGTGACTTATAAACTAAGCTCTACCGTACAGGCACTGTGGGCCTGATGAGCATCCCCTGAGTCTTGTGAGACGAAACTTAAGACCGATGACTTTCCTGAGTTTTTTGAAGGTTTACCTTGCTCACAGATCTCAACCTTTCCTTCCGAGAAAGTTTTATAACCCCAGGATGGCACGAGACATGTGTTGTTACACAGTGAGCCAGCTTAACAGATTGTGGAGCAGAGTTCCTCAGTGTAGGGCACCCCACCAACAAGGCACAATTCCAGCCGCCGCCCGCCTTGCCAACACCATCAACCACCTCCAGATTGTGTGGGCTACGCCGACCACCCCATATCCGCCGCCCACGATCTCGACCATTGAGGATACTTGTTTTTCCACACAGTCTCCCCCTTGAGCACTGTCAATTCTGCAGTCCAACCTGTTCCTGGCTCCCAGCTCTGTCCTTTCTCCGCATCATATCGCAACCCAACTGCGCCCAGGCACTCGTGAACGATGGATGACTATGGGACCGAGTCCGATAGTGACTACACCAGCTACTGGCGAGATTGGGTAAGTCCGATTTGCTTATCTGTCTATCTATCCCCTGACACAAACACATCATGTGTTTGCGCCTAACTCGCTGTGCGCCAGTTCATTTCGTCCCGGGGCAACGAGTACTTCTGTGAAATCGACGAGGAGTATTTAACGGACCGTTTCAACCTGACGGGCCTAAACACTGAGGTCCAGTACTATCAGTATGCACTGGACCTGGTGACAGATGTGTTCGACCTTGACTGCGACGACGAGATGCGCGAGACCATTGAAAAGTCGGCCAGACATCTGTACGGGCTCGTTCACGCCCGCTACATTGTCTCGACACGGGGTCTCTCCAAAATGGTGTGTATCATTCTCTCTCCCGCGGTCCCAGTGAACCGACTAAAACTAACCCGGCCTCTCCTCTTTCCCACCAGCTGGAAAAGTACAAAAAAGCCGACTTCGGAAAATGTCCCCGCGTCATGTGCAACTCGCACCCTCTCCTCCCCATGGGCCTCTCCGACGTGCCGAACCTCAAACCGGTCAAGCTGTACTGCGCCCGCTGCGAGGACACGTACAACCCCAAGTCCTCGCGCCATGCGTCCATCGACGGCGCTTACTTCGGCACCTCGTTCCACAACATCCTCTTCCAGGTCTACCCGGCCCTCGTGCCCGCAAAGAGCACCGAGCGCTACATCCCGCGCGTGTACGGCTTCAAGGTGCATGCCGCGGCGGCCCTCGTGCGCTGGCAGAACGGCGTGCGCGACAGTATGCGCCGCCGCCTGCGCAAGATGGAGGTCGAGAGCGGGTTCAATGGCGAGGATGAGATTGAGGAGGAGGAGGAGGAGGAGGAGGAGGAGGAGGAAGGTGATGACGTTGAAGAGGAGGACGAGGCGCAGCGGCGGCAGCAGCAGCAATTGGCCGAGTACAGGGGAGGCGCTGCCGCCGCCGGGCCGTCGGGTTTGGGGGGTGACTCGCAGATGGGGAGCGTTGCGTAGATGGATGTTTGGGCTATCTATGGTTGCAATATTGTTTTTCTCCTGTGTAGCATGGCCCGGAAGGAGGTTTCGGTGGGCTTGATGCTCCGTCAGGAGCTTGCTTTTCTTCGTTGATATTGTAGGGAGGAAATTGTGTTGGTTGGCGCATTTGCACTCGGCGTTTTCGAAGGCATGGATGGACCGGGGCTCGAGGCTGGATGAGCTGGCAGAAGGGTGACCCAATACGAGTTTGCTGATGATGGTCTGGGAGCGAGGTTGTTGGTCTAGCTCTTGATGCATGGAGCACGACCTGAAAAGCGGTACATGATACCATCACATAAATAACAGGAACTCTCTAAGCTACAATCCGATTGCTCCGTGTCAGAAGAGAAGGCAGTGGGCTGATTACAGGGAAGCCAGCGTCATCTATCGTTCGGGGTACACACTAGGGACATTTGCTAGGTTCTGCAATGGTCTTTCTCGTCGCTGATGGATAGATTCCGTGTAATGCAAGGTATCTTCGCTTTTTCCAAAAACGGATAAACTTGAACTTTTAAAAAAAAAACCAAACTGCTACCACACACGCTGACCAGCTCCTCGCAAAGGCAACCCAAATTCGCAATACCATGCATTGGCCCCTGCTGCGCCGGCCGCTTTCTGCGCAAATGTGGGAAAGGCACCCCAACGCCTGACGACCGTTCCCATTGTACCTGACATTCCCAAAGGTGACCACCCGTCGAATCATATGCTAAAGATATCAGACCGAACCCAATCCCAGCCGCCTTAATCCGCTGGCCAACAGTAGTCCCATTGGAAAGAAGATGCATTTTAGTGAGCGCCCGAAGAGTAGGAGGTATCCTGATCATCCAAGGCCGGCCCCTTTCTCGCCGAAGCCGTGGCGGGTTGGGTGTCGGCGCTCAGCGCACTACCACGGCCGACGCTGTCCGAGGCGCTCAGGGCCTCCTCCTCGTCGCCAGACCGGTACTGTCCGCGTAAGTGGTCCGTGGCATAGCTGAAGCTCCCCACGCCGGCCCAGAACGCCTTGTCGTGGCTGCGGGGTCCCCACGCCCATCCGGCGCCGCTCGAGATGGGCAGGTGGTAGTAGCGGAAGGCGAAGACGGACGTGACGGTGCCGATGAGGTAGCCGAAAAAGATGTCGAAGCCGTGGTGCCGAAAGTCCCACCACCGCGACCCGGCGATGAAGACGGAGGCGAAGAAAGGCGCGACGGCTATGCATAGGAGGTAGAGGGGTGGCGCGGCTGCTTGCCGTCGGACGGCCGAGACGGTTTGGTTCTGCCGCGAAATCCCCTTGTTGCCGAGAGCTGAGTCCACGGTAGATGCCGGCACGCTGGGCACGCGCGAAGACATCTCGTATGTTTCCGGGCCGGACACTTTGATACTGGGTAAGCGCGTGCGCGAAGGGAAGGCGGCGAAGGCGGAAGCGTCAGCAAAGCCGGCCGGGGCAAGGAACGGGATCGTGATAGCGAACTTGCTCGCGATGAAGAGCGAGAGGTAGAGCAGACCTAAGTGTTGGCGTCAGCCTGGTGTCCGGTTCTGCTGGCCGGCAAACACATCAGAGTATCAAAGTTCTGCGTACCTGCAGCTGCAGAGCTCGAATGCCCGCTTGGAAAACTCCTGAAGCCGTCATCCAACACACCATGGTTCGGATTTTTACAAATAGTTGGGCTAACTAGCTGTCCCGCCGTGGTCGCGGTTGCCAACCCCTTCAAGCCACCGATAATATATTGGCCAATGTTGTCGAGATCAGGCTGGCATCGAGACAGAAGGTCAGGTCGGGGCTTTCCGAAGAGGTTCTTCATGCCATTGGTAATGAACCAGGCCGCAATGATTGACAGGGCAAGGCCCAGCAGGCCAGTATGCAGCTCCCATAGCTTGCGCTTCCAGATTAGCGACTTTGGCGTCCCGACGGGCACCGTCGAGCCGGGAACAAGAACGAAGCAAACGACGGCGATGACGAGAATGGGGATACCGACGGCGATTACTGATGCGAGCCAAACCGGAACTGTCTCCTTCACGGTGTATGGGAAGCTACCAGTATGTCAGCATGCCGTTCAACGGGGGGGAGGGGCAAGGCGGGTGGGTGCGGCGCAGGATGCTGAACATACGCAATGTTGCGGTCGTCGAGCGAAAACGGTCGCTTGTTCGGAGTGATGTCGCCCAAAACGTAGCCGATGGCAGCAAAGGCGACGAGGATGAACCAATCAAAGGCATAGGAGAGGGCGAGAACCCATGAAGGCCTGCCCTTCCTGCGCACGTTACCCCCAGCAAGATTGATATTGTCCATGGTATGGTGGGCTTCAGTCGGCGCAGGAGAGAAGGAGCGGGAGTGAATAAGGGGACGGATGGAGTCGTCGAGCATTGGGACCCCCTGGAGGAACATAAAGGGAAAGGGGAAAGTGAAACAAAATGCGGGACGTCAGCCAAGTACCGAGCGCATGCGAGCAGGACCGTTGGGCGCTCAAAAATCAGATCTCGCCACCATCAAAGGAGATTGAAGGTTAGATGGAAATCACAGGGCCGCGTCATCCACCAACAAGCGCCTAACGACGGAATGGGTCTCGAGACGTCGATGTGGTCCTTTGGTAAGCGCTGCGAGCTTCGTACAGACAGGATCTGCGCCCTTGTCGCTGTGTTGTAAGAAGCTCAGCCACACAAGGGATCGAGTTGACCGAGCGTTGAAAGTGGTTGGCCAAGGCCGATCGACGGTGCACAGGGGACCAGAATGGAACGCCGAGACGACCACATCTGCGGAATAAAGCAATGATGAAAAAAGAGCTCACCACTGGAGAAAAAGGGAATGAGAAAATGGAAAACAAGCCATGCGCACTACTTGAGAGTTGAACCTCCAGTATCTCCCGTTAGGGGTCTTCTAAACTCCCGTTCCGCCCCTCCTGCGGTAACATTGCACTGCAAGGAAGAGCTGAAACGGCCCAACCCATCGGGGTCCAGACGTTACACCGTGCAAACACAGTGTCGCATGACTTGGTCAGTTGGCAATCAGAGACCTTGGTAGCTGGGCATTGTGTCCTTATTCTTTCTCAACTGTCACGGACGCAGATCATGCAGGCCATGGCAATTTTGTATCGATCCATTTGTGCACTGATTCGGACCCTCATTTAGCGGAACATCGGTCTCAAGAAGTTGGTCGGATCTGAGGTTCTTCCAGAGCGGACACGGCGTAGCACTGCCCTCGGCCGAAGTGAGGCAGCCAATCACCTTCGGTCAACTCGAAGCATACCCCTTTTGGGTAACTGCTCAAGCGCTCACACAGCCGTTTGCCGCCAGCTTGACAGGTTCATCAACCTCCAACGCCAGTGTGCCATGCTCACTGGGACAAGATTCTCTCGACACAGCCATGCTGTGGCTGGCAATAGTACGAACGATGCCGGCCTCATGTCGACACGCTGTTTAAAGAGGCTTGACCGAAGGCTGCTCCTTAAGACAGCCGGTCCTGGAAACGAGGATTGCTGATCTACATAATGTACAAGATGTCTTCGTCCACTCCTCACCTACACAGCCGCCGCACCCACTAGGCCATGTTCTTGTCTCTCCGCTTGCCCATGTTGCGCTCCCGAGGAGTGACCACCCACTTGTTGATATTGTTCTTCTTGCGCGTCTTGAAACCACCCTTGGCAGGCTGGCCCCATGGGCTGACGGGGTTCCTGTTACCCTTCGACTTGCCACGACCACCACCGTGGGGATGGTCATCTGGTACCGTGTCAGCGGCCAAGTGAGGGACGGTTGCGAGGAGGAAGGAGCTGGAGGAGAAAGAAAAGACAGGGTCAGGCCCCACGTACTCGCGTTCATGGCCACGCCTCTCACCGTGGGCCTGATGTTCAGCCACCGGCTGCGCCCGGCCTTGCCCAACTGCCTGTACTGATGCATAACGTTGCTGGCGACGCCAATGGTTGCACAAGCATCCTTGCTGACTTTGCGGATCTCGCCGCTCTGCAACCGGACGACGACGTGCTTTCCCGTCATGACCTTGGTGCCGTCGTCCCGTGTCTCCTCCTCCTTGGATACGATGGTCGCATACGTGCCGGCGCTGCGGCAGAAGACGGCACCCCCGTCCGGCCGGGACCCAACATTGTACACGACCGTGCCGACGGGAATCATGTGCATCGGCAGGCAGTTTCCTCTCCAGGCCGTCTTCGCCGCCAAAATACCGGGATCTATAACACCACCCATGCTGTCAAGCAGCTCTTGCGGGATGCCGGCCCGGTAGCTCTGCACCACGTCTCCGGCGCGCATACCCTCGGCCGCCACTATGTAGCTCTTCTTGCCCGTCGCCTGCTCCGTCAGCAAGGCGATGTGGGCACTCCGGCCCGGGTCGTACTCGATGCGCTCGACCGTGTGCGGCCCGGGAGTAAACCGCTTAAAGTCGATAGTACGAATCCTCCGCTTGTGGCCACCTCCACGATGTCTGACGGTAATCCGGCCGCTGTGGTTTCTGCCACCCTTTCCGTGGCCCTTTTTGGGGAACGTCAACGGGAGATATGGCCGGCCCTTCCATAGGTGGTCGTTGATGGGGCGCTTGAGATGGCGAAGACCAGGTGTCCGCGGCTTGTAGGTTCGCATCTTGACGGCCTCGGTTTCGGTCGAAGGTGGGCCGAAGCCGGCGCTCTCTTCACCCCACGACGCGTTCTTGATATCGAGCATCTGTGTCTCGGCCGAGTAGCGCCTGATAGGATTGCTGAGTCGGAGGGCTCTCTGACATAGGGAAGACAGCGATGCGGCCCCCGCCATTAGGGGCCGGAACCGTTGCTGCAGCATTGTTCCGGATTCTTGAACAGCGTAAGCTCAACCGAGACGGGGGAGAAGCCAGCAACCGAAAAAGGCGTCAAAGTCGGGACATTGAGGCAAGTTGGATATCGCTGGCGGGTCCGCGATGGCGTGGAATTCCCAATTGATCCTGCGGATTAAGCAGTCTGGCTGTGGTGGTCGTAGATGTCGAACACGTCGTCCCGTCAACACCCACTTGTCGTCTCGTCCGCGATTTTCCTTTGGACTCGGAAAATTGCTCTACTTCGGCCGATCCCCTGGGCCCGTGCGCCGGTTGTTGCAGCCAGGCTGTGGCTGAAAAGAAGAGATCGAGGCTGGAGCTCCCACGTCGAGCCACAACTCCCCACTTGGAGCGCGAAAAACGCGGGTGCGGCTCAACCGGGGTACCGAACAGCTACCCTGCAATCAGCCAATGGCAGGCCTGTTGCCCCGTGGTTGCCTCTGTTGACTGTGGGCTCAGGAAAGACAGGCACGGTTTCGAGCACCGCGTCCCCTTGTGTGTACCGTGCACCTCTTCCGTGCCTTTTGAATCAGGAAGCTCCCCGTTGTCATCAACATCGCAACTTCTTCTTTTCCCGCCCTGGCTTTGCAGAAGGGTTTACCAGTTCTCTGATACGTCTTCCTTCCCATCTTGGCCTTTTACAGAGTCATCTTGACGCAATCCTTGTTGCGGGAACCCGAGTCTTGCAGCTTGTCCTCGACGCGTCTCCGGCACATACGGGACCCCCCTGCACAAAACTTCGGTGCACGGGTGCGCGGTACCTGGTACATCCGGCCAGCCCACCACGCTGATTTGACCTGGTCCCCTCCTCTCTCTAACTCGCGATTCTGGCCCCATCATCCTCTCCACCAACTCCTTCAAAAACAAGAGAGCCTTAATCGCGCCCTCCATCCTCTCTCGACAACACCACGAAGGCCCTCCACCCGCAACATTGTAAATTGGCAGGCCATTGTTGTAATCAGCTCAATCTTGCACGCGTGCAGATCGAGAGGGAGAACGCACCAAATCTCGAGATACAGCAATTTGACTCGGCCAAGAGCGCGCTTTGGTGTTCGCCTCTCCTAGGCATATCGACCCGAAAACACGTCATATCGCCCTCGTCGTCTGTTATTTCTGCATCTTTGGTCAGTTCGCCGACGTTGTCTCCCTCTGCCAGCCCTTTGCCAGGCAGCTCCATACCGCGTCAACAACAGCGTCCCACCTCGCCGCCTCCTCAACGCGTTGAAGCTGACCAACACCTCCGACAGCTTTGCATAGAATCCGTTTGTCTAGTTGTTCCCGCACTCGATTGTCAAGATGCCGACCACGGTAAGTACTTCCTGCCCAGCGTTCTATCACTCGCAACATCACTGCTCCGACGCGACTTGACCTCGCCTTGGCCATAATCCATGCTCACCAATGTACAGAGGACAACAAGAAACACACGTTCGGTCACGAACGAAAACGATGAGAACAGCAATGCCACATCCCGCATGACGCGGGCAAAGGCTGCGACGCTGAATGTGGACGAGCTCGCAATGCCCGCCAAGGCATTGCAGACGAAAAAGACGGGCGTCAATGCCCAACCCGCGAGGAAGCGTGCCGTCCTCGGCGATGTCAGCAATGTGACCAAGGCTGAGGCGGCAGATGGCAAGAAGCCGGCTGGAAGGACCGGTTTCGTGTCCAAGACCACGCAGCCCAGCGGCATCAAGAAGACAACCACGGCGCGGTCCGCCCTTGCCACCAAGGAGCTCAACAAGAAGCCGGAGACAACGAAACGTTCTGGGCCCGGTTCCATTGTCTCTCAGAAGCGTAAGATGTTGGCTTCGGTGTCTACCAACGCCGCCGCCAAGGTGGACACCCCAGACAATGACGAGCCAATCCGGAAAAAAGCCCACAAGGTTGAGGAAGGCAGCAAGAGCAAGACCGACGTGGCACAAGAGGAGCCTGTGCCCAAGGAGATCGTGCCATCACCGCATGCTACAACCACCGAGCCCGAGCTGCGTGCCCCTATCCCCGCTACGGCAAGCGCTCTGGATGACGAAGACCTCGACGACCCGCTGATGGTTGCCGAATATGCTAACGACATTTTCGAATACCTGCGCGATCTCGAGTGCAACTCGGTTCCCAACCCTCAGTACATGTCTCATCAGGACGATCTCGAGTGGAAGACGCGGGGCATTTTGATCGACTGGCTCGTCGAGGTCCATACCCGATTCCATCTGCTCCCCGAGACATTGTTCCTCGCTGTCAACATCGTCGACCGCTTTCTTTCCGAGAAGGTGGTTCAGCTCGACCGTCTTCAACTTGTCGGCATCACGGCAATGTTCATCGCTTCCAAGTACGAGGAGGTTCTCTCGCCTCACATCGCCAACTTCCGTCACATCGCCGATGATGGTTTTACTGAGGCCGAGATTCTGAGTGCCGAGCGGTTTGTCCTCGCCACCTTAAACTACGACCTGAGTTATCCGAACCCCATGAATTTCCTCCGCCGCATCTCCAAGGCCGACAACTACGACATTCAGTCACGCACCATCGGAAAATATCTCATGGAGATCAGCTTGTTGGACCACCGTCTCATGGCCTACCGCCCTAGTCATGTCGCCGCCGCTGCCATGTACCTCGCACGACTGATCCTGGACCGCGGCGAATGGGTAAGTCCCAACCTTTTGCATCGAGAGAAGTACTTGATTCCGGACTAATGTCTTGTGCGCACGATAGGACGAGACGCTGGAGTACTATGCCGGGTACTCCGAGGAGGAGATTGAGCCCGTCGTCGCGTTGATGGTCGACTACATGGCTCGTCCCGTCATCCACGAAGCCTTCTTCAAAAAGTATGCTAGCAAAAAGTTCTTGAAGGGTACGTTATCTTTCTCATCAGCCAGTCACATGACTCCAGAACTTGACAAGCTCACCTAACATGCATTGCAGCATCGATCCTAACCCGTGCATGGGCGAAGAAGAACGCCCACCTGTACGGAGTCCTGGATATCAACTTGACCCTCGACGAGATCTCATAAGGGTCTCTCTTACTGTCACGTCGCACGACACCGGTTTGTGCATCTCATCTCTACGTCTCGTGAAGTGTCAGGATACCACGCTGTGGTTGGATTCGCCGCCTTGACGACACCTCATGATTATTCCTTAATGACGCATCCCGGCTCCGGCTTGCTGGAGGCCAGGTCCCCTTTTCAGCATCTTCATCTTCAACACACAACATCCATTGACGACTAGGGGGCGTCTCGGGGCGTCGCTGCCAAGGCATTCTTCCCGCGGTATTGTCGGTCATGTTTTCCTGTCTTGGTTTTGTTTCTTTCTTCCTCTCTTATCCTCTTGACCACCATTTGTTATCCTTTTTCCCATCACGGATTATTATGGCGACGGCGCAGGGTCACTACAGGCACGCGGGACGGTGTTTTGGGCGAATGTGCTTTTGGCGCGCCTATTCAGGCGATGTTGCTTTCGCATGGGCTTGTTGCGCGAGGCATTTCAATGTCGCCCTCCTTGCTGGAATACCGGGGTCCCCCATTTCTGGTCCCCCTGAGGAAACGGCTTTGGGAATCCTGGCGCTTTATTGCTGCATAATGCGGGCTTGTTGGGAAGGCGATTGTGGGACGGACATCGGGGAAAGAAAGAATGGGCGGGCTGGGAGAAGCCAGCGGGTTTGGGAACCACCTGTCATCCCTGGGAGAAGGGATGGGAGCTGGTTGGAAATTGTGTACATATCAGTGTTGGTTTCTGGCCCCGGGGTGATGACGGTTTAACTTAGGCATTCGGAATGGGAGCATTGCATTGTCCTCTGAATTGTCAACCGTGTTTTGTCTAGGGGAGATGGAGCGGACTGGGTACTTAGCGAGTCTTGTAGCATACCATAAAGGAGAAGCGTTGATTCCATCATTCGGACGGCGAGATCATGTGCTTATGTAGGGACGTTCGCCGATTTGGGCTTGGTTGGCCGGAGCTCCGACTTGGCGCATGAATCTTGGGGGCAACCCAGCACGGAAGGGCTGTCCAATCTGGACCACATCCGGCCGGAGCGCATCGGAGCACCCAAAGGTCAGGTTTTATTGGGGAATGGAGCTCACCGAGCGTGGCCGTTATTGTTCCATCGCAGTGCAGGCTTCTGGCTCAGCAGTCATTATGGCCCAATGTGTTGAGCTGTCAACGTGGCAGAACATCTCTGTGCCAAGCCACGCAACGCCTCTCACCCCTCGCCTGTTGATTTGATGTCGTTTGAGTATGACATGGGTTACCGGAGAGGAACTCTCACTCCATTGTATGGATCAGCAACATCCAGATTACCTCGGCTGCTGCTTTGCCTGCCATACGCAACACAAGGCATCTAAAGGCCTGGGTTCGGGCCGCGAACAAGATTGACTCGGCTTGTCACGGACTCATGGATACACAATGACACCAGACGACGCGTGGCGTCTTCCATGACCAACATGGAGCTGCTTCCTTTCCGCTCTCCTTCGTCTTTTCCATCTTCTTTATTTCGCTCGTGAACGACAACGCAGGCGACAGTATACATACCTAGGACTTCCATCCACGCTTACTCTCTCGATGGTTGGCATGAGCTTCACCCTCGGTAAGGCCAACGGCGACGAACCACAAACGAGATATAATAGATAGATCGCAGAATGTCGAATCGGTTGTCACGTTCACATACCCAGGGTCGGCTTCGTCATGGTGCCCGTGGAGCACCAATGAAACTGAAGACTGGCGCCGGCAGAATCGAACGGCAGCATCAAAGGGTACAAGTGATTGGGAATCGCCATGATGGAGGTAAGTTCACGTTGCTCTTGCTTTCTATCGGAGCGGGAGAAGGGTATTCTCCATATTGATAGATTATCATATCATGTCTAGCTGGCGCCAGCCTTGTTGTGGTTGCCCCCAATGTAGCGCCGGTACTTAGACAGGATGTCTGGTGTGTTTCCATCCCAACCCAGCCATGTTACGGCTTGTTCAGTGAACAGCTTGCGCTCATGGAAATTTCGTGTCTCCAAGACAAAAAAAAAAAAAAAAAAAACTCGCGACCGCGTCGTCATTATTCCTGTTCCCCGTGCTCATTCCAAACCGGGCATCTTGTTCTAGAGCCTTGTCGCCGGCAGACCTTGTGATCCTCGCTTCCTCTGTTTACAACTGTCAGCTGCAGCTTTTCTGGTCATCATCTCCGGCAGGAATCGCAAAGAGAGTGAGCTAACTTGCTAATTACACACAAACAAAAAACCACAGCCCTTTGCGCCGTCGTCGCTGCGACCATGCTCGCCTTCATACCTCTCTGCAAACCGCTTACGTCGCTAGATGGCCGGCTTGCTAGGTATATCCTCGTCCCAAACCGCCAGTCAGCGATGGGTCTGCGGTCGTCTTCCTCCGTCGAGAGTCGGCTGCCGCGCGATCGGGAGCAGCCATGCTCGTTTCGAACGAGACTGGTCGATCCTGTGACGGATCCTGACGCCGACATTGTTTTCGAGAGCACTGACAAGCTGGACAGCGATGACCTCAAGCTCGACGACTCTCAGTGCATTTCGGTCGGCCGGTGTATGGGGAAGTTCAAGGCGATTCCTGAACTGCCAATCGTGCCGAATTTGGAGCATGGGCAAGTCAACGACACTATGATCGCGAAGGAACTGGGTCCATGCCTACACTCGATTCCAACCAACATGTCCAGCCCCGGAAACGACGAGAAAATCGAATCAGCCGAGTCCGCTCCTGAGAAAACCGTCAGGCTCTGTCTTACCATCCCTCAGGAACATCAGGACGAGCACACTGTCTACGGAACACTCAGCGACCCAACGACAGCCTGCCGCAAGGTTTGGATCCAAGAGAACGACGACAACGACGACAGCAATGGCGCCAACATGGAGGCCATGAACATGCCCTTTTGGAACCTTCCCAGGCGTCAGAAACGGCACACGTACCATGTTGGTGACCCCATTCCCGACGACATGTCCATCATCTCCAACATCTCGCTCATTCCAACCTATTTCCCCAGCGATGTCATGAAGCAGCAGCGCCCTCACCACCGCGCCGTCATCAAGCGCCTGATTCGGACCAAGGCCAGGGCCGCCAGACAAACCATGCGGGAGCTGAAGCGCACATGCCGTGACGCTGTTGGCAACGTCTTTGTCGAGGCTGCCTTTTACCAGCCTCCCAAGTGTGTCGCTGTTGGTTCGGCCTCCTGAGGGAAACCAGTCGACAGGTCAAGAGAGAGAGTCCTGAATCGACATTCTCCCACATGACGTGTCTTCGTTGGCTACAGAAACAAACCGCGAGCGCCAACACCCCAACCTCTGACCACCGCCATGTGTTGCTCAGGGTCTTTGTTTACTGAATAATCAGCCATATCAGCAACTTACCGATCATGAAACAAAGTCGGTGATCGCACAGTGCTGATGGTTGATGACTCTGCTAACTTTCTCGTTAGTCAACAGAATACAGTGTCACAAATTGCCAGTGTCAAAGGGATGGGGACCAGGTTGGCGAAACGGGAAAGAACAGGGAGACAAGCACAGCAAAACCAACCAACAGGACCCCATTCACATCTTTCAGTAACCGCACCAAAAGATCACCTTGGGCACAACCCCCCTTCCCATCAGAGCGCATCTTTGGATCCAGCCTTTATTTTGGGTGTTCCAGGGGCCACTTCCTTCTTCAAGCACTCCACATCTTGATCTTGGAAACCGTCCATTAGTTGCGAACAAGGATAGGGAAAGGCACGGCCAGCGGCAGCAAGGAAGGTTGCATTGACAGGAACGAAAATGACAATGGACCGACAAGAAAAGGGAGTGTAGTAGAGGCGGGGAAAAAGGGGGATGATGATGGAAGGGCTTCTACCATATCCTCCGACAATCTCAGCAAACGACAACGAGCCGACAATCGCATCCACCAGCCGCTGCTGAACGTTCCCAATTCTTACCAAGCATGGACAAAAGATGTAATCAGATCTCCGCGGGGGACAATGGTGATTTGGAAAATGGGCAGGACAACAGCGGACTGGCCTGGATACGCGCATCTCTTTTTCTTTCCTTTGTTATCTAGGAGGAACACATCATCTGGCCGGGAATTAGTTGGATTAAGATTTGGCTGGCCATCTCTGTTTCCCACCATGTATTCCTGTATTTGTTTGTATGCTTACATCTGCCATCATTGGCCCAGAGACCACAAACGGGAGGATAATGATGTGTAGGGGCAGGAGGGAATGGGTCCATGTATCACAACCATCATCTGGCCTCGGTTTGCCTTTTTATGTTGTTCAATTCATTGGCGGGCTCAGAATGAACTGAGAAACCCTAAACTGAAGCGAGATAACCCAGATTGTTGCACGTTCTGGGAACTCTGCTTTGCTGATCACTTTGGTGTGTGTTACAGACGGGGTGGAGGTAAGAAGTAAGTCAGTGGTCCGAGATGAGCCAGTACAGCTGTTCGATTTGACCAGCTCTATCTCTCGTTTTGAAATGGGCCAAGAAAAAAAAGAAAAAGAAACAAGCAGCATTCATTACTGCATCTCGGCCCCAAGCCCTATGTCAGCGTACCCGGGGAATATAACTAACGCCATGTACCAGAAACCCAGATTGCTGTCCCTCCATAACTATGAGCCATCACTCTGAAACCCCGTCTCGTGAGATAGCATTATGTCGTGCGAAAGGGAGAAGAACTAAAGTAGTAGGTTCGGAAGAAGTGAACCTGTTTCTCGCAACGAAGCCAACAGCAAAACTGTCCATCCCCTCCCGACAATAATATATGGAGTTGTCCAGTCTTCAAAAAGACATCATGCGCTCCTCCAAGCTGCAAAAGGTAGCAGCCGGCCTGGGCTCCAGGATATGCGGTGGCCTCTCGTCCTCGTCGCCGTGCATTTCCAGCATTGACTTCTGACGAAAGACAATGCTGTTGATGGTGCTGGTGACTGGCGAGCAGGTCGGAGAGGAGCCCAGAGATCCCCTGTCGGTTCTGCTGGCCCGGGAGGATGTCGACGACGATGACAGGGACCGGCGGAACGAGGTTCGGAGGTTATGCGGCGAGAAGCGGGCCGTGATGGACTGGAAGCGAGAGGTGTTCATAATTATGGCGGTTGTGGGATGAGTATGTGGCGTAAACGATGTTGAACTTGTTTTCGCGTGGGCGAGGTGTGTAAGTCTAGTCTCGGATTGTGTACTTATGTTCACTCGAAGTGGTGAAGAACGAGGCACAGCCTTGTATCGAAGCGAAAGAGTGTTTCTTGGTAAAAGCCGTCCGCAGAAGGACAAGAACGGATGGTGAGCGAAAGACGAGCGAAAGACTACCTTGGAAAAGAGGGAACAATCTATGTCTGGCACAGATCAAGAGGCAGAGGATATGCCGATAATGGTGGTCTTCGTCCTCGTCAGCGAAAGCAACAGCGAAAAGTGCTGGTTCGGAGCCCTAGAGCCTAGGCCGGATGAAAGAAATGAAAGTCGGTGGATGGGCCGGGCAGGACGGCCCGCGTACTTTAAGTAAGCACAATGTGCAACTCTGTATCCAAAACGAGAGGGGAAGATGCAGAGTCTGCTAGGGGCTGTCCTGTGCCAGACAGGGGAAGGGGATGTAGTCGAGTTCGGAAACTGACTTGGGACAACAGTAAGCCTTGGAATGGCTGCAAGGGAAGAGAATTGTACGGACGCACCAGGAGCAGGCACAGCCCGGCTCGGAAGGGAGAGTTACCTCGGGAAAAGGTGGGAGCGATGGACGGGTGCTGCAGCACATCCGTCATGCGACGCCGGGATGGAAGGGGGAAAAGGTGACTTTAAGCACTCAACACTAAAAGATTCGGCCCTTTGCTGTCAGTGCGATCGCCGGCGCAGCCCGCTGCTCAGCTGCACATCAGTCTGGAAGACCCGAGAATCCTTCTAATCAGTCAGATTGCCGTTAGGCCCAGAGGACAGGCCGCATGTAAACTGCTCCAATTCGGGACCCATCTGGGGACGCGATTGCATGGAGTCGAGAACTCCCACATCTTGAGGTCAGGGATCGAAGGTGCGGGGCAAAAGCCAGCGATGAAACACGAGGCAGCTTGTGTCCGGACAGTAATAGCCTCCGAGAGACCAAGGCGTGCTGGAAGCCATCCATTCTTCTCGGAAACGCAGTGTCGCACCGCCAGAACACAAAGGAATTCCCATTGCCGGAGAATCCTCGATGTCGTTGAAGCCGTCGATTAATGAAGTCGGGTCTGAGGCCAAGTCAGGTGAAGGTGCAGAGGTCCACTGGCGGCCCCTTGGAGGCTTGTATGATCGACGTAGCAGGTAGGCCCATAGCCTGGAACCCCCTCATACGGCGTGGGACCATGCACGTCAGGGGTTTGCTCTTGTCAGGAGGATGCTGTTCATCACGGTTTCAGGTCATCACCTTCGCCACGCATGTACCCGCAGCCCCAGCGAGCAATCCACATCGTTCTTCCCCCATTCGACCAAACCTTTGTTTTTGCTTTCGGGAGACTAGGTTTGGGCCTCCAGAGTTATCGCAAGCATCGTCGAAATGGCAGGCTTCGCGAGCACTAGGTACCTCGGCCCCTACCTCCTGTACCTACGTAGATACTTAAGGACGTACGATCCTCCTCTCGTTACCCATTGGCCTTGAACGTGGAACCACCCTGATGCATTGATCTTTCTAGTAGGTACACTGTCTGTCTGCTTCGTCGCCACAGTATCTAGTATCCCGTCAGGGTCCCACAATACTATCACCTCTCTATGCTGTACCATACAGATTCCGACCATCTATTGGATGAGCTCTGACCCAAGGGATTAGGCTATCTAAGAGCATCTATCGGGGTTCGTCCTTACCGAAACAGCCGCCCTCCAGTATTGAATGGTGGTGCCTACACCGATATTCCGTACACGCTTGGAAAGAGAACTCAGAAGTTTAACAGTCGCCCCCTACAGCGCCAGTCCTCTTGTACAACAACCACGCCAGCCATCTCTCAGAGTCCACAAGGACACCAAATGACGTATCCTCCTCTCCATACCATTGCCCATGACGAAGCCAAAAGACAGCCAAGAATGCCGACACGCCAAACAAAAAAGAACGCCATTCCGTGTCCCCGGTCCCCCTGCACAGACTGACCACCACCCTCCTCCCAAAGCATGCCACGCTCGCTTGTTCCAACATCCATCATCTGAAACCCCCCGATCCCCACCCACTCTTCCTCATGGTCGTCGCACTCCTCCTCAGACTCTCCACCCAGACCGAATCGTCCAGCATATCCCTGACGACGGCTGGATCGACAGTACTACCGCGGTCTCTTCCCAAACTCGTCGCCTCGTCCCCCCCCGCGTCGTCGCCCGCCGCCACCCTAGATGATCCAGGCTCCGTCAGCTCAAAGCTGAAGGCGCTCGCCTGCGACCGGTGGTGGTGGCCTCCGGGGCTCGTTGCCGCCGCCGACGGCCTAGGTGCCCGCGGCGCGGCCAAGGGATGGCTGCTATATGACGTATCGTACGACGACAGGTCGCCTAGACCGGCCCAGCTGCGGTGTTGTAATGACTTATTTGCGCGGCTGGTGGACGGCGAGAGCAAGCTGCTGCTCTCCGACCCAGACCCACCAACGGACGCTCCGGCGGCAGCCGCGCTGGACTTGGCTCTGCTGCGGCCTGCTGCTGCTGCCGCCGCTCTTCGGTGCCCGTCGTCTCGCTCCTCCTGCTGCCGCTGCCGAGTTTGTTGAGCCCCGCGTTCCTCTCCTTCCTCCTCGAAGACACCGTGCTCTTCGTTGTCCACCAAAATCTCGGGTATGTCGAGCTGCGGGATGGCCGTCATGCGTCCGGCCCGCTTGGTCTCCATGTGCCGTTTGAACTGTCGCGAGTAGTAGAGCATGTCGAAGAAGCCGAGCACGATGCGTCTGCGGACTTCTTCCTCAACGCGCTGGAGGCGCAGTTTGCGGCGCAAGAACTCCTCGAGACTGATTGGTGACAGTACATTAGCCATAAAGCTGCTCATTAAGTCAAGGGAGGGAAAATGCATACCGTAGAGCCTTGCTGTCGTTGATGATGTTGTAATGCGCCAAGAGCATCAGCACCGTCGTGAACGAGATGCCCCTCTCCGGGTCCGCCGAGACCATGACCTCCTCAAAGAAGATGTTGAACCGGCGCCGACGTTCGCGGACCTTGGCCACGTCAATCCTCGACAACCTCTCGTTCAGCTTCTTGAGGTCGATGCCCGTTTGGTACTGGCTCTTGCTGATGATGGACGCATGCCTGATGCTGGCCGCGTCGTTGTTATTGTTGCTGTCGTTCTGCACGTCCTCGAGAATCGCCCGCACCGAATCGTCGTTATCGTAGATGCGCATCTCGAACACTCCCGAAAGCTCGCCGAGGAGTCGCGGGAACGCCTCCTTGCTGATGAAGCCCGTCCCCGACGGATCGACGCTGCGCCAAGCTTCCTTGAAGCGCCGAATCTCGTCCCGGTCGACGGCGGCCAGCCCGCTCGTCCGCTGATACACATACGAGAAGCTCTCGTAGATGAGCGATACAAACAAGCTCACAAAGATGTACATGCTGATGATGTTCCACGCGACGAAGAGGACTCTAGCCCACGCGGTGCTGCCGCAATCGCTGTCGAAAAACGTCTCGCCCTCCACGCAAAAGGGGCTTCTAATCTGGGCAAAGTCCTCCATCACCTCGTTCCAGCCCTCTCCGCAGCTGAACCGGAAGAGGAGGATGAGGGCGTGCGGCACGGTGCGGAGGTTAATGTTGGCATCTTCCTCGCTGCCGAACCGCGTGAGGCTGAATGTCTGCGTCAGCGCTATGGCAAACACCAGGAAGAAGACGAGCCAAGTCGCCAGCAGGCTGCCGATCGTCGTCAGACTGGCCGCGGCCGTCTTGAAAAGCTGGTCGAGCGCGTCGTTGCGCGGAATGAGCAGGAGCACAAGAGCCACCAAGAAGAACTTGTGCAGTTGAATGTACGTGACCTGCTTCCTGTCCGTCAAGAAAAGAATCGACGTGGCAAAGGCGCCCGTGACAGCCACTAGGGAGAATAGGTCCCAAGAGCTCTTCCGGAACCGGGTCCAACCAAGGCCGACGACGCGCACAACGATATTGACGGTGTAGATGAGGATAAATAGGAGAAAGAAGCCGTCCTTGGCCTGCGTCCACAACTCGGGCTCATCGCTGAACTCGGTGAGGAGCAGGAGCAGGTGGAAGACCAGAACGGTGGTGATAGCCATGTACCACTTGCCGCGCTTCTCAATGGCGCGCTTATGGCACCATAGTTTCCACTTGTTCTTCTTGTCGTCGTAGGCGCTCTTGGACGGCGAGATCTGACGGAGCAGCTTGCGCAGCTCGAGCCAGGACCGCTGCTCGGCCGTCAAGAAAGCCACTCCCGTCTGCTCCGTGTAGTTTCTCATGAAAACCGAAATGAACAGAGTGAGCACGAAGACAGTGGCCAGGAGGTTGAAGGCGATGAAGAATAAAGCGTTGCCCTGGGCACTGAACGGCGGACCGTTTTCTGGCTGGAGGCCCTTTCCGGTGATGGCTTGGGTCGCAAACGACACGTCTACCCATCCTTCTTGGCTTACGATCTGGAATAGGATAAACAAGCTCGAGCCGAAGTCGTCAAAGTTGAAGTACGGGTTCGAGGCGACCCTCGGAGCGAGCACTGGCCAGTCGTTGTTGAAAGGCGTGCTGTTGTACTCGCCCACGCAGTCGCTCAGATTCACAATGCCTGACCCGTCGTTGCATGCCATAAGCTTCCCGTTGAACAGGTTGACACCGTAAATGGCAAACGGGATCAGCAAGGAGATTGAGACAAAAGCCGCCTGGAGAAACACGGGTTAGCACACTCTGTCCAGTGACGCCTCATCTTCAGCGCAACAACCAAAGGCAGAAAATAAGATAGAGAAGAAGTCGACGTACACTCAGGATCTTCCATCCGCCGACAATCATGAGCGAGTGGAACGTCTCCCGGGCGCTGTCGCTGACATTGAGCAGACGCAGCGCCCTGAGCGCCTTGAAGGCGCCGACCGCTCTAGAGACGGCTCCGGCATTCATGAAGAGGGTGACGACGTTGATCCAGAGAGTTATCAGCACAATGGCGTCAATGATGCCCCAGGTGCTCCGAAAGTAGGCGTTGGGGGTCCAGAAGAAGCCGTCGGCAATGATCTTGATGAGAGCCTCGACTGTGAACACAATGGCAAAGGCCGTGTCGGTCCACACAAACCAGTTCAGAATGCTGAACGGGTGTTTCTCAAAATACTCTTTCTGATACAGGGGTGTGCTGATGCAGGCCAGTACGACCATGGCCACGATAGCAATGTAGATGACAGCCGAGAACGTGTACCAGGCATATTTGTTAGGCTGGACACCGTCGAAGCGCTCGGTGCCGCGGCCGGGACCCACGAGCTTCTGGCAGAGCCTCCGCAGGCGATTTCGTGGCTTGAATATAAAGAGGGATGTATTGTAGTTAGGATGGCGCATCAGGTACTCCCTCTGTGCCTTGCGTCGAGCCTGAGTAGCACTCACAGCCTGGCGGGCTAGCTGCGCAGGGTCCAGGGACATAATGGGTCCGCCGAAGCGGACATTGGAATAGAACGGATTGGGCTCTCGGCTGCGAAAGAGGGAGGCCGCCTTTCCCCGCAGAACGGACAGCAGCCCGGTATTGACCCGGCCTTTTGACCCTGGTTGTTGCGTGGATTGGCCATCCTTCGGATGCTCCTGCAACTCATCCAAGGCCTCATCAAGAAACTCACGCACAAAAGTCTCCTTGAAGAGCACGTCGACCACCCCCACGCCCGTTGTCTGGTCGACGGGGTCTACCCGACTTCGGGACCTGCCAAAGCCAAAAACCTTGGACAGTGCAAGGTTGGACGAGGTGCCTAGCTCTCTGCGTTGCAGGAACGCCTTGACCTGTTCTAGCCGCTTCATGTCCTCGCTCACGTCAAAGTTCTCTTGGATGACGGCAATGAACATGTTGATGAGAATGAAGTAGGAGAGAATGAACCAGCCAATGACAAACACGGCCCCAATCCAGGCAGTGCCGAGGTGGGTCGTGTATGTCGTGATATTGTAGAGGATATCCGTCCAGTTCTCGCTCGAAAGAACCTGGTACATTCCGAGGAATGAATTGTAGATGGTGTTGAACGGGATTCTTATCGGCTCGTCATCGTCATCTACAGCCGGCAACTGACCTCGGAAGAGTTGCGAGGCAAAGATGGCCATTAAGAACGTGATGAGAAACACGAACAGCATCAAATTCCCAATGCCGGTAACGTTCCCCAACACGAGCTGAATCAGCTTCTTTGTCATGGGAATGGCGAGGACGACGCGGTAGGCCCGGATAATCTGGAAGATGGTAAGCCAGTTATAGACCTGGCCTGAATTGCGGATCGGCGGGAAAAGGATGACGGTCGTGATGATGGCAAGACCGAGATCAAACAGATTACGGGGTTTGCGGTGAAATCTTTGAAAGTCGGCGATGAACCGTAGAACGATCTCGAGGTCGAGAAGGCTAGTGACCACAATCTCGGCCGCATTGATGAAATCCTCGCGGCTCGATGTCATGGTAGCGCTTCTTAAGGCCTGACAGAAGAGGCCAAGAAGGATCAGCACGACCCAGAACCACGAGCTCTTCCTGTATAATCGCTGGAACGCCGATTGTCTGCGCGGACCCTTCTCCATATCCGGATGGAAGAGAGGCTGCTCGTCGTCGGCTGTGAAGGCGCTGGCCTTGGATTCTTCTCTGATGACTTGGAAGGATGAAGTGATGACAGCAATCAGCAAGTTGGTCATCCAAAGCATCATGATGATGATGCCGGCGCCGAAAAAGAGGGCGGCTGGGAGGAAATCCGAGCTCACGGTGTAGTACATGAGATCGGAGAAGGTGTTGGCGCTCATGATGACAAAGACCAGCTCGAGGGAATGCCCAATGTCATCGAAGTTTACTGTCCCATTGAAGGGATTGCCCTGTTGAAGGCATATGGAACCTCTCGGGCACAGGAAGCCTTTGGCACTGCTCGCGCCGGGCAAGAGGAACTCGGAAGACAAGTTCTTGGTTGGCGAGTAGACCCAGGGCTCGGCTATGCCTGTCAGAGCGTCCAGATGGCCACCGCAGAATGACATGCTCGGGGTGTAAGCGGCACTGAAGTTTGTGGGATCCTCTGGGTTGATCCAAGTGCATTGGCGGCTTAGACTGGACTTGAAGCTCTGGACTCCAACGATGGCAAAAAGAAGCCAAAAGAAGCCCATCAGAAACGATACTCGAACGAGGAGCGGAGCAGACTTCTTAAGACTCCGGAGAATAATCTGTAGGGCGTCCCAATTAGCATGGCCGAGCGCAGTTTTGAGACGTGGAACAAGGTGCATAACTCACGATATTGCCTTTCGTGAGAGCGAGCAACCTGATGATACGTAGTGAGCTGAGCATACGAAACACGTAAACCGAGTGCCTGCTCTCCACGCCGGTGACGCCGAGGACGAAGGATATCCAGAAGGCAACGACAGCGACGAAGTCGAGTCTGTTGAAACCGTGGCGCAGGAATGCCCTGCGTGCGAGATGAAGCCGCTGCTGTTCCTCCAGCGAGACCTGAGCCGCTACTCCCTGCATCATGGTAAACGATCGTGCGAATGTGGGCACGAACTGCTGTTCCTGTGGCGGCTGCCGGACTGATTTCTGGCGCTGGGGTTTGAAGATGTGCCGGTACTGCTCGGCGACTCTTTCCCTGAGTCTCCGCTTGCTTCTGAGTGGCGCATATTCATCCGCGTTGATCATCAAGCCGGACACGATGACTCTGGCTATGATCTCGAGGGTGAAAACGACGAAAAGCGCAAAGATGGCCCAGTCAATTCGGGTACTACCCCAGCGTTCGGGTCTGCTATTCCCGTCGACAAAGACGTCTGGTGCGGCTTCGATGGCCAAGAGAATTGCCTGGGCAATGATAAGGACCAAGATGAACGGCTCAGTCCATGGGTTGACTAACAGATCGCATAGCCGTTTCCGTATTGGATTGTCGGGGGGAAAGATTCCCAAAGACTTCCCTCTCAGGGGGTTCGGGAGCGGGCCGTGACGCCGAAGCCTGGCAACTGGTGGCGCCGGCTGGAAAATTTCACTGTCTGGTCGTTTTTCGGCTGATGGTTGGAACATTTGCGAAGGGTACGAGGTATTAACAAGCATGGGCCCGGGTGCGTCAGGCCGTCGACGCCCATCAGCGCTCGGCGACCGTGACCGATCCCGCCGAGTTTGCTGGTCGACGAGGTCGCCCTCTCCGCTGATCATTACGACACGCTGAGACATGGCTCTCATTATGGTGCCCGCCCTGGACAACGCGCCGCTCGTCGACAGGGACCGGGACGAGCGCCGGTCCATAGGCGAGAGGTGATCTCCATAGCTGCGGTGGCGGTCTGAGGCTAACCCGGGTTCGAGGTCAAAGCCGAGCATTTGGGCGCTCCGAGCGCGAGAGGCGGTGTTCCCGAGATCCGATACCGTCTGGAAGCTGTTCCGGGGCGATGGCTCGCCATCCTGGGATTCCAGGCGGCTGATGGGCTGTGCCGCCGGCTTCAGGGGCACCCTGTCCGACTCGAGAGAATCCGTTTCGGCGCGCTCCTCGTAGTAAGCATGGGGGACCTGGTACGGGTCGTCGGCGGAGGTCATGTATTGCCCGGGCCGGAAGGCATGTTGTTGTGGGTGTATGTCGGGAGGAAGGGCAAATTGCAAGGCCATGGGGTCGATGGGCGAGGCGCCGCCGTCGCCCGGATCGTCAGCGTTGGGGTACGGATGCTCCCAATATGACGAGAAACCCGGAAGGTTTGCCGACAAGACAATGGGCGACAGAGCCTCTCCGGGCCCATTGTGTGCTCCTGTTCCCGTCTGGTAATGCCATCCCCCCTGCGCCGTCCCACTGCCGCCCGGCGCGGCGCTTCCACGGCTGGTGTCAGCATCTACAGACCGCTGCAGTTCCTGAAGGGGAATCGATTGCAGAGGAGGATACGAATTCGCAGAGGCTCTGCGAGGAGTTTGCGGCGCGTTCTCGTTCATGTCTATCGATCGTCCGGCTCCGTCGGTCGGTCAGTTCGGCAAAGGTTGAGTACGGTGAGCAATGCGCAACACAGTCGCGGTGTGTGCTAGCTAAATCTCGAATTGGGCATTATGCGGGACGCAGGCATGGCCCGAAAAGGTTGAATTAAATAGGCAGTCTTGAGGCTCTCTTGTCGCGAGCACGCGAGGTAGGTTGACCGGGTCGAAGGAGGATTGGGTCGCGATAGGCTCGAAGAGAGTGTATTTTGTATCAGTAAGGGGGTCACCGAGGGCGACGTTCGGATGGAAGTACAAGCTGGAACTGGGGGAAGGCCTGCCAAGTTGCTCGACAGCTGCGCCGCAGGCATGATCTCCACTGTGTTTCTCGATGTTCGGAGCAGCAAGCACGACAGCAAAGCAGGGACGTCAACTTCATCAGCCCATCCTCAAGAGGGAAAAGCTGAGAACACAGCCCAGAGCATCTTGGCATGCAGGAGGGCACCCCTGGCTCGGTCCACTGGGCTGAGAGGTAGCCGAACAACAAAATCGATCGACAATCGCCCCGGACCGTTACAGTACAGTACAATACAGTGCATGTATGTATCTTGGAGGCTGTGGGAGGGGACATGCATGCTGTCGGGTAGTTGGAGGAAGCTTTGAACCCATAGTCCTTTCTTGCAAGTTGCGGTGCACCGATAATGTTTGCTTTTGTCAATGGCCGCATGTGTCTGTGAATGGTACTGTACTGTACCACAAGGTAATGGTGCCATGGTTGTAAGTCATCGACTTTGCGGAGCCCGCCGATCAAACTTCTGAACACAGCTCGCCTTCTGCCCTTTTAGCCGCTAGTACTGATCTTCAAGCAGCCCTTGGTAGTGGCATCTGTCAAACGACTTTTCTCCGTGCTACCTTTGGTTCTGTAGTCAGAATAATCAAGGCAGGTAGCATTCATGCGATATGAGTACAGTCCAAACCTGGTTTGTTCCTTAAGTGTGGCACAAGAGATGCACGTAGAGACATGGAATATAAAAATGCAAATCAAGGAAAGAAGAGAATAGGGAAGATAAAACGACAAGTATAGAAAATAAAAGTAAGAAAGTAAGAGTAGAGAGAAGAGGAAGACAAAGGTAGACATTGAGAGGAAGGGGAAGAGGAAGGGGAAGAGGAAGAGGAAGAGGAAGAAAGAAAAGGTACGAATATAAGACGGTCAAGTGAAAGCAGATTAAAGTATATGGAGTAGATGCCCAGGTTCCGCGCTAACAAATAAACCAGGGTTGAACTGTACCTTGTTGTGTCGGAAGGAAGGTATGCTCTGGTCTTGTCGAAATCAATCGGAAAAGAAGGCAAACCATTCTAAGACTCGATGCAATCTGGAAGTTGGAAGCATGAATCACTCGACTTCAAACCGCTAACAAGCCCATAAGTCAACGATACAGGCAGGCTCTGGAGTCTTGTGCCAGGGGACAAGAGCCTTATGAGACATGTCGACGCGGGGTCCAGTCGCGTCGATGGCGCGCTGGAAGCACCTTGCGGACCCGCAATTCGGCTTGGCAAGCCTTGATCCAACGCGAACTGGCGCCGTCATCTTTCAAGATTCCTGTACCAGCAACCGGCTAACGCAGAAACGCTCACAACCCTTTCTCGTGTATCCTTCCACGTTCGTCTGGAGTTATCTGAGATTTTCCATGAGACCTTGTTCTTAGGCGAATCTTCATTAGTCGCCGCGCTCCTCAACTCGTTGTCGCATCTCCGCTGCACGCATCGCTAATTGACTCGAGCACTGACAAACGAACTCGACTCCAAGATGCCAACAGCTCGCAAGCGCTCCATACAGGAGCTGGGCTCCGATAACCCTACGAGGCAGGAGCAACCATCCATGCTGCACCGCATCCGGAACATGTGGCAGTTTGCCAATCTATACCAGTTCATCCTCCTCTTCGGACAAGCACTGAAGCTTGACGACAATCTGGACATTGAGGTGCGCTTACATCCCTTCTCTTTCAGGGGCCCTTTACTCACATCGCGATTGGTAACAGGATCTGGAAGCAGAATGCCTCAAGCCCGGGTCAATGGCACTCCAGGATATCGGCCTTGGTCTCCTGAAATTCCTGTCTTCACATCGCGGCTTAACGTACGTATCAACGGCGCATTGGTCCCGCGGTCCTCCCCTCAACCAACGCAGTACTTACTCCAGGTAGTCACGAGTTGTTCGACGAATATACAAGAAGGCAATTTCTCAGCAAAGCCCCAGAGAAGAATCCTTTCGGGACCCAGGAGACGCCGGTCGGGTTCGCGCATTTCGATATTTTTACCAAGGTATGCTTGCTACTGGGACCGTCGTCGCCAGGCATCCCACTAACGCGGACACCGCACGTAGATTCGGGTGCTACAGCAGATGACGCAGTTGATCATGATGAACCCGGAACGGCTGCGAGAGAGAACCGAAGAACAAAAGGATACAGACCAGACGAACTGGGTCGGTTCTGCTGTTTGCATTCTGAAGCGCGAGTTCCATGCTGACTTCTTGCAGCGCATCGAACCCTACGGATGGGATCGACATGATCGCACTTACTTCGTTCTCGACGACAATCGCTTATATCGCTTGACCGACGCTCCGCCGCCTGTCCCGAAACCTAAGAAGAATTCAAAAAAGGCTAGAGCTCCCCAACGGGCGAGCAAAAGGCGACGCATCTCGTCCGGCGAAGCAAGCGATGCCAAGGATGCGAACAACGAGGCTTCCGCTGCTGGTGTGTCGGCCGAACCAGAAGATGACGGGCTGGGGGGGATGAAATGGGAGTGTATCGCCGTCACCCTCGACGAAGTCCGGCAGTTCTTGGCGACAATTCAGAAATCCATAGATCCCAACGAAAAGACGCTCCGCGATCAGATCCAAGGCCACCTAGTGCCTATCCTAGAGAAGCAGGAAGAGTCCAGGAAACGAAAACAACTCCAGCGGGAAAAGGAGCTGCTCGCCCTGGAGAAAATGGCGCACGCGAAGAGGTCAAGCCGCCTTGCCAATAAAATGGAGCAGCAGAAGCTGGAGGAGCGCGCTCGGGAAGAGGAACGGAAGAGACGCGAGGAGGAAGCGGTGAGAAAAAAGGAGGAACAGCAGCGTCTCAGGATGGAGCGTGAAAGGGATACTCGGCTTATGTCGAGGGAACAGCGTCTCAAGGAACGTGAAGCTCGCCGTCGTCTCCATGAGGAGGAGCTTGCTCAGCTATCCGAGGACAGCAAGGGGCCGAACAGTGCCTCCGCCCGTATGTCAGAGCGTCGGCGGCTCGCCGAGATCGAAAGGAACAAGAAGGCTCTCCGAGAGCTCGAGGAGGAGGAAGAGGACTGGATCTTCGACTGTGTTTGCGGCGTTTACGGCCAGGTTGACGATGGAACACACAGCGTGGCCTGCGAGAGGTGCAATACATGGCAACACAGCAAATGCCTGGGCATCGACGAACACGAAGCCGAGCAGGAGGATTTTCACTTCATATGCACCTCCTGTCGCCGGCTTGAGGAGACGGCCAACGATCCGCGCCCTCGTATGATCAAACTCAAGCTGAACTGCCACCAGAACCCCGGGTCGTCTTCCGACGAACAAGCGGCAGAGGCCAGCTCGATTGCGACTGAGCAACCTCGCGCGAAACTAGTTGTTGAGCTTAAGTCACGGCCGCGACTAGTCTTGTGTGACGGTAAGGAGACATTGGTCCCTACACCCGCTGCTGTCGCGCATGAAGTATATGCTGGTGGATTGGGACGGAATCCCGCACCTGCCCAGCCGGCGCAAACACTTGGAAGCGTCTCAGTCAAGGCTCGAGAGCCTGAACCTAGACACAATCAGAGCTTACCCGTCGGTCAGGGGAACAATCCTTTTTCGTCCCCGCACCCGAATCTCTTGCCTCCCGATCAACAGAGTGTCAAATCTGGCGTCTCCCATCCTCCTTTCGGAAACGCCGCACCTCTCCCGGTTGCGGGTGACAACGACAAGACTAGATTGGTTGCCAAACCAGCCGTGTCGAGCGATCCTCTTTCAGCGTTGGCTGGAAGCGGGAGTGGCGCCGCCTCGCCATCAAAGCAACCACGCCGTCCCCCTTCCCCACCAACAAAGACATCCCCATCTGCCACGGCCGCCTCAAACGGGCTGGCACCACCCTCCGTGTCTGCGGAAAATAATAGAAGCAGCAGCATGACATCTTCGTCCTCGACGGCTTTGCCACCACATCTCACCCCAGCGCCATCGCGCGATGCCAGATCCGATCATGCCGCGTCCGGATCTTCGCCACTGCCGCCCCCTAACGGCGGCTTGTCTCCCACGAAGCACTCACCGCCCGTCTCCAGACCCCAACAGCAACAGCAACAGGTCAATGGGTGCGCCAACGGCTTCGGGACTCCTTCGCTGGGAGCTGCCCACTCGCCCTCGGCAGTCTTCCCACCTGTCGCTGCCTTGTCGCCCTCCCCACGGCCGCAGATTTTGACGCCTCCGGTCAAGCCTGCGGAGCCCGTCAGGGTCCCGCCGTCGCAGGGCCTGCAAACGCCCAAGCTTGTCCCGTCGAGTTCTCCGCGACTAGAGGCTCAGTCAAGTTAAATTTACCCGCCCACCATCGCAGATGATTGAACGAGTAATAAAGGCCTGAAATTTTTCGTCATGACTGGCCGGTTGGGCGCATTCGATTTCCTGCAGGAATGGCTTGGGAGCATAGGCCTCTGGCTTGGAGAAGGCGGTACTTGCGTTTGGGGTATCTCGGCATGTAACGAATAGAGTGCTGAACAGTTTTGCTTATTTGACCTGGCTGCGCCTGAATGAAAAAATGAAGCATCTGAGTGCAGTACGTTTTCTACAGCCATCCACACAACCTTCATCCATATTTTGGACCCCAGTGTCGACTTCAGGTGCGTTGAGAAGGCCTGCCTCTCGCAACGCAAACGCTCACGGTAGACCCAACAGCCAACCGGCTTGTCGACAGGTAGAGTACCCCGTGGACACAGTCCGCGGCAGCAAATTGGAAGCCGAGTAGCTCATCCGTCGCGCCAACCCAACAACAGCCCCATCATACGAACCATTCCCAAGCACTGTTGTGCTCCGCGGACAATATCCAGACATTCTCTCAAGACAACTGTCGCCTGCAGAACCACCCCGGATACGTGGCTGCCTCACCCACCAGGCAAAAGAGCCGACATTGCGCGGCTAGCTAGCGCCGAGAATGGAATATGACCGAGTGAGATGTCATAACCAGAAAGTGTTCGGCTCTTCAGACCCGAGAGATTGCACGAACAGGTGGCTCGAGCTTGAGACAGGGCATGAGCTGTTGAACATGTGGGCCGACGCCCACCTGAAGATGTGAAACAGAAACACTCTACGCCAGCAGAATGGCGGTAGAGGCTGCGATTGGCCCGGCAGGTCGGCAAGTCGCAGAATTCAAGGTTCTAGGGAGACAGGGCGCTCGCTGCAGACCGCCAGGTACGCGGCGCCGTTATCTCTCTGCGTGACTGGGAATAGCAAACCCGGTACCTGGGTAGGTAAAATGAAGACAGCGACAATCCCTCTGCACATATCCAATGGATATCCCACTTTGGTCAGATAATGTTGCTTGTAGCACAGCCATCCCTTTTTATCCTGCTAGGGAAACTTGCTATCCTTTGGGTGCTTGGAATTCCCTTTCTCTTGCAAACATAGCCAAAAGTAGCAAGCGCAGTCCAAGGAACGCCACGCAAGGGAGAAAATAGCAGCTCAAGGGTGCTGCAGCCATCACAACCAGATCCATCAACCCCTGTCCCTTGATGCCCAGATGCAGAGCTGCAAAGAGCCAGGAGCAACGGCGTCATTGGTTCCCTGTCCGGAATTAGGGTCCGCCGTTCTGTACAACTGAGGTTCAAACAGTCGCAGACTAATGCGGCTACCCGCAGCGGCTGGCAGAGCTGATTAGCCAACCACATGCAATTGGCATCGAACCTGCATGCACGATGCGGCTTGGGCATGGACAGAGGAAGGCAGGGCGAGAATGGCCCCGGATGACCAGCATCCACAAGCAAACTTGTCTAAGTGTGCTTCTGGCGAAGGGGCTCTGACCATGTCACCCGCACGTGGGCGTTGCCTCCTAGTCATGAGTTCAGCGTGGAAAGGCAAGAAAAAGGATGATAGCTCCCAACGTCAAGTTGGGTAGGCCGGTCAAAGAAGGGGAAAAGCCACCCTCGGCAGGTGCCGGGGTTGGCCATGGCCGGCAGCAAGACCGTTTCCGGGAAGTACCCACCCACATTCCAGTGAGGTTTGGGTACCTCGCACAATCATCATCAGCCTTACATTGCTCCCAAGGCCGTGTGTAACCCAAGGAAATCGACGAGTCCTGGTGCCTCTTCGAGAAGGGCCAGCAGCTCGGTTCCATGCGTGAACATGTGGAGCAGTAACCCAAACATGTTGACGCGCAGGGTATGTGAAGGCTGTATCGTGCTGTGGGTTTGCTGCAGAAGGGCCTCAGATATGCAGCCCGTGGGGTTAAGCATGCCTTTCATCCCTAGAACGACGGCTTGCTGCCTCTGGGAGGTGCACCTGCAGCCCCACGCAACAGCTTGAGGTCTCTTGAGCCCATCCGAACACGGATCGATTGCCAACAGGCGGTGCAAAGTGGGTTCCCCGGGACCGTGATCCAGACTCTTTGCACTGCTGACCCGGCCCGCTTCCGAATGCGTCAAACCACTCGGCTTGCACACCAGATGGCAACGGCATCTCCCACCAGCAGGCGTGTAATAAAGAGGATACAAAAACAAGGCACCGGCTCCCTTCCCCTTTCCCCAGATGCTTCGTGCATTTTGCCCGAGACAAAGCCCACCTGCCACGTTCATTGAGGTGGTATAGAGCAGAGACCATCCACCGGATGCCACTCTAGCGTCCGGTACCCTGTCATCGAAGGACTCAGAACAAAGGAAAGCGGATATTCACCGACACAACCGCTCCTCTGGAAAGGCAATATCGATTCCGCGAAGGACCGGGCTGCATATGAAAGTCCACCAAGAGTGGCCAAGGGAAAGACAACTCTTGCTGGTCGGAGTGAGGTGCGAAGGGGCCTCATTAAGGAGACTTGGACCCGCATGCTGGAGTTTTGAACATCAACTCCTTGAAAAGGGTTCGTACCGTCCATTGCGTTCCGCACACTTGGCCAGCCAAAACCCAGTCCCTCTTCTGACACCCACTAAGTGCACAGTTCCCAGCCAAGGAGACATCTGTTCAGCCATTCACACGAAGGACTGCTTCAAGAGCTGGCCTCACTGATCCCCTGCCTCTGCCCGACAACACGCCAAATCTTGGGCTCGCACTTGGTAGCTCGTTCACCGTTCAGGAACAACTTCGGCATCCGGAGCCCCCCGCGTCTGCCGTGAGCAGCGCACTTTTGCCCAGCTCATAACCCAAAATTGGCAGCAACATCTCTCCGCCGTTCGACTTCCATCCCAGAGTGACATCGTGACGCTGGCGTGTGGCAGCAACCCCCAGGGCTGAGCTCGAAATATATTTGAGCAGCAAACACCCCTGACCATCTTTCATCTGCACCTGTTCCCCAAGGCTGATTGACGATCATCGAATTGTCTCTTCGCGACTTCGCCTAACGCCTTTCGAAACAGCAATTCGGCGGAAGCTAGCATGGACCGCCACACGCCGACATCCCCGGGACCAACAAGAGTAGAGCCGCTGCCATCGGGATTCAACGAACTGTTGCAACATAACGCTTCCACCCTGCATCCTCGAGACACGATCGCCACCGAAGCGACGCAGACGCATTCGCAACCGGGATCGAGATACGGGACGCCGGGACCCCAACCACATCAGCCACAGGGAGTGGACGGGTCAATGGCGTACCAACAGCGCGGAGGTGCTGGCGAGCTTGTAGGCCAACATGGGTTGATTGTTCGGTCCAGCCCGCTAACACGTTTGCAGCGACGGTACCACCAGCAGGCCATGTACCCGCAGGAGAACAGTCCGTACGGTCCCATTCCAGAGGTGAGTTGCCAGATTGCCAGAAGACGAAGCAGCGCTTGTACTAACGCGAGGTGTTTGAGCCTCCTCAGCCGTACAGCACTCCGGCAACCTCGCCACCAACGCCCTCGCGGGGCTCGGACATGATGACAACCCGAAGCAGCAACGCGCGGGGAGAGATCGGCGCAAGGGTTCTTGGTGCCCAGAGCACGCGCATCACCAAGTCGACGCCCAAGCGGAAGAAAGAACGAGCCAAGCCGCCAAAGAACATGCCGGTGCTGGACAAGCCCATGAGCGAGCTGACCAAGAACTCTTCAATACCGATTGCCGACATCGAGACATATGTGAACCGATCGTGCGAGGTTCGGCGGCAGGAAATTGAGACCGGCAAGAACCCCGGAAGGGTCAAGAGACCCATGAACGCTTTCATGTTGTATCGGAAGGCCTATCAACAACGCGCCAAGGAGTGGGCGTCCCAGCACAACCACCAGATCGTGTCGCGAGTGTGCGGGCTGAGCTGGCCCCTGGAGCCGGAGCACATCCGGCAGCAATTCAAGGCATGGGCGGACCTGGAGCGCGACAACCACCAGAAAGCCCACCCCAACTACAAGTTCACCCCGTCGAAGCCGCATAAACCGCCGCCCAAGTTCGAGGCGGGCTATGACGACCGCAGCGACGGCTCCGACTTGGAGGACTATGACTGGTCCGGCAGAGCAGGTTCCCGGATACGGTCAACGACACACACACCCGGTGCCGACAGCGACTGTGGCCCAAGCCGCTCGGTATATGCGGCCGTCCACGCGCAGCAGCAGCAGCACCAGCTCACGGGAATGCATCCGATGGGCATGCTGCGGAACAATGCTCGATCGGCCGCTCTCGATGTCAACTCGGCAAAGACCATGGCGGCTGCGTACGACCGCCGGGACCACCTCATGGGACAATATTACGAGGCGCACTTCCGCAACCAGCAGCAGAGGCACTTGCACCACGGCGCGGTTGTTGAAGACTTTGTGCGCCGGACGCCGTCGCCGAGCCTGGCGTTCCAACAGCACAACGCCGGTCTGCACTCGCACTACGAGCTCCCGAACGTCACCCAGTACGCCCTCAAAGCCGAGCCGCCGACCCAGCACCAGCAGACCCTGCACTCCCAGCCATCGCAGCAGCACCACCACCAACAACAACACCATGCTCAGCAGTTTGAGCATCGCATCGACCCATCGCTCATGCCACAGGAAGACGTCCTGTTCGACGCGGGAACCAACTTCAACAACGCGATGGCGGGCATGTATGACGGCGGTCTGGGGGGGACGACGCAACATGGCTGGCAGACCGGAACCGGGCAGCATCTGGCCAACCCCGAGGCTGAGAGCCAATTCTCGCACGCCTTCGGCATGGGCCTCGACGAGACACTGTCTCTTGAGCAGCACACCCAGTTCCTGAGGGGCGCCGACGAATGGCAGATCGAGCCTCTCCCGGAGACGGCGCACTTCGACACGAGCTGGGTCGAGCCTAAGGCTGAGTGAGCTCTGAGGGCTGATCGAGAGAAGAAAAAACACGAGGAGAGGAAATGACGGTGGGGAAGGAGGTTACAGGCATGGGGGTGGTGGTGGGAGAGTATCTTGGCGCAGAAATGGCAGTAGATGATAACACTGTACCCAAATCAGTGCGTTTTTAAACATGCCTCAACTCGAGGGTTTCATTAGCAAAGGCGTTGGCGTTTGTGAAAGGACATCGGAGAGGTTTGGCTGGGATGTGGGTGAAGGATCCAGGCGGATTTCTGGACATGATCATCATTTTTGGGGAAAGGACTCTGGGAAGAAGATTGAAAATTGGGGATAGACCAACAGAGAAATTCTTAGCTTCGCGTCCATAATAGACAAACATCACTCAGCTTGTTTCTTTGTGCCGCTTGTCCTTGTCGCGTTGCCGCCTGCGGCTTGTATCGCTGTCAGCTTGTGTTTCCTCGAAGTATTAGACAATGCCTTTGTGCGGCAAACCACAGTGGACAGGTCTTTGTCGGCGTAATCCGTAAACGTGCCTTGCTTACAATGGCGAGATGAAAGACACCATTCAGAGTTTCGGGACCAGTCTGGATCGACAGATACCGCACACAATGGAAGAATCATGGAGACAGCGGCAAATGAAACGATGTTGACGTTCAAGGCAGGTACTTGTACGTGAATACCCGACCGAGGTAAATGAGGCAGTCTCTAACGAGGCGCTTTATGTTCATACCAGGATTATGCATTAAATAGACACAGCTCAAGATAGCTGAGATTTATCTAAGCGAGAGGGAAAGCCCCACAACAGCTCCCGGCCCTTCTGTATCGTCATGGTGAATTCCAGTTGCCCAGGAGACGCGCCATCAACCAGTTTGCACACAATGACGCTGCTTTCCAAGGCCATCACCGCTTTAGGCGGCCTTCTGCTTGGTCACGCGTAAGGATCCCAGTCCCGGCCATACAAAACAAGGTGATTGCTCTAACCAGCTCCGCAGCTGCTACTCGGCCCGGGAACACACTACGCTCCTGTCACTGCGTGCTGCCACCGCTGCCACGCTGACCTCATCGCCGACGGCTGCCGGATCCCTTCCTCTGGACATCATAATCGAAACCATCGTCTCCACTTTCATCATCCTCGTCGGGCTGGTCCTTGGAACCCGCCCTCTGCGCCCCATTGAGTGGCGTGTCTGGGCAGGCAAGATTGAGCGGGAAGGCGAGGAGGGCTTCACGGACAGCTCTGGCGCGGTAGACAAGGACTTTGTGGGCAATCCCTTCAGCCTGTTGGAGGCGAGGCCAAACTTTGTGGATATTCGGAAGCAGCGCAGGGACTTCTCCGAGTGGGTTCGAAAGGGGGATGCTCAACGAGCGCAGTGATAGCCTCACGTCCCAGGGTTCAATCAAGATGTGATGCCCCGGACCGCCCATACCTCAGTTGACGATGTGCAGTCCAGGTTGGCCATGGCTCTCCATTCCATCTTACCGTAAGTATTGAAGTTGAAGCCTGGATTGGGCAGCTGGTGCACCCTCACGGTCGCTCCTTCCGAATGTGGTCCCGCACCATCAGCCAGAGCCGGGCCTGCGTTGCCTGGTGAGATTGATACCCCGTCCTGACTGGCAAATTACTTTAACTCAACACCATAGATTCAGCGAGGTCGGGTATTGCCTCTAGTCTCGTGAATTCTTTCAGCATCACGAAGGCTTAGATTGAGCCGAGGGGAGCTCTGCCTTCCAGGCTCTCTGGCCGCCTGTACCCCTGCGCCTGACAGTTCGTTCTTTCATATTTTCTGACGGGTGGAGCTGTAGAAGCCGAATCACAGATTCACACGGCCGACCAACGGTAAGAAAGCCCTGTCATTCTCTGCATTTGGCTGACAGTTGTCGTTGGGATAGGACATTCTGCGCGTCGCGCGTCGGGCCAGCCATACCAAACAAGCAGCGGCCATGCCGACCCACGGCAGCACCCGCAGCGTCTACTCGACGGCATCCCATTTGCTGTCCCCTCGGAGTCTGGACGCGTCGTCATCACCAGCTCCGTCACTCTCACAGTCAGTCTCTTTACCGCGTACTGGAACGCCGCCGCCGCCTTCGAACCGGAGCTCTTCATCACTTTACCCGTCGACTCGGCTCTCAGATGATGCTCCCCTTCTTCCCACAGCCGCTTCTCCCCAGGTACCACATCGCCACAGGCCCCAGTTTAACAGCAACGCGTTCCGTCGCCGGGCCGGAACTCGACGTTCAAGCTCTCCAATAACCTCGCTGGCCCCCACGAGATACAACTACGGTGTTTCAAGCGTCGCTTTTACCCCTTCTGGTCTTTCGCGTTCTACACATCTGTCCTCCACCCCGTCTCTCTTGGCGAGAGAGGCCCGGGAGAGATCCGTCTCGCCATTCCCAAGAAGTCCATCACCATTCCTCCGATCTCTCTCCCGTACACCACTGCCAGCTGCCCACGCGAGGCTCGGAAACCTGGGACTGCCTGAGTGGGCGAACAACAATGCGGCGAATGAGCAATCCGCCAGCAGCCAGTGCCAGGACACGTTGAACGAGGTCATCATGACGGTAGATGTGGACAGAGACGGGAAGGTCGGCTGCGCTTACTACATTGCCATGGAGGAAACCTTGGTGCTGGAGGAAGACATCCCCATGGGCGACATCGAAGCTGTCGACACACTCATGCTCCACGTCCAACCAACCACGGTTATCATACCGAACCGTGCACCGGGCGCTCTCGTCGAGTTCCTCGAGCGAGACGCGCACCGCTACGATGACAGTGAAGGATCAAGCGAAGAGCAAGGGGCATACATCTTACGCCATGTCATCTCTGCGCAGTTTGATTACGAAGCTGCCAAGGAAGCGCTGGCAAGTATAGATGTCGGGCGGCCGATTCCCGACCCCATCCAAGTTCGGTCGCCGGAAGATAAGCCCGCGCAGTCCATTGGCTCTTCCGTTCACAATAAGCTCATGCGTCTTGCCGAGACCATCAACCTTGACAGTTGCCTGTCGGTCGGCTGTGCAGGCGCGATCATAACGGAGCTCGAACGACGCAGGGCTGCCGAGGAGCCATCATGGGAAGATGCCGGCGGCGTCGCGTTCCGATTGACGTCCATCAAGATGAACACGTCCGCCGGCACAATGCTCGTAAGCGCAGACACTTTGACATCCCTGCAGATTGTGCAGTCGGAACTGCACCCCAATCCCCAGAGACGTTCTTCGAATAACTCCGAACCCAAAGCAAAAGGGGCTCTCTCGATCACAGACCTTCTCCAGGCATTGGCGTCGAGCGCCCAGGGCAAAAGGAGGCTCCGTCAAATGCTTCTTCGTCCGAGTACTGACCTTGACGTGATCAAGGAGCGACACAGGTGTATTGCGGCTCTCCTTCATGCGGAGAACAGCGAGGTTGCACAGAAGATGCGGACGCTGTTGCGAAAACTTAAGAACACCAGAACACTGCTGCTCCACGTGAGAAAGGGAGTGGACCGGATCCGAGGCGAGTTAGCCATCCGCGTTGGAGACTGGAAGGCGTTGGTGAGATTTGCCATGGCGTCAGCACAATTGAAGCAAGCCACACACGCGCTGAGAGGAACTTCAGGTATTGAGATCTTTGCTAGGGTAGGTCCTCGTTTCAATACCTGCTACAGAGCCGCCGGGTTTCTAACGCAGACAGATATGCACCGAAATCGACGTGAAACGCTTCATGCATATCGGCGATGTCATCATGCGAACGATTGACTTCCAGCTCTCCAAGGAGAATGGCCGTACTGAGATCCATCTCGGGGCAAGCGAGTACTTGGATGGACTGAGACGAGAATTCGCAGATGTGTGTCAAGCGCTTCCAGAGGTAAAGGAGTCCGTGGTGCGAGAGGTTCCCCGCGAGGCGGCCCAATACCTCCAACACTGCACTGTCATGCCGCAGCTGGGCTTTCTGATTGCAGTCAAGTTGGATCCCGAGACAGGGGAAGGGGTATACCACGGTCAGAACCACCCCGATGGCCAGTGGATGATGTGTTTCACCAGCGGAGATATTGTGTACTACAAGAACCAGCTCATGCTTGATCTCGACTCTCAGTATGGCGATCTGCCCTCACGGATTGCCGGTGAGTTTGCCATTAATATGCCTGGTTGAGGTCCAACAACTAACCTAGGCTACCAGATGAGGAGATCGAAGTAATGATGGCGCTGGCAGCCGCGGTTCTGGAGCATGAGGATGCAATTCTCAGCGCGTCGGACCTCTTTGGGGAACTTGACAGCTTGCTTGCTCTCGCCTTGGCTGCCGAGAAGTACAACTGGACAGCTCCTACAATGACAACCTCGAACGTGATTGATATCGTCGGTGGACGCCATCCGCTTCAAGAACTTCTGGTCCCTTCGTTCATTCCAAATGAATGCGTTATGGCCGGAGGCTGCGGTGCCGGGCGCTTGGAAGAAGATAACGAGGCTCCCAAGAACGGCAACAAGGGGCCAGCTCCTTCTATGCTCATTCTGACCGGACCGAATAACTCAGGCAAGAGCGTCTACATGAGGCAGGTTGCTCTCATCGTGTACTTAGCACATACCGGCAGCCATGTGCCGGCTACCCGCGCGACCATCGGAGTTACGGACCGCATCCTCACGCGAATTGCGACGAGGGAGACTGTCGTCAATGATGAGAGCGCATTTCTGGTGGATCTGAAGCAAGCGGCCTTCTCGATGAACTTCGCGACACGACGGAGCTTGCTCCTGATTGATGAGTTTGGCAAAGGCACCACGGTTGAGAGTGGCTCGGCACTCTTTGCAGCTTATCTCACATACTTTTTGGACCTGGGCGTGGAAAAGCCCAAGGTTCTCGCCGGCACTCATTTCCACGAAGTCTTTGAGAAGGGCCTCATCCGGCCCGGGAAGGACGTCGCTTTTGCACACATGGATGTCCGTCTTGATCCAGAAGCTGAGGACCCGGAGGAGCAAGTCACGTTTCTTTTCCACCTTCTTCCGGGACGAGGGCCGTCAAGCTTGGGAGTGCTGTGTGCGGCAATCAACGGTGTGTCGAGCAGGGTTATCAGGAAGGCCGAAGCACTCGTGGCATTGCAGGACAGAAACGAGAGTCTCGTGGAGGCTTGCTCGGAGCTTTCTGAGGAAGACAAGCGGAGACTACGTCAGGCGGAACTTGTTGCTAGGAAGTTTCTGGAGCTGCAAGTCCCAAGCTCGAGCGGTGAACAAGGCGAGGGAAGCACGATCCGAGAGATGTTGCAAGCTGTGCTGAAAACAGAAGAGGTGGGCACGCCGAGCCCATGATGGCTGCCGGATGGGGCGCAATGCCCCGTTCAGGGAGTACATTTTGGTCATTTGCTGAGACTTAAATTTGCTCTCCAATCGATGTAGTGGGAAGCCCATACAGTGATGCAGGTTCCTGCCTTGCCTTCTTCTCAATACCACTAAACAATAAACATTCCTCGGTGGCCAGCCATCAAACATCGGGGTATCTGGGTGAGAAAACCAAGCAAACCGACGCCGCCTCATACACAGCATGGGTTCTTCGCCAAGCCAAGGCTCGATACATTGAACCCTCCTTCAATACATGCTGTACACATCCATCATACACCGTTGACATTGTCGGGCCTGCCTTTACCACCGATCGTGTCACCTCAGAGCCAGCAGACTGACGACAGTGAGTGGCAAGCCCAGAAGGGAAATGAGCGGCCGAATGGCCGATCCGGCAGAGCTGGAGCTTCCAAAGGGATTGGTATCGAACCCAGAGCCCGAATCCGGCGCGGATGACGAGGAGGAGGCGGCGGCACTCCGGGTGGCCGAAGTTGGCAGCGTGACCTGGGTGGTGGTCGGCGCGGCCGTGGTCTCGCCTGCCGCTGACGTCGATTGACCAGCATCCTGGTCAGAAGCCGATGTGCTGGTACTTGGTGGAGCGCTCTCCTCATCCTCCGTCGCCGCCGCGGTCGTCGTGGTGGCGGATGCCGATGAGGATGACAAAACCGCCTGCTTTGACGTGATGGTGGTTTTAGGCGGCGTAGTAGTCGATTGGGCTGCCGTCGTGGTCCTGGCTGTCGTGGAAGTGGGCAGCTTGGAGATGTAGCTGCTCGCCAGGCTCTCGGCAGCTGCTAGTTTGGAGCTGGGGATCTCGCGGTCGCTATCCTCGCAGGCCTCTGCTATCGGATCCAGAAAGGCACCCTCAACGTTGCGCAGGTCGGATTTGCAGTTGAAGAACAGGCACGAGATGACCGAGTCAAGCAGCAGGTTCCTGGCTCCCTTGCATATGGACTTTGCGCTGTCCGGTTCGTAGCCTGATGATTCGATGCAGTTGTCGACGCACGACGGGAAATCGAAGGATGCCCGGGCATGCGAGAACAGGAGAGACGCACCGGCGAGGGCAAGCCCCATGTGTCTGGTGAAAAGCATTGTCACCGTGCCAACAAGCGCGACGTCCTCGTCTCTGTCACAGGCGCCCGGCCAACCAGCGGGAGAATCGTGCCCGTGAATGGTTTGCCTTGGGCGAGTTTGTAAACAGCGAAGAATCGTGCCCGTGAATGGTTTGCCTTGGGCGAGGTTGGAAGGGGTTTATCAGCCGCGAGCCAGAGAGGGAGCCGCGGAAGCGGCATGATCAGGGGATCACCATAGGAATACCTAACTCGATGGCTCAGGTGCCTCAACTCTCCCTCCCGCGTTTCCCGAGGCCGAGTTCCCGGGCCCCATCCTGTGATAGAGCGCGGTGCTTGCTGTGGTGCTGTTCACGTTGACAACTGCAACCCTTGTCATTTGAGAATGGCCCCTGTGCTAGCATTCTGAAACAGCATCGACCGGGGTATGAAGCCACCGGCAAGGTCCTTTCATCAACTTTAATCCCCGCGCTCTGTTGGCGGTTCGATTCTGTAGCAGTCCCGATATGATGGGTACGAAGGGGCTACAAACAGGAGGCATAGTGGTGTAATAGATGGGACACTTTAACGGTCGGGAAGGCATATCCACAGTAGGTAGCAAATGTGTGGAAGTGAGAGCTCAATTAGGTTTGCTCGGACCTCTACGGATTCGTAGAGCTTCGGGCTTTTATGGCTCCAGATGCGTGGTGGAGCTCCCCGCCATTCATTATCTATAACAAGTTCAATGCGATAAGCCCAAATTTCCAGCTGCTTGTGAATTTGGCTTCAGATCCGGCAGGTGTCGTTCCACATATCACTCGAGCCTCGGATTCTCCAGTCGATCCCATCTTTTCCAGCAAGATGGCACCGACAAAGCCAAAGAAGAAGTCTGAAGACAGGGCGAGGGACCGAGTCCGAGCCAAGGCCTCGGCGCAAGCCCCAAATGTCAATCCGAGAGCGCTTCTTAACCAAGCCACTTCCTTCCTCGAGGAAGGCGACCCCGAGACCGCAGCAAAGATAGCGCTTGTCGCGTACGAACACATCGGAGAGGACGGCAGGCAAGCTGGCGCAGCTTTGTCACTACTTGGCCAAATCCACGTCGAGTTGGGCGAGGTCGACACGGCGCGCGCCTTCTTCCTTGCTGCCGTGAAAGCGGACGAGGACGGTTCCCTTCCCGAGGACCTCGGCGGCGGCCCCGAAAAGTTTTTATGGCTTGCGCAGCTCAGCGAAGAGGGCGGCCAGAACAGCGTCTCGTGGTTCGACCGCGGCGCCGCCGCGCTGCGCTCCCAAATCCAAACACTCACCGACTCGCTGGAATCCCGCCCCTTGACCCGAGACGCACAGGAGGCCGTCATAGCCGAGAAGCGGAAACGGCTCGCAGAGACCCTCTGCGCCGTCGCAGAAGTCTACATGACAGATCTCAGCTGGGAGGAGGATGCTGAGCAGCGGTGCGAGGCGCTCATCACTGAGGCCACCATGCTGGCCCCCGAATCCGCCGAGACATGGCAAACCGTCGCCAATGTTCGCATCTCGCAGACGAGGACAGGAGAAGCTCAGGAAGCTTTGAAGCGGAGTTTGGGCCTCTGGGTAGATCTCGCGCCCGAGGATTCCGGCGTGCCGCCCTTCCCTTCCCGGGTCAGCCTCGTCCGACTGCTGATCGAGGTCGATATGGAGGAGCAGGCGAGAGAGGTCACTGAGCGTCTAATAGCCGAGGACGATCGGAGCGTCGAGGCTCTGTATCTCGGCGGTTATGCCAGGTACAGATTGGGAGAGAAGCTAAAGAATCGGGACCAGCCTTCCGACACCGAGACATGGAAGGCTCTCTGGCGATCGTCGAGGAAATGGCTCACTCAGTGCCTGAAAGTCTTTAAACAAGAAGAATACGAGGACGAAAGGTTAGGGGAGCACGCGCACGAGTTGCTCGAGTCCATCAAGTGCGAGCTTGGCGAGTCTGTCGAGGATGGAGAGGACGACGATGCATGGGAAGATACAGATGAGGAGGAATGGGAGGGTCTGGATGATGGCGACGAGGATACGAATATGAAGTCATGAAAGGATCTCGTCCTTTTGTTGCATGTGGAAAGTCCGCCTGACGATGATAAACGGTTACATGGCCACCGGATATGTGGCGTATCCCCGGCGTTTTGGGTGGAAAACTCATGTCAAGGCTCTAGCGGTATGCGGATGGTAGAGGTGTCAAAAAGTGGCGTGAGGTCATGTTGTGTCTCGCAGTTCATTGGTCATCGACAGTGATGAGTTGAACTACCTGCAGCAAGCAGGTGTCAGTTATCACCGACCTTGAGCCTCTGCATATCGTCGGCTGGCACTCCATCTTCTTCGACATCCTCCTGACCAGCACTGACAAGACCGCGCTCCCACAACTGCCTCCCGGTGAGCCGTGCCGGCTCTTTTATTCTGGCCTTCTTCATCTCTGCCGCTTTTTCTTCCTCCTCCCTGAGGCGGGCTTCCTCCACCTCCCTCAAAAACCCTTCCCGCCATTTCAGGAAGGTCTCTCGGGTGACCGGTGTGCCGTGGAACTTCTTGTTCTCCTCGCGTTCGGCTGCAAGGAGGGCCTCTTCGTGCGCCCTCGCGGCGGCATCTCTGCGCTCCTGCATTAATTGCTCCGCGGCTTCCTTCAAGGCCGACACCAGAGTGAACACCATGGCCATACCCAGGTTCTCTTCGATGGTAGCTTCCAGCCCTTGAAGCAGTCGGTCTTTGTCCTCGGCAATGTTCAGGTATTCGTGAGGCGTAGAGTTCTGAGGTGCCGCTAACTCCAGCAAAGGCGCCTTGTCCGGGTAATCTTCCGGATACCGCACCGTGAGTAGCATGACTGGCGGTTCGGCTTCATCGTCTGGGATGTCGAGGGTAACTGATATCCTGTACTCGGTTTCGGATATGTCTACCATGAGCGCCTATATCAGCCCTCATTCAAGTTTTTAGACCGATCTGCCATGTCTCAGTCGCACCTGTAATCTCGTCTGGGAAGATAGAGTCGAGAACCTCCCGCTCCTCAATCTGCTCCTCGCGTCCCATTTCAACCCTTATCGCGACCGTCAGTAATGGGACAATGATGTTGTCGGTGTGTAATGGCTTCCAGAACCTGGGTTGCGAAAGTTTTCCTACCACAACCGTGAAGTTGAAGAATGCCGAACATGAATGAGACTTGAGGGGCAGCCAAGCCCATCTTTGGTGGGGCTCAGTACCGGACCCCTGGCCTGCGACGACTGACCGCCCGGCAAAAGCAGGGGTCTGATGGTCGAGCTCCAGAAAAAAATCAGACTGGCCCGGTTGCAGACTTCTGGTTCTGCCAGTGGACTTCGGACCACATTGCTCTGGGACATCATTCAAGTTTACCAGAATGGCGCCCAAATACACAGCTCCTACCGCCTCGGCAAAACGAAAGGCACCCTCGGGCGATAAACGCGGCGACAGGAACCGCTCCAAAAAGGCAAAGACTGTGACCGGGCCGAAGCACCGGAAATTCAACGACGAGGAGGAGGTTGCCTCCGACAGTGGTGGTAGCAGGTTCTCAGACTCAGGCGATGGCGGCGCTGAGTTGAAACAGGCCAAGTTCCCCCGGGGATCAAGCAAGCCAAACGGGAACGGTATGCCGGTTGAACGAGGTTTGTTTTCTTCCCAGTATCGGTGGCATTCATGCTCTATCTAACCGTTCCTTCAGCCGAAAGTTCCCGCGAGGCGCACGCGAAGCAGAAGAAGTTGGCACAGGAACGCAAGGCCGCAAAACCACTGGCAGATGAGGTGCACCGGACCAAGAAGCTATGGGAAAAGCTGCGGCGGAAGTCGCATGTGCCCAAGGAGGAGCGCCAGCAGCTCGTCGACGAACTGTACAGCATTATCACCGGTCGCATAAAGGACTTCGTGCTCAAGCATGACGCCGTACGCGCTGTCCAGACGGCAATCAAGTACTCGACCCCTGCCCAGCGGAAGCAGATCGCGAAGGAGCTCCAGGGTACCTATGCCCAGCTCGCCGAGAGCAGATATGCCAAGTTCCTAATTGGGAAACTTCTCGTGCAGAACGATGACGAGATCCGCGATCTCATCGTTCCGGAGTTCTACGGCAAGGTGAGGAAGCTCATCAACCACGCGGAGGCTTCGTGGATTTTGGACGACATCTACCGCGGAGTGGCCACGAAGGAGCAGAAAGCCCATATGCTACGGGAGTGGTATGGACCTGAGTTTGCCCTCTTCAAACCGGGCAATAGCGCGGAGATCACTGCGGATCTCAACAAAATCTTCGCCGAGGAACCCAGCAAGCGTGGACCCGTCATGAAGAATCTCTTTGCCATGACCAATGGGCTTATTCAGAAGAAGATGACGGGATTCACGATGCTCCACGATGCCATGCTGCAGTACTTTCTCAACCTCAAGCCCGAGAGCGAGGAGCTAAAGGAATTCGTGGAGACCGTTAAGGATGACGAGAACGGCGACCTGCTCAAGAACATGGCTTTCACCAAGTCCGGAGCCCGCCTGGTGTGCTTGCTCCTGGCCCACGGAGGTGCGAAGGATCGCAAGCAGATTCTCAAGACGTACAAGGACACATTCCAACTCATGTGCGGTGACCCCCACGGCCATATGATCATCCTGACTGCCTACGACGTCATCGACGATACTGTCTTGACTTCAAAGACCATCTTTCCTGAAATCCTTGGAAAGAACGAGGAGAAAGACATTGAGAACATCATCTTTCTCGCCAACGATCTCAACGCACGCATCACGATTTGTTACCTCTTTGAGGGGCAGTCAAAGTCGTTGTTCCCGGCTAGTCATGCGTATGATTTGGATCTCCTCGCTGAGATTCACGAAATTCGCAAGAAGACAAGCAAGAAAGATGCCGACGTCCGGCGCAAGGAGTTGGTGGCAGCCGTATCTCAGCCCTTACTAACGGCAATTGCTGCCTCGCCAAAGGACCTCGTGGCTACGTCGTTCGGGTGCCAGTTCGTTACCGATGTGTTGCTGTCTGCGACAGGCGACAAGTCCACTGCCCTGGAGGCAGTAGCCTCAACAGCTGCAGGAGAACCTACGCCAGCGCCAGCTGAAGACGCTGACCCTCTGTACCCTCCACCGCCACACATATCTCTGACGCCACACGGCGGCAAGATGTTCAAGACGCTCATTGCTGGTGGCAGGTTCGACAAGGCCTCAGGCACCGTCAAGAGGGTTGATCCACCGCTCAACTTTGCCGACGTCCTCTATCCGGTCATTAAGGACCATATCGTGCAGTGGGCAACAGGGCCAAGCTCCTTTACTGTGCTTGGGCTACTGGAAGCTCCCGACTTCTCGGCCAAGAAAGAGTTGCTCAAACTCCTCCGCTCAAATAAGAAGACACTTGAGTCGGCAGCAGCTGGGGAGGCGGCCAGCACTGCGGAGAAAGCAGATGAGAAGAAGTCGAAGTCGAAAGGCAAGGGGACCCAGGCCGAGAAGGGCAAGTCTGGCGGGAACCAAGGAGCAAAGCTACTCATCGAAAAGCTGAGAGCATAGCACTTGAAATAGCTCTTGATGGTGTATTCTTGCCCAGACAAGGCGAGTAGCACAGGCGTTGGGATTTCTCGAAGATTCTACTCCTCATTGAGCTGTTGTACAGCAGAACCCCTGACGGGAAGAATATGATGTTTGGCAGTTGGCTTTGGTCTGCCTTGCGGATTTGTGCCACCTTCTGTGTCTGCCTCAATGGCAGGCTGGATGAACCTGTGACTTTCTGATGAGTTGGCAGTCACCGTCAGCGTACGCAGATGTGAGGACAAGCACTCAATGGCCCTCGAATATGTGAAAGCGCATCTGTCTTTGATGATATCGGCTGACGATTCCAAGACAGCTTAACGCCTACGGCCACTGCCGAAAGACTTGGAGTTGATGTTGGTTGAGTTGGTTATTGAGGCAAGAGCCCCCAGCCTCGTAGTACCGTGAACTGGCACCGTGCCTTCCGTCCGAATCGCGGACATGGCTCAAGTAGCACTTGCACAATCAGAGCTCAAGAATCTCGGGCGGTTTTCCAGATCCGAAGATCTCTGTTCAGCCCCTTCACTCACTTGCTCGACAACCACCTTTGTTGCGCACACTCTTCCCTGCGATGCCACCTGGATAGCAGCTATTCCAGGATAGTGTCGCCAGAAGCATTCCACCGATCACCATAATAATCCCACCGCACAATTATTGGGCTTTCCGATTTTTCTAAAGGATGGAGTTTTATCGCAACTAGGGTGGAGCGAGAGTCCAAGTCAGACTACCATGGCGTCGATCTCGACCACTGTCGACGCGCCGTCTACCGGGGATTGCGACCAGAGCGGATACTTCTGGGACATATGTACCTGGACAACTCCGTCTTATAGCGGGTGCTGCAATGTTGACCCTTGCCAATCGCCGATCGGTTGCCCTCAGGCCGAGAATATACCAAACCTCACGATCACCGTAACCTCAACCAGTAGCGAAGAAGTGACAATCATCACTGAGACTGAAACTGTACCTAGCAGCATCTCGACTTTGACGATCACAAGATCATCCCGAATAATCCGGACTTCCAAGACATCCAAGACATCCAAGACACCCACGATATCCACAACATCCACGACACCCATACCCTCATCAGTTTCCTCCTCGTCAACGCCAACCCCAGGTGCAGGCGCACTGACCTCACCCACGAGCTCCGCCACATCGACCGCCGCTTCTGAGAGCAGCGGCGGCCATGGGATGACAGTTTCCGTTAGCAGCCTCGTCGGGATCGTAATAGGCTGCAGCTTCTTTGCCATATTCGTGTCGCTGAGCGCGTTTTGGTGGTGGAGCCGGCGCCGTCGGAGGAAGAGCGAGAAACAGGAAGAGGCAGAGGCGCATGCGCAGGCAGAGCGATTGGCCTCATCGGGAGATGGGGATGAGCCCGTGCCTCCGGGCCTGGAATCCATCTTTAGTCCCATGGCTCAGGCTGGCCCCGGCAGCGTGTTCGACAGAACAGAAGGTATGAAGGTGTGCTCTGCAAGCATCTTCCATTGAGGAAGCGTCAGACGCTGACTTATCCCGTGAACAGGGCGAATGGGCAAAGGGGAAAGCATGCTAGGTTTCAGTCCACTCGCGCATGGCCAACAGCATCACTCGGGAACATCGGCCAGCGGCGCACATAGCAGCCTCGCCAGTCCTCTCACTGCCGAGACTTCGTGGGCCCCTGGACTGCCAAGCAGCCCTTCAGAGCTTGACTCAACTCAGGTTCATGAAGCAGGGACGGTTCCAGGACCCTGGAGCGAGACGACTGAACTCGATTCTCGGCCCGTTCCGCCTGTTGAAGCAGAGGAAGGGCTCCGGGCGACGCTCAACTCGACTCAGGAAGAGCGGGAAGCTGGCATGTACGCAAACAGTTGGACGAGGTTTCAAGACGTGCAGTTATGAGAACGACCAAGAGTCAGGGGGTTCAATATGCGGTAGGTGAAACTTCTCGGGGTGCTGGGGAAATCTTGTTCGCCATTCTGGTCAAAATGATACCACTGGGTTGAGAAAGCTGCGGATGGAGACGAGAATCTATCTCTTGGCTTTGTTAACCACATAGCTTGACATCAAAGGCCGGGAGTTGGGAGATGTAGCCAGATTCATGTTAAGACAGCCACACGGCTGTTCGGGGTATTACAGCCAAAGACAACAAACAAAACAAGAAAAGAGAACAAATCTGAACTTTATAGCCAGTGTGCGCCATGCCATGCAGCCTTTTTCTATACCACCCTAACCACAGTCCATAGATATGTGGCGATATGCGTATGACTCTTCTCGTCTCCAGGCCCTGTCTATGGCCCCAGGGCCTATACTCTATGGTTCCAGCCAGGGCTCAGCCTCTTGCCCGGCGTTGTCAAAGAAGCCCGCATCCCCTGACATCCACCCAGCACACATAGCACGAATCCGCCACTGGCCAGATCAAGTGCTTATGAGCTTGCCCATCTCGTCGAGCAACTCCTGGAGGTCCTCGTCGCTAATCTTGTCGGCTATGGAAGGTATCAACGTCTTGCACTCGTCGGCGCTGTCGCAGCAGAGAGAACCTGGGAAATCAGGAACCAGTCAGCGTCCGTCCTGCTACATCTGTCTCGTCCTCTACAAAGAACAGATGGGGTTATATCGACGTAGAGAGATAGAGAGAGGGGAGTGAAAGAGCAAAAAGAAAAGATTACCGATATGCGCCCTCTCAAACTTGGTCAGCTCCTTGTGTGCGCTCAGCAGCCGCTCGACAGCCTCGACGTTTTCCTTTTGCTTGAAGCGCGAGAACGAGTCGAGGTAGGCAAGCGTCTTGTTGAGCACGTCAGTCTCGTTGCGGTCCTTGCGGTCCTTGCGGCGCTTGGCCATGAGCGCGTTGATGACGAGCGACGCCTCGGACAGCGTCAGAGTGTCGACGTCCTCGAACTCGCCCAGTTTGAGCACCGCGCCCGCCTCCTCCTCGCCCGGCGGCGGCGGCTTGGACCGCGACGTCGGCGCGTGGTTCTGGTCGGACATGTTCTGATGGGTGTCGCGTCGCACACACTCAATGTGCGAAGCGCGCCGCGATTTCGGCGAAGCTTGAGCTTGGTAACGGTGCGTTCCGCGTGTGCTCCGCAAACGACGCTTACCAAGCGTGCGGTCGAGGCCAGGTTGGAAAGGTGTCTGCTTGCGATGAGGAAGGTGTTTGCCCTGTTTGCTGCGTTTGCGGAATGGGACTCGGCTGTTTGAATCTGGACGTCTTCGTCACGACTGCAGTCAAAATACACAGTGCGGGCGCCATAAACATGCTAAGTATCCAAACTGTGGACCGGTTGATTGGACTCTTGGCTGACGTGACTAATTGGCGGATCGCCCCACCCTCTCAACATCAGGGTAATCCGTGCTGGCGGGGCATCTCGGCTCAACTGGGCCATGTCGGATGTGGGGGGCCGGATCAATGCAGCTACAAATACCACAAGCAAGACCAAGTATCCTGACGGCTAATCATGCGAACATAGAGACTGCTAAACGACAAGCTATACAGCGTCCACGGGTGTTGACTACTTGCATAGGTACCCGTGGTCACTGCTGGCTGAAACCCAACCTTCAACTTCCGCCTTGACCGATGCGTAGGCCAGTGTGGTACTTGTACCTAATTCAATACCTTAGCCTGGGAGACCACGAGCCACGTGCTGGAATGCATCTCTCTAGCCTGTCTCTGCAATCTTCGCCCCTGTGCAACTCTGTCTTATGCGACACTCTCTACTGCCGAGGTACATGGTAATGCCCGAGCGCCCTGACGAGGTACAAAACCATCGCCGTTCCGGCCAACCGCCTCCCAATGTCATGGTTTACTGCCGTGTCAGCCAACCAACGCCTTTCAGCCTTCTCTGTGGCTTGTCAGTTCCTATCCCTCCCTGTCCCGTCTCTCTGCCCAGCGCCCTCCGCCAATGTACCATTACCGGGGCTGGTCGACGTCGCGTAAGCCTCGTGGTAGAGAACCAGAGACGTGAGGGTCGCAGGGTCACGTCAAGTGCACAGGACCGGCTCAGATCTGGGGCCACCCTCAGCCCTGTGGGGCCTCCCAAGAGCGCCCGCAAGCGGATGCGTGCAGACACTTGCGCCTGCCATGTAGGTTGAGAGTATCTCTTTCTACAAGGCAGAAAAGACGAAGAGCTGAACGTGTGCGTTAGCAGAATCAAACGAAAACGTGTTCAAGACGACCACGTGGGGTCAAGGCAGGCGCTTACATTATTAGTCGCGGCAATCGCAATACTGTCCTCAAATGGATGCCAGCTCATATGCAAGATCTTCTTGTTGAAGTCAATCTGGTCCGCGTCCGTTTCCTTGCGCATCCTCTGGCCCTGACCCGGCGCGGCTGGGCTGCCCGCCCGCGAGCTTCCCTTCTTGCCGTTCGCGGTCGGGCTGGTGGAAGAGTTGATGGGCGTCGGCACCCCAACCTTCTTGGCCTTGAAGGCCGACTTATCGGCCTGCAGCACCACCTCCACCTCTTGTTCGGGATCCGACGGGTAGATCATGAAGTTGTTGTTGTAGCTTCCCGTCATGACGTTCTTGCCGTCGCCCGAAAACACCACCTCGAACTTGTCGAAAATGCTGTCGTTCTCGTATGTGTCGCAGAGCCGCGGCCTGAGGTGCTCGTGAATCGGAATCGTCTTGATTGGCTGTCTTTCCATGTTCACATCCCAGATCTTGACTGTCAGGTAGTCGCGCGAAAGGATGTATCGCCCGTCGTACGAGAAGCGGACATCGGAGATGGACGAGATGATTTCGGAAAAGAAGGACCTTGAGGAGGGATCCTCCTCCTGCTCGAACACTACACGCAAAACAGGTTAGCCGCTGAACCGTCAGTTCACGGGCGGTTCTTTTGAATCTGGTAACACATACTCTTCGCATGCTGATCGCACAAGGCGCTCTCCCGCATGTCCGCCAGCTTGATGGTCCCCTTGGAACTAGCATACATAAACCAGTTGCAGCTCAGGGGGTGGAACTCGGCCGCCGTGATCACCTCGGTGAGCTCTTCCATATTTGCCGGCTTGATGTCGACGATGTTGAAGCTCTGGTCCTGTATGTTGAGGTTCCACAGGTTGATGCGCAAGTCGTCGCTGCTGATGAACGTCTCCCCGTCACTGTTCACCGAGATGCTGTTGATGTGGTAGGCGTGGGCATTAGCATACGTCCGCCTGGGTACGGCCGCGACGACTGTGTCGTGATGGGTCAACCTGGGGAGCTTCAGGTCACTGGCATTGCGAAACTGGACGTGCGGCATCGGGCGGGGGGCTCCACCGCCGCCAGCTATGTTTGCTGGCGTCAAGTCGTGGGAGAGATTGTTCTCGGCCACAACCTTGAGCGACTTCTCGAACACTTTCCACAGCTTGATAGTCTTGTCGTTTGTCGACAGCAGATAGTGGGAAGCGTTCTGCCGCCGGCACCACTTGATTTTGTTGATCTTTTCCTCTATCTCGAGCGACTTGAGATAATCAAACTCGGGCTCGTGTGACTGGAACTCGGTGTGGAACTTGTACTCGCAGGACTTTTTCTGTCATGGGCGTCAGTAATGGGCTGCGGGCGAGAAAGGAACGGCCTCTGGGAGCAGGCCTGGGCCATTCTCGACTAACTGTCTCGTTGCGCTCAAATAGCACCACACGACCACCTTTATCGCCCGTCGCCAAGTAATTACCCGTGTGATCAAACTCGACAGTGGAAATGATATCGGCTGGGAAGAGCGAGGGTCAGCACACAGTCGTCGTTCGAAGGCCCAATACCATGATGCGCGATGCCATATGAAAGAGAAATAGCGACCTGGACGTGGAAAAGATCCTGTCGCACCTTCTGTGATATCCTCTACGTCTCCCTTATCACCAAAGCACCTATGATTCGGTGGTTAGCTTGGCTTGAAACAGGATACGCTAGGGAGAGGCGAGGGAGCTCACTGGGTGAATTTCCATGTCGGAACGTTCGCTTCTGTGTCCACCATCTTGACAATCGGGGAGAGCGGGCAATGAGGAAGCAAGCTCTGTCGACAAATGCCCGCGAGAATGGGCGGTGGCAGCGACTGTGCCGAAGCGACGGGGTGGAATCAGATCTGGGGTAGGCAGGTAGAGAAAGATGCCCGCGGCTTGGTTCCGTGTCAGGTCTGGCTCGGAGGCGGGGTTTCGACGATGGTTCCGGGGATGTCTAGGAGCTGTGCGGAGCTAACCCAATGCAGTTATTTGGATGTTGGAAGTTGACGAGGCGGTTCTGAGCGGAAGTGCTGAGGGTCGGTGAGGGTCGGCGGGGAACGACACGAGAAGCGACTGTGCCACCTTGGACAGATGTGTGATGTTTGCGGGACGATAGCGACGGGACGATCCAAAAGAAGTCAAAAAGAGGTGAAGGCGGGCCTTGGCAGCAAGCTTGGTCTCAGCATGAAGCGAGTGCGGGGTCAAGGTTTCGGCCAAATACCTAAGCAGGACGTATGTGAGATCTTGATGCGCACTTGGACTGTGGCCAGCTGCTGGCGTGGATGGGGGAGGACGGATGTTGTTGGAAACAGGTTAGGTTGACCTCAACCGACGGGAGCCTCAGCTGGCTGTCGTTGGCGCAATGCGAGATTGACAGTGCTCTGCTGAAGCGCCCAAATCGGCCAAACTGCTTAGGTTTTGGGCCGCCCCACGAGCATGAGCATGAGCAAACAGTACGGATACAAGAACAGTGAATGGATACCCTTACATAAGCGATGTACAAATACCTGTTACTGTACCACAGTAAGTAAGCACCACTCAGAGTACCCGACCCGCTTTGAGTGACGAACTCCGTGAATCAGTGGCTTAACTTGATCCCAACATGATCATCGGCGGTTGATGATGTTTTGCTTGTGATATGGACCGCGGTTAATCGAGGGTGGAGCAGAGGATCGCATGTCCACCGGGGCTGAACACCCTTAATGAATAACGGTATCTATGAAGACATGACTTGCTGCACTACCCACTGCACGTTACTTTTCTTATACTTTCCATTCAGTTTCTCTCAGACTTTGTCTGTCACAAAACTCAACCACAAAGCCCCAGTTTGCAGGTAGAATCCTGCCCCGTACGCCCGACATTGCTCGTAAACCATTGTTACATGACACCGGGCAGCAACGCTCAGTCTCCCAACCCAACCGCGTTGTCTCATATGATCGCATGCACCTCTTGATTGGCCAGCAGCGAGCACTTGAACGTGGTCGCCGCTCGTTGACGATTGCTGGTGGAAGCACTGCAGCTGTCCTTTCCAGAGCCCTACACATCTCATTGGCCGGGTTTGAACCTAGTCCTTACAGTTTACCTGTCCAAGACAGTCAAACTAGGCAGGATGGAAGGCAAGGCAGCAGGCCATGAGGCTGAGGGCAAGGGCAAGGGCAAGGGCAAGGATGCCGAGCCCAACCCGGAGCCAACTCCGGCCCATGGCGCTGCAGGAACGCCGGCCTCGGGGACGTCGCTGCCTCGGATGGCACAGTCGGCCGCATCTTTCCTCCTGTCAGGACCACCAGGAGCTGCGTTGATTGGGGTAAGCGAGAAGGGGGAGTCGTCAGGCGCCGTCGAGGCGCTGGCGAGGGCAGGCGAGAGCTCTGTCCGACTGAGGCCCAACGTTGCAAGCGGCGAAACCATGAGGATGGGCCAGACGCAGGAACACATTGCGCGCGAAGAGGCTTCCTTTGCCGCCTTTCTCGACAGTGGATGCGCCCCGAGCCTGTCGGAGTCACACAGCTTCGAAACTCTTTGGCAGTCCCTCGGACCTCGCCCACACGCCGTCTCGTCGATCACGAACGCTAAGGAGCCAGCCTCGCACTCGGTCGCAGAGCAAGAGGCAAAAGACGGCGCCGACGTCGTCGTCTTACTCTCTAGTGACGCCGACCTCAACCAAGTGTTCGAACATGTCACCGACCATCCTTCACAGGACGAGTTGGCAGGCTTGCGCAAGGCGCTGTTCGGCGGGGAGACAGACGAGGGCACGTCGATCGTGTGGGACAGCGTGCTCAACTTCATTCCGGGATATCTCCGAGCGCAGACGGCACCCGAGAACAGACAGAGGAATGACCTTTCCATGCACCTAGGGGTGTCGGATGTTGGAGACGCTTGGAAGCCTTGGATCGACCAGTGGAATCGGGTTCTCACGAGCTACCAGGACGAGGTTTGGGGAGATCTCAGCGCTCTCGTCGACGAGGCTCTCACCGAAATCAAACGGATCGAAGCGACGGAACCGGGCCAGAGACCCCCTGAGCCGAACGCGCTTCTGCGGTTACAAGCCATCCTCGGGCACTTGCGAGGTGCTTGATAACATGGGCCACTTCGAGGTCACCACGCCACCATGCCCTTCGTCAAGGCCAAATCTCAACAGCGACGGCTCAGAAGCAATGGCTTGTCCATGACCTCTGGCAGTAACATCTGATATCCGTCACGTGTTCTGTGTCAACGTTTTATGTTGCATTTTACCCCGCGGACACCCACCATCAAAGTTCCGATGGGCCAGGGTGACCTCACGGCTTGCGGGTTGCTGGGCAGCAAGCGGATGACATCACTGGGCGGTTTCGGCCTTGTGGTTGGTCAGTCGGTGCGAGCTTGTGAAGCTTCACCAACAAGCCAAGCTTCTGCGTACAGTGCTGTGTTGGACGTGCAGATGCGGCACCGTACTTGGACTGGATTGATATGGTAACGAACTTCCGTACACACTTGCTCCGGAATAAGGGCGCTCACCTATCATCGCAAGAAGTGCCGCAGTGCCGCAGAGCTGCAGTTCAGCGCCGCGCCCCTCTATTTTGGTTCCTGTAGATATCATGATGATTTGTTTACGGCCAAATGCAGTTTTTCTTGACGAGCAACGCACTGTCTATTTCGATTGCATGAACTTGCCAGTCCTCACCGGATCTGCGCGCGCAATATCCACCGAGGCGTTGGGCGCAATCCAATTCCGTTTCTCCTTTGCGCTTTGAGCTCCGGTTCCTGTCACCAGCCGGTCCCGCTCCCCCGTTGATTACGAAGAACAAACGAGCCGAGCGAGGATGGGCATCAGACCGCCGTCCTATGCCTGGGCGGTACTTGCATGGACATCTGCAGTCTGCGCCAGCCTGCAGCCTTTCCGGCCAGTCGAAACGGGAGCCGCCGTCGTGAGACGTCAAGCATGTCTCGCCAACTTCCACAGCTGCGCCGACCAAGGTGCCATCTTCAATGGTGTATGCTGCCAGAACGGCCAAAGTTGTGCTCTTGACGCCAACGGCAACCCAGCCTGCTGTCCTGTCAAGTGAGCGGAAATCCTCACCCACCCTAACTCGGCCTGGCCTACTTTACCGTAGGGGGCAAGCACAAACAGATGTGCTGACCACAGGTCTCTACTTACCCTCTCAGCGCCATATGTACCGGCACCGCGCCAGCATCCTTCGTGTCTTCGGGCCCTGCTCCCACGACAGCCGTCTCCTACGTCTCGAACGTCTATTTTTCCTTTCCCTACATCGCCACATCCTTTGCGAACCCGGGCCACTGCTCGGCCGCCGTCAGCCAGGTACGCCTCCCATCCATAACTCCGGGCTCACCGTATAAATGGGCATTTAAGTTTGGCTGACAATTTGGCTGGAACAAAACAGTGCAGCGCCAATCACGCGGCGTGTACCTCGCAGCTCGGCGGTTTCGGCAGCGCCGGGTACGCCGTCACTATCGTCGTCCCCGGCGGGGGGGGGACAACCGTCACGGCCGGGGGAGGAATCAGCGTCGCGCCTACGGCAGCGACCAGCATCTGCAACAGTCTCTCCAGCGTGGCCTGCGGCGGCCTCCAGCTCGGCATGTGTACCATGACGGGGACGACCGCCGGCGGATTCTACTTCGGTACTGGCTCAGGCAATGCGGCGGCGGCGGCGAGACCGACGGCGGCAGCGGTAGCAGCGTGTGCCGGGCTGGTCGGAGCAGTCGCTGTTGGCGCTGCGGGGATGGACATTTTATAAAAAAGGCTCACTGGCCTGGGATTCTATGTTTGCGAGGCGTATGTTGATATGATCTGTTTCATTTTCCCACTGGCACTTGAGTTTAACGGTTTTGCGATAGTCACGCGGCATGGATGAACCTGCATGCGTCTCGCCCATGTCTTGCATTCGGCTTCCATTATCATCTATGCTCGGCACTGACTCTCGCGAAGTCATGAATAAATGACCTGATACCCATACTTCGCGTTCCGTTGTCGGCGTCATTTGAGCACAGCAAGTATTAACGAGAATTTGAGTATGAATGAAGGACCGTTGCTCGGTTGTTTAGAGTCCGGATTCGACTCTGATACCTTCTCCCCAACCTCTTCCTTACCCGATACCATTAAACCTTGAACAGCTACCCAGACCATCCCAGTCAACACGCATCAACATTGCTACCGAGAGACGGTATCCATGCGCTGATCGGGAACAAGACACTCTAGCTGAGCTCCAACAGCACCCTGGTTGAGTATTCCGCTACCATATGCGATCCCTTTCCTACTTGATCCTTTCAAAAATTCCCGCCTGGTGTGCGTACAGCATTAGATCTACGAGATATCAGACTCGCGGGGAGAAGATGATCGAGTACCGCCCCCCTTTTGTGCGCCGTCGCTAAACTTCCACGCAAGCATATCACAAAGTACAAACCGGCAGATCATGCCTCTCCGTCCCATGGAGAATCCGCCGCCAAAATTCAAGGCCCAGATAGATGGAAACAGTCCTGCACTCACCACCCCAAATTACATGAAACTAAGACACAAGACGAACAAAAGGGGAAAGAAACGTGATGGATGGAGATACCTAAAGGGCGCGTGCCCAGCAAATTCCAGCAACAAGGTAAAACGTTGCGTGGCTCATTGGGAAAAGCCTATCGTCGCTCATCAACCACCTCAGCAGAACTCCCCAGCAGATTAACCTCGCGTTCGACTCTGTTAACGCTACCCTGGTTGACAAAGCCAAACCCGGCATGTCTCTCCTCGGGAGTGCCCTTGTTGGGCCCGTGCAGATCAGCCTGGACGAAGTCGTCGGTGAGTCCTGCTGACGACCCCGTCTTTTGGGAAGGCGTCCGCTCAAACGGCAATCGGGACGGTGCTGCCGCCGCAGATGATGGAGCAAGGTTCGCCGCCGACGGGCTGGGTTCGACTGTTTGTGGTACGGACGGTGGTTCCGACTTCTGCGAGTTGGCCCACGAATGCCGCTTGGAGCTCTTCCGAGGAACTTCTGGAACTTGTAGATCATCGTCCACACCAAGCAGCGAAGTTTCTCTCGTTTCTTCGGCAGCCTTTTCTGTGACCAACGACATTGGTGGCAATTGGGGTGGTGCGCTTGTAGTGCCGAAGTCGTCCATGCTGTCGTCGCGAGAAATCCTTCCGTCGTTGAGTGGTTCTTGCTCCGGCAATGTGTCATCGATTGGAGAGGCACCTTTATCTCGTCGCCCCTCATCCTCGTCATCCGACTCGATAGGCCCGTTTCGCAAGACACCCATCGCAACAGGGACTCCTTCCGGGGCAGGGTCCTCCTCGTAATCCGCAGCCGCAGCACGCATGGCTGGTGGCATCCGTGCGCTCCTGACAACCTCGAATCCTTTCCCTTTGTCCTTTCCTTTCTTTCCGAACATGCTCCGGAACCAACCGGCGGCAGAGGCCACCGGGCCGGTCGGATCGGCAGGACCGGTCCCCAGCTTACGATTTGGCGCGCCCGAGTTCAGTCTCTCGCCCCTGACGCCGTAATAGAAGTCCACCTCGCGGGTCGTATAGTCGGTCCGCGGGACAAAAGGAACCGGATATGGCGCAGGCGTGGCGTCCCTAGAGATTGCCGCGCCAATCTCGACAGGGTCTCCGATGCTGCCGGACCCGGCCTGGCTCATACGTCCTTGAGACCAGTCACCTGTCCGCCGCGGCCCGGCTGTCCTGGACGAGGGCGAAGATGACGTCTCCAGAGTGGCGCGCCGTTGCCTTGGGGGACGATAATATGGATCCGGCGTCTGCATACCGAAGGGCCCTTGGTGACGCACGACATGCTTTGGGGATGGCAAATAGGAGAAGGTGCTAGCCTCACCGGGTGTGGTGGGGGTGAAGGAGCTTGCGCCACTGTCAAGGTTCCGCGCTGGCGTATCGAGACTCAGACTGTCCAACACAGACGAGCTTCTCTGGCGACGGTGCATCAGCATCCCCATGCTTCCGGCAGACTCACTCCGGACACGGCCGCCGGTCATGACGTATCCGGTTTTGGACAACTCGTCGGCATCAAGCATCGCCGAGCTGGACAGCTGGCTGTGCCTGGATGGACCATTTTCCCGTCGAGACATGCGTCGCGACAACTGTCGCATGCCGAATATCTTGGACAGACCCCCTCTCGACTGGCCGCGAATATCATCGCCTCCGGCTCCTAGCATCCGAGCTATAACTTCGACCATGGTCTGCACTGCGTTCAGGAGGAAGCCGAGGACGAGCACACCGGCATGGGTGACAAGGATGGCATAGCCGATCCAGCCCTTGGGGCCATCCGTCACTCCAAGAGAAGGGACAAAGGCCACCATCAGGAGGACCGTGATGAGGCGAAGCGCAGAGAAAAGCGTGTGGTAGGCGTTCATGGATGTGGGAGAGTGGAAGGGCCGAAAGGCGTGAAGTGTCAGAATCTGGATCACCTCGCAAATGGCGAGAAGGACCACCTGGGCAACACCGGCGGGCTGAACAGCTCCGATAGCAATGCCGCGAACAAATGTGAGAAGGACCGGGATGAGTGTGAAGGCGGCGGCTTCGTCAGAATACGTGTTGTAAAGAGGCCCGTAGAGGAGGACAGTCGGGAGGTCGTCGAACAAGAACGCCCTCGGTTTCGTGGTTGCGATAAGGTACAGGAGCCACGCTGCAAAGCCGATGATGAGGACCAAGGTCACGACCGCCAGCGCGACTGCATAAGCCGGTGAGTCACTGGCCACGACAAGCTGGAATGTCGACAAAGCCACAATCGGTAGGAGGAAATAATTCAGAACGGTCCTGATGACGTTCCCGAGGGTGAAGGGGATGTTCTTGGCGCGCAAATCCTCCTCAGAATCCTTCTTCACAAACCGGTAGAGCCATTGGGCAAGAAACCCGGCCTGGACAAGCACAACCATTCCAGCAATGGTGGCGAGCAAGCAGACCATCATACCGGCCCAGATGTCGTCGACGTTTCCCATGCCGACCAACTGGGCAAGCCTCTGCAGACCGTAAATACCGTCAGTGAAGTAAATGCCATCCTGCACGCTGTTCCATCCGGGGTCATTGCTGACGAAGCTGTGGTTGAACATCAGGGCCGCCCAGGACCCATGGCTGACGATGGGTTGGTAGAATCCCGGATAATTTAGGGTCAGACCTCCGGTGAGGACGACGAACTGGATATACTGCAGGCAATCTCCGAAGCCAGGCGTGACGAGACGAAGGAGGTCTGGGTCACGGCCGTAGTTGGAGCTCCAGTGGAATATGTCGGCGGCGCCCCACGGGCTGAAGATGCCAGCGAAGACGGTGGCGGCACCCACAAACATCAGCACAGCCAAGGAGAGGAACTTGAGCATCCAAGCCAAGTCTCCCAGATCCGGCGTCACAGAGGCTGAGACACATCCGATATTGGTGCCTTTGGAGTCTCCATAGATAATGATGAAGGTGGCGGTAAAGGAAGTGAAGGCATAGGACGAGTAGAAGTCGTTGCTCATGGTCACGGATGGCAGAAGATGTCGAGAACTAGGAGACAGTGCAGACATGTCAGCATCGATCCATCCAAGATTCGGCCTGGCTATGCAGGGCCCAACCACGCTGGGACACAGCGGGGAAGAAGCTGCGGTATGCTGCCCTTACCTGTAGTTGGCATCCAGGAAGACGGGCGCAAGCGGGCATGAGGCATTCGCCAGCGAAGTGTTGCAGAAGTTGGTGTTTTCGCTCCAGGGCTGGTAAGTGAGGACGTCTATCCTACTGTGGAGCGTTGTGAGTTTGGGATTCGGCGCGTTCGGTTCGGGCTCATCCAGGATCTTGCCGTCCGTCTTGGTTGCGTCCTGCCAGTCTGGGCTCCCAGCCGACGGCAGGGCGACGTTGGTGAAGGCGCCCGTTACATTCCCCCACATGGTCACACGAAGAGTGTGCTTTCCATCCGTCGAGTTGAACGAGGCGTCGACGAACTTTGGCACCCATTGCAGCGGCGTAGGCACGTTCTTGATATATGTCTCAGACAAGCAGTTCTCGAAAGACACGTTCGCTGCGGCGGCGGGACGGAGCAGGGCGCCCGGTGCAAGTAGTAACCAAGTGAGTGCCGCAACGACGGGGTGCCATGGCAGGCGGAAGCGACAGCGAAAGTGTTGTTTATCGGCAGCGATGGATAAAGGGACAGCGGGCGAGCGTGATCCGGTTGAGCTGGTGAAGGCGAGAGACGGGGCATGGCACGGGGCACGGCCAGACGATGGATGCCCACCGCGGCCGTCGCTACGATGGGCGCCGCATGGTTCGGGCTTGGCTTCGTGGAGCGGCGGGCGAGGACCATGGACTGTCCGCATGATTAGGTCGTAGGTAGATCGGCCGGAGATGCCAAGTGCGTGTTTGTTCGTCGGCCGGCTGACTCGAGCCCGGATGGGCAGGGAAGATTGGACGGGGAACAAGACAGCACAAGTGGCACTGGCCTACTTGCTGGGCATCTTGAACCGAAGTCCCCTGGACCGCAGCACCGTTTTCGCAAAAAAGCTGGCTGGCCGCCCGTAGAGTGTTCAATATCCAGAGAATGGTGAACGGCGAGTGAGCGTGTTTGCGGCGGCCTCGATCTCGTAAAGTCGAAAAGCAAGCAAGTGGAGACTCCAGGGAGTATGGAAGTGGATGCGCTTGAGGATGCAGAAAAAAGAGAGTTTCGGGGTGGTACAGTGGGTCAGAACAGCGACATTTCCCCCAAGCTCTCGCTAACGTTAAACACTTGTGGGTTGCTGATCGGCGGCAGCCAAGCACGCTGGTTGGCTGTACGCGGTTGACGGCCCTGTGGGGCTGGGCTGAGCTGGTGATGACGTTCATTGTTGGCGGGCATTGGCGCTTGGCAGTTCCCGAGACCATTCCACGTTATGTAATCCGTACATATACGGATACCTTTGACCTGTTACCAAGGCCTCCCTGTGGCAGTTCCACCGTCCTTCAACACGAGGATCTGAGCAAGGCCCGCGGAACGGAACACAGGCCTTTCCAGCGGTCGGCTTATTAACCACTCGCGGTCATTACCTCAAGTACAACTGTATTAGAGTTCGATTCCACAGGATTGGCGAGCCTCCTCGTCCTACAATTTGACACAGGGCATCTGCACTCGGCCTCGTGTCAATCAAGTACCCCAGCACATGGTCCACTACTCCTTACAGACCAGCAATCTGTACACCTCGTTTTGACTCTCCAACAAGTCTTCCACCTTTGTTTCAACCATACCTAGCTGACCAAGATATGTTGGCTGGTTCCATCGGCAGTGAAACAGGGGAGCTGATACCAAACACAAGGTATGCATAATACGAGCAACTATAATAAGGTAGGGGTTCAAAGCAAGGCATCGTTGCCATCTCCCCTCGATCATCCACCGGGCCAGAACGCCTCAAAGCAAGGTCCTCCAACGTCGTCAACACGACCCGACCGGCTCGACAAATAAACTGAACAGTATGGCAACTCCTTCCCAGCATCAAGTGTTATCTGTGTTTGGCACCGCAGTTCTGTGTCCTACCTGGTCCTTGATGGTGCGCAACCGGGACCACCTCGGGCCACAATTCGTCCGTATTAGTGGCAGAGCAGTCTATGGAGGGATTCTCACGGATCATGCCACCGATCCTCCCAGTCATGTGCAAGGAATCCAGAACGAAAAAGAGTGAGCAAATGCTTCGCCGGAGTGAGCTGCGGGATTCATGCCACGACAGCAAGGCGGCGGAGTCGCTCTTAAGCTGTTGCAGTCGTCCCCGGTCTGAAGCGCACCAACAGTGGCCGGACTAATGCGGCTGTGTCCTCAGGGCTGGTTCCGTTCTTAAAGGCATCTCTCAGCTTCCCGTCAACCAGCCATGCGTCAAAGTGCTTCTCATCGGAGATCAATCGCACTAATGCATGCGTATCGACCGGCACGGTTAACGTCAAGATGCAGGTTTGGAAACCCCGCGGGACCGTTTCGAGGGGCAGCTGCTCTGTCTTAAGTCGCTTAGGCTTCTTGTTTGAGTTTTGCGCCGCGAGTCGCTGTAGCTTGATGAGGTGTTCCCTGGGGTCATCAGTTGACAGGCCTGACTGAGCATTCTCTCCACGGATCTGTTCGTCTGAAGGGTTATATGTCTGTCTCTCACTCGCACCACCGTCGTTGTGAGGCCAGAGGGACGGTAACGGCTGTAGAGTCGCTCTCTGATGTTTCGGATCCAGTAGAGTAGAAGCTGTCGTTGTCTGGTCAGTGACCTCGTGATGTGTCGATGCCGAGGCTCTTGTGCGCCGCGCTGACCTAGGGGTCCCAAGCACCTGCTCGGCGAGGTCAGTATCGGCGTCATTGTGTCGCGGATGTCGGTGGTTGTTCCTGTCAAATGATATCTGAGACTGAACTAGGCCTCTGGGCCCTGAGACGCGGCGTGGACGACTCTGGTCCCTTGGACCACCTCCGTCGTGTTCGTGTTCATGAGGCGATGACGTCGGCGGACTGTGCATCCCGAGACTACGACGAGATTGCGTCTGCCGGTTGGATGACCAAGAGGAACCGCTGTTCGCCCTGTTAGAGAGGTTTCCAAGGATGTCCTGGAGGCGCCTGCCCGTCGACGCTGGATTTCCCCCTCTGCCCTGGCGTGTACATTGTGCTCTTGAGTGGGGCTCTTGGGTGAATGACAAAGAACCGCCAGTGGATGATGCAATCTCTCGCCTGCCCTGGCGCGTATGCCTAGATTGCAACTGTTCTCTTGCGTGGGGTTCTTGGGTGAGTAACGAAGAAGCCGCGGTGAATTCGGGAACACCGCGTTCCGGCGGCTGGGATTGAGTCTCATGATGGTTTTCCTGCGCTGTCCGCTCAGGTCGGGGTTCGGTCCTTGGGTTCCTGCTGGTGAGTTTGGCAATGGACCAGGGGTTCAACCCTTCCCTTGAAGGTGCCTCGCTATCGTCTTCAAGGCGGTCTTTTTCAGGGGTTGGAAACATGTCATCCTCATTCCGCTCTGAGATGCGTTCTTGATAGCGGTCATTGCCGTCGTTATCGTTATCGCTCACCGCATCGACTCCAGAAAACATATCTATCCTCCACGCTGGTGTTGAGACCTGGGAACTATCAGCGGGGACCACCCATGTGGATCTCGATGCCTACTTACTTGTGGCGCCGAAGGACGGACAGGCAGTTCAGGAGCTGCCTCAATGGGCATTTCATCATCCCGCTGCACCGCAGTGATCCGCGGCTGGCGTGAGTCACGGCGCTCAGGTGCCGTATAGAAGACAGAAAGGAATGACTCGAAAAGATCGGTGACTCGCTGCTCCTCCTTGAACAGAATGTCTTCCTTTGCCGGTTCGACATTGACGTCGTAGCTGCCCGGTGGACAACGAATATTCAACACGATGAAGGGGTCCCTAAGGGTTTCTCCTGGGCGAGCCCTGGTAAAGTGGTCTCCAAGGTGCTTCTTGAATATGAAGAGGAGTCTTTTGCCCGTCCCTCGCGTCGACGAAATTGGCCGAGAGTCCACGGACAAGAAACCTCCCTTGGCAAGTTTCTGGGGACCGGCCTCGGGATTCGGCAAGAGAGCCTCGAAGGTCGGGCCTTGCTCGGCCGAATGTTGAAGATTGGGCTGGCTGCGTGACAGTCCCGTATTATCTGGCGTTTTGTCGCTTGGGAATGTCCGGAACGTGCACTGAGCGGCGAGCTCGGCGCCGAACAGCTGCATGGCGGCTTCCTTGACACCGACATTCGGCGCTGGGGCGTAAGACCACGACAAATTGGGAGCTTTCAACACTGTTAATCGCAGCCTCAGGCCGGGTCTCGTGAGAGCATACGACTGCAGTAGGCCCTTTATCTTAACGAGGCTCCTTGGTGCCTCCTTGACGGCGAGCTGTAACCTGACTGGCAGATGAGAGAACAGGCCGGTCACACTGACGGTGGTACCGATTGGAGCACCAACACGGCGCTGTGCGCCGACGCCTCCGCCCTTTGCAAGAGAGACAACGGTGGCAACATGCTCGGTTGACACGCGAGTTGTGATTGAAATGTCGGCCAAGGCATTGGCACTCGCCAGTGCGGCGCCGCGGAATCCCAACGTGGCGCCTCCTAGAGTGCCTAGCTCGTCGAAGGATCGGAGTTTGCTGGTGTGACCGGGGCGACCAAGGCAGTCGAAATCGGTGGGATTGATGCCATGACCGTTATCTCGAACCTCAATCTTGTCAACTGTGTTGGACGAGACCAGCACATCGACCGAGGTGGCTCCAGCGTCAATGGCATTGTCGAGGAGCTCCTTGAGCAGGAGCACGGCGCTAGTGATCGCAAGCGTTGATCCTAATCGGCGGACAGTGCCTTCGGGGAGAGCTGAGATTGGCATGTTGAGTCAGAACAATGCAGTACAAGCTACCTAACCAGGGGGTAAGCGGGGATGTTGATTCTTCCCATCACCACGGCAACACGTAACAAAAGTGAGGTGTGTTAGTGATACTGCACATGGCGGACGGTCGACAGTTTGAAAGCGAAGGAGATTCGGTGACCTGAGCGACGTACCTTACCGTAGCAGTCCGCATGACCAGAAGCATTTACAATTATCACAGTGGCTCTTGCTTTGACTTCAGGAACTTCCCGCAAGGGCAACTGCCCTAGGAAGGAGGACCGAAAACCGACCAGGAAGGAGTTGTTGAGTGTTGACACTGATCAGGGGCTGGGGGCTTCTACAGGCGATGACTATGCGACACGGACCCGTGAGTCTAGTGGGAGCCAACCTGGGGAAGTGGGGCTGACTGCCCTCCATTCCTGAGCCCCACGATGCTCCTCAGGTTGAGTCACGAAACCGGCGTTTGCAGGTCTCTTGCACGACACAACAACAGGGTTACTCGACAACTCAATTGATCAACCCACATCATTTGAGAGCCTCCATATCCCACTCACCAACTGCCACCCCTCTGCCCTCGAGCAAAGATGCATAACAAAGGCCCGAAACCACAGCTCCACGACGGCAGCAACCTGCGCATCGGCATTGTCCACGCGCGCTGGAATGACACCATTATCGAGCCCCTGCTCGCGGGCACGAAGGCCAAGCTTCTCGAGTGCGGCGTGAAGGAATCGAATATCGTGATGCAGACGGTCCCGGGTTCATGGGAGCTGCCAATCGCCGTCCAACGGTACGTGTTGTACCCCATCGCTCATCGCCCATTTCACTCTCTCTGTCCACCCTCACTCCGATCATCATGAGTTATCGCATGTAGCCAGCCCCTTCAAAATCACCTCAGCCAAAGGGTTCTTCCTAACTGGTCTGACCTGAAAACGACACCAAACAAACAAACTAACAATACTCTCACCCTGGCCTCAACCGACAGCCTCTACGCGGCCTCACAAGTGCAATCCTCATCGGCGGGCAGCGGCGCCTCGGCAGGTGATCTGCTAGGCAGCTCGACCGCGGACCTGGCATCTCTGCCCACCGCCTCCTCATCTTCACCTTCCACAGGCCCGTTCGACGCCATCATCGCCATCGGTGTGCTGATCAAGGGCGAGACGATGCATTTCGAGTACATTGCCGGGAGCGTCTCGGACGGTCTGATGCGCGTGTCTCTGGACACTGGCGTCCCCGTCATCTTTGGCGTTCTCACTGTGCTCAGCGAGGAGCAGGCGAAGGCCAGGGCCGGCCTCAGCCCGGGAAGCCACAACCACGGTGAGGATTGGGGGCTAGCAGCCGTCGAGATGGGAGTGAAACGGAAGGCCTGGGCAGCGGGGACCATTGAATGAAGGATTTCTCTTCTCGGTGATGCTTGTGCCTCGGTTCTCCGGTTTGGGAAACAAAGGGTTAATAAGCCCAACAGAGTCAAAGGAGTCGATTTTGTATAACTATCGGTATTACCAGATTAGCGCATCTAAAAATGCTATGTCTACCGTGATCCCTCCTTTCGAACCAGACACAACAGTGGTTTTCCACGCCAGCTCCAATTTTGCACTGCCCAACCCGTCGCCCTCATGCGGCACAAGACACGCGAAGAGCGGAATGGGGGACTATACAAACGCGAGCGCCTCGCCTCCATGTACCCAAGGAATAATAATACCATCCGAGTCTCCTAGAGTCCATTCGTTTCCACCTATTCCCCAACTCGATATCAACAAGCGTTCATCGACATTACCTTAGTTGATCATGGCGCCGATGTCATCGCCGACGGACCCAGACTTCTTGGACCTCCACATCGACTTTTTCTTTTCCCGTTTCGCCTTCATGGCCTCCCATCCTCCTTCGTCGTCGTCATCCGAAGCGTTACCGGCCTTGGTTACTGATATCTGAATTGCTCCAGACATGGTGGAAGACTTGCGAAGGTTGCTCGTCGTCGCGGGTGGCGCCGGCGGAACATGCGACACTGGACGGTATCGACCCGGAAGACCGATGTTGCTGCGCTCGGATGGGGCGATGGAAGGTGCGTAAACCCCGCCCTGCATGCGGATCGAAGGCGCAAACGAAGCAGGCTGTGTCGGCTGGATCCAAGACGCCGAACTAGGTTGGACCATGCTCATGGTGCGCATCTGCGACTCACCCCGTCCAAACGGCGAATCGAGCATCGAACCGTTGCCGACGAATGAATGACGCATCTCAGGGCCACTCAGACTGGGGGTCAGCCCGCCCGTGGTGCTCAGGTTCCCGGCCGAGGGCGATGTCAGAAGCCCACCAGCAATAGCTGGAGGATTGCCGTTCTGGCCCGACATCATTTGCATGAACTGCATTTGCATCTGCATGAACTGCTGCATCTGGTGCGTCATCTGGATCTGCGCCTGGTCGCCAGGCGAGAGCATCGCCGGGCTGGGTCTGGCTTGGTACATCAAGTGAGACGGAATGCCGGCGACGGGGTCAAAACCGGCTGCTCCAGGTATTAAGCTGGGCCCGTCGGGCAGGTGCGGACTGCCTCTCCTCATCGCGCGCGCACGCTCTTCGTTGGCGATGACGCCGATGAGACCTCCGGGAGGTACGGGTGTACCAGGTTGTCCGGGGGCAGGGCTGCCCCCGCCGAGGGCGAAGCTCTCCCGAACGGGGTTGCGGACGAGACCGGCACCTAAAAAGGGGTCCGTGGGAAGGTTTCTCGCGAATGCGGGCAGACGAGGGTTTCCTGCTCCCGCCCCATCTCCCACCACCGACACGGGCCGCTGATAGCTCGGCTGCATCGCAGCCCGCAGGTTCGGGTTTGAACCCATGGTGCTCAAGCGGTTAGGCGGCCGATTCTTGTTCGGAAAACCGGCCGCGGCAAGATAGGCCAAGGGAGTTTCCTCATCTTCCTCCGGGTCCTCGGCCGTGTCAGCCCCGCCCGACGAGGCACCTCCGTTGGGTAAATTGGGGGTGCTAAACGACATTTGCAGACTCGGTCTGAAAGACGGGGCGCTTCCGGCTGACTCTCCAGTGATCTTCATCATCTGTTGTCGGTACACGGCCATGTGGGCCTCTTGCTTTCGCCTCTGTTTCGCCTGCTGCTTCGCCTTCTCCGCGTCATCCTCGTCGTCCTCGTAATTGTCCTCTTCGTCCTCGTCCGCACCGGTCTTGGCACCAGGTGCGCCAATAATTCGGCGCTCCCTGTCCTGACGCTCCTTATCTTGGCGATACTTTTCAAACTCCTCGGGGGTCATAACCTTGTTGCTTCCTGGCGTGTTGGTTTGCGCTTTCCGGGGGGGATATCGGCTACCGTACTTGGAAGAATAGGCGGGGCTGGAATCGAAGAGACTATCGCTGTCTCCTTCCAGGCTGCTCTCGTCCCTGCGGTATCTACCAGCAGACGATGAACTTGAGGTGTCTGCCCCGTGTATGAATCTGGTGACGGTAGACAATGAATCTTTCAGCAGCCTCGCTTCCTCATCCTCGACATCCTCCACGGAGTTGGACCTTTGCGAGGCAAGCAGTGGCCTGCTTGGTCCTACTTCTGGCGAAATCTCTGATCTTTGCCTGTCCAAGAGAGGCGACGAGTGGCGAGCAATCAGAGGTGCGGCGTTATTTTTGACAGTAGGCGAAAGAGAGGGGCTAGACGGGCCAATCAGCTGGTCGTTAGAATGCTGGCTGCTCCATGAGTGCGCAGGAGGTTCAACCGTGGTGGTCTTGTCAATATGGATCGGGCTCGGCTGAATCGGCCGGGCCCCTGTGAGAGACCGTGGTGCCGGCATCTGGGCGCTATACGGCTGGTTGTTTCTCACCGTCGCCACACTGGCTCGCTTGTCGTTCCCCAGGCACATCTTGCCAAAATCCCCGCCCAGATCCAAGTCGAAGTCGTCCTCAACTCTCGGAGGCGTCACCGTAGTGGAGGTCGAGGAGGTAGTCGCTCTGGGCCGCACCTGGGCAGGCGTTTGCATCCCGGCGGCAATGGGACTCGACGGTGGAGACTCGTGGATGGTTGGTGGAGGAGGTAGTTGCTTCTTTTGCCCACCAAATGAAAACGTGCGCCCAGCAGCTTTCAGGAAGCCGCCTGAGGAGGATTTGGGGATTGGAGGCACCGGAATGTCCACTGGCAGCTTCCTCTGCCCGCTACGCCATTCGTCCGAACCTCCAGTATCGGCAGAGGATGGGGCTGTCGAGGCATTGCTGTGGCGAGACGAGTTGTCGGTCAGGGTCGTCTTGGTTGTATTCGAAGAGCCACTCCCACTAAAGACGGTCAGTGCGAGATGTTCCCAACAGTGAGATTTCACAAAGAGGAGCACGCATACCGGTTCGACTTGAGGTCAGCAAATATGTTGTCTTCGACCGTTAGATCCGACCCCGTCGTCTTGTGGAAGGCATGGGTCGCTGCCGCATGTCTGACGCCGCCGTCGAATGGCTTCGACCCAACAACTTCGTTGCGTTCTAGGACGCGGAAAGACGGACCCGTTACCGTGGCATTTTCCAGGTTATCAGCGGTCGACTTCCGCCTGCCGAACGGAAACTTAGGCATGTAGAACGCTGGCGGACCAGGCTACTCTCTAGGGGAAAATAAAGGTCGGTGTAGGAGCCGGCCAGGAGGAGCAGTTTCGCAAAGGCAGCACAGAAGGCTGTTTGACTGATCAAGAAGGCGAGTGAGGGACGGGATGCGGTTACGACTCGATTTTTGCTCGTACAGGGTTTGGCAGCGGGCGGTTTGACTGTGCAGGAAACCGATGGTTAGCCGCATTGAACGCTGGAACGGATGAGCACGGGGCGAAAGTGGGGTGCGCTGTCGGGCCCAGCAACGAGTTGTGATGGTAACATGCCACCACGATATCTGATGAGAAGTGGCCGAGACGGAAGGAATGGAAAACTGTCCGTGGAAAAGAGATGGAACACACGAAGACGAAGCAGAAGATGGAAGGTTTGCTTGCACAAAGCCAAATCCGACAAGTTGGCAGCGGGCAGCCCATCTCCATCCGGAACGACAGGGGGCTGGCGAGCAGGTGTTTGACCGGGATGCGATTCTCGCGCCCGTCATGTTCCCTTTGCTGCTTCCGAAAAGAACACCATAACCAGCAATATTCAAATGACTTGCCGCTGTGACGAGGCGGGTAAGAGGACCGGAAGGTTGGCACTTACGAGATTCAGAGACTGACTATCCAGGAGGCGATGGCTGACCGAGATCGAGGCGGATGGCCAGTCTGTGCACCTGTATTTGAGGGCTCGCTGCGTGCAGCCCGTGCTCAGAGAATCGAAGTAACGACGCACAAAATCTTCCCGACAGACGCCGCTATGAGTGATCCGGCGTTGTGGGAAATCGCCGAATGGGCAAGTACGCGTAGTGAGGTGCGACGGACTGGCGAACGGACAGGGCCCAGCACGAAAGAGAGACGAAAGGAGATCGAATGGAAGCCGGCGTGTACAAGCACGGCGCACAGAACAGATCGGTTGCTGAGACAGACAGGCCCGGGCCGTGATGGTCTGGAGAATACAACAGCAATGCAATGGTGATGAGGAGGAACAGAAACCAGCGACGGTGACGGACGAGGACACCGGAGTGGAATCAGAAGCCAGAAGGAGGCGGTTGGCTGAATTATTTTTATTTCCTTGGCCCAGCGTCGCACTGGGCACTATGGGTTGGGAGTGGGGAGCGAGAAACCAACACAACGACAGCGGTCGGAAGGAGCGGCCTCCCCCTGCTCGCCCAGCTGCCTTGGGCAACAGCTCAAAGCTGAGCGAGGCTCGGCACGCCCACCAATGAAAGCCGGGCTTGCAGCAACGAAACATCCATGCCTTTCAAGGAATGACTCGTCTTCTTCATCCGTCTGTTGATGAGACTTCAGACTGCGGGAAGGGGAAGACGACGACGTGGAACATGTACGTACGTGTGGAATACACAAAAGAACCGGAAGTGGCCTCGTCTTAACCAGGGACTGCCCTGGCCCGGCAACGGGCTGGATCGCCACGGACCACTCCTTTCCCCGCTGAGTCGTGACAGACGCGTCCCGACCTTCGGTGCTTTTGCTTGCAGCAAATCCGGCGATGCCCTGTTGTTGGTGCAGGCTCAATTCCGCTCTCTTGCTTAGTACCTGCTCTAACAGCTTGGGTAAGGAATGGTAGCGAGTGCAACTCTCGTCGTCGGGGGAAATTGCTCGCTGGTGCCAAATTGCTACATAGACAAGCCTTCAATGCTGGAAGACCGCGCTTTCATCATGTACGGATTACCAAGTTGCTTTCGGAGCTCAACAGGCAAAAAGCTCAACTAGGAACATTGTGGGCCAGATCGGGAATATCCCCGGCTTGCGCTGATCTCCATCCACTTTCGCCAGCCCCGTACCTGAGTTTCCATATCTTACTCAGGTACGGATACGTCGTGTAATAAAGCCTTCCCTTGAGCAGCTTCCAGGTTGCTACGGGCTCCGTACGGAGTACGTGCCTTGATCAGTTTCCCAACCATGAACTCTAAGCCCGCGAATGCCTTTGCTTTGCCGCATGACATCCTTGGCTTCTCCTTCACAGCGTCGCTCTCTACGCAGTGAACCAGGCCAAAATAACTGTGCCGCATGCATTTGTGCCATAGTACCTCGTACGGAGAGGTACCACAAACCCTGTTGACATGGGTCATGTTGCAACGGTTCCTGGGTGAGATGGGCCACGGGGGCTCCATCGGAGCTCTCAATGGCCAAGCGCAGACCCTTCTGTTATGATCTTTTTTAGTTACACAGCAGTCGTCGGCATGAGATTGTGAATGGCAGAGGTTTGTAAACTTTTCAAGGTGTAAACAGTTACATTCAGACACAATATGTGCGAATAGAGAGACCGGAGAGTGCATCAGCGCCCGACAAAGTTGACAGAAGTCAGAGAGGAGTCAACAAGCCTGAAGGGGCCCAGAAGGTTCTCGAGACGTGTCGTTACCTACGGGAGATCAATCCTCATCCACACCTGGGTTGAGTGGCCCCTGGTCAGTCAATGGGTACTCAGACAACCCAGAACCGATGGCACTTCGATTGGGCTGTTTCAGCCTTCACTTGTATACCGTACTGCAGTACATACAAGTACTAGTCCGTATGCTACGAGGCTGATGAAGCTCGTATTACAAAAGGTAGGTTATGATCGGTCGGGACTCGCAACGGCTGAACTTGAGACGACGCGTCAACAACGGCAGACTGCAGCCACCATCGCGATGCGGTTTTCCAGATCGAAAGCCGACAGCGGCGCCTCGAAGCGGCTACTTTTCAAGGGAGCCCATCTATACCTCGCCCAGCATCGCGGCTGACGAAGCAGGCAGCCATTGTTAGCCGTCTCAATTGACAGCGGTGATGAATTTGGGAAGAAGGAACGGGGAAGGCTACACATGTACGGATCCGTAGAAGCGATGATGACATCAACCGGCACGAGCTCGCGGCAGGCACATGAAAGCGGAGGTCGGCCGCCAAAATGCCCGACCCATCTCATTCTCAACAGGAACTAAGATGTCCGTTCGTCCCGTTCTGACATTTGAGACATCCGGACTGATCTACCGATTAGTTTCCTCCGTAACTCAATTGAGCGATTGTGTGGGCGATGAAGAGAAAAAGGCTGCCTGCGGAAAACGGCGCTGCTGGCAGGCCTGTTTCAACATCCAACGCTCGCCGTTCCGAAACATGCATCCCAGACAGCCTGAAGTGTGGTTGCTGTAGGTGGCGGGGGGCCGAAGCGGAGCTCCCGTCTGCCCGGGCCCGGCGTCTGAAACATGCACCGACTGCACGCACATTCAAATGCACAGGTGATGCCACCCTTGCCCTCCGCCTCGAGCTCTGGAAGAACAAGGAACCGTCGAAACGGCGCCCAGACCTGACTCAGAAAGTCGAACAGAGCCAAACGAGCCAAGAAGAGCATTCTGGTTGGTAGGATTATGCAATTTTTGCAGAAGAGGGATCAAACGGACGGCGTCACGTCGACGACAGCATACCGAGTACCATAAGTAATAAGAGGAACTGTACTCGACTTTCTGCAGAGCTGGGACTCGCAAGACCGGCACTTAGACGACACTACGCTGTCCAGCCCGCCATGACTTCGCCGACAACTCCGCGCACGTCGGTTCCTCGAGGCTCATTCCTCCTGCTCCAGGACGAGCCGCCTCTTGCGCCCATGGGCCACGGCGTGCTGGCATCGCTGATCAGACACCGCGGGCGCGAGGACGACGAGACAGTGAGCGGTGCACGGCCGTTTGCAGGCGATGGCCCGGAGGACGAGCTGCCGCGCCGCGATGACCGCCGCCTCAGCGCCATCCTCAACAGCTCCGGGGTGCGCAGCATGCGTCTGATTGGTAACAGCAACCCCCGCTACCGCTGGGAGCGCTACTGGAAGACCGAGGAAGAGCTGGCGGCCATGCCCAAGCACATGTTTGTCCCCTCTCCGCTTCACACAATGCTCGCGTGCTCACGTCTTGCTCCTGCAGCCGCAAGTATTACGAGCGAGTCAACTACCTGGTTCAGCAGTACCTGTACATCGACAGGCTGCTCGATTCGTCTCTGCCCCACGACCTGCTCAACGAGTACAACAACATGCCAGCGTCGGCCTTTCGCGGCGTTGAGGTTCCAGCCACCATCATGGAGACATCGTCAGCTCCGCTCGATAAACCCGCCCGCAAGGTCTTGCGAACCCCCAAAGCCATCTATTGTCCCACCGAAACCACTCCGCTGTTCTCGACCCGCGACGACCACTCTTATAGCGTTGCCTGCGACGACGACGATGTTGACGACGACGATGTTGAGGCCGGGCGGTCACAACCCGAAATTCCCTGGCTCGAAGACGAGGTGGTCGACAGCGACGCGCCCATCGTCACCCTCGCCATCTACGTCAACTTCGCCGCCAACCTGATTTTGCTGGCCGGCAAATTCGCCGTCATTCTCTCCGTCCCTTCCGTCTCGGTGCTGGCCAGCTTGGTCGACGCGCTCCTCGACTTCCTTTCTACCGTTATCGTCTGGGTCACCACCTTGCTGATCCGCAAGCAGGATCAGTACCGCTATCCTGTGGGCAGGCGGCGGCTTGAGCCGATTGGCGTGCTGGTCTTTTCCGTCATTATGATTACCTCGTTCGTTCAGGTCGCACTCGAGGCCATCCAGCGGCTTGCCTCTTCCGATTATGAGATCATCAAGCTGTACGTGCGATGCCTGTTTTCCCACTCCCAACAGCTTCATGCCGCGTCCCCAGTCTCGTACTGACAGTCTCCCGCAGCGGGATCCCAGCTATCTCCATCATGCTAGGTACCATTGTCATAAAAGGACTGTGTTGGCTGTGGTGTCGCCTCGTCAATAACTCGAGCGTTCAGGCACTGTGAGTTCTCCTAACCCCTTTTCTGCTTACGGGGACTAGCAACTGAACGGGCACAGAGCGGCAGATGCAAGTACAGGTACGTCTGGAATCACTACCCGACCGTTTCTCTCATTCTCTTTTTCTGACTCTAGTCAACACCACCCAGATGTCATATTCAACGCTGGCAGCATAGCGTTCCCCATAGGTACGCGCCCATTCTATTATCCCCTGGTTTCTGAGCAGGTGCTAAAAGAGACGCTCCTACAGTTGGTTACTATGCCGGGATATGGTGGCTCGATGCCCTCGGCGGCTTGATTTTGTCGCTCGTCGTCATATTCAACTGGTCCCAGACTTCATATGAACACATCAGGCATCTGTCGGGCTTCTCGGCCACAGCCGACCAAAGAAACATACGTGAGCCCAATCATTCTCCCTTTTGGAACCCCCCCGTGTCTTCTTCGGCTATCCGACCCTGACCATTCGCAGTGCTCTACTTGACCATGAGATTCGCCAAAACCATCAAGCAGATTCAGGGGTTACAGGCTTACCACGCCGGCGACAAGCTGATCGTCGAGGTCGACATTGTGCTGGATGCCAGCACCCCGCTCAAGGACAGCCACGACTTGAGGTAAGCCATCTCTCTATTCATATCGTCAACCAACCGCCGCCCACAACTGGCTCATGCGATGGAACAAACAGTGAGAGCTTGCAATACGTCCTGGAATCGGTTCCTATCGTCGACAGAGCTTTTGTGCATGTCGACTACGCGACGTATAACCTGCCCACTCACATGGATCAGCAGACCAGCTAGGGACGGTCGGTCACATGCGCACATTGGACGTTGGGAGTGAGAGTGTGTGCGTACCTGGATGTAGTGATAACGCTGGGAGATACTCTCGGCCTAGGGAGCCCACATCAGTGGAGTGACATCCTACGGAGACCAGAGCCCTACTTGCGGGCAAACCAGGACTTGACTCGCTCCCGGTGCGATATCCATGGGACCAAGGGCTAGCTTGAGCCATGTACTGTGAGGACACTTGATTAGGTAACATGCCCTGGGCTGAGGTGGTCGGTCCACGCAGAGAGCGACATCAAGTCGGATCTTCTAGCTGCCTTGAAAGCTGAGCACCTCAATGACTGAGATAGGTCGAAAGGAACCATCAAAGAGCAAGAACACTCGGCATCACTCTGATGTTGTCCAATTCTCTGTTGCATCTCTAGCTACGTAAGATTTTGCTACACCAGCCTATTACACGCTCCATACGACATACCCATCTATCCAGCGTTATGGGTCTTGAGACACGAGAAAAAACAAAGATACGAAAAAAAACAAAGACGCGAAGAAAAAAGCCATTGGAAGAACAGTCCATCGCAGCACACCCTCGCATCAATCAGTACGGAATCCCATTCGTCAGAAGCTGGAACTGATCGTAGATGCCGGTCGAGTAGCTGCCATAGCTTCGCTTAATGAGCCCCTTCATGAACTCGGCCGCCTCGCGCTCCGTCTTGTCCAGCACGAAGCGCTCCTTGAAGTGCTTGACGCTCTCGGGCTTGAAGCACGGCAAGCCGCTATCCATCATGAGTAGGACGATCTGTGAGAGCTTCTCCGTGTACTGCCGCGAGGCCAGGAACGCCTTGACACAAAGCTCCTCGAACCAGCGGAAGGACTGGTGCTCGGGGCTGCCGCCCATCACAGCCACCATCTCGGACGTGAGCTTGAAGGGGGCGCGCTCAAACTTAATGCCGCCGGGGGCGACGTCGAAGCAGAAACCAAAGTCGATGTGAAGGATGTGGCCTGCATCGTCAATCATGATGTTGCCGTTGTGGCGGTCCTTGAACTGGAGAAGGAACGAGATGACCGAGTAGGCAGCCATGCTCTTGACAAAGTTGTTCCGCGCCTGCTGGAAGCGCAAGGAATCCTCGTTGCCGTACTTGGACACAAAATAGTCGTAGAGCCCGTTAACAGCCTCGCGACCGAGCATATCCCGGGAAATGGAATTTGGCAGCACGTCAATGACGCCACACCCAGGTGCCGTCGCGGTAACGCGGTAGGGGAACACATAGACGTCGAGGCCGACGCTGTGGAAGATCCCGCGGAAGGCAGCAATCATCTGGAGTGCTAACACGTCTTGGCGGCAGTCGTCGCCCACTTTGAAGATGGCTGACTGCCAGACTTCGATCGTCTGCGTCGTCTGGACGGCCGTCTGGTTGTTGGTCTTGCCGACTTTCTCAAGCATCTCCTCTCCTTCTTGGATGCCACCCTTGCTCTTCTTGATGCGGAAAGTTGCCATGTAAGGAGCCTTGGCGTGGCTTTGCAGAGGTTTGCCCGACTTTCGATCGATACCAATGACCACGCCATCGGGGTTGCTCGGCAGATACACGCCGACTTCGACCTTGATCTTTCGGAGTTCTTCCTCGATCTTCTGCTTCTTCTCGGGCTTTGAGCGCCCGACCAGCGGCTTAAGCTTCCCTGAAATACTGGTCACTTCATCGAAGAAGGCGAACTCGCGTTCATAGAACTCCCGGTCAGCTTGCGAAAAGCTGTCAACCATGTGGCTCGTGACCTTGTCGAGGGTCGGCTTGAGGGAGTCGGGCTGATGGTAGCCGGGGTCAGCATGATTACATTGGCACTTCAATCCCGGGATCTCTTACAGTTTGGCAGTCGTCGTCCCTGTAGGCGTTTGCCTTCATATTCCAGATAATCTGATGGGCGAAGAGCTGTGAGAACTGCGCTGTCTCTAATATGTAGCGCTCCACATAGCCCAGGGCGTCGTGTCGAAGAGTTTGGACGATCTGGGGAACATAGAAAAAGGTCACATCGACCGAATGGCTCTCCAGCGCTCTCATCGCATACTGGATCACATAAGGATGGTGCCTATAAGCCGGCAAAAAGAGCGTCACAGCAGTGATAGGGTTGACTGGGGCCCAAAAAAGCAGGTACTGGCAGCATTGTTAGCAGGAAAACATAGGCAAATGCAGGGTCAGCACCCCGCCTGGTTGGCCTACCTTGAGTTGGAAGCTGACGTCGTCGGGCAATGCGCCGTCGATAAGGACGGGAATTGCCTCGGGTTCGGCAGCGGCCTTGGCGGTGAAGTTCAGCAGCAACCAACGGATCTCGGTCTGCACACGCGGGTAAGGGAATCTGCTCGCGAGGTGCACCGCCAACGATGGACTCTCGGCCCATGCTGTCCGGAGAAGGGGATGAACCGCGGCCTGTGTGTATTCGAACAGTCAGGTAAGCTTGACGGTTGGTTAAGAGACGGGGATGCGTACCTCAAACGCGCCATCTTTCCCACCGTGATGGAACGTCGAATGCGGCCTGAAAACGTCGACCGGGCGAGCCCAGACGTTCAGTTTCGAGTGCTCGCTTTCCAAGAATACTACAAGTAACTTCTCCTTGGCAGCGAGCGACTTCATTGTTCCAACAGATCGCGCACCGATAGTTGCCACCTCTCCCAAAGCCGCCACAATATCCTCAATCAAGCGGATCTCGGTTTTGAGCTGGAGGATGTTGCTTCCGAAGGACCAGCGCGGCGGAGCGTTGAACCAGCCAAGGCCAGCGGACAATATCTGGTCCTTCAGACGGTATTGCGCAGTGGCGCCCATTGTCGTGCTCGAGTTGAGGACCTTGAGTCCAAAGAGCAACACTTGGAATCGGATCTCTCTTGCCATTGGGTGAGGTGTGGCGTTTTTAACTGCCTCGAGCGTCACGTCAAGGAGGCGGAGGAAGAAGTGGTGCGTGTCTGGGTTGCCCAATCGGGTAGCGCTGTAATGGCTGCTCAAGAACTGCAGTAGCCGGGAGTGCGGAGAGAGCACGTTGTGGACGAACTGCTTATGCTTCGCAAGAGCCGCGTTGTCGCTCGGGGCAAACTCCTGCCGGAGGAAGAAAGGGTCGGGACTGGTGATGGAGGTGCTGAAGAGCCCCTGTCGTTTGTGAACGCTGGATTCCCAGCCCTGTACAATCTCCGCCAGGATACGCGGCTCCATCCTGGGGTTCTCGTTCATGACCCCAAGCCAGAGTGAAACTCCAAGCTTGATCGCTTGCTTGGTAAACATGGCAAACGGGATGCCGACAAGGTAGTGGATGATGGAGCATTCGTCCTGCTCGCTTCGACAAAGGAGGGCGGCAGCGCGACGGAGAATATCTCTCACATCCGTGAGAGACGTGGTCCTCCGACTGAGAATTCGCTTCTCGATGTGGGACAGCGCTGTTATGGCATCGGCGGTTTCGCTGGCGGACGACTTGAGGAATGATGCCCTGCGGTCCATGGACATGAAGCTGTACCACTCTCGGCTTTGATCGGGCAGAGCTTCCGAGTACCGGTATTCCTGCCGCGTCGTGTACTGGGCCATAAAGTCGGACGCTGTGTTTATGGGGTAGTTCCCCGGCATGTCAAGCGACGACAGTCTTTGGTCGGTTGATGGGATGGTCGAGCCGACTTCAACAGCGAACGATCTCCCAAGAGACAGATGACCATACCCGCTATCGTCGTCGAATTCAGAGAGGTATGTTTGTAGCAAGCCCTTGATATCAGCAGGCGCGATGTTGATGGCCCTGGAAAGCCAGGTCCTTGCCTTCTTGTACAGGTTGTCGAGAGTCAACTGCCTGAACTGGTAGTCGTCCGAAAGTTCGACAACAACATCGGCCCTGGAGGACCTGAAAGTGGTCCGTGGCTCGTACCGGTCCGTTTCCGCTTCCAGGCAGCTGGCCCACATCAACGAGAGCAGCTCAAGGAGCGTGAAAAGGGATGACCGTTGGCAGAGAGCCGACGGTATGGCCTCTATGAGGCGATCTGCGCAGCCGAACGCCGCCTGCTGCACTCGCTCGATTCGATGGCAGCAGCTGCAGAATATGGCGGCAAGCTGGGCGGCGGCGTACTGAGCGGAGAAGGTGGGATTCGCGGCATTCACTGTTTTGTCAAGGTATCGCTCAACCACGGCGTGCATGATGGCGTCCATGGTGCGGCTCACCTCGCCTCGCCGCATGCTGGGCTCGAGGAAATACGACAGGGCCTTGGTGCAGTCGCCGGCGTCCGCCCGCAAGCTCTCCACCAACCAAGCAGCCTGAAGAAATATGGTTTTGCGATAGCTGAGTCCCTTGATCTCGCTACTTCTTGTGGGGATCAGCTCGGCAAGGAGCTTCTTCTGCCACGACTCTCGATCGGAACTCTCCCCTCTGCGCAGGATGGGATTGAGATCGATGTCACTCTCATCCTGTTCCCCGCGGTTTTCGGAGACCAAGGGCGGCGAGTGAATTGCCATGATCCGGAGGTGTTTGAGAGTTTGCTTCCCGCGTTCAGTGGAAGATGTGAAGCCATGGACGACAATGTTGAACCACGCATCACGGAGCATAGAGCGGATATCGTCATCCGAGGGGTCGCCGAAAGTTAGCGGGTTGGCGGACATGAGGACAGCGAGAGGCGGGAGGAGTTGGGCGATCTCCCGAGCAGCCAATTCCATGTCTGATTCCTTGGCATGGTGACTCTGGTTGGCGTGAGCGTCGCCTTGCGAGATGATGCCGTCGAGCAAGTGCTCCAGATATATATCGAACAAAGGCGAATCTCGCCGAATGTTGGCAGAGATATAATTCCGCCCCTTCATAATCTGGCCGAGAGTACCATCAGCTCGCGCAACGTGCAAGCACTCAGAGCAACTCTTCCTGGGGACGGACTACTTACCGCATGCAGCATTCCGTCTCTGCCTTCCATGACAGCGTCATGGGCAACGGCGGCATAGCGCTTGAGGAGATTGCGGAACTCGGACTGGCCACCGCTGAGAGCCAGGGATGCTGCACCGGTGATGATGCGGGCATCTAGGGGAGTGCTTAGCTTGACAATCTTTTGCGCGAGCATTGACTGGGCGAGGCCGGTAATCTTCTCGTCTTTCGAGGCGCTGGCAATTTCGCAAATAGCTTGCACCACGTTGCCCTGGACAATCGACGACTCCTCTTCGCCAGATATCCGCAAAGAGATGGAGCTGCCAGTGGAGTGCCTGCCAGCGTAAACATGTGACGTTTCCTGGCCGTCGGCCACACCAGTCCCGTTGGTAAGGGGGCGATCGCTCCCAGGACCCAAGACATTGCCAAGGGTGTACAGGGTGGTGATAACGGCATCCTTGGAAAGCATCTGAAGCACAAAGGCGAGTGACTTGGAAGCCACGGCAACCATCTGGCTCCTGGCATTGCTCTGAACTATGAAGCGGGGGAGGAGACGACTGACATTGACGGCGTATGAGGGTGACACCCTACACAGCAGTGCCAGGGACTTGAGCACTATGGCGGCAAGCTCGTGATCAGCCATACCTGCGGAATCGCTTAGAGAGTCCTCAAGCCAGGTCATGAGGACTTCGGCGTCGGCAGCATCCTGATCCAGAGAACACGCGTTGAGATAGCTGATTAGGGCGCAGGCTTTGACGGAGAAAGCCAGCCTCTGCTTTGCCGGCGAGAGGCTGTCAAAATCGGCACTCGATTCCAGGTCGTTCATCTGGTCAATGGCGACCGCGGCGTACAGCTCGACCGAGCGATAATCCGCCTCAGCGCTACGGGCAGTCAGCGGCCGGCGCAGGCCTTTGCCGAACATCATGATGTCGAGAACGTGCGATTCCCGCAGTGCGTCCTCCTCGGCAACCAAGAGCGATGTAACAGTTACCAGGAGCCTCATGAAGCTCCGCTGCAGTAGCAGGGCGCCTAACGGGCGGCCGATATCCTCATAGTGGTGCACCCACCGTTTCCACTCCTTGTACTCCTTGATACGGCGGTCATGGGTATGCGCATTTCGAATAGTCGAAAAGGCGGCCTCGACGGCAACGAGAAAAGGCTGCGAAAGAAGATCGCGCACCCGCATAACCAAGCCAAGACGACCGCCGGACCGCCAGAAACCGGCCTGGGCACAGGCAGCATCCAGGAAACCCAAGAGCGCAATGGCGATGGTGGCAGTTCGGGTGGCATCCTCCAGCGCACCGGGGTCGTCATTGTCGGCACGGGAGACGCTCTCGGTCGCGTGAGCACATGTGCTGAGGAAGGCCGAGATGTTGTCATAAACGGTCTGCTGCACGTCTCCATGATGGGCTCCCAAAGAAAGCAGGGCGGCTGTGACATGAAAGCTCAAGGATTCGGTCGGAGACGGCTCGATCTTGCGGAAAAAAGGCGACGGGGCAAATGATTGAACGTGGGCGTCCAGTAGGTAAGGGGCGAGGTGACGGGACAGCTTCTGGGCGCTCTGGGGCGTCTGCAGAGAGGGCGCTGTTTTGCAGAGGGCGAGCAAGATCTCGAACTCGCGGATGGTCTACCGAGCAGGGCCCGAATCAGCCAGAGCTCTAAGAAGGCAGGAGTCAAGCGGCGACTGGCGGGGGGCTGGCTACCATTGGGACACGGCCAATGTCGGACCTTGGGAGTGATGCATTGTGGCCATTGATAGTGGATCCCGGGGCTTGACGCGTCGGTGTAGCTTTGCACAATCTGTCTAGATCGGACTTGTCGAATGAGTCGACCGGGTTTGTCGTCGCCAGCGCGGCAAGCCGCTGGAGGGCCTGAAACCGGAGATCGCGAGCCATCGGGAGCTGAGCGGATGGAGCGGATCGATGGAACCGGGGGCACGGAGCATCAATCAACCAGAACTCAATTGAGTTGATGCGCGAGGACCAAAGCCCTGGAGGATAACCGAAGGAGTCGGTATCGTCGTCAACGGAAGACACAGCCAACGATGCAAACATGCACGGCACGGCGTGGCACAGGCTACAATACCTAGGTAAAGTATGAGAGCCAGGCCTGACTGTCCACTGCAGACCAGCTGGGTCACGCACGGTTGGAATGGGCATGGAGGTCAAGTGTTACCAACTTGCAACTGACAACGACAATTAAAGTGGATCCCTTGCATTGCGTCTATCAATCCAATCGGGGGCTTCTGGATGGACTTGGTCATGAATGGAGCTTGGACCACACCGAAGTTACTGGCTCTTCAAGGCTGCAGGCTGCAGGGCTGACGCGAGCTGGCGGCTGGCTCTTTGAAACACCACTTGCTCGAGCTGAAAGTCGCCCCCATCAACTCAACACCGCAACAACGAAAGAAACCTCTGTCAACTTGCCGAACGCCCCGAATCGGACTACTGTCACCTTCAGGATTCAAGGGGGATATTGGTATCGCCCGCACCAAGACACTATGGCCATGTTCAGCCAGAACCCGCTCGTGAATGGGCCAAACTACTCAATTAGCGACATGCCGAGAGTAAATGCTCCCGAGGGTGCGCGAGAGCATCGTTTCGACCCGTACGATCTCTTTCTGGGTTATGCTATGTGTTGCTGCAGGCCGGCTGACTCTCAATCTAGCTACACCGACAACGGCGGCTCGACCCTCGCAATCGCCGGCGCCGACTTCACCGTCATGGCCGGCGACACGCGGCTTACCTCGGGCTACAGCATCAACTCACGACACCACCCTAAGCTGTTCAAGATTGGCGGGACAACGGCCGACCAGAAGGATGCGACCATTGTGCTCTCGGTGGTGGGTTTCGCGGCCGACGGCGAGGCCCTCAAGGAACGCCTTGATGCCATTTGCAAGATGTACCGCTACCGCCACGGCAAGCCCATGAGCGTCAAGGCCTGTGCGCAGCGGCTCTCGACTATTCTATACCAAAAGCGCTTCTTCCCATACTATGCGTACGCCATCCTGGGCGGGCTGGACGAGGAAGGCAAGGGCGCCGTGTATTCGTACGACCCGGTTGGCAGCTACGAGCGGGAGCAGTGCCGAGCCGGCGGCGCAGCTGCGAGCCTGATCATGCCTTTCCTGGACAATCAGGTCAACTTCAAGAACCAGTACATTCCACACAGCGGCGAGGGGCACGCTCTGCTGGAGCGCGAGCGGCGGCCGTTGGCGCGGCACGAGGTCGAGACACTGGTCAAGGATGCGTTTGACGGGGCTGTTGAGCGGCATATCGAAGTGGGCGACGGCTTGCAGATGATGATCATCACGAAGGAGGGAATTGAGGAGGTGCTGCTGCCTCTCAAGAAGGACTGAGCCAGGAGTGCACATTCTCAGCTCGGGCATGTACATTATCGGGATCCTATCACATTGGCTCCTGGGCCCGTGTCCTTAGCAGAGCAGCTACCGAGCCGCGACAACCGGGACCGAGTCCGTGCCCGGCTGTCACGTATCTTGGCGACGATACTCTCGGCTTAGCGTTAACACAAAGGATACCCAGCAACACGCCGCAAATTGAACTCGGGATTCAATGCTTGATCCACAGGTGCACACCCGGCCGCCCTGGCGGTAATACTCTTTGCATGTCACTTCGCTGCCCGTTGCTTTCGACGAGCGGGAACGCAAGCACTGAGTGGTTGGCATGAGGGCGGTATGTCCAACGTGTGGTCTTCGCGGCGCATCTAAAGCTTCTTTCGCCACTTTTATGTCTAGGGTTAACTACTCCGTTTCTAAACCATTGTGTATGGCCCATTATTGACTCAGCAACCCGACTCAAAAGATGCAGGAGTTTATTACCTATGTTAAAGGATCCCCGTCACATTCATCGACGCCAGTACTAAGAGCACCACAACTCAATCCAGCCCTTGCCAACTTCTCATCGTGTTGTGGCGCTTGATTACATCATCCCAGTCCACTGTGAGCATCGCGAAGCCTGTATTCTCTCCCAATGGCAAACTTTGTGTCCAAAAGTTTTGAGGTAGTGAGCCAACGATCATGACACCTGCTGTCTAGCATCCTGGCGGTGCTATTCTTGTGGGGTACTCCCTATGACGTAACCGAGTCGGCAGGACCACCAGCACTGCGAATGGCGACCCACCCTGGTGGTGAGTCCACCACCGCATCAAGCAAGCTGTCGCATGCTGAAAGACTGAGCAGACCAGGCGCTGATGACGGGAGTCTTGATATCGACGATAACGCCGACCCCCGTTCTCCATGGGCCCCCAATGGCCCCTACATCGTCATCGCCTTACCAATAGTCCCCGCAGTTGTCCGTGGCCACGCACTAGCGTCATGAAGAGATCGTCTGGGCACCTTCTACGGTGAAGGTCTAAAAGACCTCGATGTATGGGGATAAGCTTTCAGATGGAGCAAAGACGACCTCGCTGGTTCCAGCTTAGACCTGGCAGCAAATGCCTTCCAGCTGGCGTACCAATGGCGGCAGGTGCATGTTCTTTGGATGGGGAGCATGTAAAAACCAGGGCCCTGAAAATCACTGAATACCGGATGTAAGGTATCCAGCTCTGCGATTAGTAGTGGTGGCAAATCGCATCCCATCTTTGCCTGTTCCAGATTCAGACTGCGTAGCTTTGCCGCCCTAGTTTATCCCATCATCTTCAGTCACCCGGAGTTCCGCCACAGTACACTTGGTTCGTTTCTCGGCCCCTTTTCAACCGAAGTCTCCTCTGTCTGACACACCTGCCATCCTTCCTTACTATGTAGTCAGTTTCCTCGAGCTGTGTCCTTGCTCCGTGCACCATATTCAAGGGCTCTTGTTCGGAACATCAGATCAACGCAGGGTCCTGCTCTGTAAAGCGCTCCTCCAACCAATCCCGCGTGCCAACGGCCGAGTCTTGAGGGTACGCACCGTGGCCCCCCTTTCCGGACCGGTCCCCGTCCCACCCGGGTTCTAGATGCACAAGGCTCACACTGCTCACTGGTGGGTGTTGAGTTAGCTGACCCGCCGCCGCCTCTACCCCCTCCTTCCCAAGGCAACTCATAAACAGTACCCCGTACATATCGTCGGTTTGGCCACCGCACCAAAAGGTGATCCGTGACATCTCTTGGCTCTCTTCGCTCCAAGCCACCACTCGGAGGGACCCCGTCTCATAGGAGCCAAAGCTAACAGCCTTTGGCAGAATTCGACATACCTTTGTCTACAGACCAAGAATCCCATCTTACGAGGGTTCGCCGCCGTGCACTTTGCGCCACTGGAAAGCGTTGTTTTAATACTGGCCACTAACAGGCCGTTCTTTTCCAATCATACCCCTGAGTTTCGGTCAAGAACATCCCACAAGAGCCTTCCCCGGACCACTCTGAGTACCGGAGCCAATTCCCCTGCTCCGACCATTCCATAACTGCCCTGTTTAAACTGTGGCGAACAACTGCCGTGTGTCTTCGAGGGATTGGTCCCCACTCTTTCTTCCTCTTCTTCATCTCATCCGCCTGGCCGCCATCTTCTCCGGGGTTGTCTTTTTGACACCTATCCGTTGGGTTTCTCGCCTGCCTCAGGAAGGCATTGGTGAACCAACTCCATTTTTGCTTTCTCTGTGCCCGGTCGTTGTTCGCGCAGGGCCGTGCAGCACGAAGACAACGTTACTCTACTAGCGAAGCAACGACACCGCCCGGCTACAGGGAAGCCTGGGGACGGGAAACACCGTTAGGTGGTTACTGGGATACTGGCCGAGTTCCCAGCCTCCTCGGGCTCGCAGTCACCAGTGATTGCTTCTATGGGAGACGAGACAGCCCAACCTGGAGGTTCAGCCGAGTTCTCACAAGACGCCTCAGTCCCTGCCGTCCCAGCCCCTATACCACATAGTTCAGGCCCCATCGCTGCCAAGTATTCATCCGCCAGCCCCCAGCATGCTTTTATGGCCCAGCTCATCATGACTCACCGACAACGGACAGCGGCGTTCGACATGAGCGCCCTGGCAAACACACTACCGCAGGGGCTTTATCGACCACTCAATGGCCACGGCCAGCAGCGATACAACACGTTCGCGCCTCCCGTTGCCGGTAACCAGCTTGGCGTTTCCAGTACCGTGGGCCCCATGCCCACGCAGGAATACTACCTCGCGCAGCAAACCCATATGGCACACTTCTACCAGACGCCCATGTCGTCGCAAGCGCCCCCTGCCATGACCTCCAGAGCCGACCAAGGCTACTACCCAAGCCCAGTCCTCATGAATCAAGCAGCCCATGGCGGTGTCCACTTCTATTACTCGCCTACGGCGGCATTCCAGGGGCATAGTCCTCATGTTCACGGACATGTTGCACTCGGTCAGTACGGGCTCATACCGACTGTGCATCAGCACGCGGATCCGAGATCGCCGCAGTCCATGCCAAGCGGCCAAGAGGTGCTCCGGGTGCCTCCCTCAGCTGGCCCGCAGGTCAAGGGTAAGCTCAAAAGCTCATGGTCTTAGATGACAATCCAGAGTCAGATCAAAGGGTTAACTGTCTCAAGCAGGAGGCATCAATGGGCGCCGGAGTATTGTCCGGGGACCGCCCAGAAAGCCAAGGCAGAGTGGTAAGCTTGACCTTAAAACCGATCTGCCGCTTTACTTGTGCGAAGTCAGGCTAATATTCACTTCCCCAAGGCCACGCTATCTGGATTGGAAACCTCCCCCCGCAGACGGATCTGATGAGCTTGGTGCACCACGTGTGCAAGGAGACCGAAGGGCTGGAGTCCCTTTTTCTGATTTCCAAGAGCAATTGCGCCTTTGCCAATTACAAGGACGAGCAGCTGTGCTCGGCGGCGCAGCGGAAATTACACGATTCCAACTTCATGGCGGTCCGCCTGGTCAGCAGGCTGCGGAAAAGCACGGTGGAAGGGCCAGCGGGTGTCACGGCTCCCACGGGGCCATCCGCATCGGCACCGCAGGCGCCATCTTCGCAAGATGACAGCGTCTCTGGAGTTGAGGGTGGCGAGACCAGGGAAGAGAATGGCGCCTCGGTCAGTTATGGCACCGCAGCTGCCCACGAAGCCAAAGCCGCGGCGTCTTTGATGGATGCTCGGCCCGTGCAAAGGGACCGCTTCTTCGTTCTCAAGAGCTTGACGATAGAAGACCTCGAGTTGAGTGTCCGGACAGGCATCTGGGCCACGCAGGCACACAACGAAGACATCCTAAACTCGGCATTCCAGGTGAGCAGTCCATAACATGGTTCAAACACTTTGTCTCGGAAAAAGGGGGTGCTTCCAATTTGATACTGAACTCGACTAACTCGTCCCCCTTCCCCACCGCAGACCTCAGACAATGTCTATCTCGTGTTTTCGGCCAACAAGTCCGGCGAGTACTTTGGCTACGCGCGCATGGCATCGCCCATCAACTCGGACCCGGCAGCCGCTATCGAGTTCGCGCCGAGCGTGCAGTCGGCCAGCGAGGTCGAGCTCCCCAAAGCCATACCGACCGAGGCGACCGAGTTCGCGCCCAAGGGCCGCATCATTGACGACTCGGCCCGCGGCACCATTTTCTGGGAGGCAGACCGTGACGACGACAATGACGACAACAACAACAAGGCAGCAGCAGCAGCCACGTCCTGCGATGGCGGACAACAACAACACGACGACGAAGGAGTCTCTGGCAGTACTAGCGGCTCGGCGGCGGGAGGAGTAGGTGCGGACACGGGGAGCGTCCGGAGCGGCCAGGATGGTAGTAGCAGCGTGAGCGTTGGCGCGGCGGCGGGCAGAGAGCCCAACAGTAAGGCGTGGGGCAAGCCATTTCGGCTCGAGTGGCTATCCACGTCGCGTCTCCCCTTCTACCGGACGAGGGGGCTGAGAAACCCTTGGAACTCTAACAGGGAGGTCAAGATCGCGAGGGACGGCACCGAGCTCGAGCCGTCGGTAGGGAGGAGGCTGATCGGGCTTTTCAATAGGGTGCCACAGAGCCCGGCCCTGCCCATGCTTCCGCCCATGGTGGCCCCTATGGGCAGTGCGGTAGTACAACTCCAAGGGCCGCCGACGCCTGCCACGATGGCTGGGTATTACGCTGTGCGATAGTGGGGGGGAGGGGGGGAAGTTCCAGGCGTGTTATTGCTCGCGGGTTAGATAGTAGCGTCAAAAGGGGTAGGTTTGTTAGAAGAAGCCGAAGCGTGCCTACCTATATATCCGCACTCACTGTTGCGCAATGGTGCATCTCCGTCTCTGTTTCACGACCCGTGCCTGCACCACAAGCATGGATGGAACTAACCATTCTGTCCGAGCCGAAATGTGGTTTTCGACCTTGGGTGATGCGATGCGTTGGTTGATCAAAATACAGTACGACCATCAATTCGTCCTACCCTTAATCCAGGTAGCGATCCAGCTTGCGAGTCTAGCTCCATCCAACTAAGGTACCTCGACTGCGCAATCTGTTACAAAGCGATGGTCGAAAGGATGTTTTTTACATATATGATTTTAGGCTGCACTAACAGAGCAAGTGGAGCGGTACTTGCGACCATGCTGCATACGAGCTCCTTCCCTGACTTGGACCTACTACACTCTACTGAGACTTGCTTCGCATCAAAGGAGCCACGGCAATGGGGAAGTCAGGGCCTAGGGTTCGTGGACCCAACCTACAGGTAAATGAGCAGCATCAAGAAGTTCACCTCGCTGTGTGACACAGTCCGCAAACGGTTGATGTCTCCAGGCTGCAGCACCATACCTTGCGCCGGTACATCTGGGGTTGAGGATGAACATGATGAGCCCGCTGTTTGTTGACGGGGACCTTGGCTCCAAACAAGTTGTTCCTGATAGTTTGACAGTATCAATGCTAAGCAGTACTGACAATAACAGTAGTTCTTTGGTTCACATAACGTTAACGTTATATGCAATAAGTCCAGGAGGATGACGTCATGCTTATGAGTGGAGCTTTTCAAAGATTCATGGCGCAGGAGGTGATCTGCGCTCCACTGCCGACGGCCCCTCACTTCTAGAAGCCACTGGCGGCTCCTGGGCAATGCGATCAGCGCAACAACACCTCTCAGCCTCAGCTGTCGTGTCCGGTCGATTAGAACCATGTGCAACGCTTTGCCTTTTGGTTGTCACAATTGGAATGTCCACGTCGATCGGTCTGGAAAGCTCCAAGGGCTTCGTTTTGCTGATGGCCACAGCAGCCAAGCCGAAGCCTCCCAATCGCTCTTGCTCTGTCTCACTTCACGCCTTCATTTACGATGTTCCATGACCATGCCACGGAATTCGAGAATCATCTGAGAAGCTCAATCTCACTCCAGCTGGTGATGTTTCATGATGAAGTGTGTGGAAGGTGCTGCTGTCGGACCTCATGCGTATATAATCCCCAGAGAGACCCGGCTTGAGCCCTCATCCTTTCCTCTAGTCATCAAATCAACAAGACAGATTTCACACAGCTCACAATACCATCCTGCGCTTGCAACTCTCTCATCAACTCTCTCAAAAGCAACTCTCACCACACATCACCAACAACATGTCTCTCTGGGGCAACTTCTACGACCCGGACCCGAGCTTCACCCCGCTCTTCCGGCTCTTGGACGAGTTCGACAACTACACGCGTGAGTCCCGTGGCAACAGCAATGGGCGCTCTCGCAATCGCGGTCGCCAACAGGTCAGCGTCTTCCACCCCAGGTTCGATATCAAGGAGACGGAGACGGCCTACGAGCTCCACGGCGAGCTGCCCGGCATCGAGCGTGACAAGATCAACATCGAGTTCACCGACCCTCAAACCCTGGTGATCCGCGGCCGCACTGAGCGATCCTACAGCTCCGGTACCTTTCCGGCAGCCTTCGTCGAGAACAGCAACCAGCCGGCTGGGGTCATCACGGAAAAGGGCGAGAAGCACGCCAACGAGTCCAACAACAACAACGACGACGCAGAGCAGTCCAACAACAACGGCGCCGGAGGGAAGGCCAACAAGGCGCCATTTGAGAAGTACTGGGTCCAGGAGCGCTCCGTTGGCGAGTTCGCCCGCACGTTCAACTTCCCCAGCCGCATCGACCAGGACGCTGTCTCGGCCAGTCTCAACAATGGCATCCTGAGCCTCATCGTTCCCAAGGCCAAGAAGCACGAGGCGCGCCGCATTGCCATCAACTAAAGATTGCCTTGCTGCTTCCTCTCGTTGTTGTTTTCTTCGACCGCCATGGCAACATCGCGATGAGTTCGGATCGGGGCAAAGGTCTGAGACATATGTTGGCGTCTGATTAACTTTTCGGTGGTCTGGTAGCATGTTCACTTGGGCGCGGATTTTACTGCATTGCTTTGGCGTTTCAGTTAGGGAGAGGATTCTAGAATCAGCGAGTATTGGGTTGTATGGCGGTCTATGCTGCATTGGAGTCGCATATTGATCGATCAACCAATCAACAATAAAGAGGCACTCGTTTTCAAACCTTTTCCGTGCCATCCTGCATGTGAAACTAGATGTATTTGTGTTTGCTTGCCATGACTGATGTCCACGGGTGAAGCCCACCGAGACCGGGTTTCTAGATACCCGTCCCGCAAGATCCCAGGAGTTTGCCGACGCCATTGGGTGGTATATCCTGACTTCGTGATGTCGTGCCGAGCCCATGCCGTCGCTGTGAACTGAGATGACAAAAGAAGTCAGCTCGAGGCTCCAATACCTGCCATATGCTCAAGGCCAAATTCAGGCTCATGCGTGAGCACTGTGGTGCCCTCGATCATTCGGCAGAGATGTACATGACTGATGATTGACAGTTAGCCCACGGCCCATGGAAGACATGATAAAGACGTAGGAGACGGCCACTGACCGTTGTTGCCTCGGACGAATGCGTCACCGTAACTCCGCCGCTTCACGCCGTTGACATACTCTTCGGCCTTTTCCAGCGCAATGTTCATATATCCGTCCACCGACTGAAGCTCCCCTGTATAGTTGAGCAATGCATAGTCAGCAGACAATCATATTTGGCCTTCCCAAAGCTGTTTGCGAGTGGGTGTGAGTGAGACAACTTGCCCTTGTAGACAACACCCGAGTTAAGCTTGACGGTAACAGGGTTCCCGATGATCTCGCTAAGGAATCCCGAAGGATCCTTGCCTTCACCATGCGTGGCAGCGCCGTTCTCCATTATTGAACTGATAGTCGTGATATTTGAGCTGCGTGGTGCGGTCTGCAACTTCGAGGATCTGTGGTGTTTCCACACAGGTGTCTTGACTGTTGATGGGAGCCGCAGCAACATTGAGTGCTCCCGCTTGGTAACTGGTCCCACTTTTAGCCGCTCACTGGCCAATCATAATCTGGTCAAACATGGCACACGCCAAGGCCCGGTCCCTGGAGCTGTCAACCTTCCCCAACCTCAAACCAGGCACTGATTAAACGTCCTGTATGGTTGCTGTGACGGATGAAGGCGAGGGTGAGTGGGGGACAGCGACTCCAAGTATCAGAACAAACTTTGGTAATTATCATGAACTGAATATGAAAGTATAAATTTTCTCTCCATGCCTTCTTGAGGTCTGCGTGTGGGTTTCTGCATCGAACGGCAGGTGCGTCCTCTCGTCTCAAGCGTGCAAGCCTTGAGGCCAACAACACAGCCTCGCGCCGAACCAGTTATAGAGATGAGTATTTCGTATTTCTTCCACACAAACCTGTTCTGCGCCTCCACTCCGTTTTTGTTTCGCCTCGCCCGCTGCCCCAACAGGCAGCCCCAGGTCTCTCATCCCGCGGGCAATCCGCCATAACCACTGGCCGCTAACGCCCCTCTTCGCTCTTCATCCTCACCATGGGCGGCTCGGCTTTTTCTTCGCTTCCCGATCCCCCATACACTCCTCGAATGTCACGTTCGGTATACCAGCACGTTGTCCCTGCATGTCATGCTGCGCTGCGGGAGCTCTTCGTCTGTGTGGCGACACCGATTGAAGGCCCCGAGAAGAAAGACCATGGAGACATCGATATCCTCGTCGCTCTCGAGAGGCGCGTGGTATTCCCAAAGGCCATGGACCACCCAGTTCAGAGTCCTCCGCATGAGTTGATGGGCGCTGTCCAACGCGTCCTCCATGCCAAGGATGCCATCATCCACCCGACCGGGTCGTCGGCTAACTTGGCGATACCTTGGCCTTCGAACATGAACCCCGTTTTCGCCATGCATGATGAGGCATCCATGATGGAGGACTCTGCCACTAACCACGAGGAGCCAAGGGACAAGTACATACAAGTCGATGTCCGCATCTGCCCGGATGTGGACCAGCTCTGCTGGGTAAGTGTCCCACCGGGAGCGAGGCACGGGATTGGGTGATAGATCAACACTAACAGGCCACATAGATTCTTTTCAAGCATGCCCACGGCGACATCTGGAATCTCCTCGGTAGCACCATTCGGCCCTTTGGCCTCACACTCGACGAGGAAGCACTCTGGCTGCGCATACCGGAGATCGAACAGTTCGACCGCAAGAAGGCGAAGGTGTGCCTCAGCCGCGAACCCGTCGAGATCCTGCACTTTCTAGGGATGAAGGTGGAAGGCTTCTGGGCTGAGCCGTTCGAGTCCGTGGATGCCCTCTTCGACTACGCGACGACTTGCCGGCTGTTCTATGTCCGAGCAACACCTGACGACGACGCAGACGCCGACGCGGCCGAAGCCGGTGTCATTGGTGGGGAGGAAGGACGGAAAAAGCTCAGGTCGAATGATCGACGGCGTATGAAGGGCCGCCCTGTGTACCGACGTTGGATCGATGAATTCATCCCCGGACTCCGCGCGCAGGGGATATTCGTTCGCAAGGGACCCGGAACATCTGTCGAGGAGGTGCGATGCATGGTTCGAGATGAAGCCTTTGCTCGCTTCTTCGTCGAGCTCGAGTACAAGCAGCGGCTCAGGGAGTGGCAGCTGAAAAAGAATAGGGAGCATATCAAGTCCGTGATTAAGGAGCAGGTCCCCATCGACATCGAGTCCCAGCGGAGGGCCTGTCTAATTTCAGCCATGCGGAAGATAGTCATGGAGGACGACTCGTCTTTCGGGACTGTCCCTCCAGGCCTAAAAGATAGGGATGGTTTCTACAATACAGAAGCTGTATGCAGCTTTGTCCAGGGGAATTTGGACCGGGTGGGCGACATTGCATGGACCAGGCAACAGCAGAAGGCCAAGGAAGCCATATTGCTGAAAGAATCCAGTCTGAAGGTGGAAGCTGGTATCGAGGGGATAGTGTAATCTAAGACACGCACAGCGAAGAGAATCAACGCTCCAGAGTCCACCTCTACTTGATGATGGCAGCCATTGCTTGTTCACAACGAAGTAAAAACCATAATATGTGTGCAGATCAGGTCACCGAAGACCGAAGTTGTTGTATCCGCAGATCTCGGGTTACTAAGATTAGTAACTGTTGTATCTTGGAATAACAACAGCTCGGGCCTTCTCGCCCCCCAAGTACAGTCGTGGAAGGCGTGCTGTTCAGCATAAACATGCTCAGAAAATCGAAATAGAGCAAATCCAGCCAAGGAACGCCTTGCTTTCCCTTGGTTCCGCCATGTCAAGCCAAACTGCACCACGGCTCACAAGCCAGGTGAGGAAATCTAAGCAGGGTACCTATCCTCTGTCGAACAGACATCATGGTAGCGACAAACAATGCGCCAACCTAGCCGCTACAGCCTCTCGTCGCCGGCAATGCTCTCCTCTTCCTCCACTTCATACCCCATCTCCTGCGCTGACTGGATCTTCTCTTTGGCCTCCCTGACAGACCTCCAGCCGCTCAACACGGCCCTATCCTCGGGGCTCTCAATAAAGGGCTTGATCACGCCCTTCTTGGCCAGCCGCCTTCGATGTTGCCGCCTCTGCTGCCACGTGTATCGAGACGTGTCAACGCTGGCGATATCCGTCCCCGTGGCGGCATCTCGCATGTCTGCCAGCCAATCCTCCACCTCGGGCCGGAGGCGATGTGCCAGATTCCTGCCCTGGCCGCCGGTGATCCACTGGTCCAGCTTCACCGGGATGGCGTAGCCCCAGACTGGGTCGTCGGAGGACCAGTCGCAAGGCATCCCCGGGTAGCAGTATTCGGGCTTACAGAACCAGAAGCACATGCATGACTCTGCGAGATACCAGAGAGAAAGCAGGAACATGACAAGTCCGAGAAGGGTCAAGCGAAGCTTTGGCCGGCGATGCCACAGGCGAGGCAGGGGCAGGTGGACATAGGTCACGGCGGAATCCGCTGTCCGCTCGGAGCCTTGGCAAACGGGACACGACGGAAACTCTCCCTTGGCTCCGCCTCTCTCTTTCTTGATACCTTCGCTGTGAGCCGTGCGTGGGGGATGTTCCTTTTTGATATCCGCGTCGGCGACCTCTTTTTCTAACCGCTCAATCCCTTGCTTTGCGCTTCGAATGCCGAGGAGCCCGGTCTCCAGGGATCGGCTCATCCGGTCGTACGCCTCGAGCTCCTTCTCCCTGTCAAGTGTGGCATTTTCGCTGGTTTCGGATTTTGGTCTTCGGATGCCCAAGCTAGCAGCGCTCGGGGGCGCCGGAGCGTTGAGCAAGCCGGCGATGTCGTCCAGAGTAGAGTCGTCAATTTGGTTGACTCGCTGGATTTCTAGCAAATCGTCCTTGACGGTCGGCGGCTTGACCGTGTTGATCAAGGGCGCGCGACTCCGGGATAATGACCTGGCGCGCCGGCGAGCAGAGAGCGATGTTGGGCGCCCGAGGGATCTGTCACCCGTCGATGACCGTGTACGTTTCGGCTGGCGCGCTGCGATATTTTCCTTTCCGTCTTGTGCAAGCAGAGATTTGGAGTGCTCGCCGCCAGTGGTGCTCAGACGTCTGGCACCATTCTTCACAGGCTCGGTGTCCTTCTCGGCGGCCTGGACTGTTGCGAGTTCTTCTAACTTTTCCACTCTGACCGTTGCTGGCGTCTCTACAAACGCCCCTGTGATTCTAGGAGTGGGCTGTGTCAGAGGATCGAGCTTGGTGGGCTTTGGGGTTTCGTGGGGTTGCTCCTGTTCGGGCTCCGGCGATGGGGCCCCCAGGGAACCCCTTTCTGACTGGTTGTCTTGGGGAGCAAAAAGCTTCATTTCTTGCTCTATGCGCTCGGTAGGATCGGAATCCGACTGCACAAAGCTTGCTCGTTTTGGAAGCCTTGATTCAACCGATGAACTTCTGGAAAGACCCGCAAACCCGACAGATGGTTTGAAGATGCTCTTAGCGCCACCAATTGATCTTCTCTGTCGCGGACGGTCCAATAGCTCTCGGTCCCCAATCGTAGGGGCTTGGCTATCTGTAGCCATCTGCGCTTCTCGCGTTGGGCTGCTGCTCCTAGCGGCGGCCAGTCGGCGCGAAATATCACGCGAGTTGTTTCTATTCGGTGAACCGTCGCGGCGAGTCTTTTCCCCTCGGCTCATTCCGCGGGTGTGGCTTGCATCTCCTGTATTGGCCGGGGAATGATCGTGGTTGAGGGTGCCAAGATCAAGTATGCGCTGACACGCCTGGTCTTGTTCGGCTGGCGCTGTAACCGCAGGGAGTTCCCCAACTTGTCTCCGCAACCGGCCGCGGAGCGGAGAGAAAGCTCGTAAGGGTTCCTTGGTGGACCTCCGCGCATTATCTGGGGACGGTGAACGCGATGTCTCGAGATGTCTGTCCCAAAATTCATCTAGCCCAGCCGTGGCGAGCGTCCTCCTAGATAGACTCTCGATCTCACGGGCCGTAAGCTCATCAATCCTCATGCTTGCTCGACTGACTGGCCGGCGGTTGGGAACTTCATCCTCGTCGGCTGCTCTGGCTTCATCAAAGCCCAGAGGTTCGTCGGCAGCTTTGAGGGCAACTTCGATCTCGAGCGGCTCAATCTTCTCAACCTGGTCTGCCTCGTGGCCCAAAGTCTGGGGAATGCGTCGCTCAATCTCGGCTTCCAGGGCCCGTATTTCGTCGATTTTTCTGTTGCTGCGACCGACAGCCACGGGCGGACTGTTCGAGAATTGCACGTCACCAGCCGTGAAATCAGCATCAGCCTGCCAGGCAAAGCTCCTATTCGGGGTCTGTGAATCCTGAAAAACGGTATCACGGGCGGCGCGTGGAGTGTTGCTAGGTTGCAAATGCTTGCTGTCGACGCCTTGATTGGATCCTACCCAATCTGCTGATCCCCGAACCGAAGAAGCACCAGACTCCCGCCGCCTCTCGGACAAACGGCGCAGGACTGATGGGCTATCTGTCGTGGTCTTGTAAGTACGCGGAGAAGAGGCTGTTCCGAGTCTGGATCGAGAAAACAAGCCGTTGCTGCGACGTCCAGTTTCATGTGAGCCTGCTTGATCATGTGCATATTGATGCAGCTTCTCGTCGAATGTGCTGTCCGAGAGGTCGGCTTGTTGTGGCGGGACATCGCGATCGTCCTGGCTGTCGCCTCCCTTGACGCCGCCCGAGAGCTTGCCATTGGGCCGGCCACGTTGTGGTAGGTCCGATGCGCCCGGGCTTCCAGTTGTTGTGGTTCGCTTCTCGGTGGACTCAGGTCGGGCACGCCATAACCGTGGTGCCGGGCTGGGTGATCCCTGAACAACCGCCTCTTCTTCCTCGGCTAATCGATAGGCATCTGAAATGGTAAATGTCCGTCGCTGAGTAGGCCGAGGAATTCGTGTGTTGTTTGGCGAGGCGGCATTACCGTCGGAGGCTGAGGCCGAGCTGGAAGGGCGAGCAGCTTCCTCCTTCGTGCTTGGGCGCGAGAACAAGCTCCTCCTCTGGGATGCGCTGTTGATGACAAGCGGCGAGGTGACGCGGGGATTCGAGCCCGCAGTTCCTGGATTTAGTTTGAAGCCGGTCTTGTCAAGCCTGTTGCGCTCCATCTTGGGTTGTCGCTGTCGTCGCGTCGACTGAAATCGTCGTCGTCGCAAATGGTATCAAGAGAAGCTCGGCGCGTTGTATTGCAAGGCCGCAGCGGTCTGGACTGGTCGCGAGAAAGGGGACACGTACAGCAGTGCGCTGTCATGCTGAAGCACATCGGTGCAGGTCGATGGCAAGTTCAGTAAGTATTGAAGTGGGCGCCACGCGGTTCATGCTGCGAAAAGTCCGCTGTTGAAGCTCAACTTGTAAATCGGAGGTAAGCGCGGTGAGTGTCGCATCTGCCGGGTCGTCGCGGGTTTGGCGGCACAGTGGGGGGTCTTCAACCAATCCGAGCACAAGCTCGAAAGAAGCCTCATTGCCAAAAGGCTCGATACCTATCTGGACCTGACTCATCCATCATGTTACAATACCGAAGCCTTTGTATTGTATTATACCGTATTGTACTCCACATATTCAACGTCGCACTATCATTGTCTCTTGACACACCGCCCGTTGCCTGACCTGGAAACACCCCGAGATATGTACGGTAGCTGAAGCAGAACGAAGGATTCGAGACGGACGACATAGGTAGGTATCCCTGAGGTACCGCACAGCGAACCCAAATCTCGGACAAGCCTAGACGAGAGGTTTCATTTCCTGAACCGGCAGCATCCTTTAAGAAACCTCCGTAAGCTGCCGGCGGTATCGGTATTTGTTGAACTTACATCTCACGTAAGAATTGTCGGAATCAAATACAGAGGCCATTCCAGTGAAGAGAGAAGTATCTGTTGCTTCCTCACTGCTGGACGATCCCATCCTTGGTTCAATCACCAAGGCATCGAACCGACACAGCCATGACCGCCGTGATGGACGCATCGGAGGAGCTGATCCGCCCTCTTGGGCCCAGGTGCGTGACTGTGTCTTAGCCTAGCTTTTCCTGGCCATGTTGTTGAACTTATCCGGAACCGTTCGGCTCTGATGCTAATAATGGCGAGACTAGCGAGATGTACTCGGCATCAAGACACGCGGCGGGTTTCTACAAATGCGTGGCAAACACTTGCCGCTATTCCGTCTTGTTGCCAAGTCTGGGAGGTCGAGCCATCCCAGACGTAATGGACACCGCCGTCGCCAATGTTGTCCTCGCCATCCCCTTCCTAAGCGTAGGCATTGTTGGTGAGGATACCAACAAGGCCGCGTTCGTCCAGTGTCCTTCTATTGATCTCGAGCACCATGTCGAGTACGTCGAAGAGGAGGGCACGGAATCCGGCACCCAGGACTCCGTCCTGCTCAGAATTCTTGAAAACCAGCACGATCGGCCCTGGCCCGAGATAGAGCACCGGCCGCCGTGGAAGCTGACCGTCATCGTCCGAGACTCCGCGCCTGAGGATGGCCGGATAGTGCTCGATGCAGTATTTGCGGTCCACCATGCCGTGGCCGATGGACGGAGTACCGCGCTATTCCATAGAAAACTTCTCGGTGAGCTCAACCACTCGTCGGGTCAGCCGGCACAGCTTATGGGCCGCGTTTTGGATGTGAAGGGCGCCGGCGTTGGCGAGCTCGTTCGGCCCCAAGAGGAGCTTGTCAAATTCGACTTATCTTGGGGGTTTCTCCTCCAAACACTGTGGGGTGAGCTCGCCCCAGCCTGGCTCCGGAGGCAGCAGCCTGCCGCCCCCTGGGCTGGAAAAGTCATCACGCCCGCGCCGTGCCGGACAAGACTGCGGCTTGTGACGGTCCCAGCCGTCACCGTGACCGGGGTTCTCGCTGCTTGTAGGGAGCACCAAACAACGCTTACACCATTGCTTCACGCTCTGGCACTGGCTTCGCTCGCCAGACATGTCCCGGAAGACGAGGCCGTGGCATTTCACAGCTCGACGCCCATCGACCTGCGGCCGTTCATCGACAGCAATTCGTTTCTTGGTGGCAGAAGCCGAGATCTATTCGGTGTTTTTGTCACAGGCCAATATCACACCTTTGGTACCTCGACCATCACAACGCTGCGTGCCGAGCCCTCCCTGGACCAGATCTGGAGGGTAGCGGTCGACTTGCGAGGCAGCATGAAACAGCACATCAACAACATACCAAGAAACGATATTATGGGCGTGCTTGGCTGGATTACCGACTGGCGGAAGTTCTGGCTCTCCAAGGTGGGAAAGCCGCGCCAACAAACTTGGGAGGTGTCCAACATCGGGTCGATGCCGGGCGGCCACGCTGAGAGGGAAGAGACGAGTGGACGCTGGAAAATTGGGCGTTCTCACATGTCCCAGGGAGCTACCGTTACTGGTGCCGCCATTAGTATCAGCGTATCCGGAGTAGCTGGCAGAGAGATCGGCATCGTGTTGGGGTGGCAGGAAGGTATCGTCAACCAAGACACAGTCGACGGTTTGGCGACAGACCTCGAGGAATGGCTTGCCCGCTTGGGTGGTGTCCACGAATAAATATCTTTTAGTACGAAAGCAGATAAGGAAGGGTCCAAACGGGCAGCCAGCCATGAAGAAGACATCGGTACAATTGGTATAAATGTATGATGGCTATACCTCGGGTGATCCATGTACCTGGCAGCCGTTTCCCAAGAGCTTCCATAGGGAATCAAACGAGGAAGGTTGGAAATAAAGAGGAATCAGGTGTGTACGGAGTTCCAGAGCTGTCCAGCTGACGTAAGGGAACGGATAGAACTGGGAAAGTTCCAAGAGATTGCGCCGATGATTTCCCGAGCGCTGCTGCAGCAGTTCCCAAGCCTGGAATTTTTGGGGCCCTTGGAGCCAATCCGGTCAAACACCACCAACACCACCAACAACAACACCAAGCAACAGCTCCCTTCAAAAGGGGTGTCCAGTCCGATTCCGGCCACACACCATGGCGACGCCCATGGTAAGCAGGTCGCCATCCTGCCTGGCCTGCCTGCGGAGATTGGCGCAGCCATTCGCCGACAGCACTGCAAGTCCCAGCGCCGTCTCTCTGGTGCAGACCCGCGCAAAATCAAACCGGCTTCGGCCACAGGACCAGGGCGTCGTTGTCCGCCTGCTCGAGGACATTCCCAAGTTTGGGCGCAAGGGTAAGGCATTCTGTTTCTGAACGCGGCCTACACTAGCTGCAGGCCAATTGAGTGCAGGCTGACGGGAACACCCCCTCCTAGATGCTATCTTCCGAGTCGAGCGAGGGCGCATGCGCAACCAGTGGTATCCCAACAAGAAGGCCGAGTACATGACGGCGTCGCGTTTCCGCGAGCTCGGTTTGACGCGCGATGACATTGGCGAGCGGGATATCATATTCGGTACCCTGGAACCCGCCGACGTCGACGATGCGCCCGAGGTTCCAATCACCACCGTGCGCACCACTACTGTAAGACTACCCGCATCGGCCTCTTTCCCAATCCATGTATCCCTTCCTTTCCTCCCCGGATACTAATATGAGGACCAACAGCCCGAAAGGGCCCACACTCTCCTCACCACTTCGATCCCAGAGACGCTCACCTTCCACCGCAAACCTATCCCGGCGCCAGCTCCTGCCCCGCCGACTCAATTTATCTCGCCCCTCGTCGCTTCCGCAAACCCAGATTCCGCACAAGATCAAAACACTCCTCTGGTTATTTACGGCTCTGTGTCAGCCACCGATATCGTGGGGTACATCAAGGGACTCCTGGCGGGTGACGCTGACGGCAGCCGCATTGTATTGGGGCCAGAAGACATCAAATTCCGGGGCCTGTCTGAGGATACCGACAGGGTCAAGGCGCTGGGCCGTTGGGAAGTTGAGATCTCAGTCGGTGGCAGGGGGTTGGAACCCGTCCGCAAAGTGGTCGAAATTCTTCCCGTGGCTGAAAAGGCGGGTGAAGCTGACGCACAGCCTGCTCCATGAACACACGCAGCTTGGTCACCTCCTTCGGCCGTATGGTGCTGCGGATGCTTTTTCAGCTGAGGCCGGATCAATTGTAGGATAACATGTATGTACAACTGTACACTAAAAGTGCTGCTTTCCGACTTGTCGTACGATGACACATTCCGCTGCCAGCTGCAGAATTAGGACGCAGGAGCGCAGGACCTCAATCAACCGCAAGCCGTCCGACGGCGGCTGGCCTATGTGAGCATTACAAGCCGTGCCCAAGTGTCTTCGCTGCTGCGAACACATCATTTCTCCCTCCTCCATCTCAAGGGCCCCGTCTGCTGTGTCAGTGTTGCTGTCGCCCGACTCCATAGTTGACATCCAAGCTCCAGAGCGAACCCCATATCACGCTCTTCTGCGCTGGACTTGAGGTTTCGGCATCATCTTGCTCACGCAACAGCGTGTGCGCATAGGCCTGCCAACACACCCGTCGTCAGCAACTGAAAGACGCCTGCAGGCGGTTCAGGGCCCCATAAGAGAGTCCATATCGTCGCCAACCTCTGATGAATTCGACTGCTGCGGTGGCAGCACGGGCCCGACATCCTTCGACTTCCCTCTGCCACCGCTTGTCCGTGTTGGCTCGTCAGCATACGCAGAGGCCTGGAGCGGTTCACGTTGAGATATGCCACGGGTTGCTCCGTGCTGACATGTTGGGCTTGTTGTCGCGGGTGTGTCAGCGGGCGCCGCGCGCAGCGAGTTGGTCTCGCTGGCAACAGCGCTATCCCGGCCTCGAGAGACCCCGATTGCAAACGGGAGGGCTTTCTTAGAGCCCGTACTGGACCTCCGGCTCTCAAGGCTCTTCGACAGCGTCTTGCTCACCCCTTCGATCCCCGACGCAATGCCGCTCCGGTTCCCCGTCCCTGCTCCCGTGGATCCTGTTACCCCATGTGTGTGCCTCTCGGCCATGGCCTCGACGTTATTGGCTGCGACGGTACTCTTAGCGAGTCCCGGCGTGGACGGCGCCCCAGGCTTGTCCTCAGTCGCGTCGATTAGGTACCAACGAAGACCGTCAGACAAATCAAAGGGGTTGTCGTTGTCGTCGTCGTTGAGCGACTCGGAGTCGGGGCCAGCTCCCCTCTTTGCTGTTCCCGGAGGGTGGTGGAGCGACTTGGACAGGTCCACAACCCGTTCCTGAATACGTGAAATCCGAGCAACAATCCACTCCCGGCTGCGCAGCCGATGCGCCTCCTGCTCCCGGAGGAAGTAATGCGGAAAGCCCACGTTGAAGGCAGCCCAGGCTCCTGTCGTCTGATTCCTCGTTGGGAGGAAGAGGGCGAGGTCGCCCTCCTTGAAATTCTTGTACGCGATCTTTTCGTGCGCCTCTTTTTGCAGCATGCGCGCCTTGTCGCGATATGCCCGTGCATCGCGCTGCAGTTTGCGGGCCATGTGTTCGACGTCCTTGACGCGCCGATACACAACGTCGCAGAAGGCATCCATATCATAATATCCAAGCGACGAAATGTAATCATTGTACTTTGCCGATTCGGCCTCCACTTCAGAGCAGTTGACCCAGTTGAGAAGGTCGAGATCTGTACTCGTGACGGCGGTGGAGCGACTGTTCAGGGTGCTCGACCGACGGAGCGATGAGCTGGGGTCCGAATCGTTGGCGTTTTGTGACAACCGCTCAGACCGGGGTATCTTCTGAATTATCATACTGCCGCCTTGACGAGTAATGGAGAAGCCGAGCCGTTCAAGCAGGTGCGTGAGGCGCTCATTGTGCGAGTAAAGGCGCTGCGTGAGGTCTTTTGCGTGCGCCGATCGAGTATCAAACAGTGCCGTGAGGTCCGATAATTTGGATTGTGATCGCTGAAGCTTGTCCTTGAAAAGCCGAACCTCCTCCTCCAGGCTGCCCACCCGTGACTGCCGAGAAGCGAGCTCCTCGGTGACCAGCGTGACTTTCTCCTCTTCCTCTTCCAGCCGCTTTCGCATAGACTCGGAGCCCGTTTCGCCGTCCGCAATCTTGGCACGTAGTTGGCTGAGCTGCTCGCGGCCGTCAGCTAACTCGCCTTCAAGCGCCAGAACCTTGGCCTTCTCTTCAGCAACGGCTTCCCGAAGGCGAATTGATTCAGCCTCCTGTTCCGTAAGGCGTTCCTCCAGAGCCACCTTTTCTGCCTTGCTTGACCCGGCAGCGTTGTGCGCTGAATCGAGTTCCAGACGGAGGAGAGAGATGTCACTTTCCAAGCCTTGCAGTCTCGCCATGGCGTCGTTCATTTTCACCGAGATGCAATCAACGAGATCACAGAGGTCGCTGGGGACAGCTTCGTCTGATGACAACTGGGTCCAGAGCTCGTGCAGCGCTTTGAGCTGCATGTCGGCCGTCTCGCTGAGGGCTTCCAGCTTCTTTCCGAGGTCCTTGGATTCGTCATGTGCGGTTTGGAGTTGGTGCTCTTGAGCCTCCATTGCCTCACGCTGCAAGCGTGTTTCCTCGCGCAGGAAATTGATCATGCCTTCAAACTTGAGAGTTTCGTCGCGTTTCTCTTTTGTCAACCGCTCGACTTCGGTTCTGAGTGCCTGGATCGCCTCATGGTATGAAGCTTTCTCGTTCTCCCTGGACTCCCCGAAGTGCTCCATCTCATCCTCGGTATCCTCCAAGCGTGCCTGCAGGCGTTTAATCTCGCTCTCGAGCGACTTCCGTTCCTCCATGAATTCGCGCTTGAGAGCTTCCAGGTTTTCCAGGAGATCCTTCTTCGTGGAGTTGGCTTCGTCTCTTTGACTTTTCATGTCGTTGTGCAGGGTGACCTGCCCGTCAAGGCCTTTCTCAAGGGCTGCAGCCCGCTCCTTCTCTGCGGCCAACTCAGCCTCCAGCTGTTGGACCCGCAGTGCGAGGGCGTCAATTCCTTCCTCGGATCGTTTCCGATCTTCTGGCGCCTGCGGAGATCTGACTGAGATGGAGGAGTCGGCACGGCCGGAGAACTGATGGCTCGGTGCCTGGAACAGATTGCCCAAACTCGGTCGCGACGCCTCGGTCTGGCGATGGAGCAAGTCCTCAAGCCGGCGCACACGGCTCTCGGCCGTCTTCAGCTTGCTCTCCAGCTTGACTTTGTCGTCTTGTAATGATCGAAGAAGCTCGTCGTCGCCGCGGATCAGTAACCCACTCCGCCCAAGCGCGGCCTCGTGGACGCTGCCGTTTTTGAACGCCTTCATCCGCTTCGATTGCTGCCTCGTAGGGTTGCTCAATTCTGAAACCAGCTTGCTGACGTCTTCGACGATCTGCGGATCCGCCTTATTGACCTGCAGAAGCACTTGGAAGTCCTCCAGGTCCTTCCTGGTCATGGTCGGCCACCGCTCCTCCTCCCCAAGGAGGTTGACTTCCAGGCCAGGAACATTGCTATCTGAGCCGGCGGAGTCTGGTCCATACGTGTCGCCAATCGACTTGTACCATCGCCGCCGTCTTTTGACCTCCTCGTCTTGAAAAAGGGCCATCTCATTTGCGAGCGTGGAGGAGTCTTGTTTCATCTTGTCGAACCATTCACGACGCTTGATGGCCTCTGCCACGAAAGACGCGTACATGTATGGGACTTGCTGGATCAGTCGTAAGTAGTCGAAGGTCGCAAACTCGTCTCCTTGATTAACGGCGCTAATCTGAGACCTCACGCTGTGGCTCAATGCCGTAACGTCGGTAATGCTGCACATGAACTCAAGCGACTCCGCGGCCAGCGAGTTTCTCGCCTTCGTGGCGTACCGAAGCATGTCGTCCATTTCCAGAACCCGGTTGCACAAGCTTGGCAACAGACGCTCCGTGTGATTCGCAGCAACCTTGGAAGCTTGCAGAACGGCATCTCGGGACGAGCTGTTATATTCGAGCGCTGTCTGGTAATCTGTGTCAATCTTCTTCGCCAAGGCCTCGATGTCGTGGACGAGCTGCTGAGGTTCGCCGCTGTGAGACATGGCAGACCGTTCAATTGTCCTCTCATACTCGCGGAACAGGTCTTCGGCATCCTGAAACAGGCGAGTAGCGGCTTTTTCAAGGTCTGCGACCCGACTGTTGAACTTGCGAAGCGACGTCGGCGCCAGACGGCCCGCCTTGCGTGCCGTCTCCAGGTCCACCAGATCCTCCAGGGTCGCCTGGCGCTGCACTCGTCCCTTTGTGTCCCCGACATCACGACCCGTCATGAAGCGTACCATGGCGGGCGAGACGGAGATGCTCCGGGCAAGAGACAGATACTGTTCCCACCGGCCTGTCAGCGCGCTGTAATCGGCCTGCGCTTCCGGGAGCCATTTCCGAAGGTCCGCGTACTTGGGCTCGAGACCTTTGATGACGAACTCCAGATTGGTCACGGCGGCATCGAGGCAGCGGAGCATGACATCCATTTCGTCGTATCGATCCTCGGCTGCTGCTGCCATTTGCCGACAGTCCTTCACCACACGGAGTGCCCACTCCCATCGGGTCTTGAATAGCTCTTGCCATGATGCCACAGACTTAGTGTCTTGTATCATATTCGGCGGAGTCGAGACGACGTATCGGTTCGGAATGGGGATTTCCGAGCGAGGGGGAGCGGTGGCCGAGGGCGCCTGTGCCAGCCGACTGTCGTAGACACATATTTCCTTCTGCCGCTTGCTGTCAGGTTGCCATATTCCCAGCTTTGGAAATCAATCACATGCCACCAACCTCGGTTTGTAATGTCTGCGCTTTCAACGGTTTCCCTTGTGGGGTCAGGGTGATGATACACTGAGTCGGTACCGAAATCTGGCGTGCCACCGAGGCTTTGAAATCATCGAGTCTGAGAGCTACCGGTCAGTACAGGAACGACCTGGTTGGGGCCCACAGGTGTACCTACGATGAAAGCTGCGAAGCGTCTATTTCCAGGCGCTGGCCCGTATGGGCGATCAACACCTGTGCTGCCATGTCCAGGCATGCCTCCGGAAATGCAAGCGGCGTCCTGGTAGGCAAAAGTTGCGCCAAAATCCCAGAACCGAAGCTTTTAGGCGCAAAGAAGAAGAGGTGGTCGATCGCGTGTCGTCGGCTCGGCGCCTTCTCTCAGGGCAAATGAGCGGGATGGTTGTTGAGGTGGCCTGCGGACCTCTCGGTCCTGTATAATATACCGGTCGGACAAAAAAGAGCGCGGAGGTCCAAACGTCCTCAAAGGCCGAGCTCTGATTCCACACCAGGATGCCTTTTGGTTGGCGCACAAGGCGAAACCACAGGCAACGATGTAATGTGTATTGTGTACAGAGTAAGCTGGTTGGTTGTCTGGGAGAGGATCGGTTCAAGGCACCAAAGCCTAGGTGAGGCACCCCTGCCGTCGATTGCTGTGCTTCTTATTCCTACTGTGGATGTCGGCGGCTTCTTGGAGCTGGTGTTGGACGCGACCGTTGCACTACTGACCCGGAAACATGGAACACTACCGTAAGAATGTCGACAACTGCATGATTTTTGATGAACATCACCGCAAGTCTTAAAATTGCCATGTAGTATAAGTTAAGGTATGCTGAACTGTTTGCGCATCGCTGTCGATGAGCACGGGAACAAGGCAAGGCACACCACGAGCACCAGACTGTATGATTGGCGAGCAAGTACTGTGTTGAACACTGGGCCAGTCTCCGCCGACCAGCTGAGCTCTCAAACTCTTGCATCGCAACAGGCAACCATTAACAATTGGTTTGGTTGTGACGGGACACGGATGTGGACAAGAGAACAGAATGGTTACACCTCTATCGCCAAATCTCAGCCAAGCGACAGCTGGAGTTGGCACGATGGTTTCGCACACCGTAACTGCGCCGGGCCCTCTGGCTTTAACAGAAGCAGAGGCCAATGTCCTAGCCTTGTACGATCAACTGCAACAACTCCAACTCGAGTTTGCCCTCCTCAGATCGCAGCGCGACCATCATGCATCAGGTTAGCAGTACCCCCAAGCCGCAAGGCATCTTGTTGAGGGGCTGATCACTGATGCTCACCCTTCTCGTTAGCTGGCTCCTCTCAACTTGCTGGCGACGATCTGGTGGGCGGCCAGAGCCGACTTCTGGAGGCAAAGGCCACGCTCGCCTTGCACAGTAGTGTTGTAGAAAGCGCCGTGTCACTCCAGCCGACCCTGAACGCGGTCCACCATGCTACTCATGCGTCAGTCGTTGAACGGTACAGAACTCCTCTCCCTGCCTAGCATCTTGCCTCCCAGTGGCAGCCCCGAGGCACGCAGGAGCTGACGATCCGCTCTGTAAAGGGATCTGTTGCCAACCATCGAGCAGCGGGATGTCGTCGCGATCAAGGCAGCCAAATCGTGCTCTGAGCTGCAGACAGCGAGAGGCCGTCTGGCAGAACTTGGGGTTGAGTGCCTTCGAGCCAGCCAACAAAATATCAAGCTCGCGTCAGAGACTCTACTACTTGCTGGGAGAGCTCGCGGTCAAAACCAGCAGGATGTCGGAGGCGGCCGGCTTGGTCGAGACATAGCAACCTTGGAGGGTCAGGTGAAGTCTAGCCATCACAGATGGCGGGTAGTCAAGGGTGCTGCGAGCGCAATTGTGGCTGGAAGCGGCATCGATTGGGTTCGAGAGGAGCGCTTGAGAAACATGGTTCTTGATCCACCAGACTAACAGCAGTCCGTACAAAATAGAAAATGAGAGGCAAGCAAATCTGGTGAGATGGTGAGTTAAGTCAGTGTTTGTTTCATGCTCGAGAGCTGGCCCAGGTATTATTGCGTCACTCAACAGACGCTCGAGGTCCACTCGGAGGCAATGGAAAGCTCTCGAGTCTTGACTCCCTGAATGGTACTGACATTTGCAGCGGTGTGCAATGAGCGCCGACTTTTGGTGCATATGACGAAGGAAACGGCTGGGCTATTGCGAATGTCCTGCGGCCCGAGAAGGCAGCCAAAGCGTCCTTTTGCTTTCGGCTCCTGAGAAATGTAGGGAGCCGACACAAAGAGGGGAACCGTGATTGGGGCTGCTTTTGGTGCGTGTGCCATTTTCGTGCGCATGGTCGGGTGTGATTGAATCATTGATCAACCAAGCCGGACAAGGAGGGAGGTACGGAATGGGGAAGTGCAGCGGTCCCATCCATTTGTATGGGGTACCTGCCGGACAAGCACGTTTGGTGCTCTTGGCCATACTGGCAAGAAGATATGCAGTACCGACCTGTTTGATCTTGTCAACGCGCCCCGGCCACGACCATCGCATCTAAAATATCCTAGAATGTAAAGCGGAGCCAAGTTCTCTTCTCATTGTGCTGCCGGCAAGTCGAGAACACCTTACCATGAACTCCCGAGGACTAGAACGAGCAGAACTCGAGACATCCAAAGGCAGCGCACCTAGGTTGCAGCCCGGGCAACTTTGTTCATACTAGGGTCAACAATGCGTCCAGTCTTGAAAGTGTAGATGGAACCCCAACCCTTATATCAACTGAGTCACCCGGCCTCTTTGAGACCGTCAACGACACGGTCAGTACTGCGTTCACGGTTTTAATGACTTTACTTGAAGCTGGCTCCAAGACAAGAAATATCTTGGCTGAGGTGCAGGAGGCAACACAGCTACAAAGTTGCGTTGACAGCGTGCCGGCAACATCCCATAACGCCTTGGAGCGATAAAGGGGATGGTATTTGAGTCTCCAGCTGGAGAAGGGAGAAAGCCTCTTCATTTCAACAGCTTGGGAGATACCGAGACGCGTTTAATGAGTGAGAGTGCACTCTGGTTGCTCCACAGACAGACCTGAGAGACGCCAGGTACAGGGTACAGCGACGTACCGTCCGACTGTACAAGCGGCACGGGTACTCGATACTTGGAAGTTGGTCTGTGCTGGTGCACGCAGTGGGACTCCGGTGGACATTGGGGTTGGAGTGGTGTGTCGCCCTCACCCAAATTTTAAGGGCAAAAAATCAGCCCGTGCTGCAGCCCTTTTTGTTATGAGGCAGGAAGGAGTGACCCCCGCCCCTCTCCAAATCAGCCGCCCATAGTAAAATACGAGCGAAGGTTCCCCCCTCCCACTCTCTCACTCTCCCTCCTCTTCTCCCATACAAACTGGCACAGCGCACAACCTCTCCTATCCGGTTGACCTCCACATACACACCACCCATTCACAGTGAGTACTTGACTTCTCAGCAAATCTTCGCTTGCTTTCAAGTACTGCCTTCAAGCTTATTGGCGTCGCACCTTTTCCATTGGTCGTGCATCTTCCCCATTTGCACCGCAATCCAAGCTCTCGCTGCCGTCGCCGCTTCAGAGCTTGGGACTTTGACCCGCTGCTCTCCCCACCCAAACAAGCTTGCCTTTTGCGAGCGCATCATCGTCAGCTCCGCCAACACGCCTCCCGCATCTCCAACCTCAAAATTCTGCCGCGATAATCGCTAATCAAGCAAAGCGCTCAACAGATTAACACAACACGTCTCTTACTCCTCCAGCTCTATTAAAAGTACGTATTACGATCGCGTCTTGTCGATTTTGAGTTTCGCATCACATTTCTGCTTGGCCGTCGCATGCAATTCCATTTGCGACTCGGCGACGCCAAGTGACGCGATGCGGGATGCTGTGCAAACCAAAGCCGTGTCGCGCCAATTACTCCTGCCCGCTGTTTTTCACGCAATCTTCAGGACCCTCTGCAGCGCCCGCTTTACCACCCATCTTTTGCCCATTACACTTGACCCAGCAATTCCTTGCCCACGCAACCTTCTGTCAGAAACGATCGCTAACTGTCTTGCAGTCGCGAAAGAATCACCATGCCTAAGGCAGCTAAGGGCAGGTCTGGCAAGGTTGAGAAGGGCAAGCGGGCCAAGAAGGGTGAGCGACATCTTCCCATGCGAATGCTTTGGCCGCCCTCCCAGGCCCAGCGGAACCCTGCAGAGGCGCGTGCCGACGCGTCGCGGATTGCCGGTTGCCAAGACTTGGGAGCTGACCCATTGTCGCAGATCCCAACGCACCCAAGAGGGGCCTCTCCGCCTACATGTTCTTCGCCAACGAGCAGCGCGAGAATGTCCGCGAGGAGAACCCGGGTGTTTCGTTCGGTCAGGTCGGCAAGATCCTGGGCGAGCGTTGGAAGGCTCTGAGCGACAAGCAGCGGGCTCCCTATGAAGCCAAGGCTGCCGCCGACAAGAAGCGGTACGAGGATGAGAAGCAAGCATACAATGTAAGTTGGAAAACCCTTCTGACCAAATTGAAGTGCTCGGCACTCACAATTCGCGAACAGGCCCAGGCCGAGGAAGAGGAAGAGTCCTCCTGATCGCTCTCTTTTATGGCATGGTCATTGCGCCAGGGTTGGGCAGCCGGCCTTGCGAAGTTGATATCCAGCCAAGCAAGGTCCCGTCGTTAGCACGAGCCCTTTCTTTCTCCTTGTATCTTTGGGATGGACGGTGTTGCTTGGGCGCGGCAATGGGCTTTCAGTGCTTATTTATTTTTTTTCCTCCTTTCTGGCATGGGTTGTGCGAGGTTTGCTATGATCAAGGGAAATGGGAGGGCAGGATTCCTTGGGAATGGTTGAGGTTGATCCATTCCAGCGAGCAGCGTAAGGTTCAGCTCGGGCCCTACGACATGTACAACAACGATCTTTACATGTTCAGGCACAGTCGTCGCCATGGCAAGGTGTCATGTCCAACACTCTCAGCCGCCAGTTACATGTAAGCTCTTGGGCCGTTGGCCCCTCCATCCTGCGAGCTCCGGAGCCCCTCATGTGCATGCACAACCTGGCTTTTCCCCTAGGCAGCGCTCTGATATGCAGGGGACGTCTTGGGTTTCGCAGTCCATCCTCGGTTCCACCGTCCAGCCGGCCGGCGTTTTTTCACCCGGGTCCTTTTTTCGGCTGGTGTTCTTGGCTCCGGCCACATACCCCATCGATATCCGCGACCGCCGACCGGACCCTCAATGTCGAGCTGTTTGTCATCCAACAACAGCTATCACTTCAGCCCATCGTGGCCTTGGAATTGCTGGCCGACTTGCCTCCCACAGATGGGCTGTGCCAATGCCAGCGGGTGAATCATTGACCACCATTTCGGCTGTTGATGTGGTTTGTTGGAACCTCTTCTTGGTTTCTCGCATCGCTAACAACGCGCTCAGGAATGGTCGGCAACTGGCACGACTACAGTCCGCTCGCAGTCAGGTTCAGCAACGTTGCGACTTTCGTAGCACCTAGCCCCTCAGAGCCCTTCTTGTTTCCTGTTGAAGCTGCCGGGTTACCTTACCGTACCACACTGCACTCCATTGGGCCCCTCATCTGGGTTCGCTCGGGAGCCATGCATGCTTTTGGCGCATTTGCAGCAGAAACAATTAGCCTAGCTTCGTGGCAGCTTCTGACTCCCCAGCTGCCCCCCCACGGCCGGCCCATGGCTGCATTTTCGATTCGACGCCTTCGGTTGCATGACCTGGTGGTTTCGCATGCATTGCCGAGATGCCCAATGCCTTCTAGCCTTAGTTGCGAGCGTGAGGCTGGGATCATCACTCTTTTCTCAAGACCGACCAGAGCTCTCGACGCTTCCATTGTCGGCCAAGTGGCTGCCACGTTGAGGGAGAAGGCCGCGGGCAACGTCTGCTTATCGATCAGACCAAGATTTGAGCTCTAGTCTCTGGGTACGCTAAGTCTACGTTGCTTTGCTTTGCCTCCCCGTCTGCCCCCTGCACGTTCTCTGCTGAGACGATGAGCCTCCGCCTCTTCGCACAACGCGCAGTTCCAGCCACAAAATCGCAACATTATATCCCTCTCGTGTGCTCACATATCTGAACATCGCTCCTGTCCGCAGCATAACGAATGCGCGCAAGGCAAGCCTGAAAGCGCACCGCATTCTCGGACTACCAGCTGTCGTGGAATTGCCATCAGGCGAATCCTGGCCGATGGCATGACCAAGGTGTTCGTGCTTGGCAATGTGCGAGCACCATCAAGCAACTCATCGTCACTCCCAGTCGGATACGGCATCGCACTTGATTGTTGACTCTCTCCAACACGCCAAACGACATCAAGAATGGAACCTCCTGGACTTATCACTATCCCCGTTGAAACACACCTCCTCCTGGGCTGCTGCCGCGAGGCTGACGAGGCTGAGGTCGTCGCCCGGGGCCTGGACCAGCTCCGAGGGGCACTTTCAGAGTCGCTCCATGGCCATCTCCTTGCCCTGGCCGAGGAGATACGGAATACGAGCAGGTCGCTACGCGGTCTTGCTGACTGCTCTCAGGTGCACCTCACACGCGTCCCTCTCATGACCACGTACCTGAACGTCGTGCTGCCCTGCATCTCCCGGTCTCTAAAAGACATCAAGGCCTACTATGAAGACAAGACATTGCACAGGGAAATACGGTGGCGCAAGATGTACAACAAAATGACCGAGGAGGCGGGCGGTCTTCCATTACCGCAGCGCTTCGTGCTCTACAACCACTTTCTGGCGATGTTGAAGCAGCTACTGACCAGGTATTGATTGCCCCACCGCAGGCAGCTATGCAGTCAAACCCAGCCTAACAGTAGTATAGGTCGCCGACCTTCGACATGAACACGCTTGAGACGCTCCGCACTCGGATCATTACGCTGCGTGAACAGAGAGGAATTCGTAGGCAGTCCGGCTCTTGTCTGCTATGGGTGTCTATGCACTAACATAATTGCTCAACAGCTCCGCCCCCTGCCCAAGCCGGCGCGATGGTCCGCCAGAACCCGATGCCTCTGGCGGTCATACAAGACCACGTTCGTTTCCCAAGCTCACGGACCAGCCCTATGATAGTCCTGCCCGCTGACATGGGCATCAGAGTTCGCATTGGGCAGAGCAGATATTTTCTCTCCCGCTTCCGTCCCGCACAGCACTGAAGCACCTTAAACAGTCAGCGCCCCCTTGACTCGGCCTTGCTCTCTTGCCGAATCAAGCTTCCTAACTGGCATCCGTCAGGTCCAAATCATACGGCCCGTTCTATCCTTGGGGCTATCTAAGCGTACCACAGGACTCAAAGGTTCTCTTTAGGCGGTGAGTCTCTGAAGCAAGCCCACTTGCCTCCCTATGTATGCCCCCCTCACCTCGAAGCGCCAGGGTGTCTGATGGCTCAAGACTGCAGGCCCTTCGACAATGACACGGTCTCGGTTGTGGTCTTCCTCAGTTCTACCGACAAGTGCCCGTATCTCCTAATGAGAACGCTGCAGAACAATACGCCATGGTACTCTTTGTTTGGCGCCCATGAGCTCTGCATTGAGCGAGAAGGAAGCGCGCTGCAGCTGAAGAGGTGGAGTCGCTCGGAGCAGTGTAGCAAACTCTGGGCAGTGTTTTATTTCATGACATGGGAAGGTCAGTGACTGTATCCTGGGGAAGTCGATATCTTCAGCTGACCATAGATGTCTAGAGATGGTGTTGTTCTACTGCACCTTCGTCGCACTGAAAGCCCGCAACCTCCTTACTGTCCAAGTCCACCCCAATGAGTTCAAGCTGCGCAGAGAAAGACGACTTTTTCAGGCGTAGGTATTGCCATCCTCACAATGCCGCATTTGTGCGCATGGTCGCAGGGGCTGACGAGCGAGCCGACCAGCCAAATCGTCGACGACGGCTTTAAACACTCCCTCATCGTGTACGAAGACATACAGACTCGGGGCTTGCGGCTGCACGCTGCAGTGTGGGAGGGCGAACTCAGACAGTGTCCTGTTTGGACCGCCTTCGGTGATATTGCCCGCTCTGCCCCCATTGCGGCCTCGGCAGGTCGCCATCTACTCTCTGTTGGATACTGACGGCAATGCACAGTCACGCATCAGTCCCAGTCACCGAGATGGCTCAGTCGGCGCTCGCGACACCGTGTTTGGCTCAAAGACGTCCAGCTCTATGTGTTTTGCAACACATACCGACAAGAGAACATGCGGCAGAACAAATCTGGTGCGTTCGAGATATACTTTGACAGAGAAGAAGGTAGGTAATCGCTAAGGCCCCCCCGCAGCGAATCGAGTCTGTTGACTAGCATCCCTGCCTCTGCCAGCCCATGGCCGTACGTTGATGCTGACTCCATCGGTCACAGCGGCCAAACGATTCAAGGAACTGTTTTCTGCCAGGGCCGCCTCCTCGGAAACGTCCGACAACGATCCTGAAACCGGTTCTTAGGTGTAGCGCCGCTCTCCGTTCCTCTTCGTAGAGGACTGATTTCCCATTTCCCATCGACGGAGATGCCTTTGGATTCATTGACTGGCCCTAACCTGCCTGACGTATTCGATGTGGATTGTGTGAGAGTGTGAATCTATACTTGGGGTATGTGCTTTCTCTGTAATGCAGACAACGAATACGGTATCACCATGTATCTCTGGCTCCCTCATGTGTACGTTTACTGAGAACCGAGAGAAGTCGTCAGTAAAGGGCCACCAAACACCATGCGTACGCCACTTCGGCCACCAAGGCGCTGCTCTAGGAGCCAAGCTTCCACCAAGGAGCCCAAACCTCGGTGTCCCTTGACGGTTGCCTCCGTCGGCTTCAGATGGAGTCCTGTCTCACTATCCAAAGGTAGGTACCAAGTGTAGCTGAGCGCGGTGGGCGATAATGACACAGCCGGCATGAGCAGCGATGTCAAGGGAGGCAACGTCTGCGGTGCAGACATCTGCAGGTGTCGATTTCCAGTCCCGCCAATAGGAGGCCGAGTCTCACGCAGCACGCCGTGGTTTATCAAGCAGCCTAGGGAAGAGTGGAGATGGCAGCGACACGTTACCGGGATCGAGCAGTGCGATGTGCACTCTCGCTCACCAGGTAGGTACTGTAAATAGCTCCCGGCTTCTACCGGTGCGAGGTGGAGGCGGTAAGTGCATCCATCGCTTTGCAGGAAGTAGGTGGGGTCGAGCGGTCCCAGCTCCTTCTTAGCAGGTTGTTGCCCAAGCTCTCCCCACTACAAATAAAGCAACAGCTTGGTGCGGATAGACGCCTGGTAAGGTATTTCCCTCTTTCACCGTCAATCTCCAACCAAAGCTCACCTGCTCGACTTTGGACCCCTAACGCTTGGTTGACTCGAGAAGCTTGTATTTTATTATTCGAATGATACAATGGATGTCAAAACAATCGACTTCACGCCCTTCACAGACCAAAAGCCGGGCACGTACGTCATGGATGACCCCGCCCCCGCAGCACTCCGCTGGGAAGCTCTCGAAGTTCCCGCGCGGGCTACCTGAGGCCAGACGTATGTGGGAAGCACGCCCTTGCTGACAGTGTCGCTCCGGTGTCCAGGTCTGGTCTGCGCAAGAAGGTCGCGGTTTTCCAGCAGCCGCATTACAGCGAGTCCTTTGTGGCTAGCATCTTGCTGTCCATCCCCGAGGGCGCTGAAGGTGAGCTTGATCATTTAGCAAAGCGTGCCGCGGGCCAGAAAACTAGGCACGGACGACGAGCAGTCGCTGACAGGGTTTTACAAAGGTGCCTTCCTCGTCATTGGCGGCGATGGGCGGTTCTGGAACCCCGAGGTCATCCAGCTGATCGCCAAGATTGGTGCCGCATATGGCGTCAAGAAGCTGTTGATCGGCCAGAATGGTATCCTGTCGACGCCGGCCGCCAGCCACGTCATTCGCAAGCGCAAGGCTACTGGAGGCATTCTTCTGACTGCCAGCCACAACCCGGGCGGTAGGTCCCCCCTCGCCATGCGCTAGCTCATCGCGGCCGCCTAACCACCGGGGAACAGGGCCCAAGAACGACTTCGGCATCAAGTATAACCTCGCAAACGGCGGCCCCGCACCCGAATCGGTGACTAACAAGATATTCGAGACTTCCAAAACGCTCAAGTCGTACAAGATCGCCGACATCCCCGATGTTGACATCGGCACCATCGGCATCAAGACGTACGGAAAGCTGGAGGTGGAGATTGTGGATAGCACGGCCGATTATGTCGAGATGCTCAAGGACATCTTCGACTTTGACCTTATCAAGAAGTTCTTCGTCACCCACCCCGATTTCAAGATCCTCTTTGACGGCATGTCGGGCGTCACGGGGCCGTATGGCAAGGCAATTTTCGAACAGGAGCTCGGGCTCGGCCCCGAGTCGACGCAGAACTGCGAGCCGTCACCCGACTTCAACGATGGCCATCCAGACCCAAACCTCACTTACGCCCACGACCTGGTCGAGGTGGTCGAGAAGAAGCGGATCCCGTTCGGCGCGGCCTCGGATGGCGATGGTGACCGCAACATGATCTACGGTGCTGGCGCCTTCGTCTCGCCCGGCGACAGTCTGGCCATCATCGCGCACCACGCCAAGTTGATCCCATACTTCAACAAGAATGGCGTCTACGGCCTGGCCCGCAGCATGCCCACGTCGGGTGCTGTTGACCTGGTAGCCAAAAAGCAGGGTCTGGACTGCTACGAGGTGCCCACCGGCTGGAAGTTCTTCTGTGCTCTCTTTGATGCGAACAAGCTGTCCATCTGCGGCGAGGAGTCTTTCGGAACCGGCAGCAACCACATCCGGGAGAAGGATGGCCTCTGGGCTATTGTAGCATGGCTCAACATTATTGCCGGTCTGGGCATCGCGAACCCAGGGGTTGCGCCGAGCATCAAGCAGATCCAGAAAGATTTTTGGACTGAGTATGGACGGACCTTCTTCACCCGCTATGATTACGAGAACGTTGATTCCGAAGGCGCCAATAAGGTGGTTGGGGTCCTGAAGGACCTGGTTGCCGATCCGAACTTTGTCGGCAGTAAGGTCGGAGGTGCGTATATCTGCCGCCCTGTCACCGGCTTGACGCCTACTTGTTGCTGACTTGCTCATACCCCCTAGACCGCACTGTGACCAAAGCCGGCAACTTTTCGTACACGGACTTGGATGGCTCCGTGTCGTCCAACCAAGGCCTGTATGCGTGCTTCTCTTCGGGCAGCCGGATCGTCGTCCGACTCTCGGGGACTGGGTCTTCAGGCGCCACCATCCGTCTGTACATCGAGCAACACAGCAGCGATCCTGCGACGTATGACATGGATGCCCAAAACTTCCTCGGGCCCGAAATCAAGATGGCGACGGAGCTCCTGAAGTTCAAAGAGTTTATCGGCCGGGACGAGCCTGACGTCAAGACGTAAGAGGTGTCAAACGAAGTCCGTGGAAGGGAGGCGGGACATGGGAAAATGGAGCGATTGCGAGCCAGCTTCTTGAGTATGATAGCAATCTATTTTTTCCATCTACCACACGTGGGCGCAATACGTATCAAAGCGTGAGACCGGGTGATTAGTGGCCAGGTCACGGCCCGGCGGGTTGGAAAATGGCCAATTTGTAGTACCTGGCTTCCTCGATGCTCTCGAGTATGTCGTCCCTCGCCTTGTGCAGGCCCTTTTTGCGTGGCGTGGCCGATGCAGTTTGCGGACTGTTCGGCGGACGATCAGTTGTTTTTGTCTCGACATTTGGGAAGGGGGGGACAGATGATTGCTACGTACCACCACCTTCGTGCGGCCTCCTTGATGCTGCTGACGTCGAGGATACGATAGTGCAGGTGATCGAGAACCTTCTTGTAGGGTTCCTTTCTGAGAAAGGCCCGGTCGGCATGAACGCTGTTTCCGGCAAGCAGTGCTGCCCCCTTTTCTGGGACATGCCTCTCAATATAGGCCAGAAGACCGTCGGCCGCCTGCTGCGGTGTCACGGTTGACTCGATGACGGCCGCAGTGAGGCCGCTCTCGCCATCTGCGGCCGTCAGCATCTCTGTTAGAAAACGACTCTCTTCCTGCATCCGGCTGGCGGAGGGAGCACGGTGTTTCGGATAGAAGAAGGACACACATACGAACTCGAGCGCACCACTCATCCATCATGGCCATCCTTTCCGGGGTTTGACGCACAACAGTGCCCCACCCGTCATCGAGCAAGGCGAGCTGGCCATCGGTGATGAGACAGAAAATTTCAATGATGGAATCCGTGTCGGGGTTGAGGCCGGTCATCTGGGGAAGATATCAGTATTTACGGGGCATCCGATCGACGATAATTTGAGGAGAAGGGGATGGAACACCTCGCAGTCAATCCAGACCAAAGCATCCTGCCGCTGAGCAGGCCGTGTCTCTGATGACGCCAGTGTGGTGCACATGAAATGAATAGTAACGTCGCTCTTGAGGGTGCCTTTGGGGTCGTCGAGATGCCTGAAAGCGGGAGTATGGATTGGGTGACGCTGAGAACCAAATGTATTCTCCGAGTATTGTCTACTACTGACTGCTGTAGGTTGTTAGGTACATATGTACAGTACATACATACAGTGGGGGGCCAAAAGTATCCGAGCACCCCGCATTTCCCGACCTCCCACATTTTACATCGTCCCTCCTTATCCAACAATAACTTCACACAACCGAATCACAGCGCAAAACTGATAGTATCTGAGTGATGGCCAAGTGCAGGGCTTTAATATTTTGTGTACCAGCCCCTAGCCCTCTTCACGGCGGCCAAGCGGCGTGGCATGCCGTCGATCAGCTTGTCAATCCAATCCTGTTCTACTGCCCACCATGCCGTCCGCAAACACTCGGTAAAGTACTTGATATCCAGCGTGTTCTTCTTTAATTCCCAGAGATCAGGGAACAACTTCCTTAGCTTCCGCTTAAGAGCAGCCCAGACGTGCTCCATCTGGTTTAAATCGGGACTGTGTGCAGGCCATTCGATCCATGAGATTCCCCGTGATTGGAGCCACTCCTCGGTCGACTTACAGACGTGAATCTTTGCGTTATCTTGCTGGAAATGCCGTGTTTCGTCGTAGTGAGGAATGAGACCTTCTTGGAGGGCCTTTTGATACGACCTAGCTGTATACCCCTTCCGAGGAGCATCGTCGTCACGGGCCATAACGATGAGCTCGCTCCGCCCCCCCTTGAAGATCATTCCCCAGACCATGATAGTGATATTCGCCTTCACATGGTTTTGAAGGTTTACGAAACGCTTATCGAACTTCTCAGAAGGGAAACGGAACACCCAGGAGGTCGGGTTGGAGGTGCTATTCTGGCAAGAACACACGTCTGAGACATAGTCTGGAACACTTAGCGGGTAAGAAATCCAGGTCAATTTTAGAACGACAAACCTGCAAGAGTTCCTCAATATTTTCAAGCCAATCGCATGCGAAATTATACCTATCCCTTGCTACCTCCTTGCAAAGGGGTATCCGCTTCATTGCCTTCCACTTGCGCATGTTGTTGGCGCGGAGGCATCGCTTGATCGTAGAATAGGAGACGACCTTGCCTGTAGCGTTCACGAGCGCCTTTTTAGCGAGAGTTCGATTCCGTTTGACAAGCAATATTATATACCGCTTTTCCTTTCGAGTGAGCGCCTGGGGCCGGCCTTTGCGAGGCTTGGATTTGAAGGTGTGGTTTTTGTTCCAGTGTTCAATGGCGTAGTGTACCGTGGACGGAGAGACGCGAAACAAGCCCGCGACGAACCGCTCGCTTTTTCCAGCTGCCACCAGCGGGCACATGGCGGCACGAATCTCGGGCGATAACTCCTGGTTCCGGCTGCGGCTTGCTGTCAGCTGGCCCGCGAATCTTCTAAATTGAGCTTCATTTGGCCGAGTTGTGGAAGGTTGAAGAACCCGTACTGGTCGCGACGCGCTGAGTTCGCGTTTAATTGAGGTGGGGTGCTCGGATACTTTTGGCCCCCCACTGTACCTTGGTGGGGTTCCACTTCTAGCTTCGCTGCCCACTTTGATGTTTACGTCCACTCATGTGCAAAGCCACCGGCATCCTGCAGAAGCCACCGAAGGAAACGTTACTTGCAGTTCTTACATGAGTTCCGTTACGAAACAAATCAGACCTGAATCGAGAGCAACCCAGTCAGGGCTCCCCGTGGGCTTGGGCGGCTGATAGACAGCCTCGTCCACCATGCCGGCCGCACCTGCCTGAGTGCCCCTCCAGGCTACAGGCAGACACATTTACGCCCAAAGAGCATCTTGACATAAATAGGCGGGCACCCTTGGCACCTCAACTTTCCGGCCAGTTTCTTTTTGAATTAGGCATCTCGACTCTCAAGAGGCTTGGTGTTTACAAGTTGCTACGTCCAGACATCTACAGAGGCGACGCACGCAGCCGCAGCAGACCTGGTCCTATGATATCTCCAACCATGTCAGATTCCGCACGGTCAAAAGCGTTCCCGGATGGACCGCGGGTCTTGATCATTGGGGCGGGCTCGCGAGGCCGGACCTATGCCAACACCGTGGCATCGTCAACCAACGGCGTGGTCGTGGCTGTTGCCGAGCCGGACGATTACAAGAGGAACAGGTTCGGTGAGACCAAGATATGGGGCTTCCAGTCGCCACCGCCGGAAGGCGCAGCGTTCGCTGACTGGAAGGACTTCATCTCGTACGAGCGACATCGCCGGGCCCGTGTTAATGCGGGCGACAAGGACGTCCCCCCTGGCGTGGATGCCGTCTTTGTCTGCGTCTTGGATGAGATGCACCGAGAAGTGGTCGAAGCCCTCGCCGGTCTTGGGGGCTTGCACATTATGTGCGAGAAGCCGCTGGCAACCACCTTCCAGGACTGCATCGACATGTACACGGCCCTGCAATCCAACAAAATCCCAGGGGGGCAGCAGGCTGTCTTCTCCATCGGACACGTCCTGCGCTACAGCCCGCACAACATGCTGCTCCGCAAGCTGGTCGTCCAGGACCGCGTCATCGGGGACATTCTGTCTGTTGTGCATACGGAGCCCGTGGGGTGGTGGCACTTTGCCCACAGCTACGTCCGCGGGAACTGGTATGGTCCCTCGTGGGCCTCCTTCCCCCCTCATGAGCGCCGCTGACAGTGTGAGCCAGGCGACGTGAGAGCATTTCGGCTCCCAGCTTGCTCACTAAGAGCTGCCACGACATTGACGTGTTGCTGTGGCTGTTGTGCTCGCCCGCAAATTGCTCGGCCCCGGACTGCCCTCCGCCTCATCTCCCATCCACCGTGACCAGTACCGGCTCGCTTCAGTACTTCAAGCGGAGTCGCAAGCCGGCCGAGGCAGGCGCTGCCACAAACTGCCTCTCATGTCCCGCCGAGAGTGTTTGCAAGTACTCGGCGAAGCGCATCTACGTCGGCAAAGACCTGGCTGGTGTCGAGTCCGGCAACAAGAAATGGCCCGTGAGCATCGTGCTCCCCGACATCGAGTCCTACGGGAGCGAGACCGAGGCAAGAGACGCGATGCTCAAAGAGCTGGCCAAAGACTACGACGCGGAGACGCCGGACTCAGAAGTGGCCCGGCGAAACTGGTTCGGCAGGTGCGTCTACGAAAGCGACAATGATGTGTGCGACGAGCAGGTCGTCACCATGAGTTGGGATGATGACCCGCTGCCGGGGGTCGACGCGGGCAGCAGCCGCAATGCAAAGACGGCTGTCTTCCACATGGTTGCACACACGAAAAAAATCTGCGACCGGTATACCCATCTGTACGGCGTGGACGGCGAGATCTTCGCCGACTCGACCACCATCACGGTCGAGGACTTCAACACGGGTCAGACAACAGTCCTTCGCCCCCCCGTCGAGAGTCACAGCCATGGTGGCGGCGACACTGGCCTGACTCGCCAGTTCATCCTTGCTGTCGACAAGGTCAGGAACCACGGTTGGTCCACCGACAGGGCGCAGAGGGAGCTCATCGGCTGCACCCTGGATGAGGTTCTCCGTAGCCACGCCATGGTCTTCTGCGCGGAGGCAGCGCGGCGCGGCAGGAAGGTGGTCGACTGGGCCGAATGGTGGGCGGCCGAGGTCCAGGCCAAGTCAACAAACACAGGTTCGGATTTGATCCCCTCCCCGAGTTAGCTTGAAGACCAACGGCCGCGACAATGGCCGCGGTTTCAGCGCGTGCTTTGACGTGGAGCGAGTGTTCTTGGGGCAGCGAATTTTCTTAGCCGGCTTCTCAATGATATTTTTCAATGATCTCTCTTCACTGACTCCGACCATGTCCGTGTATGGGCCGTGGATTGACCAGAAGTTTTACCCGTTAGCTATTACCACAGTACCACCAGATGGGCGATGCCGGGTCTCTTGACGCCCAAAAACCGTCGTCAGCTTCAGGAATTAGAAGGCTTGGCGGTGGCAGCAGTGATGGGCCACCCAGGGGCCCAACCTGGCTGGAATGAAAGCCAAGCCGATGGCGTCAACCCCGCCATTCACCAGGGATCACCCATATCCGCTTTCCAACCGCATTGCCCTTGTCACACTGCCACAGCTTGAGAGCAAGTTTCCAACAACAACGTCAGCAATATCGGTTTTCCAGAAAACCTGCTTCCCAGCCTCCCGCAGCCGAATCGGGCGTATTGGTTCCAAATTTGATAAACCACAATCCTTCAGTAACACGCCTAGACCGACCGATCCCCATCCTCACGAGCTTTCCGAGTGTCCTAAACTCGCATTGTGAATCGACTCGGTGTTCAACAACCGAAGACAGCCACGCGACCTCATTGACTTGTACAGCCCGAGCTGCGACGACCATGGAATCCGCACCCTCCACGACGCAGCAATCCGGCGGCGCAGGGGGGGCCGGTTGGGGTGCCTTTCTCAAGGTTCGCGGCACCATATAGCCCTTTCCCCATAAATCTCGGTTTGCTCCGACGCTGCACGCCGCTTTGAGACACGAGGATGTTCGCCGTGCATGACTGACTCGCAATGTCCGATCTAGTCAATTGCATCCTTCAACGGCGATCTTTCCACTCTCACCGCACCGCCCTTCATTCTCTCGTCAACCAGCCTGACCGAGTTCAGCTCGTACTGGTGCGAGCACCCTTCCATCTTCGCCGCCCCGGCCCAGGAACCAGACGCCGCCAAGAGAGCACTCCTTGTTCTGAAGTGGTTCTTGACCACCCTGAAGCAACAGTATGCCAGCCGGAGTGAGCAATACGGCAACGAGAAGAAGCCGCTCAACCCATTTCTGGGCGAGCTGTTTTTGGGCAGGTGGGAGGACGACGCTGGCACAACCGAGTTGATCAGCGAGCAGGTCAGGTTAGTTCTCCCACTTAACCGCAGCCACTGCCGGCGCACTTCAGTGCCTCGCTGACTTCGAGACATCTTGCTTGCCTCGTGATAGCCACCATCCGCCGGCGACCGCATACAACATCACCAACCTTCCCAGCGGCGTCCGATTGGAAGGCTACAATGCCCAGAAGGCGTCATTTTCCAAGACCATCAATATCAAGCAGATTGGACATGCCGTGCTCACGGTTTCCGCGCCGTCGGCCGCAGAGCCGGACACGTACTTAATCACTCTGCCGTCTCTTCACATTGAGGGTCTCATCTTCGGCTCGCCTTTCATCGAACTCGAGGGTAGTTCCTACATCACCTCGTCCACTGGCTTCACGGCCAAGATCGACTACAGCGGGAAAGGCTGGCTGTCGGGCAAAAAGAACTCCTTCACGGCCGTTCTGTACCCTACCGGGAAGGAGAAGGACATTCTCTTTAACGTCTCGGGTCAGTGGACCAAGTCCTTCGAAATCCACTCGGGTCCTGCCAAGCACAATAGCAAAGATAATCTCGTTGAGAGCTGGAATCCCTTGCCGCTCAGCGAACTCATCGTTGCCCCTTTGGAGAAGCAGCACCCGCTGGAATCGAGGAGGGCGTGGGCCAAGGTGGCGGCCGCGATTGCTAAAGGCGATCTTGACACAGTTAGCACTGAGAAGGGAAAGATAGAGAATGCCCAGCGAGAGATGCGGGCCAAAGAGAAGGCCGAGGGACGCACATGGTCACGACGCTATTTCACCGCTCAGCACGATGGTGCGGATTGGGTCCTGACAAAACTGGGGGCCGCAGTTGGCCTGCCAGAGAACGGTGATGCCGACAAGACGGGCGGTCTCTGGAGGTTTGACTTGGCCAAGGCCGATGCGGCACGCAGGGAAACTCCGCCAAGCGAGGAAGAAGCGAGGAAATTGGCGAGCGAGTTGCTGGGACAGTGATACTCTTGTCCCGTGTATGGGGAATGCAGCCTTCCGCCGCAATGGGGCGATACCATGCGTTCCAAGTTTTGAATAGCGGCCCCGCCGGCTCAACAAGTCGATGATGTGTCTCAGCTCAGAGTCATGTTGTAAGTACGCCTACAATACCGTCCAGATCCGTATGCCTATAACCGGCCTACCCACTCAATGAAGTCTTTCCATTTCGTAGAACAACATGTACACGTCCCGTTGCATGCTTAGCACGTCGCGCGTGCTGGCTTCCTTGACTTTGTCGTCACTGATCCGCCACCAACGGGCCTGCTGTTTCCGCTGCTTGGGCTTCGCGGCCGGCGCCGGTCGAGCCAATGGCGACCCGCCCTTGCCAGCGACAGCATTGAGTGCGGCGGAGTCTCTGCCCCGAGGCACACCAGCCGGGACAGGACATTGCGAAGACCCCGACTTCTCCCCACCAGATGTGCCGTTGCACAACGAGCTACGAGAGCTCCCTGCCGGAGCTTCGGCCCGGCGAAGGGAAGCCGGGGATAGGCCGAATTTGGATTCGTCGGTTAGCGGCTCTGGGGTTAGGGACATGCTGCAGGAAGACTTTCCCAGTCCATCGCCGTGGGCCGGAATTCGCGGTGTCGAAGCTGGACTGGCCGTCCTGCTGTACACCCCCGAGGCCTGGAATGTGCTGGGGTTGGAAAAGGGCGGGTAGACGTTCTGTCGCCGGAAGGACTCGTAATGCCCGCTGTTGTGGCTTCCTTTGTGCGTCACGACGCTGAGAAGCTTGTACTTTTGTTGCCGGAGCAGCCCGCCGAGCGGCAGCTCTTCTGGAAACGCGACCTTGGCCGAGTTTTTCAATGACGAGTGGCTGGCGTCAAATATCGACCTCGACAAATGAATGGCCAGAATTTTGGGAAATTTGGTCATGGCAATGTGACGGGCTATTCTGCGCTTGGGCGCATAGCGCAGGTCTGGGAGCTGGACGTCTTCTGGCGGTTTCTCCGGGTCCGTGGCAATGGTGAGTCGAAGCTTTGCCACAGCTGCCTCGGTTTCGGCCCTTGCGGCCTCCGACGCCGCTCGAACCCTCGTCGACTCGAAGTGAGCCAGTGCGTGCAGGAGACGGCACTTCTCGCACTTGAAGTCATCAATAATTTCGGTTTTGAACATGCCGTCGAAGCATGCGCCTAAGGTTGTCGATGAGACGAGTGGCACATTGAGCGTGAGGGTGCAGAAATTCGATGCTGTGGGTCTTGGTCTGAAACCGCACGTTAAGCACTCAATCTGTGATTCGAACCTACCCTCCAGGGGGAAACCTTCCTCCTCTTCCACACAATGATCCTTCTCGCTATCCATGTCCTTGGCGGCGACTGCCTCTGCCTCTGATTTCCCGTCATCACCGAGGGCGACTATGCGTCTGACAAACTGCCGGGCCCGGCATCCGGCATGGTACTCATCGCAAAGCCTCTCAGCAACCACCTGCAGGAATTCCTGAGCATCCTGCTGCTGCCGGCTAATGCGCTGCCCAAACGCCACCTCGAGCGCTCTCACAAACGGCAGGGCCGATATTGTCTTCCTATATATGGGCCGCTCGTTCAAGGCGTCCAGGATCTCCTTCAAGCTCTTAGTGACAAAGCCTCTTTGTAAGCCCTCCAGTTTCCATTCCGGTATGTCCTTGCGGAAGCGTTCATCTCTCGCCATTGCCCCGGCGGGGACGGGCTGTGCATAGACGGACTCGTCATCGAGACTACGGCGATGCGTCTCCCGTATCAGGTAGAGTCGAAGGTCTCCCAGACCCGCGAGCGCCTGGAGAACCGAGTTGATGAAACAGTCGTTTGCAGGATTGGAGAGGCCTACGACGCCCTTGTTACGGTTCGAAAAGGTGCCCCTAGAGGAGCTCGAGTCGTCGTTGTCGAGGAAGTAGGTCGGGCCAAAGACGTAAATCAATGTGATCGCTGCAAGCGAGGCACCGGCAGCGTATGTAACGACCCGGAGGGTCTTGTCGGGCATCATCTGGGTGGGCGAAGATCGGGTGCCGCTTCGGTGGATGAGTTGCGTTGGCGGAAAGACACACAGCGGGTTATGGGTGTAGATCACGCCAGTAATGGGGTCGGCAGTGGGGCTGCAGTAGACCTAAATTGGCTCACATCGACGTGGCCGGAATTGCCACTGAGTAGCTGTGCCGATGGTGATGCAACAGTGAATTGGAAAAGAGAAAGTTGCCGAAAATCCCGACTGCAGGCATCGGTGCTGGCCGGGCCCACAGGCCTTGGCCGCTCGGGATTCCGCCGGAATGCCGTTTCCGGCCTTGGCATCATCTGTGAGCCGGATGTCGCTGTGTACATCCGTACCGGGATGAAAGCGGATGATGAGAACTCCCTAAGAGAGATCATGTTGAGACTTATACTATGCTCCTTCTGAATCCAGCTGGAATCTGGATCTACGATTATTATGGCATTCTTTCAGTCCTAGGCTGTGGTGGCATCTGCCACTTTCCTACTGTCTCAGAAACAAGAACGTCTTCAACCCCATTTTCAACTCTGGTCCATTCCTTGGCTTTTCGACTGTGACGTGGGAGTCGAGGATGAAGATGAAGAAATACGTGTAGGCTGTTGGACCAACCTCTCGTGTGCTTTGGCCAATTGCGATTCGATGTAAATGTTTCTTTTTCGTAACGACTCAGAAGCCCGCAAAGATCTGGTTCGCGATGGTTTCTACGTGATGACTTCCGGTAGTGCCGGACAAGAACAACTGATCCCCATATCCTCCCAAATCAACTAACAAGCAATCACTAGTCTACCTCCTCAAAGGGACACCAGAGACACTGTAATAAGGATGGCACCAGGCGACACTCTCCCGGCCTTCCTTACCAATCCTCTCCTCTTGACCCTGCCTTTGACTAGGACATTCTCGACACGCACCTAATATACGATTATGATGCCCAGGACAGCAACGGCAACCCGGAGAAGTGGCGTTACGAGCTATGGTGCTTCTCCTCTGACTGAGTAGTCTACGCTATCCATGGCGGACTCATGGCTGGCCGCATGAACTACCAACGTACAACTTACCAATGCATCCATCCTGGCGAGCTCTGGCAGATCAACTGGCTCGAAGAGACTGCTACCGTTGTCTCCGTCTACGACATCAGGGAGAAAAGAATGAAGACTATGATCTCCTTCTCAGAGAGTTAATAGAAGAGCTCAAAGGAGGCCCTGGGGGACAAGAGGAAGTAGGAGGATCTGAAGAGGTAGAGAGGTCTGGCCGGGGTTGGCAAGCAGACGTCGCGGTTCATATTGAGTGAGCAGGCCCATTGTCACAGGTGGGCGCAACTGACCACTGCGTGACACCCTCAAAAGAGGGACCGTGGTTCGAACTGTCCAGTCGAACCAGGAGTTGCGCACATGAACCTCACACTGTCACTACCCGTGACACCCATGTTGTCGAGGCATTCAAGGGGAAGGGGAACTTGGAGCCGATTGATGTAAGGTGACACACACAAGCTCACCAAGGAAGATGCACCGAATCCTCAACAAGCAGCAGGCAAGACGACTGTATTGTGCGTGCACCCCTAACCAACTGACTGATCCTTGAGAGAGGGAAGTTCCAAGTTCCAATCTGAGTCTCCTGCTCTCCAGATATCCTCTCTCTGCTGCGAGTCATGTCGCTGCGCCATGAAATCCACAGTGTCTCGCCCGCCAATTGCCCAAGTGTAGGGCTCATGGTGGGGGCCCTGACAATTGACGAGATGGATGGGCCCCTCTGAGTACTCGTCGTAGTTTGGAAAATGACTTACGTATCAGGTAGAGTTCAATTAGCTGCTGAAACTCGGGTTCTATTCAGTGATGAAGGGATAAAGGGTCAAAAGCATAAACAATACTATACGATGAGGGTCCATGGCTGAGACCCCCTGAGGCCCTAAAGAGAGAGAGAGTACTTAAGCAAGTGGTTGCGCAGCAATGCAACGATCGGTTCATTGGCGGATCTTTTGGTCTATTTGGCACAGGGCTTTACTGCGCAGCCTCTGACAGTCCGAAAGGCTCTATATACCCCATATAAATTTAACGAGACTCTCCACGTGTAGCGACACCCTTATGCTCTTCTAACTGCTGCAGCTCAACACTTTTAAGCTTAATTTAACTGAATTTGGGAGCTAAATTGCCGGAAATTGCGGCGGAATGAGGAACTATCATCAGTCGCTCATATAGCTATTTGCTGCGCTGTAACTGACGATAAAACCTACTAGGCTATAGCAGGTGTGTTTGACGTCTCCATCGGCGTTGTACAAGACTATATTCCATGCTGGGAAACTCAATAGAGCTTTGATTTGAATGTTTGAAAAGGCCGTCCTCAGGGACTTTCATAATCAGAGAAGCGGTATATCCTAACTCTTTTAAAAGAGAAACTGAAATATCATTATTATTATTCCTACACAGCTATACCCTAGGGCTCGCCGGACCCTCTACCACTGATTACAAAGGAAAACCATGCCTGCAAGGCTGGACTAAAAACCTCTGTCTCCCCTATCCTATACCAGTCTGAAGTCTTGAATCCACCCGCTACAGCGGAAAAAAGGCGCAGATGGCTAACTAGGCCATCGAACTAGCCTTGTTTTAGCTGTGCAGCTAGTCTATACTCTAGGCGCCTCCCAGAACATAGTACCCACCTAATCACCTCCCTTGCAAGCCTTCTCTCTTTGGTTCCCCAACCGTTGAGAGCCCTATATAGGTCTCTCTATGAGCAAATCTCTGTAGCCGGCCAGGTCCTTGGCTTCGGTGGTTGGCGGCACCACATAGCTAAGTGTTCCACTGTTTTCCTGCCACGGCCGCATTCGCAGTAGGGAGTAGGTATTCGAGGGACCTTGGCCCGGAAAGGAGGTCCTTAAGGCCTATAGCCCCAGTTCGGGCCTGAGTTAGTAAGGAGCTCTCGGCCTTTGTAAGGCCCTCATGTCTTTCTAGTGCCCTTTTGTCAATTTTGGCCGGTGGTCGGCCGGTTGTACGGTGGGTGGGGCGTGGTTCTGGGCCCTATATCGTTGTAGTCGATTGGTGGCCTTCTGGGCCCACCTAACCTTCCAGGCCTTGTTGAGCCTCTGTGGAATTCTTGCTTTGACTCTCCAGGCGTAATGGCCTCTGTAGCTTCTTCTATTGCTAGAGATTGCGTTGGCCTTCTGGCTCTTTGTAGTCGTTGGAAGCGGTTGCGGATACTGTTGCAGGGCTCCTCAACTAGCAGGCAAGGAGGCCGGTATCTTGGAAGAGGCATTATTACAGGCCCAGTTGCAGGCCTAGTTGCAGGCCTTGTTGTCAGCTGGGAAGGCTGAGGAGTCGGGAGAGTAGGCTTCTGGAGCCCGTCTTCGAAGTCGGCTAGCCTCTTGTTGAGATAAAGGTCAAGTGGAGGAACCCACCTTCGGCCTCATGGTGTCGGGTTGGGGTGGCCTTGTAGGCTCCGGCCACTATCCGTAAGCTCATATTCTGAGCCTTCTTGAGCTCTTTTGCAATGCCGTGTGGCTGGCCTCAAAAAGGGGTAGGCCGGTGGAAGCTTGAACCTCCGTAGGCTAGGGGCACTTCGAATGCACTTGGTCTAGACCTCCCTAGCCTTGGCCAGGGCTGGGCCCTAGGTCTTAGCAGCTATTCTAGATAGTGCAAAGTCCTGTGTTTCTCAGCTTTCGTTCGACAGCTTCCCGGTGGGCCTTCCAATCTAGCCTCCAATCTAGCCAGACTCCAAGGAACCGGCTAAAAGGTTTAGGCTATATAGCGTCGAAGCCTTGGCCTTCTAGGTGGGCCAGGTTGACTGGGTTTGGCCATTGCCTGCGGCCTTTGTTGAAGTGGATCAGCTCGCTCATTTCCCCGGCAAAGACCATCCCTCTAGACTCGCCCCACTGTAGGCAGGTTTTCCAGGCCTCTTCTGGTTGCCGGCAATTGGCCAGAGGCCTTCGGCCAAAGGGCTAGGAGGTTGGTATCGTCTGAAAAGCCCACTATAGCTATTCCTGAATGCTTCTCCTTCAACGCCCCATATAGGGAAGTGATATAAATGATGAAGAGAAGATCGGGGATTAGTATGGAGCCCTGTAGGACCCAGCCTTGACTGGTATACGCTCTGTGGCTTGGCCGTCGAAGTGGAGCGTAGCCGTTCTATCTTCAAGCCAGGCCTTAGCCTATCGCACTAGCCACCTAGGGAAGCCGCAGACCCGGAGGGTATCTAGTAGCCTTATATGGTTGACTGTATCGAAGGCTCCAGATATATCTAGCTGTATCAGGGAGGTGGTTGCTCCCTATCTCCAAGCCTCCTGGGTCTGAGTAACCACTAGCCGTGCAGCTAGTAGGCCGTTCCACTTCGCAGCCTCTGCTACCCTCCTAGCAATCATAGCCTCCAGTACCTTCCCTAAGGTAGGTAGGAGAGCTATAGGTCTGTAGCCTTTGGCAGTTCTGTACGTAGCTGTGGATTTCCCTGGCTGCATTAGAATTACTATTTTGGCCCTCTTGAATATTGGGGAACACCACTGTAGTTCTAGGCACCTGGTCTAGAGCTCTGCCAGGATCTAGAATAGTGGCCTTCCACAGGCCTTTATCAGGCCTGTAGGTATAAGGTCTTCCCCTGAAGCCTTCCAGGGATGAGTTTTGAGAGGGCTCTAGCTATATCCTTAATAGTAACCTCTTTCCGAACCTCGAACTGTGGTTGGTCAAAGGCTTGATCGGAGGTAGTATCAAGGGTATGGCTTAAGATGAAATTGGAATATTGCTAAAAGAGCTCTAGTTAACGTGGTCCACCATCGAGCGGGACACCCCATCGACCGGGACACTTTCTCCTTCACTATAACCACCCAACTTCAAGACGCGTTTTCTCTACCACAACAATGTCCGAGAGCTTCCCAGAAAACCGAGTTCTTCTCGCGATCAATGCGATACGATAAACACCGGGGTTGAGTATCCGACGCGCTGCAGAGATATACAACATCCCCAAGTCGACAATTGCTGCGAGATTGAAGCGCCGGGCTGCAAAGTCCGACAGCTGCAACGGCCGTTCGAATTTGACGAAGAT